GTATCTCTTCCAAGAGACACGAACGACAACCCAGAGAGAGAACGACAGCAGAGTGTTAGTTGTTATTGCACAGGCTTTACCTATCTGCGGAACAGCAACCCCAGCGCCCTGCCAGACGGTTGACCCCGGAGGCAGGATCGTGACACTAGTTAAGTCTATTCGTAAACGATAAGAATAGTTAAGCTAGGAAAATTATAAGTAAAGGTGTATATACTAGTTTAGTGTCACGATCCTGCCTCCGGGGTCAACCGTCTGGCAGGGCGCGGGGGTTGCTGTTCTGCAAGATAGGTAAAGCCTGTGCGATAACAACTAACACTCTGCTGTCGTTCTCTCTTTGGGTTGTCGTGTCTCTTGGAAGAGATACCAGTCTCGGCAATTGAGTGACTAGTTCAAGTGTGTGGTGAAACTGATACTTAGATTGATCGCTGAAGTGCAAAGGTAATGACTGTCTATCTAGGGAATCCTTCGTTTTATATCTCTTGCGCCTTTGTCCTTCATCGTGCGCTGTTCTCTGCGCGTGCTGTGCTGCGTGTGCGGTGCCCTGCGTGCGCGGCGCATGGTGCTGTCAGTTCTCAGCGTGCGCTGGACAGATCCTTGGTCGCGTACGCAGTTCTCTGCATGCGCTGTGCAGTTCCCAGGTGGTGCTGTACAGCCCGTTGGTTCTTGGCACAGCTCCATCGGTCCTGGGACCTGATTGGTCCTGGGACACCTAGTGTCCTGGGGCCAATAGCGTCCTGGGACTGGGTCCGTCCTGGGACCGCTTGTCCTTGTCCTGGGACTACTGTGTTGCCCCGGGACCTGCTGACGTAATCTGGGGTGTTTCTTCCCGCGTGCATGATCTGCCCTTGTCCCTGGCCCAATCCTGCGACCTGTTGGCCGGGTCGTCACATTTAGGTAGTAAAACAGGAAAAGTGGAGAACGAGCTACGTAAGATTCTTAGTTTAAGGATACAGTAATACAGTTATTTTAAGAATTAAATATTTTAGATTTAACGTAACGTAATCCACGGGTAAGCGGGTCACACGGGTGAACGGGTCACCTTCCAGTAACTCGTACGACAATATATAAGACAATTTAACCACAACGCCTTAAATCAATTCAAACTATTCAGAATCCTCTTCTTCAGAGGCAGATACAACTTTCTGACACGTACGAGCATTATGACCGGGCTCGCCGCAGACGCCACATCGTCGCGCGCGCGTTTCGGGCCTCCTCGTACGACCACTATTCTGACTCGTTTCCGCTATTAACTGCTGCGTCGCATCGATTTGAGCCTTCAAATCCTTTACCTGATCAATCGTGAGGGACCCTCCTTTCTATAGCTGCTTTCTTTTCGTACGACGACGGCGGCTGAGGCGGTCATTTGCATCTCGAAGTTCGGCGAGCTCTTGGCGCATAAGGTCATGCTCGTGTACCATCATTATAACTCCTTTTCTCAGCTGCCGTAGGCTCTCAACAATGGACGACGGTGAGCTATTCTGGTGTCGTACGATGCGATTTTCAATATACTTCGTCTGCGATTCGGTCTCAATTAGGTTGTTCGGCGTCTTTGAAACCCATGGGGGTGGTAGTCCAGCAGAGGAACCTGGTGGTGTCGGCGTATGAAACTTCATATCTAGCTGCGAAATCACATAATTCGGGTCGTACGGTACTAGGCCTGTCGCTCTGAAGCCTGCCTGGATGTTTGATTTGGTCATTGCAGCGTCGTACGCCTTATAAAAGGCTGGGAGGAAGTCCTCCTTTGAAACGTGGGTTACGTGCGCCCGCATTAGACCTTCGATTTCTTTACCGTACGCCCGTTTCAGAGGTCCAAAACACCCAACATCGAGAGGCTGGAGCTTATGCGACGAATGAGCAGGCATACAGAGCGTGACAATATTCTGTTCCTTGCAGTAGAGCTCGAAATCGACGGAATGGTAGCTCTCGTAGCCGTCGAGGATGAGGAGGCGGTAAGTGCCCTTCGTACGACTCTTTATATAGAAATCGAAGTGTTTTACCCACTCTAGGCCTCTCTCGTTCATCGTCCAACCGTTCTCTAAAAGCGCGATTACCCAGTTAGCCGGTAGAGGGCTATTCGCGGTCCAGGAGTCGAGGTGGACCTTCCCTACGAAGATGATATACGGCGGGATCGAATAGCCGTACGACGCAATGCCCTGGATTACTGTAACCCATTCCTAATTCCCTTGTTGTACGGCTCTTGGCCTCCCGCGTCGATCGGAGGTCGTAACGATAGTTTCGGCGGAGATTTTACCCATCGCGAAGCCCGTTTCGTCGAAGTTGTAGATATCGTCATTGTGGATCCCGTATTTCGCGATTATGTTTCGTACGAGCTCAAACCACGCGCGATACGCGTCCGGATCCTCGCAAAGGACCCTCTGGTAATCGATTCTTCGATTACAACGCGTACGGAGCTCAGGTCGTCGTCGTACGAAGGTTGAGGCCCAGTTCGTTCCAACGCGTGGCGCGTCGCGTACGCGGAGGAGTCGATCCGCCATTTCTCGAACACCACTTAACCGCGGTGGAAACGAACGCGAATCTAGGTCGAGTACGTATCGTACGATACTCTCCTCTTCGTATGAGGTTAATTTCTGGCAGGGTGGTCGGGTGTCGTGTTTCGCAGCTCGGCCGTGGTATCGTTGCTGGAGTGTCGTACGAGATACATTATAGATCTGCGCAGCCTTTCGTACGCTTAATTTTGGGTCGGATTGGAGCGCATTTAACGCTAGAACCAAATCACTTTCAATTGATTGTCGTCCCATGATTGGAGGTGGAGAAAAAGGAGAAGGAAGTGAACCTCAATTAAATTGCAGTAAAGTGACCCGTTCACCCGTGTGACCCGCTCACCCGTGGATTACGTTACTCCACAATGGAGTGGGACAAACAAGGGAGTGGGACACTTTCCCGCTTTGTGAAAGACACTCTCTTTCTTTCTTATTTTCCTCCACCAATAATTATGCCACGACAATCAACTGAAGGCGATTTGATTCTAGCGCTTAATGCGCTTAAAACAAACCCACAATTGACAATTCGTAAAGCTGCATCGATATACAACGTGTCGAAATCAACACTCCACAGACGATACCATGGTCAACCTGCAAAGCGCGATTCACGACCACAAAGCCAGAAATTGACCTCATACGAAGAGGACAGCATTGTACGATACGTAATCGACCTAGATTCGCGATCATTTCCACGGCGCCTTAGTGGTGTTCGAGGAATGGCGGATCGACTCCTCCGCGTACGCGACGCGCCGCGCGTCGGAACCAACTGGGCTGCAAACTTCGTACGACGACGACCTGAGCTCCGAACGCGTTTTAATCGAAGAATCGACTATCAGAGAGTCCTCTGCGAAGATCCGGACGCGTATCGCGCGTGGTTTACCCTCGTACGGAATATAATCGCGAAATACGGTATCTACAATGACGATATCTACAACTTCGACGAGACGGGCTTCGCGATGGGTAAGATCTCCGCCGAGACTGTGGTTACGACCTCCGATCGACGCGGCAAGCCAAGAGCCGTACAACAAGGGAATCAGGAATGGGTTACAGTAATCCAGGGTATCGGGTCGTCCGGCAATTCGATTCCGCCGTACATTATCTTCGCAGGCAAGGTCCACCTCGACTCCTGGACGACCGAAAGCCCTCTACCGCCTAACTGGGTAATTACGCTTACTGAAAACGGCTGGACGACGAATGAGAAAGGTCTCGAATGGGTAAAACACTTCGATTTTCATACAAAGAGCCGTACGAAGGGCGCTTACCGGCTCCTTATCCTCGACGGCCACGAGAGCCACCACTCGGTCGATTTCGAGCTATACTGCAAGGACCAGAACATAATTACGCTCTGTATGCCTGCTCATTCGTCGCATAAGCTCCAGCCTCTCGATGTCGGGTGCTTTGGACCTCTTAAAAGGGCGTACGGAAAAGAAATCGAAGGTCTCATGCGGGCGCATATTACCCACATCGCGAAGGAAGACTTCCTCCCAGCCTTTTACAAGGCGTACGACGCTGCAATTACCAAGTCAAATATACAGGCAGGCTTTAGAGCGACTGGCCTAGTACCGTACGACCCGGAATATGTTATTTCGCAGCTAGATGTAAAGCCTCATACGCCAACTCCGCCAAGTTCATCTGCAGGCCTTCCGCCACCTTGGGTCTCGAAGACGCCGAACAACCCAATTGAGGCGGAATCACAGACCGAATACATCAAGAATCGCATCGTACGACATCAGGGCAGCTCTCCAACATCAATAATTGCAAGCCTACGGCAGCTAAATAAAGGAATCGCGATGATGGTGCACGAGCAGACCCTTGTACGCCACGAACTCGCCGAACTTCGAGATGCAAATGACCGCCTTAGCCGCCGTCGCCGTACGAAGAGAAAGCAATTACAGAAAGGAGGGTCCCTTACGATTGATCAGGCAAAGGATATAAAGTCCCAGATTGACGCGACGGAGCAGTTAAGGGCAGAAACGAGTCAGCATAGTGGCCGTACGAGGAGGACAGAGACGCGCGCGCGACGCTGTGGCGTCTGCGGAGAGCCCGGCCATAATGCGCGTACGTGTCAGAAAGTTGAGTCCACCTCTGAAGAAGAGGATTCTGAATAGTTTGAATTAATTTGAGCCGTTGTGGTTGATTTCTCTTATATATTGTCGCGTAGGTAGGACGGAAGTGTCCCACTCCCTTGTTTGTCCCACTCCCTTGTGGAGTACGTTAGATAGATTATTCTTATCGTTTATAGGTAGACTTAACTACGTATCTATATCTCTTGAGATAAAGAAGTTATAAGGGTTTAAAAATCCCTATATAAGCGGCGATAAGAAATGACCCGTTCACCCGTGTGACCCGTTCACCCGTGTGACCCGTTCACATGTGGACTACGTTATAGCTTACTAGTTAAGAGAGCTATTGCTGAGTGACACAGTGGGGTGTTTTGGTGGTGGTTGGTGGGATTTGGGGTGGCCGCGAAGTGGGGTGGCCGCCATGCGGGGCTCCGACTTACCGAAAGACGAGGGCGTCTACTTTGTAGATCAAAATGCTGCGCGCTCTCCAATGTTCTCCTTTGAGCCGATGTTCCAGGCCACTGCCTCTATGAACACAGCATTCCGCTTCGACGACGTCGACGTCCTGACCAATCGAAATAGCCTCCGGAAGCTCCTTGACTTCAGCGCCGGCCGTCGACAGGATAGTTTCCGCCTCAATCTCCATCTGATTCATCGCACCTTGATTATCGAACGCTGTGAAAAGAACGTCCGACAGCTCATCAGTCGGTCACAGAATCCCGGATGGGGGTAAGTCTTTGATCACAGATTCACAGAATATCCGTATGGGTTGAAAGACAGCGCATCACATCATCGGTCTCTTGAGTACCGGCTTGGGGATCTTGTGTGCGTCGTGCAATTCGAGGTGGACGCGTGCTACGATAAAGGAGGCGAAGCAAGCGATGGGTCCGAGCCCTTGCCTTTCTCGATGGCCAAACTCTCTATACACGATGAACCCGTAGACAACACAGCTATCGCCAGGCCACCAGGGCAGAAGGCTCAAATGACCCAGGAGATGGCGGCGGAGATCAAGACGGCAAGCAAGCCTAAGAGCTTAGGCAAGAACTTGCCCCAGCTCTGGTTCGGTCGAACTCCCTGGCTCATTGTTGGCCGTCACGCCCAAGGAACCTTTACTGAGTGCCGGATAACCAACGCTGCGGCACAGTTTGCTGATTGGGAGCGTAGGAATCAGGCGGACTTGCGCATGCTCGTTGCCGTCTTGGGCCAATTACGGGAAGCGGTTAAGAGTAATGGAGGTAAGCATTGTGTCGCAATCTGCGAAAAGAAACTGTTTCCTCCAGTTATCGAAGTCTTTCAGTCAACGACTGCGAAGATGGCAGTCCCGGACAATCTGAGGGGCAAAATATGGGATGCGGAAGCGGGTGGGCACCCGAAAGGTTCGACACACTGAATTGGAGAGGCAATAGCAAAATCTTCTTACAGACGCCTCGTCTTCTGCTGTAGATCACCGCTATCCGTGAAATGGAGGCGTGCCACTGGGCAAGCCCCAAGCTAAGGAGGACGCTGGTTCGAGACCTGATCCTCGCCACCGTTTCGCTTAATGATGTCTCTCGATGATGCCTTGCTCCAGCTGTAATCGGGAGGCCTGAGTCGGTAGTGTGGCCGTTTCTGCAGTACAATGACAAAGCTGCACAGGGACGTCAAGTGTTGGAACTCATGAGCATGTCTTCTCGATGTCCACTGCAGCCTCCCTTGGGGCGGAGGCACTAGCAGCTACATGGCGTTGCACCTTCTCGGAATCACGATGCTCATTGCAGCCAGGGCAAGGGAAGCTCTCGCCACCAGTTCGTGTGGATGAAGTCAGCGACAATCAATGACGCCCCAACGAAGAAGAGCGACAGCAGAGCTGCATATCCTTTGGGTCTAGGTAAATTGTATAGTATCCGCAAGCACGTGTTCATAAGTCTGAAGGTATGGCTTGGAGCGTTGCCGTAGTATCCGCCTTGCATATTGATGTCGGCGCCCTTGTGAAGAAGCAGTTTCACGATAGCCTCGTGTCCTTCGAACGAAGCAGCCTGAAGAGCGTTACCGTAGTATCCGCCTTGCATGTTGATGTAGGCGCCCTTGTTAAGAAGCACTCTTACAATAGCCTCGTGTCCTCTTGACGAAGCAGCCTGAAGAGCGTCGTCGTAGTCCCCACTCTGGATGTAGAGCCGTGTGACGTCGGTGTTGCTGTTGCCTGGCGAGCTGACTACGATATCCCTAAGGTGATTGTGAGTTTCGTGATCGTGGCGTGGCGCACCACCGGCAATGCCGATCATGAGCATGTTGCGGATGGCGAAAGCGTGGGACATGTCCTTGACAACGCGGGTTGCAGAGGAGATGCCATACTGTCCATGTGGCCGCTAAATGACTGTACCTGTAGATATCGGCGTCCTTGGACGGGCTGTCATCGGGCTGTCATCGGGCTGTCATCGGGCTGTCATCGGGCTTGTCGGTAATCTCATCGAACATCATCTGCGCGGCGATACATTCCGTATCGACAGCGCAGATACACCCGATAGTGAATCGGTCACGATCTGACATGTTGGCAGGCCTGCCGGCTTGCGGAGTACAGTTGGATGCTAGTCCATTCCCGTGCTGATCATGAATGGGGATTCCGCCATGTCTGAAGTAAGAGTGAAGAGCGGGGCGCTAGTGGTGCCAAATAGAGGACTGGCGGGGTGGAACAATGAGGCATTTTGTAAGGCTTCTTGTCCAGCCCTCTCAAGTGGAGCAAAGTCTCCGTTTTCACTGGCTAGCCTTCTTGAAGGACTATTTTTGGTAACATCCAGGCAGAGAGAGACAAGGATTAGAAGCAGGCTGCGTGCCTATTCAGCCATGCCCGGTCTGTCCCCCGATGCACAAGCATGGATGATGAGCCGGCTTGTCCCGCGAGCCGAATGTTGCGCTAATTGAGTCTAACGAGAAAGGGGAACACCCACTTCGACTCATTGATGACACAATTCAGGACACGGAAGAGCTACATGCATTGACAGCAGCTTCTGTAGGGTCCGCTGCTTAGGGTAGCCTTTAGCTATTACTGGAAAGATACGTACTGTAGTAGAGTGGTTACAATACTGTACTATAAGGGGAATTAAATGCGAAAATGCAACCCTGGTGCAGAATGTGGCTACCTGTCCCGCCAGCCATCGCAGAGACAGAACGTGAGAGTCTTGCGATAATCGAAGTCCATATAACTCGCGAAGATGGCGTAATCACAGGAATGAGTCAAAGATTGAGGACCTGAAAGGGGAAGTACGTGGGACTGCATGTTGTGCGCTGGGTTTCCTTGTGGGACAGGAGCCGAGCAGAGTCGAGAGTTAAGGGCATGTGGAGTCCGGGGCATTGTGGAGTCGGGAGCCTGGAGCCTTGAAGAGTCGGGGCCGTGCGGGTCCAGGAGTGAACGGGAGTCGTTGGAACTGCGGACTCCACTTCACCGCTACCCCACCATGGCACATGCACAAGCCACGGGACTGGCCAAATGCTGCCGTCGCTCTGCCAAGTCCAGTAGCCTGTGAAAGAGTAAGCCTGATCTAGTACGGTAAAGTGACATTCAAAGGGCGAATATATGTTTGGTAAGAGAAATTACGCTTGGGGGTTTGCTTTTCTAAGTTTTTAGTGCGAAAGAGTTATATGAGCTGGCTCTTTCCCAATCCAGACTTAACTTCCTAGCCTTCCCCAAGATGTAATCCTGGATGACCTGGTCCTTACAAATGCCATGCCGCAGGATCTCCATCTTGAGAGCCAGGATCTCATCGCGTAATTCCTTGACGTGGGCGCTTAGGATACTGTTCTTCTCCGAGAGCTGTGTCACTGTCTCTTGGAGCTCTGTAATTTCACACCTCGTCTTGTTGCGATACTTGGTCGCAGCTCTTCGGTTCTTCTCGCGTATCGTCTTCTTCTTCTTATTGCTGCTTGGAAGAGCCGTTGTATCTGACGGCGTGGACTGTGACGCGAAGCTTGCCGTTGGATCTGGCGACCCTGTGCTGTGCACGTGTATCTCGCTATGACTGCGTTTCGTGCCGGCGAGCTGCGGTATCTCCGAGCTGTGTTGCTGCTGAAGCTGGTGGTAGCGATGGCACCTAAGTGCTGACGACGAAGGCTCCGGCGTAATTCCCCTAGGGCTGGTGTGTGTCCATGCGCTGGCAATGTCGGAAAAGGTGGTAGGATCGCTGGCTGGGGACATTGGCCACGAGTGTGTGCTCGAGGCGTTGTCGCCAAGAGCAGTGTTCGAAATTTGTGAGGCGGTGATAGTACCGAAGGGCATTGCGTCGTATGGCTGCAAGGGCATATTGTACATCTCGGGCCCAAGGTCCATGATAAAGCCGCCGTCTGTGGCAGATAAAGGAGCGTCCAAACGGCTGGAGTTGCCATCAAGGACCATCCAGGACATGTCGCCAAACTCGTCGCAGGCGAGGGCAAAAGTACCCCCAGACCACTTATGTACTGTATGTGTGGATGGTTGGTGTTGCGTGTGGTCTGTGAGGGCAGCCATGGTGGCAGCTATGTGTGGTCGTCTGAGTCTTGCCGGCTTGAGCGAGAGATTTGTACTAGCTCTGTCGTTCTTGATCCTTGTTCTTGTTGTTGTGGCCGTGGAAAAAATGGGGGTCGAGGTGAGATGGCAAGGTGCGGCTTGTCAGTGCGTGGGTCTGTGGGTCGCTCCCAGGAATGGCGCCGGCTCTCTGTTGTAGCAACAAACGCGCCGCCGGACAGATAAGCAACGCCGGCCGTGACATATTTATGACCACAACGCGAGTCAGGGAAGCACAGGAGCTCCCTGCTTGAAAATCCAGCCACAGCAAGTTCCGTGCGCGTTGGCCTGGGGTCAAACGGCAGGAGCGGGGTGCAAGTGGCTGGACTCGGTGAGAGGCGCAGTGCACTGAGTCCAGCTTCGAGTTCGACCCTCGCGACCCGACTCCGACGATTGGTGCCTCCACACTCAACTACCAAGCCGGCAAGCTCGACGATGACAGCAGTCTAGCTGCAGGAAGGATGTTCTGAGCTTCACCACCGAGCCGCTCGAGCACGACGTCCGTGTTCAGGGTGCTCCTGCCGTCTCATTGTTCCACATCACGAGCCACTCGTACGCAGACTTGTCTGTGCGGGTGAGCAATGTCGAGGCGAATGGTGTATCGCACAATATCTCTGAGGGATATCGGCGACTCAAAGAGCTGGGTCGGGGGCTAGATGCCGGGAAAGATGCACAGCCGATCGAGCTCATACTGTCGGCCTGTGTCCATACCTTCCGCACGGGGACGCGCATACGTGTAATCGTGGCAGGCGGCTCGCACCCAAAGTACGTGCGGTACATGGGTTCGGGAGCAGACATGATGCATGGCACAGAGGCGAGGTCCGTCACGCACACGGTGAGGCATGGAGGGTCGGCCGCGTCGAGTTTGATGCTTCCAGTGGTCGCTTGATGGAGGTGGCGCGATATTGTAGGATTGTGTAAGATCAGTGTTCGGAGCTTTCTCCTCTCCAACTACGCGTAGGCAGCTAGTCCTCAGTGCTATAATCATTGACTGTAAATGGTAGCCATCACCCCTACTCTATGCAATGGAACCGTGCTTTTGGCAAAGCCAGGACCTTATTCGGCCCTATCAGGGGCAGACACATGCTGGCCTGCACACTCTCGGAATAATGACGAATAGACTTCTGCGCACGCTGGTTTATGGCTCTCCCTGCAACAAAATCCTGACACGCGTCCATGTCGGAACACTCGTTCGACTATGGACGACTCTCACACGGCAGTTCGAAGCCAAACAACCGATCTCATGCTGAGACGAGCGCCTGAGGGCAGGGATGTCGAGCATCCTCATGCACAATACCTCGGCTGGCCGGCAATTGGCACAGCTCGAGGCCTGGACCAGCCAGCCGCGAGTGGGCTGATTTTCGCAAGCAGACACCGTCACAACCCGTGCTCAGCACCCGAACTCACTTGCCTTCCCTTGCCAATTAACACCAAGAAAGCTTACTGCAATCCGGGGAACGGCTGCCCGCCGATCTCATTGGAGGCTTAGTGGGGGGACAGGGTTCTCCTCATCGAGGCCCTGGTCGCTCTGGAACCTTATAGACCAGGGCTGGCACGCCACGAGGTCTTCCCCGGCAATCAGGTCGATGGCAATTGCGGAGTGCAACTGCCGACCGTCTACGACCCCGGATCAGGAACTGGGCTTATACAAAGGACTCTGCATACCACCAGCCTCACGAGTCATGATAGGATCATCATTCGAGCACGCTTAATTCGATTCCACCCTCAACTGCATTCACAGAGGACTCTCGCTGCACCGGAGCTCATCCATCCGAGCCCAATCATGGCGGTCGTCTCCGAGCCTTCCAACCTCGAGAACGGTCACGACTCTGACGAGAAGCCTCAGCTCACCGTCCAGGATACCAACGGCTACATCGCGGATGCCAGCGCCGACAATCGTGGCAACCTCAAGACGGCCAAGGACAGCCACACGGTGCTCATCCCGCAGCCCTCAGACGACCCGAACGACCCGCTGAACTGGGGCACTGTCAAGAAACATGTCGTTCTCCTCACCGTCAGTCTTGCGGCCTTCCTCCCCGACTTTGGAAGTGCTGTCGGCGCCGTGATGTTGCTTCCGCAGGCAGCGTAAGTCAACACCGATTCCGGACCTCGCCCTCCCTCGTTACTGACTGCCCACCGTCTTTAAAGGCAGTGGAACATGAGCCCGGATACCGTCAACCACTCGCAGGCCGGCAACGTCTTTATGCTCGGCGTCGGCGGCATCGCCACCGTCATCTTGTCCGCCTGGGCGGGCCGGCTCCCGGTGCTGTTCTGGTTTGTCGTCATGGCGACTGCGACGGCAGCGTGGTGCGCCGCGGCGACGACGTTTGAGTCCTTCATGGCCGCGCGCATCCTCAACGGCTTCTTCGCCACGGTGGCCCAGGCGGGCGGCATGATGTTCATCTTTGACATGTTCTTCTTCCACGAGCGTGCCAGGAAGATCAACATCTGGATCGCCTTTGTCATCTTGTCTCCGTACCTGGGTCCGCTGATCGCGGCTTTCATCATTACAACTGAGCCCTGGCCGGTCGCGTTCTGGGTGTACTTTGCCATAGTGAGCACAATCCACAGCAGCCTTAAGCAACAAGATGAAACTGTTGCACAAAAATGCTGACTCCCCGCCTCCTCCAGTGCGCCATCGCCCTCATCTCGACTGCCCTCTTCGTCTCCGAGACGTACTACGACCGCCGCATCCCCATCGCCGACCAGCCCCCGCCCGCCTCGCGCATCGCCCAGGTCGTCGGCATCGCGCAGTACCGCACCCGGCACCAGCGCGCCACCATCACCGAGGCTCTTAAGCGCTCCGCCCTGACCATTACCCGGCCCACCATGATCCTGTGCTGCCTGTACGCGATGCTCACCTTCGCCTGGGTCATCGGGATCAACACCACGCTCTCCGTCTTCCTCACCCCGCTCTACGGCTTCGGCCCCCGGCAGATCGGCTTCTTCTACTTCGCGCCCGTCGTGGCCGCGATCCTGGGCGAGATCGTGGGCCACTGGCTGCACGACGCGATCGCGGGGTGGTACATCAAGAAGCATGATGGGCACTTTGAGCCCGAGGTGCGTCTGATGGCGGTCTTTTTCAGCACGCCATTCATGGTCGCGGGTCTCGTGGGGTTGGGGTTCGCACTGGAGGAGGGGTATCACTACATGGTCACCGCCGTGTGCTGGGGTCTGTACGTGTTTGGCATCATGATCACGACGGTCGGGCTGAACGCGTATAACCTTGACTGCTACCCGAATGCTAGTGGCGAGGTGGCTGCGTGGCTGAACATGTCCAGAGGTAAGTCGTTCCCGTTTTTCCTCATCCCCTTCAAATCCATCTCGAGAATGTCACAACAGGTGGATACAAGGGGGGAACAATCAGTAACGCAAATCCTTTACGAAACAGTTGGCGCCGGCTTCATCATCAGCTACTTCCAGATCACCTGGGCCCAGGTGCAGGGCACCAAGATCAGCTTCGGGATCCAGGGCGCCATCGTCGCCGCGTCCTTCCTCATCATCCTCGTCGTGCTCATCTACGGCAAGCGCATCAGACAGAAGGCCGGACCGCTCAAGTTCTCGACGGTCTAAGGGCAGAAGGATGGTTTGTGTGCATCTCTAACGGGGAAGTGTATGCTTGGTGGGGCGGTTCCTAAGTACTTAGCTCTCCAATGCTACATGCGAAGCGGGAGATCGCGGTTTTGATTTGAACCCAGCGCAGTAATCAGAGAGGGCCTCCAGCAAACAGCGTCAAGTATCTGCCAGAGAGCTGTGGATACAGTCGTCTATTAAGTATTTTGGTTCGATGGCAAAGCACTGGACATAATGTATGTGCACATGCAGCGTGGTCGGACGCCTTTCCTCCTAACGTGCACACCTGTCCGTGTTGTCTAGACCCCCCATTGCGACCAGTGCGCATCGCGACCAGGGGTCGCGTCGCGACGCGGTTGAGCACCCCACCATACATTTTCCCATATAAACCTGCTCAACCGCGTCGCACCGCGACCCGACCACCTGCATTGTGACCGTCAAAAAGGAAGCTATCGTCATGGTCGCAAAAGACTACCAATTGCGCGCCCTGCGCGCACTGGATGAAGTTGAGGCTGGCGTACCTGTCGCGACGGCTGCTAGACGACACGATGTCGACAGATCCTACCTACGTCGTCGCCTTGACGCGTGCCCAACCTTCAAGCAAAGGTACCAAGTCCGACAAACCCTCTCCGTGACCCAGGAGGATTATCTGGTCTCTTGGGCCCTCGACCAAGCAGCAATGGGCTATGCAGCTCCATTGAAGCAATTCAAGCACTTCGCGATGCGCCTGCTGGCTCTCGACAACCCCTCCGCACACCTCGGCAAGCACTGGTACCGACGCTTCATCCGCCGCAACCCGACCTTGAAGACCTCGAGATCACGACTTATTGAATACAAACGATACGACGGTGCCTCCAAGGCCAATATCGACATCTTCTTCGACCGCCTGACGTCATTGAAGGGCAAACGAGTACGGCCCGAGAACATATGGAACGTTGACGAGTGTGGCGTCGCGGAGGGCCTAGGTCACAATGGCTTCGTGGTCAGTGATGCCTTGCGCGACTTTACCTTGAAAAAGGACGGCGCCAGGAGCACCTGGATCGCGATAATTGAGGCCATTTCTGCTGGCGGTGGCTTCATCCCTCCCCTTGTTATTTTTAAGGGCCAATCCGTGCAGCAGCAGTGGTTTCCCGACGTCGAACTTGACAGGTGGAAGCATTGGTGTTTTGACACATCACCAAACGGGTGGACCAGCAATGATATTGCTCTGAAATGGCTCAAGGAGGTATTTATTCCCAACACCAAGCCTACGGATTCTAGAGAGTGGCGATGCCTTCTTCTCGACGGCCACAAGTCGCACGCAACAGAGGAATTTATGACGGAGTGCTTCATCAATAAAATCTGGCTGATTTACCTCCCGGCTCATACCTCACATGTTCTTCAGCCACTCGATGTGGGCGTGTTCTCGGCGGTGAAGGACCACTATCGTCAAGCGGTCGCGGAGGTTGCATATAACACTATGAACGAGTCCCCAGGCAAGCGGGAGTTCCTTGAAGCATACCAAATTGCGCGCAAAAGAAAGCTCAATAAGGAGAACATCTTAGGAGGCTTCAAAGGCACAGGGGTGTGGCCTCACAATCGGTTGAAGGCGCTGGGTTCCCGCTTCGTGATGCGGGACTATGAGGAGGTACGGGAGGCCCAGCAGAATCCCCAAAATCGGGCCCAAACGACGGTTTTAGAGCCAGATTTTTTGACGCCCTTGTGCGCAATTGACGTCAAAACACCAAAAACATCTCGCGATGTCTATAAAATGCATAGGGAGTTGGTAAAGTGTGGTGTACCTTTAGGGGCGGCGACCTGCAGGAAGCTCTTCAACAAGGTCGGGAAGGCAATCGACACTTCGAACATCGCGCGCACCACCGCAGAACACCAAAAAGACCGTCTCCAAGCTGCATTAGATGCTTCAAAGCCTGCTAAACGCCGCAGAGTCGATCCGGATCCCAATAAACAGTTTGTTCAGGTCGTAAACGTGGAGCGCGCAAAGAGGCAATTGCAGCTCGAGATGGGGGCGGACTTCAGCACGGATGACGACACCGACAGCAGCGACGACGAGGTAGAGATCATTGAAGACGACAGTGACGAGGAGAGCTGCATTGAGGTGCGGATCAATTGATTTGAAGCCTTTTTAACGAATGCTTGTTCAGTTATTGCAGAGTGACCATGTGGTCGGTGATGCCCTCATGCGCAGGTTGGGGGGTGGTCGCCATGCGCACTGGTCGCAATGGGGGGTCTAGACTTAGTGTTGTACGTGATACCTTATATATCGATGCAGCCTTTCGTACGCTTAATTTAGGGTCTGATTGAAGCGCATTTAGCGCGAGAATGATCTCTGATTCAATTGATTGTCGTGGCATACTTGTTCGTGGAGAAATTAAGGAAAGAAGAGGAGTAATTGAGAATTGCAGGAATACGACCCGGTCGCTTGTGTGACCCGCTTGCTTGTGGATTACGTTATCTAAAAAAAATTACTTAACGTAGTCCACATGTGAACGGGTCACACGGGTGAACGGGTCATTGCTTATCGCCGCTTATATATGAATTTTTAAACCTTTATAACTTCTTTATTCCAAGAGATATAAGCGCCTAGTTAAGTCTATTCGTAAACGATAAGAATAATCTATCTAGAACTAAGATATTTCATTCTTAAAATAACTATATTACCCTTAAACTAAGAATCTTACGTAGCTCGGTCTCCACCTTTCCTGTTTTACTACCTAAACTAGTATATGTACCTTTATTTATAATTTTCCTAGCTTAACTATTCTTATCGTTTACGAATAGACTTAACTAGGTCTTTATATCTCTTAAGATAAAGAAGTTATAAGGATATGAAAATCCTTACATAAGCAGCGATAAGAAATGACCCGTTCTGTTAAGTACTGGCCCTAGGTCTGAACAGATACTAGGCGTATTAGATTTACTACGAACTTGGGAAATAAAAGGAGGTAGTTCGCACTCTCCGTGAGCGCGTTACGGTTTTGTTAACCCCCCCTGTCTCCCCTTTTTTGACCCACCTAGGCTCGGGCCAGAGCCCGAGCCCGTAACACGTTCACCCGTGTGACCCGTTCACATGTGGACTACGTTAGACCCACATTTACTCCCTACTTATTGTTAAGTACTGGCCCTAGGTCTGAACAGATACTAGGCGTATTAGATTTACTACGAGCTTGGGAAATAAAAGCAGGTAGTTCGCACTCTCCGTGAGCGCGTTACGGTTTTGTTACCCCCCCCCTGTCTCCCCCTTTTTGACCCACCCAGGCTCGGGCCAGAGCCCGAGCCCGTAACACTTATAGAGATATAGTAAAGTTAGATTTCTTAACTATAGAGGAGATTTTTAAAGTTAAATATCTCTATAGTTACTTACTGTATAAAGCTAAAATCAGTACTTATAAAAGTTTATAGTCTTAGAAACTCAAAAATATTTAGTGGAGTTTAGTACTATTTATAATAAGTGAGATATTAAGGTTTCTAAAAACAGCCCTTAACTATAGGAAATTACTCTTTTAGGTTCAAGCTTTAAGGGCTAGCTTATGTAAAGATTTACTAGATTTAAACTAGGGTTATATAATTCTTTACTCTTTTAGCTATATTCTGTATATACTTATAAGCTTATATCTTATAAAATAGGGGAGGTAACAGGGGTCCTAAAAAGAGCAGTTTTAGCGATTTTGGTGGGGACTTGGTGGTCGCGAGGTACTCTGGTCGCGAGACGGGGGGCAGACTTAGCGGCTAAATATGGCGAAGTCAAAAAAGTCTGCTGGCTTCTTGGCCAGGGTTTGGCGCTGCTTCAGCTGCCGCGTCCAGAAACCGAATGCCAGATAGCTCGATGTCTGCTCGATGCCAATCCTGATCCGACGGCGAAGTGTCAAGACTCATGCTGGCTCTGTCAAGTGATCGTCCTGTGCCTGCCAGCCATCAACGGGCAAGGCCGTCGGGAGCTCAAGGGTAAAAAGCGCGGCCGGGGTTTGACATCAGAATAGACTGCACGGAATGCTCCCTCGTGAAGCAATCGCTACAGTTTTTGCCTGGGAGGAATTTCGCAGCCGGGGCAATTGGCTTGCTCCCCTAACTAGCCAGACATCGCAAAACGAGTTATGCATGTGGTCGTTCCTCGCTTAACATACTCAATTCCATCAGACGATACTTCCCTATCTCACACACCAGGTGACGGCCGGTTTTGCGTTGCTTTATGGCGGTCTTGCCGGTCTCTACTTACAGACAGTACCACTGGCCCTCCACCTTGATTTTTATGAATGGAAAAGAAGACCAGAACAATAGCATAAACTCAAATGACTCTGAACGGCTTTTGATACCGAGAAGACCGATCGTTTGAGACCGATGGCAGCAAACGCAGCGACATTAAGTCCATCGCAAGGACCTTGTTGTGCTATTGCCGCAGACGCTCACGCTGACCTTGGCTCGCGCTAGGGCTCGGTCGCTGGCTTTGAGCGTCGTGCTGGGGTTCTCAAAGGCGCGGTGCAAGCGCATGAGTCCAGAGTACTGGTTGGAGACGCCTAAAGAAGCAGGTCGACGGGAGAGGCGCGTAGACAGAGGGCATGTTCGCAGTTGCCGAAGTGGACAGAAGGCGCTGGCGCCACAGGCTTCAGCGCGGTGGCCACTACAACCAGACACCTACACTCCACAACCACCTTCTTGTTCGACCTGTCACGGCATAACTAGATCCGACCACCGGCACACCGCAACGCTGCCGCCTTGCGGCCTCGCCATCGGCCAGAATCGCGCCTGTTTCAATGTCATACCAATCCCAAGTCGCTCGCCGGGAGCGGTATATTTCTGAGCTCAATTCACCACGCGCGACACCGCCGACACCATGCTCACGCGACCATCGCAGTAATTGGCACAGGCCAAGCCAGGAGGAAACGCCGACCACAACGAGAACAATAGCACGACCACGGTCAGGCCGGCGCTGCAGGACGAAGGACATCACAGCCTGTTCTCGATCATCTTTCACTGTAGCCTAGTCCTTGGCTCTCTTCCCGTACAGACACTGACTTCCCTCACTGTCCGGACAGATCACAGAGTGTACGGCCGAGGCTATTTTTGAGCCATGCTTAATATCAGTTCGACGAACCTGCACAAAGCCCATTTGATGAAATCAATCTCAGGAAGTTAGCTAACGAACTGGCCACGTGCACCCGCTCCCCGTGGTTCTCCGTCCCAAGGTCTTCAGATTCATTTTCCACCCTGGTCACCGGAGCCCGGCAGTCCGATCACGGAATACCGACGTGGATTGCATCATAGACGATATCTCGAGTGCTCGGCAGCTACAACCTGATGAGTACCAACAACCAGCTACGGCAGCACCTTGGTGTCCCAGGCGACGCCACGTGGACCGGACAGGAACTGTAACGATCAACCCCACGAACAGCTATCTCGCGCATGCCAGAACCAGATCAGCCACGCATGTCAATAACATCCTGACCGATGACGTCACTGTAGCTACAGGACAAGGCGCTCTGACTGCGCCCTCGCGGACCGGGACCGCTCTCACTAGCTCATGCGTATTCATCGGCCAGGCTCATGCGCGCGAACACATAGACGAAAAGGTCGACAGAACAAGCTGGCTCCCAAGATGTCTCTTGCAAGTTGCATGGGGCGTAAGGTCAATTGAGAAGGACTTGTCATTCCAACAGACTAGAATGCAACATTGGCAGAAGTGGTCAACGGCGCAGAACCACTGTATGTCATCTTTATACGCTCCCCCAACAGCAGTCATCAAGGTAAGTTCCTGGGAAAAGAGGACCTGCACATCCGGGGTCTAGGTCTTGCCAGGTGAAATAGTCCCGACAATATACTCCAGCCCGGTGCCGCGAGCGGCTCCAGCGAGCGGCATGGCAACACGTGCTAAAAGAGTGTTGAGACTAAGGAAGGCCGCGAGTTGGCCGCGTAAGCAATTGACGGCATATATGCCCCAGGGATCAAAGCACGTGCCTGCAAGTAAGAAAGAGGTATATCATTGTTTGCATAACAGCACGCAGTGCGCAGGACCAACATGCGTCTCCGATGCCGGCCAACCTCCCATCCCCTCTTCAGGATCAGTGACCTCCCAAAACAGGCAGCTCAAATATCGTATCAACGACGGCGAATCGGGCAGCGGTCCGTTAAGCAGCCCAGCCTCTTCTGCTAGATATGCGGGGGGGAGGGGGGGGGGCGCTTCTTCACAGCCCCAAACAAAGAACAGAGCACAAGTAATTAGGTACAACAATAAAAGCTTTCGGCTGCAGTCCTGCTCTTGGATATCGAACGCCACTGAGGATAAGACTTGAGGCTAAGCATGATCAGATTTGGATGCTCAGTTTTGATGGCAGACGACGGAGCGGGCTTTGCTGTCTATTGCTGGGGAAATTACTTTACGAAGCCGCAACTCTACCACTCGCGATCATAATCGACCTGATGGAAACTTGACCCTCCGAGTTTCCCGAACCAGGTTCTGAACCGATGACTGGCTCATCTGAATCTTAGCGGTAATCCTTCTCCGTAGCACTTTACAATCACCACAGGGACAATACATTCAATGTTATGAGCGACCTCCCCGCGTTAGGCGCCCAATACAGCAAACATCCTGCGCCTGTCATTGCAAGGACAGCCCGGTGGTTCTCGATAATTGATGTGGCGCAAGGCGCGAGGATCGACACTAGGGGAAGAAGCCAGTAGACTAGGAAGACAGCAAATATGGATGAAAGTCCGTAGTCAAACTGCCCTCTTTGTATCACCTCCTTGCACATGTGTAGCGATGGCCGCCCTCGGTCGTAAGCCTCCACGTACTGCCAGGGGTAATAAAAGATCGAAGCATATGCAGCGATCAAGACGATTGAGCTCAAGTGGAATCCGAGCGATGAAATAGCTAGGAAGCCAAACGAGAACAGCCACAGATACATCATCGTGGCAGATGGTAATTGCAAGATGTCAAAAAGCAGAAGGACAGGGCAGAGCAAGCTGAGCCAAGACCAGAACCTGAGGTTGTCGTACAAGAAGATCACTATACGTATGGTCGTAGCTAGGAGTATTCGAGCCGCTCCCTCATAATATGTCGCCAGCACTGCGACGTGTCGCTTTTGCCAGGAACTATTATGCCCGAGGAACCCCACTCTCAGAGCAGTCCACAGGTGGCCAAGTCGTGATGGGCCATGGCGGATGTCGATAAGAAGAAGGGGCTAACCCGCAACGTTGTCAATTGTGAGTTCAGCGGAAATCAGACCAGCAGACGTCGTGACAAAGTCTGGTCTCGCTCTTATTATGTCGCCTAGAAGGTCGCTTTCTTCGAACACCGGTGCCGCACTGTCGGAAAGTGACATGCTGATATTGGAGAAGCACCGCCTCGACACCGCTCTGAATAAAACAAAAAGGTTGGAGAGGTACACTGGCAGAGGGCGCTGTTGGTATGGCCCACGAGTCACACAGATGGAAACCCTGGTTCCATCTGGTGCCTGCAACGAGAACTGAAGCTGTGCTTTCAAATCACAACTCCAGGACCGCGCTCGATCGCCTTCTATAAACCCTTTGGAGTCCGCACTTAAGTCTTGTCCTGGGAGATCCAGGATGGCGAAACCATCAGGCACAGAGCGCACCCAGACGTCGCATTGGACATTCGTGGATCTGAGCCGTTGGCCGGTGGCCGTTGAACCACCATGGGTAGCCAGGACAATGTCCTGTCGCGGCCACTGATGCCATTTCGGAGGAGAAATGAATGTTCTGTGATCGTTCCGTCACCTATCAGCGCGCCGCATGGAAGATCCACTCTTCAGTCAGCCGGAATGCGGAGGATCAAGAGGCGACGCCTTCGGGGTTCTGGAGGCTCATGCGCAGAAGCAAGCTTACGGGAGGACTTGGTAACTTGTTGTAACTGAGAGCGCTGCCTCATAGTCAATTGCCCTGCCGCAAAACCTTGTGACCCTGTCATGCGAGCTTAGTACTGCCAAGAGCATTTCAGCACACGGATGGCAATCAGATATAGCTGGCACTGGTGAAGGCACCTGGGTCCCGGACAGCAGAGCGTCGCCTCAGAGCCTGGGTTGTGGAAATTGCTTATTGTGGGCGCAAGAGAGCATACTTTCAGCTGTCACTTCTGCAACTGCCTCTCATCCATGAGAACGTGCCAGTAGAGTCAAGCTGAGGGGGCAGACCAACACTTGCGTCTCTCTGCCACCGAGGCACTAACTTCCTGGGAAGTTCTCGCCCCACGCTCCTCCTTTTCCCCACACCTTCTTGGCATCGCTGCTCACCCAGTTGAAGTTGAGATCAGCACCCCGCACAAGATCATCGAAGTCATGCTGGGAGACTTAAAGATACATGGCTATAATCCACCCTGTTTTGTACCTGCGCCAAAGTACAGCCTGCGGTGCAGAATGATGAGTACATCTTCAGACCGACCTCAGGCTGTAGTGGACATATGGTGGTCTATGGCTGTCCAGATAGCGCAGCTTAGCGGACCTACCCCGCTTTGACGTCCCCTAAGGAACCTCATCTAACCACTAAATGACGCCCTTGGGGCGGGTGGTTATTCTAGTCCAAAATATGACGAGACTCTCTCCGCCCGACAATGGGAGACTATCAATGCCTTAATAAACTTGCACCAAGAGCCACCTCTGCCTGGGTCAAATTATGTACCCCAGCGTAATGGAGCTTGTTGTTATGGATGGCAAAGCAATGTTATTTGTGTAACTATCGCGACTGTAGACGCTGTCATGAGAATTTGAATCTGTCTGGTTGAAGAGTGCTTCAAGCAGTCCTCGGTAGTCCCGTCGTGGGTTGCAGCTGCCCTGCCCAGGCGTCCACAATCCCACCTATTCCGAAGATGTGGAAAGCTGGCTTGTGCAGTCATTTGCCTCCGTGCTTCGAGGTTGCGAAGCGTTCGCTACACCTTGCCACTGAAATTACCCAAAGTCCATCCGGTTACCAAAGCTCCGAAGCCGTCGTACAAACACACGATGATCATGTCAAGTTTCCCCTATTTCTCGAGCCCTGGAACGAATAGCAGTCGGAGCATGGAACAACAGCAAGGAACAGGCGGACAAGTACGCTTGCATGGACCAGCTGATTCGACTCGATAGGCGTGCAGACACTTGTGACCAAGTAGGAGGAACCAAGAGCCACGAAAAGGATCCCACGCAGGCCGTGATCGTCAGTCTCGTATGTTGTATCTGTTGCCGCAGTAGCGGTATCTATTTTCGTGCTTTTGTCGGGACTTTGACGAGGTCGCGGGGGGGCAATGATATCTTTGAGTCCCAGGCCTATTGTCACGGCTATGTGGACGACCATTATAGGTGGAATATCGATAGAGCTGATGATGGTGGTTGACAATGTCGAGCCATCCTGGCAACCCATCCTTACAAAGCTTGGCCCGTCGTCAAATGTTTCTGCTCCGTAGAGATTCGCGGCACGCCTCCATTTCTCCAGATCCAAGGTCGAGACGAACTCGATTTGCGAGGAGCCAGAAGCCGCCTGCTCGGCGTGATACAATATCCCGAAGCAGGCGTACTCGTTGAATGGATCATTGCTGGTGTCCGTTGGCCGGTCCTCTCTGTGCTGGACGGGAACTCGCCGTTGGTGGTCTCGCTGGTCGAGTCGTGAGTCAGGCTTGACACGATCATAGTGATATCTGCATGTCTGTTTCAATCTTTCGTGACATGTGGCATGTCGTACGGCTGACTCCGAAAGAGCTCCTTCATGCCGGTTTGATCGATGAAATAGTCCTTGACCGACTTGTGGATGAACTGTACTTTGGGCTGATGACCTCTCGTTGCTTCAGCTAGTCCTCGCGATGTGCTTGTGATGAAACGTGTGAGGACCTCGTCCGTGACACTATCGGCGTCCCATGACGCATAGCTTTCTTCCGACCTTGGATCGAGCCCTATCATCATGGCCTGATAGTACTCCTCGGGCGACAGGGGCGCTGACGCGTAAGAATTCACTGGACACAGAGCTTGAATTCCTCGATGTCTCTCTGATCTCTGTGGATCATGTCCCTTGAAGAGGTCGCCAAGTCCAGGTGGTAATCGCTCCAAGCGCTCTGCCAGTCTGGAAGCGTCAACACGGCCCTGCCTCAGATCTTGCGATAGCAGATTGAGCACCAATACTGCCCACAGGAAGACACCTTGTGCCTTTTGCATGATCGTTCTTTCAAGGCACTCCTGGAGCCCTACGGGCCAACCTGAGAGCTCCGACTGGACGTACCGCCGAAGGTCCCGGGCGTGGCCCTCCTGCTCATCTAGAACGATCTGCAGCCCGTTGCGCATGTCGACCACGGGATAAGGCCGACTGGAGAAACAGATGCGGAGAGAAACAGCATTTGCGAAAGCGGTTCTGGCCTCCTGTTGGAAACCCTTGACCATCGCCAGGCCTTCTTCCTCGTCGCACTCGTCTAGAGCATCAATAAACAGTGTCACGCACAGCGTCCGTAGCATCGATACTGCTTTTGTCAAAAGGTTGCGGAGCTTGTTGAGCGACCAGGTGGGACTTTCGTGACTCTCGAGCACAGCCTGGAGCTGTGGGACCTCCCTCAGTAGCTGGAACAGGATTGAGCGGTACATGCCAGGCGTTGACCGCTCCAACTCGCCACCCCGGGCGTGGAAGAAGAATGACAGAACGATATGGTCGGATCCCGCCCCTTCCCGAGTGGTCTCGAAAAGGTACTTCATAATAGTGGACTTCCCGACGCCGGCCTTGCCTCTGATCCAAAAGAAGCCATGGTGTGAGAATAGTTGACTGGGGTCCAACCAATCGAGATAGGATGGATGCTGGGTGATCCATCCACAAGTGTCGTCCTGAGGGTCGGTGATGTCTTCGTATCGGGAGTCTATCTGTGCGAACCAGAGACTTTTGAAGACTTCGCGCTGGCGCTCCATGTGCGTTGCCCACTCTAGCACCGGGATCACGACGTTGGTGCTTGGAGTGAGTTGGACGGCTTTCGGCTTGTTTTACGCACCTGACTTCTCGGCCTCGCTACCGCCAGCCACGGCAGCCGGTCGTGCAACTGTAGCAGTGTGCAACAGAAACAGTTTCGCAAACACCGCCGCTGCGGCTGATGCATAGTCCTGCCACTCCTTCTTTTTGTGAGAGTCTGCGTAATCGCAAATGCCTCTGATGACGAGACTTGGAAAGTCGTGCTTGAGACCAGCGGCCTCCATCTCGATGCAAAGAGCACCATGTGTCTTTCCAATGCGGTCGCGTAGCCTCGCGTTCTTGAAAACCTGATCGCCAGAGGCAATGGTGCCGTAGTGCACTACCGGCCCATCACCGTCCCGCCGCTTTCCCCTGATGGCCAATCTCGAGCTGTCGCATATCTCACAGCCTCTTGTATTATCCTTGTGCTCGTAATTGCTCTGGTAGAGTCCATCAAAGAGCCTCTTCCGATCAAGGAGGTGCCAAAGTGACGGATGAGTGTGTCGCAAATCTTCGAGCTTTAGGCCGATGGACTGCGGTTCAAGCGAAGCCCGCATAAGTGATAGTGTTGATCCGATAGAGCTGTGCAGGCTATATATCGTGCTTGTGTGCAAGAATTCTCCGCCTTTGAGCTGCTTCCCGAGGTCATGCTGCACGATCCGCTGCCCAACAACGACGTCGCCCAGCCTGACGTCTGCGGGGAAGGGAACTCCACTGGCGATGCCGACGAGCAGAAACACCTGGATGCTGGGAAAGCTGCGTCGCATGTGGACGGCGACATTGGCAGCGCTGTTGTTGCCGTAGTCCCCCGAGGGCAGGCATGCCAAGACGACGTTGTGATGGTGGATGCGCCCAAAGGCATAAGTGTTGTGATCGTCACTGTCGCGGGGGAGAGTCTCATGCTGCTAGTCGAGGCAAGCCAGGGCGGCTCGCGGCTCAAGCGGGAGAGCACTCACCCAGCCTACGCTGTACTCGTCTCTTCGCGGCAAGCGCTCTGGCTGCGTTGGACGGCAACCTCTGAGTCCAGTCGCCATCTTGGACCGGTCCATGTCTTGGGGAGTGGTTGAGGCGTCCTGGATCCTGGCCGCTGACACGCGCCGTAACCAACCTGGGTGGCACGGAAGTGATTGTCGAAAGCGCGGGCCAGATGATGAATTGGAAGGTATGAAGATGGGAGGCCTTGCCACGCTGTCAGTCTGACCTTATGCAGGTTGGTTCAGCCCAACAGTCAGCCCTGACCCCTCTTTCTGCTACTCGCAGACAGGGAGGGGTATCCCAGGCTTCATGACATTGACATGGGCGGGAAGGTCTGTCTCACAATGATTGGACAGCGGTTGTGCCGAGTTCACAGGCGACAGCGGGCCAATGAGTCTGATGGGTAAGGAGGTGGAGGGTATACGGGTTTGAGACGGTACACCGTCAAGCCCCAGGCCACCACAGAACATCGTAATCCTTCGAACAGTCCCACACTTGCGCAGCGGTGTCGTGACTGTCTGCTGTGAGTGCTGAGTTTGAAGGTCGAGATAGTTACTAGTCAAACCCCCATTTGTCGTAAAAGGATGCCAGGGGATCTTAGGAGAGACCGGAGCTAACATTGGGTGACCAACAACAGTATTCATTTCGCTCGACTCTGTGGGATTCTATTCACATCTTAGAATATGTCTATTGCGATTGACAACGGCAGGGCAAGAGGAAAAGAGGAAGAAGAGTTCAACAGAATCAAGCAGTCTCAGCAATCATGTCCAACACTTGCCAACGAGAAGCGATGCCAGCGTGATCCCGCTCCGCCGTTGCCACCACGGCGATGAATTCCTGCGCCTCGTCGCCGTCGAGGGTGATGACGATCTCGTCGGCGCTGTCCTCGTCGGCGTCATCGCGGCTCCCGGTCCTGGTCGAGGGCTGCATGAGGCAGTAGGATGCGGCGCCGTAGCCTGGCGCGACCTTGCGGATACGATCCGGCGCCCGCGGCGCAGGGAAACAGGGGAAACCCCAGCGGATCGGCATCGTCTTGTCCCGCGTGCTCTGGCCCATGAAGCGCCAGGTGTTGAAGAAGAACGCATAAGGGTCGGCCTCGTCGGCGCAGAGGTGGATGCCCTGCGGACTCCCGCCTGTGCGGAAGTAGTCCTTGAACGCCTGTTCGTGCATGTGAGTAAAGACGGGAAGATGCGCAGTCTTGATCGCTTTGCTGATGTGAATCTCGAGCTCGCGAACCTCGGCAGGGTCGTCGAGGGCTCGGAGCAGGCGCGAGACGGAGTACGAGGTCTTGCTATAGATGGCGTGGTTGCCCAGCTCGTCGTCCGCGCGGCTCAGCCCGACAGCAAAGAGCAAGTGAGCCAGAGGCTCCTGCTCAGGAACTGGCATGTAGATAGTTCCTGGCTGCTTCTGGAGCCGCCCTGCACGGTGCCTCGCGACCATTGTCAAGATCCAGGCCTGTGCAGCCCTCTTGCAGAACCTCGAGCACGAGTAGGCGACCTTGGTGGCCTTGTGAGGCGTCCACACCCGCAGGAGAAGTTGGGTCTTGGGGCCAGGAGATACGACGGTGACTTTGCGAGCAAGAGGCCCTGACTCGTAGCCGTCTGCGATGTAGGCACAGTGCTGGTCGAAGAGGGCCTGGTCGTCTTTGGAGGGACCTGTTGTACCGGTGGAACCAGGCGAAGGAGTCGTGAGATCTGCTCGTAAGGGCTCCTTGCGGTCGATCTCCTCGAGTCGAAGCTGGCGGTGGTTGAAGCCATCCTTTTGACCACAAGTCGTAGCTGCGAGAGTCTCAATGAGATACTGGCACGAGAGACCATCCGCGACAGTGTGGTGCAGGAAGGTGACAACTGCAAAGCCGTCCCGGTACCAACACAGGGCTACGCGGAAGACGGGGTCGTTGCCGGCGAGGGGCATTGCAAACTCGGGTCTTATGCAGTAGCTAGGGCCGTAGTGCTTGTCCTCGAGATGAGCAAACGAGACCTGTCGATAGTCGATTTCCTTGACACTTATCTCGTGGAGCTCGGGCAGGGGTTGAAGGCGCAAGTGGATAAAGCCTGTCTCGTCCTCACAGAGGACGCCACCCAGGGACGGCTGGATAGAAATCAGGTCCCTTATCGCTTGCTGCAGATGGACCCTGATCGCTCGAGTATCCTGATCGACTGAAGTGCGGAAAAAGTGAGCAACGGTGACATAGCACCGAGGCGCGATTTGACAAAATACCGATGCTAGGGGTGGCATATTGACGCTTGGAGGGCTGGGATGCAGCTTATCCGTGTGCGGTCAAACCTCCTTCCGTAGGCGAGTGCTGGATGGAAAGAGTGGAACCGTCTGTAGGTTGGTACAGCAGATGTTGGTCAAAGAAAATATCATTGAGGCGTATATAATTGATATGTGAGGGATACCGCCGCTGACAAAAGTATGCGACTTGAAGTTGTCTACATATAATATTTGGGAAATCTTGCTCGCGGACTAGGAGAGAGAGTCTTTCAGAAGGGTGTCTTTATAAGCAGGTTCAGAGCTCGGATTGACCGATGACACGAGGACAAAGCCTTCAAGTTGTGATCATGTGAATGTTGTGGAGTATTGACTTTCGCAATGTGGGGCACCGTCACGTCGGTTAGAACACCGACACAGCGGAACAGTAGATCTACACAGCAGGGACCAGCCCGGGGTGATTGAGAGTTGGACGGAAATGCGAGACGAAATAAGAACCACGTGTGTGGGTGCACAAGGGTCGCGGGATCGCGGACGAGCATACGCGGCGGCTAATGGTATGCGGGAGGGCCTTCAATGCGCGAGAAGGAGGGGTCCCACAGTTGTGACAGCGTCCTTGGTGTTGCCCGAACGAATAGGAGTCTTTTCCGTGGCCGACTAGGTTACTCAGACCGCCACGATCTTCACCACGTGGTTGGAAATTCCTGACAGGGGTTGACAACGAGGTGTCGAGTTCCGCGGGATAGTGGCCGACTTTTTCCTGTAACCGCTGCCGGGGAAGTTGGTGGTCAGAACCCGGAACACTGCCGCGGTTCTTCCGGTTGGCTAATGTGGACCAAGGACCGGGGACCAGGGGCAACACCGGTGTAGGAGATCTCTAGATACGTTACTTCAGAGATGCCCACAGGCCCCGCAACCACTCGCGAGGGGCTTTAGCAGCATTGCAGAGCGAGATGTCATTATGCAGCGAATGTAAGATAATACTTGTTCAACTGTGTCTCGGTCTGGAAGATGTCCTTCGCACCAATTGGAACCCTTCGGGACCTTTGCAGAAGCAAGCTTTTGCTTTCTGCTCATGTATGCCCTTGTCTCCGGCTTTCGGCACTCAGGGAGGCATTGCTTCGCCGCTATTCCCGGTCGATGTCTCCACTGTTCTCCCTTTATCGTGCGGGGGGCGTACCGTCCGGGGTCCGGAGTCGGAGCAGTCCGACGACTGGTCATGGCTGGTTCGCAACGGCTAGTTGCGGGACCCCGGCGGCACGCCTTTTCAAGTACAAGGCACCGCTCCTTTCGCGTGGTGACCTGCCCTCTTTGAAGTACACGGCACCAACCGGCACAGATAAGACGCAAGACCCTGAGATCATCGGCAAGGTCGGCCATTGCGTGTCCGTTGCTTGAAGATGCGGTCATCCTGAATATGAATGGAATAGACCGTGAGAGCTAGCTGTAACAGGTTCGTCAATGGCTTTCGACAGGTGAAATGGAACATGGCCAAGGTACACGTGCGGGGTCGCGTGGAGAGAATGAGAATCCGGCCCATATCGGAAGTCCTTCAATTCAATAAGTGAAGGAATGCGATTAAACGCTGAGGAGCACGAAATGGCTATGATGACCGCCCCACCTACCTGCACGCGCATCATTGTTCGTCACCCTGGCATTGCCAAGAAAAGGTGGGTCGTGCTTAAAGAAAGTTATGGTTTGCTAAGGTGGACACCGATTTCGAAGTCGACTGTACTAGAGCCTTGAAATTCTGTATAAAGTAGTCTCTTAGGTTCTTGGGACGCAAGTGGGTAGGTTTGACTAAATAATGGATTACATGCCCCTCAGGGTTCAATGCCCGTTTGGGACGATGACTTACATAGACGACATTCTATGCACTCACTCTAGCGGAGACAGTATATCATGGCATTGTTTGCAGGAACCTCAATATCTACTACTTGTCATGGGTGAAAGAAGGAGGCGAATCATCCGCGTCGCTATGTACCAACGGACCTTCTTCTCCAGGAGAGCGCTCAATCGAACGTATTATAACCATGTACGATGATTTCCGCACGGGATCTACACTAGCTGCTGTCAAATGGAGAAATATCGAAGAGCCCACATGGGAGGATCTCAGGACTCTAGTAGAGAGAGGAAGCCAAACAGCGAAAGACAAGACACTTGCCTATCAAAAGGAGATAGTTCTACGTGAGAGGGAATACCTTGGCGATACTCTCATCAAGAGGTCTCTTAACCAGACCGCGGAGCCCGCGTGGTGACGCAAGAAGTGTCGCCGAAAACAGAACAAATCAATCAAATACAGTTAGGCCATAAGGATTTTTCGGTTAGGCAGAATGAGTTGTCTTCCCAATATCCGAGTATAGTACGCCTTCGCGCCTTCACGAATGAAGAATGATTGTAACTGCATACCAGCTGTGGGACAACTGAGACAACCAGTAGTGCGGGGTTAATCCCGAGGACCCACCATAGAGATAAGGTAATCAGGGACCCATTCAATACTAAGGACCACTCAATTACCAGGATCAAGCTATCCAAGACCACAGTAACCACGGTGGTGCATTGATTACAGCGGGCTCAAACATCTTTATAAAATTCTGATAAGAAGGAGCGGTGCATATAGTCCCGATCGTTTTCTGGCAGCAAAGCCACTATATTGTCTCAGTACCTAGCCTCAGCGCCGCCGTTCCAACCCTTATCGATCTTGTCAATCAACCGACCCTCTCCTAAGGTACTTCCAAACCCCAGAGGCGCCGCAGCAACTAGGGAGTTAGAATCGTGTAGACTAGTCCTTTTGGAACCTCAAGCCCCTGGCTGATGGTCGATCCTGGGGGCGGGATCATGACGTGTAACACGGAGGAGATATCGTAAAAGCATATGACGAAAAGTGCCAGACTACGTTACAGAAACAAAGATCATCAAATCACACCATGAGTGGCCCTCACAATACAATATAAAGATAAGTCATAGAAGCCAGTTTAAACAGCACCACTATGGGATTCAGCATCACTCTCCATAACGACAGGCTGCAAGATATCTGGCCCTCTTTCCATTTTGCTTCTGGTGTTCAAATGCAACCTATTCTCCCTGGTGTTCTCCGGCCAAATGGATCGTACACGGCTCTCCTCCAGGATGAGGCCAATGCTGGCCGTCTTTGGGCAAGACAATACTGCGAGGATGGGCTAACTGTGCGATAGGAGACTGCGGATCATCGACTGCTGGAGTCATGCTTCAGATAACACGACACTGTTCGAGTTCACACTGAATGCGAACACGTTTTGATATGATATAAGTCTAGGTAGGTAGCAGATTCGGGCTTTTAGCCTGGAGTTCTATTGATTGACCTGTAAAGGTGGACGCTTTCACCTGCGGTATCACCGTCGTTCCTGAAGTGGAAGACGGCATGAGGTGTAAAACTATTGCATGTCCGTATGAATCTATACTTGGTACGTCTCATCAACCTCCCCTTTGCCCAAAAGAGAACTTGATACTTGAAAAAACTGCAACAGGACAAGCGACGACAGCGCCGTATTGCCTCTCAGATTGTAGGTTATACGGATCCGATGAATACTGTTGTAGGGGCGGTACGCCACAGTCGTGTCAACCAAGCAGTACATGGTTCAAGAATGTGAACGCATGCCCGGATGCCTATAGTTATGCTTTTGATGATGCATCGTCGTTGTGGGGCTGCGACGTGCAAGACGTGAACCATATCTCTGTCCGTTTTAATTGTCCTTAGCATAGACATAGGAATAGTTGTAGGCAATAGATAACATTGCATTATTAGTGCCGTGTCCGAGGTCCAGGAGGAGAAAGGAACCACGAATCTGCAAAATATTGTGTTCGGGCCGTGCGTTTATACTCGATTAGGGATTTGTTCATACAGTGGTACTATTACACCTTGATTTTCCACCTAATTGAACTTTGCACCTGAGCTTCGTTTTCTTTGCCTACCGCGTCGAGAATGCCATAATGAGCCATTCCTTCACGAGTGCGGCATTATTAGTTCGGTATTAATGCAGCTGGCACCCCCCTCCAGAATCGTGTTTAGTCCCATCTGGGAACGCCCTCAATCGGGCTCCTGGACCAGAGTGAACCTCGCCGGCATTACCGCTGTATCTGGCAAGCGGTGAACTGCCTTAAGTCATACCCTTTAGTTATAGTGGTTGTTTCGTCCCCTATTAGAAGAAGCTGCCCCCGTAAGATAATATGCCCTCGAATATAACGATGGATCGAATATCTTAATAGCTGTTTGCTTAATTTTACCCATTAGCTAACCTCAAGCCTACGGTCGGCTGAAGCACCACAGACAGCGTCCCTATCCCTCAATATATTATCGTGTAAGGACGATAAACCATAAGGTAAGTCAGGTAGCAGTCGGGATGTCTGGTAGGGGGTTGCACTTAGAGTTCTAAGTTCTCGGGACCGGAGCGCCCGCGTTTCGGTGTCGTGGCGACAAGCCCAGTGCAGCCCCCAGTGTCCCACTGTCTGCACGTCCGTACCATGGTACTTGTAGCACAGTTGTGCAAATTGTGCATCCCCACCATATCGACACCAATCGGTGCCAGGCCTACATCACTCAATCAGCGCCTGTGGCTTTACATCTCGTCACTCTACAGCGGCTTAGTCAAGCAATCCTTTGACAACAAGAAGTTCTTGTAAGATCAATTTGATGAGTTCTGAGCCCCTACGAATGACTGGGAGTTTACCAAGAAAACATAAGACCGACCCAGAGACTAATTATCTATCCGTGCCTAGCACCTGAAGGGATGCAGGCCTCTCAAACCCCGTCTAGATCACCTTTATGTCTGCCAGCGTGTTTCACAGCCTTTGAAGACTGCGCATCCGACCTCGGACGAAAACAGGTCCAATGAAAATGCCCCTGACCAAAAGTCTACGCACAAGCGGCTAGTTGAGTTTCGTGTTTGGCTCGAGCGGGTGAAGACCCTTGTGGCCTGGTTGGTGAGCAGGTGAGGCCTCTCGTACAACCATACCCATAAGCGACCGCACCATTCTTATTGTGCTACTTTCGGGATCTCATTTTGGCATACTCCTTGTTCAATGTGTTTGTGTGAGCCTTCTGGCTTGCATGTCTTTTTGGTTTGGGTTTGTTTGAACCCCACTTGAGGTTTGCGGGAACCGTGGGGGTTTGTTTGGGGTTGTTCGGGTTTGTTTGTGTTTTTTGGGAACCCCACTTAAGTTCGTGAGACCCCTGGGGGTTTGTTTGGGTTTGTTTGTATGCCTTGACTTCTTATTAGGTGGAGTTGCATTTCCTCCGACCTACTGTCGACCATTGGACGAATGTAGCCATAACAGTTGTGGAGTTAAATGTTGGCGCAAAAGCTATTTCGTAAGTCTACTGATTGTTGTCCAAGTCATCGAAACCTTTATAGGATGGTGAGGCTCTTCGCTGTTTGCACTTGGATCACACAAGCAGTCCTAGGCCGGCAAGTCCTAGTGCTGTGGCCCCGACACGACGACAATGGATTGCGATAATCTCCTGGAATGGATGTCACGCTTCAACAACCAACTGAACAACATTTGCGAAAAGGTCAACAATCTTCAAGGCGACCTTCAGATCCTTCGTCACGATGTGCAACGACTATCTTCTCAACGACACACAATTGTGAGGGCAGAGGCCCCACTCACGCCAAAAACACGAGGAAAAGTGAGGCTTTACTATCCGGATGGGACAAAGTCTCCTCCCATACCATATGTAACGCACATCCAATTCGCCTTTTTTAAGAACGGCAACAACCCGATGCCTCTCAAGTCCTTGTATCAATGGTTGACACTACACACGGATGTCCATGATCTAAACAAGTCATCATGGCAGAACAGTGTCAGGCACAACTTGAGTCTCAACAGTGCTTTTTGGAATGTCAAGGACGAGAAGGTGTGGTACGTCGATCCAAACACAACCGTAGCATTGCTACACAGTGAATATTGGCAGTACTTCCTTAAGGCTTTCCCTGGCTTTATGGACGATACAAACTTGTCTGTGCACCCGGCACTGTTAGAACAGCCATCAACGTCGCACAATGCCAGATTTTATCCCTTCGAAAAGGACCTTCTCGGGGGAAATATAGACGAGGCCATTTATAGAAATATCTTGAATGAGCTAAGCACGTGCGATCAGGACACTGATGGTTCTATGAGCCTGGTTACGCAGAGTCACGGTTACCTATTATGAGTTGGCCATACTCGGTCTCACCCAGCATTAGGACTTTCGTTTTACTCGGACTTTAGTTTCTCCTACCCTCTTTCCGTGCTCGAAACGTCATCTTTAGCTTTATTCATGCGACTCCTTGTCTGGTTGGATGCATCACCCCTCTGTCATCAGGGCCTCTCCTTAGGAGTAGTCAGGCAACAGCGAGATTTAACGACATTCAACGCGTTGTCCTTAGACGGCTACGTGACCGCAGCACGATTTGGGATAGTGTAACGAGAATGCGGACTGATTGTGGGCTTCCCCAAATGGCAAGCAGATGTTGCTGGGGACTTCTTGTAGGTGATTACGATGGCGCCATCGTCGAAGCTGAAACTCTTTCGCCAAACCTTCCGCCGGGCGTCGCTTCTGACGTGTTTCATATGTTGGTATAGTATCACCAGGGTTTTCGTCCCCATGCCCCGACGACTGAAGAATCTTCCACGTTCAAGAAGGGATCACAGTATTGCGAGGGGCAAATGACTGCATTGCAGCCCACACGGAGCTGTTGTACGGTGTAACCGGCAAATGCTAGACGAAGGCACTTCGCGGCGAGGAAGCCCTTTCACCAGGAAAAGGCAGGCCCAGAATGCTATGTCATATCTGTCGCTAATAGCTTAATAAAGGTAGGGGTTGTAGGTCGCTGGTCAAAAGGGTATTGTTACCCATCGCGCGGTGACGGTCCCTCATCCCCTCTGTCCGCAAATAAGACTATTCCTCGTCGGTTCTCTATCTCGGGGATTGCGACTCCCTTCATCAGACGCAAAGTGGAGACTACTGGCCTGGGGATGGTTGCCCAGCTCCGTCTTGGTCTGACACTCTGGCATTGGCTGTCCCTGGCACCTTGCGGCATACACCTTCCACTCTACCGAGGTATCTATGCTCGTGATATACGTCACTTGAATCACGCCTTGCCCATCACAGTGGTTCTGAGGCCAGGTGTACATCAACGGCGTCGGAGCACCTGTGATTAGCCACACTCAACACTTTCGGTTGAGTGGACGTAGAAAAGCCTTGAGCGCAGCACTCTGGTCACCGTTGACTCTTCCTCCTCCAGCCAGTGGAAAGACCTTGTTCTGCTGCCTCGAGTAGTTCTTGAGCGCCTTGATAGTTGGGAAAGTCTTGAGATTGCGAAGGAGCTCATTCGCTGAGGTATTAGAGTTACGAGACGCGATCGAGTGTCGAGCGCAGTACACGAGGTCGAAAATGTTTACATTGATTGCCTGTAGGATCTGAGACGTGCGGAACACAAAGCGTCAGCTATACTGCGCCACAAAAAGACGCAGCACTGGGCCGGGAGAGGGGAGATGGGATGAGGCTCACCTTCTTGCAACTTGTGATGGACCGTCCAACCTCTCCTCCAGTGACCACGGCACGGCATAGCGCCTGCCATGCAGCCAGATCATTACTACTGCCGTACATATCCTCCAGCTCTATGTCGATCGCCTTGTGAAAACGCTTGCTTGGAGCTTCGATCTGTTGGTAGCTCTTGCGGTCGCCATGGCACTTTTTGAGCTGCGTAAAGCTGAGAGAGGGCAGAGTCAGTGGGTCGTATTTAAACCCCTCAAACGACTGAAAGAAGCGATCCAATGGAGTCTCCATATCGACGTCCGGGGAGGCAGGTTCCAGAAAGACGATAGCAGTCCATAGTGAGTCCTCGCTGGTAGGTGTAAGTTCTAGATCTGACGACGACGAAGGGGTCCAACGGCCTGTGGCGTCCGCATGCTGGCAGCGAGCGGTTAGTAGAAGTCCTGGCCACAACGTGGACATGTGTGCGCCATATTACAGGTTTTCGCTGAAATGTGGCCTAGATCGTGAAGTACTTGCCTTGGCCGAACGGCGCGAAGTGTAACGAACTCACTTCCGCAGGAGCTTTACGGCAAAATCACAGGGACTTGTCAGGCGATACCCTCCGGAAAGCGTCGGGCGACAGCAAGCTTTTCGTTCGAATCTAAAACATTAAGCCTGCTCGTGTGCTGCGCCAACCTTCTGTCGCAGTGGCCTGGAAACCAGCTAATTGCTAGGCGAACAAAACACCGACCTTTGGTGCAAGCGCCCTTACACCGCGGAATGTTTGTGTGCCATGGCCCTGTTTGTCGTGCTTCGTTGGTGTGTACAATCCGCCGGACCACAACAATACTCCCACCTCTCATCCCGGCCTTCTTACCAATCTTGCTGGATGGAACCCCCTCCCGCCCCCCCACCTCGGTGGTCCGCCACCAGGACAAAGTGCTGAGGCTCATCATCATCTGTGCAACATAAGCCGAGTCCGATGCCGGGGCAGCCATGGGCGTCACACCCATGAGTTCAATCGCGCATACGTAGGAAACTGTACATCTCGTCTGCATTGCCTCGGCGGCAGGGGGTGTGAAGGACTACTTAGTGTGGCAGCCGACTTTTGTGCTGAGCACGCAATCCAGCTATAAGTTTTATTGTTATCCCTGTTGTTGTTGTCGTTGTTGTTGTTGTGCCAGGGCTTCAATATCAGTTAAGAATCTCGCTTAATGCTGTCACTATGTAGCGTACGCGTGTTGGTAGCAAGACAATGGTGCAACCTAGTGATAGCAGATTGTGGGGATCGCGATCGGCTTACAAACGTCAAAGATCGTCGCGCAACGATTGAGCTCTGGTAAATGCCGCACTTGGAAACATTGCAGGACGTGGACGTCGAGCACTGCAGAGCATCGACGTGTTCTGCCAACTTCAAATCCTGATCAGAAACCCTCAAGCGTCACGGCTTCACAATTCAAAACAGAAGAGGTTCCGCCGCCGGAGACGGGGCCTCTTGTGCTATCATTTGTATTACTTGCATACACGTAGTGAGCTAGTCGCTGATGAAACCTTATTATAGTAGCAAAGACACCTCCAAACTGGGCTCATTGAAGGTGACTGTTTCCGGAGCTGGCAAAGTATTTCATACATCTGGGGCTCGCTAATTGTGGCGCCGTCCTGACGGCTGTGATGACCTGCCGTAGGGGTAATCGTCATTATCACTTCGGTCCGCCTCTTTCACTGCCATAGTAACTATAGGGATGGATGGCCAAAGGTAGGTGATACAAGATAGGCACCGCAAGATGGAAGAGTCATGGCGGCGCGGTGCAGAATGTCAACGTGACCTGTGTAGGATGCCGACGACGAAGGTCTTAGTGTTGTCCTAGAGAACATTCCTCAGGAAGATAGATGCATGCAATAGCGTCTCCGTTGATACGCAATGGATACAGAGGAACTTTCGGTCGTCTTATGCAACCCGGTGTACGTCCGCCAGATTCTCAAAGGTGTGGCTAGGATTAGGGTAACAAGAGTCGCGTGGGAGGATTGCACATATGCGCCGGGGAGTAACTGCCTGTCACCATCTTGGCAAATTCCCCTGGATAACTGAGTTCCGTTGAGAGCCAACAGGACCCAAATTAAAGTCCTCAGTGAGACGTACTAGTTACATAGCGGGAGTCATAAGCCAGCAAAGAAGAGCAGGTGCACAATTGCCAGACAGAAAGACGAGATGCACATAGTACCTTCGACTGGTCTAGAGTTGCATGGACAAATCAGTCAGCACATTGAGGAGGCAGTTCCCAAATCTAACTCAATACGACAAGCCTTTGCCCCATTCTATCCTAATCGGCTCTTGGGACTGTGTATAAAGGCGTCTAGCCGCCCCATCAATCTGTCGTTTAGAGCTACTCGGACCTTCACATCTAGAAGCGCGACCTTATGCTCGATTGCTATGGAGCACTGTAGCTTTTCTTCATCACCCAGACCGACCTGAAAGACCTTAACGTTTGGATGACAATATGGCGAATTGTCGTCCTCCTGGACGAACTTGTTCAGGAGCCCCTCCAACTTGGCATTAGACCGACTTCGAGGGATATCTATCTTGATCGCCGTTCGACTTACCTTACTCCGGGATCGATTCTCAATGAACAAGTTGTTCAGGATAATGTTAGAGATCTGCACAGTCTCTTGCGTGTCGGAGCGAGAAAAAATGGTGAAACGCAAAGATATCTTTATCACAATGAGCTGTTCCCTTTCGGTGTTCATAACGACTAAATCATCGCCAACGTCATATGGATGTTTTACAAAGAGGAATATGCAGGACCCAAGGAACTCCTGAGCCGTCACTGCAAACATGAACGACATTGACAGTATCATCGTCCCGGCTGTTGCGATGCTTGTTAACAATGATGCTTGAAGGAACGAGACTAGAGGACGTTATGTTAGCCGACCGCAGACAAGAAAGGCAGCTTGGCTTGTCTTACAGAAAATCAAAAAAGCCATAAAAACGACAAGGCATAAGCAGACCTTGTCCAGAGATCTAATTGCTTGGGCCATGTCGGTCTCATTGCTAGTTATTGCACGATACTCCTGTCCAATCTCTTTAACCCTGCGACCCCACTCTTCATTTGATAGAATTTGAGTGGCAGGGCTGCGACTGAACAGCTGATTGAGTGGCTTTAGGTTACCATGAAAGCGGCTTCTTGAAATAGTGTCGTGCTTTTCGAGACCAAGAGCCTCCCAAATAGTGGCAGCGAGCTGCTCGGTAGAGGCCCCCTCTTTCAGCATTTTGGACACATTATGATCGTCTACGGGATCTTTCATCACGAGCTCTTTAATGTAGTTCCTATACCCACGTTGTGCTGCCTGCGGCGACATGGCCTCCTTATAAAGCTCTTGAAGATTGTCCACATCCTCTCTGTTCCCTGTTTTCCGGAGCTGAAAGGACTGTTGCTGGTAGCTGATCGACACAAGCTGTATAAACACCTTTTCCCCGAGAAGAACCCCTGATGAGATGAAGCAGGATACGAGGATATTACTACAAGTTGTGACCCATTGAAAGTGGCCATGGCCTCTCTCCATGACAGCCTTATATGTCATCCATGAGGCCAAGAAGGCCAGGAACGCCATGATATAGTTCTCAAGCAAGTAGAGAGCCCTTTCATACCTAGGCTTGGTTACGCTAACGACGCCACAGAAGAACTTTATCATGGAAGGTAGGACATGTGCAAATGCTTTAGCTCCCCATAGCGAGATCCAGGTGGCTTCGGCCCATACGAAGAGATCCAAAAGGCGCAGGCCGGTGACAACAACTTTTCCGGCGTCAGTGTTTACAGTCTGTTCGCCGAGCTTCGGTTCAGTGCCCTTAATGCTTTTCAATGCAACCAGAGTGCCAATTGGTATGGCTAGAATGATAGCGATGGGTAATGTGTACAGTACATATCGACCGGTTATAGGGAGCTTATGAACATTTCCGTACAACTTCCCTATTGAATTGGGTTGTTCTTCTTCTTTTCCGGGCTCGGGAGACTCCGACATATGCCATCTGCACAGAGGGTCCTGACCATATTTATAGTTCGCCATTCCGAATGAAATGTTAAGGCCTGCGGAACCATAGACAGTTTTGAATCCAGTTTCCTTACATCACTATGATGATGAAATGTCACCGTAGCCATGCGAAAACGCTCTGTCGTGCTTTCGACTTGATATTACATGACCTTATTCCGACAAGGAACATTTTTATATCACTGTAGCGTTCCTAGGCTTCAGAACAAGCCATGAGGTGCACTACCAGTCTGGGGGGAGGGGAGGGCGTGGGGGCGACTCGTGCTGCAAGAACCGATCACAGAATTAGTGGCCGGAAATCAAGAGCTGCTTATGCAGCATTTATGTCAGCAAGGACATATGATAAAACGGAGTATGGCTCCCAAATATCCATGGAGGCGGGATTGATAAAAGCAGGGCTTTTCAATTAGGAAATCTTTGCAAATAGGTAGGTTATATCCAACCTCAACACAGCGATTTCATTGCACGATATCTCCTGCTAACAACTGCTGTGTACGAGCTCATTATACAGCACCACAAGGAATGCTCAAGAAGATGGCTAATGATACCCTGCGTAACGATGAATACGTATAATATTGCAAGCCTTGATCTGGCTGGCCAAGTGTTCCCTCCATTGGTGTGCAGGCTGAGCTGTCTGTTTCTTATCTGTGCCTGCCCCTGGGTCTTTGTGGTTCGTTCGTTACACCGATCCGAGCAACCTGCATGGCGCCGCCGCGATCGAGCCTCGACGACGACTGACCGAAAGACGAGACCGAAAGGAGCGGCCGACAAGGCGACAAAGATCAGCAGATCGTTTGCCTGTCAGTGCCGCCGCACGATGGAGATCGGGCGTCACAGGAGAGGGCGCTTCATAGTGGTGGCGACCGTCGGGCACCGCTGTCACTCGCGCTTGAGGCGGCTGTCCCATTTGGCGTACGCGGCTCTCGCATGGCCGCCTGGGGCCAAAGCTCACTGGCTGGTCAGTCTTTGTCGATCTTCCCACCTGATCTCATTAATTGCCGCGCCCCACAGCCTAGAAGCCGTCTCGACGCTGGAGAGAGATGAAAACTAAGCCCCATTTGGACCTGAATCTATGGCAAGCAAGAACGCCCCGAAAATGTAGTGATGCTCCTCCGCCACCCTCCGAAAAATGAAACGAAGAATGCCCGTGACAGAGAAATCCTCAACGGCGCGGTCAACCGACCTGATCATGACTCCTGACTGTAAAACATTACCCAAGCGGCCTTCATAACCCGATCCCAGTAGTGAACACACCAAGAAGAGCAGAAAACGCATTACGAACTCGATGAACCCCCCGCGAAACGCCCCAACCAAAGAAGAAAAACGAAAACCCCAAAAACGCCGCCAACTGTATTGCCACCGTCCTAACACACCCACAAAAGCTCAGAATCACTTGGCTTTTCCCTTGCCCTTCTTGCTCCGCCGGCTCTCGCTGGTGCTGCCTTCCGGAATGACCTCGTACTCCTGGATTTCAATCCCTTCCGGCGCGTCTGGCCCGGCTGTTTTTGAGCGATTAGATTCCAGTCATGCAAGAATGCTTTTATGTATGCCATCTCCCATGGCAAAGCCAACAACGGAGATGGGGAGCGGGGCAAGGAAGAAAAGAATAAACTCACCAAACGGTTCACACGTGCTACAGCACCCATGCCCACACGGCGCCGTGTACCCAAAGCCCGCCGAGTCCCAGAAATAGGCAGTACCGCTAGCAGCAGCAGCGTCAACGCCAGCATACGCGGCCGAGTAGGCGACCGCGGACCCCAGCGGCGCCGTGCACCAGCCGTAGCTGTTGGGCCCGCCGCGGCACACGCAGCAGATCCAGGGCCCGCCCATGCTCTTGAAGGCGCAGAGCCTGAGCCGGCAGGGCAGGAGGGACGCCTGCGTCGGGTAGTACTCGAGGTGCGGCACGGCGTGCTCGGCCCGCCGGTCGGGTCCGGGATGGCCTTTGGGCAGAAGGACCACGTCACCGACGTGTGCTGGCATGGGTGCGTCCTGGGGAGGCCGTTGCACATCGTTTCTGGTGGTGTTTTCTTCTCTCGTTGATAATAAGGGCTCCACGCCAGTGGTCCCCTGGTCTTTGCTGGATCCCCTTTTTTTTGGTGGTTTTTTTGGGCTGGGGTTCGACGGACAGGATTCCGCTTCCCCGTGGTTCTGGCTTCGTTTGGTTGGTTGAAGATTGTCCTTTGCAGGGGGCTTCTGCTGCTTGGTGCTGGTGCTGCTCAGTGCCAACTGAGGACTGCAGTGTGGAGTCGGGTCGCTGTCTCCCGTCGCGGTTCGCTCAGGCCGAGCCGGGAAGCCTGGTCCGGCCGGGCGGAGGTGGAGCGGTTGGCTACGGACTGCCCACTGGACGCTAGCTAATTACGTAGTGGGTTGGCGTGTGCGCGGCGGAGTGTGGTGGCGATCGTCGAGTCGTTGGAGCGAGGCGGTGGCCGGTCGTTGCTGAGAAAGGCAGGGGATCTACCGAGGGGTCGGGCCAGGGGGTGTGTCCCAGTGCGTGTGTGTGCCGATATTCCCAGCCGATGGGAAGACAAGAGGCCTTGCTGCGTGGTCCTGGAAGACGTCTTTTGGCGCAAACGAATGGCTCGATGAGGCAGTGGCTACCCGGTCGGTGTGCGTAGTCGCGAAGGGTCCGAGGAAACAAGATGGCCGACCGCTAGAACGGTGGAAGCTGAAGACAGAGGAAGGAAGAGTCTTGGCAGGGATGCCTTGTGAGGCGACAAGATGGAGATGGCGAAGTCGCAGCGGCGCGGTGCCGTATGTATAGCCGGATCTCTGGGCGGCATGCAACTTGGCTTGGCCTGCTTGCATCGTGCCTTGTGTCGCCGCACCTTCGAAGGAGATCCGCATTCCGAAGCAGGGCCGCATGGCATGCTGTCTTTGTCGTGGGTGCACAACCACACCAGCGTGGCCGGCAGGCGGGTGGTCGTGCAACAAGGGACCCCTCTTGCTGCTTTCGACTTTGGGACTTTGTGATCTGCTGCATTGGTCCAGGTCTGGGGCAAAGACACGTGCAGACCAACAGGTCGTCGCTCAGCTCGTCTGGCCGAGAGAGACAGCCAAGGCCGTGATCTGACAAAGAAAGCAAGCCCGGCCCGTGACACAGGGATTCCTCGGCTCGTCGCACCGGCAGTTGGAGTTGGTCTCGAGGTCACACCAGAGGAAAAAGTCCCGTTCGAGACTGGGTTGATTCCAAATGATGAGGCTCGAAAGAGACAAAGGCGGTTGGCGAACTAGAGCTGAAGATGTCCTGTCGGCCACCCGCCGCCCGCCCCAAAGACCCGGCGCAGCGTCACACACTCAGCCGTCAAGGCAGCGTGCAGCGTCGTTGAGTTCCTGCATCAGACTTTTGCCGCAGGACCACCGAGGCGGGGAGAGAAACCCCTGCTCGCCGCTGGGCCAGTTCTTGTGGCTCAAAGGATGCCGTATGCGATCTGTTCCTTGGGTCGCTGCATGGCGGGTTCTGAGGAGATCGGGGGTCCACGCAGCGAAAAAAAAAATGCAGATGCGCATGGTGCGTGCTGGCTGTGTACCACGGCAGCCCACGTCGGGTAATGGGCGGCTGACCCTGATTTGCTCAACAGGCCGGGCGCCAAGGGGTGATCTTTGGAGGAGCTAGACAGGGCGGCGAGCGAGGGGAGTCATGTGTGGTGACACGAAGCTCCGCAGGGAAAGGCCATCGCCAATCTTGGAATGGCCTCGAGACGGCCACCTGCATGGGCCGACCCCGATGCACGATCCGTCGAAGCACATCTGTGCATGGTGCATGGTGCATGGGCGCCGGGGCCGTGGCTGTGGGCATGGGCGTGGGCGTAAATCGCCCATCCGAGTGCTGTTGTCGGCTGGCAGGAGGGCCTGGCTCGGCCGAAAGTCTTGCGCCCAGAGGGTACAGAGTAACTTGGCAGCCAACAATTCTTGGCACACAAACAACTGCTGGGGCCACGGTTGTCGGTACGCCGCGGGGAAGACCCGTCGTGAATGTCTCTCGTCCCGCCAGTCCTCTGCCAGAGTCGGAGCGGGACGCTGTCCAGCACGAGCCCGGTCGAGCAGGGCGAGACTGCCAGACCCTGCCTGTGGCGTGCTGATCTGATACAGCGCGCACAGCTGTTTCGCCGACGAGGTGGTGTGCCGCTTGCGCTGCCGCGGTGCGGTGCGGCTCCAGCGGTCACGTCTTTGCTGCCGATTGTCCGGTCCTGCAGGCGATGGCCAAACAAGACGAGAGTGGTCGCGGTCAGGGGCCAGGGCCTGGTCGCTATCGGTGTGACGGCTGCTGGGGCTGGGCAAGCCAAGTCCCCCTCATCATCCCTGGCTTAGCGTAGCTGCGGCGCTCTTTGGCTCGCTTGGAGGCGCCGTTTTGTTGGTCCTGAGTGCGTGTGCAAAAAAGGGCTATATCTGACTGGTCAACTCCTTCTGCGGTCTGCCTTTGCCTACAGATAAGAGCCGAGGATAGGACAAGATTGTGAAGCCCTTCGTTCTGACTGGGCGCGCACTCCCATAGATGGGCAGTGCTGGCGATAACAAGCTACATTCCGCAGGCCCAGTGTCGTGACTGAGATACTCCATGACGTGTGATCGTCGCAAGCTTTGCCGGACACAGACAGTCGTCTGTGCTGTCCTGACCGGTTTCAACAATGGCCGTCGAGCCCTGGCATCCGGGCATCTAAGAGTCTGTCGTCGGGCCTCACTGATTGGTGAGCACTTGCCTGATGAAGAGGTCAGCTGCTCGGCCACAGCGAAGATGGCGTGCGTAGGCGTTTTTTTTTTCACGTCAGCGTGAAGATCCGGGTCGCTCCCGTGCAAAGCCGGGACATGCTCAGCCGGGGGCTGGCAGCAGAGGCCGGAACCTATCCATCACACACTGGCGAGGCGTGGCTGCACATCGGCGCGTCGATAAAGGGTTGTGTTGAAGTGGAAAGCGAAGGCCAGTTTTCGAGGGACGGGCGATCAGCGCGGGTTATGTATGCAATTCAAGACTGTGGCCACCTCAAACGAATGGGCATCCAGGGACCACGATACGTCATTGAACCGGAGAAAACACCGGTCGTACTGACCAACCGCGTCGAGGCCCAAGGTTGGGGCCCCGGGCCGGTGGAGCCAGCCGCGTTGAGGATCGAGGATCGAGGATGACAACAAATAAGTAAGCGGCTACCATCCGGGCTTTCCAAGCGCGGTCCGCAGGTGCACCTGCTGCCACTCGACGCATGATTCGTCATCACTTTTGAGCCAGGTGAGAGGAAGCCGCTTCTGCCGCTGTGACAGGTGCATCGTAAACATCGCACGACCTGGTTAGGAGCAGGCATGTGGAGCGCAGCCTTCGTGGAGACCCCTTTGGGTGCTAACCCCTGACGACCACCTGCTGACCCTTTTGTCCAGGCCGAAGGACAACTCACAGCGATACTCGACTTGTCTCATGTAGGTCCATATCAAGCACCAAATTCCTCCCTCCAAATACCCGTTTTCTCTCGCCGGCGACAAAGCTGCTGGCACACGGGGCTCCTCTGCTGGCTGCGGACCCTGGAGGTGTGTCCTGAGCATGGGCAGGTTGCAAAGAGTGGCCGGTGGCCCCTGTTCCCACGACCTGCTATGGAGCAGGGGCCTTGACACGGCACAGTACATCATGTCCCTTGCGGAAGATGACGCGTAGATGTTGACCGCGCACGACCTGGCCACTATTGCAAACAAGAATGCCATGAGAAGCCGCAGTCCCTGCTTGAACAACACTATTGTATCTTTGATTTCGGCGATGAAGCCGCAGTGCCAAGGCGTGTTCCTCCGCGCCCGTGAGTCGATGAGTGCTGCTGCCATGGCTCGTTGAGCAGGTAGCGAAGCGTCCTGAGCGACTGTCGGTGCCGTCTTTCTTGCTCGGCCCCAGCTTGCCAGGGCCCATGGCAACATGCCATTTCAGGGACCTCATCCTACAATGCACACAGGTGGGTAGGCCGCGAGTCGCCCTTTACCGTTCAATCAACCACCCCCAGTATCGAACTCAACTTGGAAGGTCGCTTCGATAAACTTTGCGAGTTCAAATCGAGCTCATGCCTGCACACATAGACTGCGTCCCCTTCGCTACCGCGACTCAGTTGAGACAAGCCCGCGCGTGTACGCGGAGGAAGACTTTGCCCTGACTCACGAAGCCCATGATCCCTAGAACATTGTCTCGGCTTACAATCAGTTAGCTCGCACTTGTGCAGCATCTGTCAAGGCATAGATCCCCTACCATGAGGCGAGAGTAAGCCATTGTCCTCATGGTACGCTCCGTGACTGATGGCCCGACTCTCCCACGTGGCTCTCGCCTGCCGGCGACAACGCCACGTCAGAAACGTCCACTAGCGCCGCCGCATCCGTCCGCAACAGGGCGGTCAAGCGCAAACTATCGGCACAGCTTGCCATCCACATTCCATTATGGGACGTTGTCGAACTAGCCAAACTGTGCACTTGGCCGTAACCAATGGGCAGGGCGGAATGTCTTGGGTCGAGCAGGGCTGCCACTGACGCCACATGGCGTTCGTCCCGCGCATTCCGCCAACACTTTTTGGGTTTGTGCCCGACCTAACACCCGGTAGATGGTGATCATGCTGTGAGACATGTTGGGTCTGGGCTAGCACGACAACAGCATGCTTCATGCATCCGACGGCCCGTCCTTGGCAACGATGTGCCAAATTCATGGTCTTTATCTATAAACTGCTGCTGCTACTGCGTGCGAGGCTGACGCGGCTTTGCAGAGGCTGAGATGTTATAGAGCAACGACCAGCACTCCTTTGGGCTTTTTCCTGGCCTTTGTGTTGTCTGCTTGATCTTCAGGTTTAATACTCCCCACAATGCGTCCACCATCTGTGGTTGTATTGACGGCAGGCCTGGCCGGGCTCGCCACTGGGCAGTCTGTGAATCCTGCCACCGGTTTTGTGGGCAAGGGCATCACCATGTTTCGTCCTACCTGCGCCTCAGCATGCAGGGACAGCCTTTCGACGTACCGACTCAACTGCTCGACTGTTATTCACGACATGCAGGGATCGGCCACAAGACACGACACGAGTTCTCGAACGCCGAGCGCGAACAAGAGAGCACTCAACAATGGTTCAGTCATGTTCGTGACTTCGCCGTCCTGCTACGCCACCGACACGGCATATCTACAGAGTGTGGCGTACTGCATCAACACGCGCTGCCCGCTCGACGACAGCATCACTCGAGCGGTACTTGAGGACTGCTGGTATACATATCTGGTTGGCCGGGACGCAGCGCAGCCAGAGCCCGCGGTTTCGTACAGCGGCGCGTTGTCCCACACAGCTGCTGACTCGCAGTGGTCAGTCATTGGCGAGGACGACATACTCGACCGGACCACACTATCCACAGATGATGTATACCTCGCCAAATACAACGCGGAGCATTACTTTGAGTTGTCTGAGGAGAGACACGTGGACTTTGGGTGAGTTTCTCTGGACAACCGACGAGCACCAAGGCTTTCGCCAGCTAACTCGTCATCCGATTCCAGCCTCGTCCTGTTCATCGCTGGCCTTGTAGTCCCCGTGCTCACCTCATGGCTCCGCTTCCTCCCCTTCCCGCGGCGTCTCGCCTCACGCTTCAGCGCAACCTGGATCGACCCGCCGGCACCGCGAGCCCATCGCCAACGTCTTCCTCATGCCGACCCGCGGCCAGGCCATCTTCATCCTGTACCTCTTCGCCCTCAACACGGTCCTCTGCGCCGTCGGCTACACCACGACCCCTCGTTCAGACGCCAGCAGCACCACCACCAGCAACAACAACGCCTGGTTCCCGACCCCTTCCACCGAGCTGCTCTCCTACATCGCCAACCGCACAGGAATACTGTGCTTCGCCAACATGCCCCTAATCATCATCTACATGACAGGTCAGGCAGCACAATCCAGTCTTAGTGATCGGCACACCCCTTCTTCCGAACCCCCGCGAGTTGGTTGCAGGCCCGTCCCAAGCCTGCGAAAGTGGTGTCTCGGAAGCTGGCATTAGCGGGGACCCAGCACCCGGTTTCTCGGGTCCGTCGTTGTCGTCCTCTTGTCTCACCTCACCCATTCTCGACGAACACCAGAAAAGTCTAGATTTGCGAGCCGTTCTCCCGGCTCTTCCCGTTCCCGCAGCTCCCACGATTGGCATGCAGGCAGCCGTCACAATGCACGTCAGGCTGTGTCCCTTGATTTACTTGATACTGTAATCAGGTCTCTCCCGCACTTTGCTGGCAGCCAGTGTGAGCCGCAGATATCGGGCCAGCTATATCAGCTGACAAGCGTGTGTACTGGGTACTGCGGATCAAGGAAGAGAGCGCGTGCGCCCGTGTCCGGTGCTTGGATACACAAGGCAGCACGCCCTCACAGCATCATGCAGCATAAGGCACGACAGAGCAATGCGTGAGTGCGCGCGCGCGTGAATTGAACTGGCCAGCCCGCACGGCATGATGAGCACCCAAGACGCGGCTTTCCAATAATCACTTCAGCACTTTCAGATAATTGGGCCATGGTTATCCTGTGGCGCGATACTCCGCGATTCGACACGCCCTTCTTCTTGGACTGGTTTGTCCTGCCCCAGCTTTCCGCGGCTGTTAGATTTCTTCATCAAGCGCGTGCTGCATAAGTGCTGCGCAAAAGATCCAAAAGATTCCAGCCCCACCACCAACAGGCGACCCTACAACGACAACTAGACTTATGAGCAGCCACGGACGCCACCATTCACGACCCAGGCCCCTCGACGCAGTGACATTAGCAGTGTCAGAGACTCCCCAGCGTTATGTGTCTCGGATTACGCGATCAGTGTACCCGCTGAGCAATCATAGCACCCAACAGGGGCACACCTTGTCCTGCGACAAAGTCGTGCTGGAGCGGCACGTGCCCATCAACTGTGCCTCAAGTACTGCCAGCTCAATCCTCACACCGGCTTCAAAGCTCAAGGAGGAAACCAATGCACGAGTCACACAGATTCTCGCTCCGTCGTGGCGGCCCACGGTGGCAAGGGCTGTCTTTCCCACCACCGCTCAGAACACCCCCAGCGGGGTGAACTGTGTCGTGCGTGCGCTTCGGACATGTCTTTCGGGGCTCGGGTTCGAATGCGAGGGAATACGAGCGGATGCGGCACGGGCCGGATATCAGTAAGGCGGACTGCCTTCGCGTATTATGGAAGACATGCATCTTCCCTATTCGCACGCCCATGGAGGCTCGAGGGGGGTGAGACAGATAGTAACAGCCACATCACTGGGCACGTCCATGGGTGCTCGTTCTTTGCTGCTGCTACCCACCTCATAGTCAAGAAAAGGTTTGGATAAAGCAGGAGAAGCTTTAAACGCTCCTGGTACTGAGCCAGGCGTATCTGACACGCGCGAATCAGCTTCTTCCTGCCATCGAGGTGCGTTTTCGCACCGAGCTGCACCAAAGGCCTAGGCTTGAAGGGTGTATTGGAAGAGTTTACCGGAAGGGAAATGAGCAGAAGGATCGCAGGCACAGAGAAGACAAGACCCAGACTTTGTCTCGACTTTAAAAAACTCGAATTAAAGGATCTCTTGCAGTCGACCAAGACGCGTCGATCCTCAAAGACGCCATGTTCGAGGTGGGTTGCTGTGATATAGCGTATCATTCTCAGAACCTAGCCTTGCTGAGTCGAGAGAGAGATGTTGCGCTTTGCTTAGCATGACATGCTATTTCGCACACGACAAGTCTCATTCGAGATTCCATCTTTTCCATCGCCTCACGTAAGACACTTCATCATTGTCAGACCAGAGGTAACGGCGATTCAATGCCATGCAACAATACTGATCCCTCGCTCGCAAGAGCGCAAAACACTTCTTCATGCTCAACACCGACTCAAATAATTCCGAGATCGTCCATGCCGTTCTCGGGCCCTCTTCGCGATTCCTCAACCCAAGAGCATGCAAACGTCTTTTCCAAGCCCTACTTTCGATACCACATCCTCGCCTTCCTTTCCCCTCGAATCTTCCTCTGCAAGACATGTATCCCCTGCAGCAGCGCCTCCGCGGTCGGCGGACACCCCGGCACATACACATCCACGGCACCACCCTATCCACTCCTCTGACCACACTATACGAGTAGTGATAATACCCGCCGCCGTTGGCGCAGCTGCCCATCGAGATGACCCATTTCGGGTCGGGCATCTGGTCGTACAGCTGCCGCAGCGCGGGCGCCATCTTGTTGGTCACGGTCCCGGCCACGATCATGACGTCGGCCTGCCGCGGGGAGGCGCGGAAGATGATGCCCAGCCGGTCGTTGTCGTAGCGCGGCATGGAGACGTGCATCATCTCGATGCCGCAGCAGGCGAGGGCGAAGGTCAGCGGCCAGAGGGAGCCGGTGCGGGCCCAGTTGGTGAGCTTGTCCATTGTTGTGCTGTTGCGGGTTGAAGGCGCGTTGGTTAGTTCCCCGGGTGAAAAGCTGCGTATCAAGGTGTCTGAGGGTGCTCACAGGACATATTCGGCTGCAGAGTTGTCTTTCAGGTCCAGCGGCATCTCCCGTCGCTTTGTGGGCAGCCTCGATGGTTCTGTACTTGGCGATGCGTTGAAACGGTGAGCTGATGTGTGCAGAGAGTGCCTTGCCCGGCACGCGGGCCCGCTAGCCTTTAGCAGGTCGTCGCAGTGCCCTGGGACGCCGAGGAAATGCCATGCCTGCAATGGTCGCGATATGGCTAACCGGGTGTGAGACTTAAGCTGAGAATGACGAAGTCTTTCAGTAGAATGGCAGTGAAAAGTGCAACGAACCTGCTGAGCCCCGGGAGAGTGAGGTGAGCATGCTGAAGGATTAAAAGCCAGATCGGTATAATGGCCGGTAGGGATTCTTGGACCGCACGAGAGTTATCCTGTAGGGGAAGAAGAAGAAATAAACACGAAAAGGTACTCGTCCGTGTCAAGTAAAAGGAGGCTGCTGAAAGGCTTTTGGTTCCTATGCCTGGCGTCACATCTTGTTCCGGAGCGCGCGTCTGACCAATCAGAACGCGGCAGCCTAGTGCGCCTTGGGCGATGTCGTTGTCGGACAAAACCCACCTGCGTCGCGAACCCACCAGACTTGAACCTCCTTCCTTGTCTCCGAGACGAGGCACAGCACCGCTGGCCCGGAAACGCAGACATTGACCAAGCAAGGCAGTTCCCATTGGTCAGACAGTCAAATCCCACCCTCCAGGCACGATGGCTCTTGTGTGCGCAGTCTGCAGCAAAACCTACCAGCGGAGCACACACCTGCGCCGGCACGAGGCCACCCGTCAGTGGCGCCTCATGACCTACGAAACGACGCCAGGCTGATTATGACACAGACTACACTTCCAGCCAGTTCGCTTGTCCATCCTGTAGCAAGACATTTGCCAGGCGGTACGTGACAGCACTCCTCTAATCGTCAGCACGTTAGCTTACGTCCCACCTCTGCAAGCGATGTCTGCCGCAAGCATGCGTCGGCCTGCCCAAGCCGTGCCAACGATGTCAAGGTGGACACAATCCCATTGTCCAAAAGAGGCCAGAAGCCGCGGGCGTGTGCCGGCTGCTTTGTGAGCAAGCTGGCTTGCGATCTTGGACACCCTTGCAGGCGCTGCACTGAGCGCTCTGTCCCATGCACGTATAACCGACAGCCCGCACAAGACATGCTGAGGATGCCGTCGGGGAGCTCGATCTCATCAGTTCAGGCGAGTTCCGACACGGACAACAAGGCATCTATCACGTTCTTGCTCGACATGACACATCCGTCTGCAGACACGCTCATGGCGGTGTTCAACGAGGAACTGCCCGTGGAGCCTGAGCCTGGATTCAGCACCACTCCGATCACAGAGATGTCGTTCGACCAGATGGACTTCATCTCAGACTTCCTTGCCCCACAAATTGAGGATGTCGGAGGTGATGAGGACTTCACAATGGACTTCTCCTCACTAGACGTCGACGATTGTAATGTAGCAATGCAACACACCCTCGCTGCCATCAAACAAGGCCTCCTCGAGACATTCAACCACAACTCGACGCAGGTCTTCATCTCATCAGCGAATGCCAGTGGTTCAAGCAACACCCACACAAGTCCTCCGCGATTCGACGACGCCACAGCAGACACCCTTCTCCAACCCCTCCACGCCCGCATCCTCGCAGCGACATACTTCCGCACCACGGTCCCAGACTTCCCCGTCACCCACGAGGCGAGCTTCTCCCTCGAACAACAACACCACACCACCTGCCCGGAGCTCGTCCTCGCCGTCATGATGAGCGGCTCCCTCCGCTGCGCGCCGCACGACTACGTCCTCGCCGCCCGGAAACTCATGAGGCTCTCCAACGACTTCATCTTTGCGCGGCTGCAGGCTGTTGTGCGCGAGTTCGTCGACCGAAGCCAGCACTGCGATGCAGCGACTCGACACGAACCACCAACTGGCGCTGAGCGACCGGGACAAAATCAACAACAAGACACAGACAAGCGCCGCCGCACCCGCCTGCCCAGACTGGTCATGGACGTCCTCGCCGCCGCACTGATATCAAACAGCGCGCTCGCCACAGTCAACGACGCATCCGAGGACGCGGCGCGGTACTTGCGCTCGGGCAAACCGGCGGAGAGGCTGCACCAGCTTGCTTCTGCGGCGCGGGAGTGCGGGATTGACCGCGTGCGGAGGGCAAGGCCTTTGTTTGGCGGTGGCGGTGGTCATGTGGAGCCTCTTGATTGGGATACATTTGTGTATGAGGAATCTTGCATACGGTAAGTTTCAATCTCTACTGAGATGACTCGTGCTGTATCAGTTGCCACTGTGGTTGTGATGATACGCAAGTTGAAAACAAAGAAGGCAAGACACACACGCTGATGCCTTCACCAGGATCGCCAACTGGGCCGCCATGAACGCCTGGCTGCAAGCAGGCTGGCTCAACGCGCAGCCGGCGGTGGGCGTGGCGGAGCTTAGGGCAGATTTGCCTTGTCCGCTGGAGCTCTGGCAGGCTCGCGATGCGGAAGAGTTTCAGGGTCTTATGGGCGCCGCTTCTTCACGGCAGTCAAGCCGGCTTACGGGGTCGCCTCGCGGCGGAGCCATGCAGAATGCGCCACTACCGAGCTCTATCGCGCAGCTCGCCGAGCTGATGATGGGTGATGAGAGACAGTGGCGTGTGGTCGCGGAACACGTGAGGGCGGGGGTGAGCAGGATCGATTTGATCATAACGGTCATCGGTATGTATCCCCAAACATCTTTGTCATTCCGACCTGCGCGCAAGACCTGTAGGCTAAATGCTCACCATCACAGGCCTGCACGCAATCATCCTGTCCGCGCGCCTCAGCTCGACCCTGGCCCAAGTCGCGCCATCCCTACGCATGGCCATCACCAGATGGCGAAGACTCTGGGATAGCATCGGTGTGTCTCTGGCCGGCACAGCAGAAGTGCCGCGCAGCACAAGCGCAAACTCGATGGAACCGGTCAGCTTCACGCCATCGTCACGAGAAGCAAAGCAGCTCCGCGGCCTTCACAAGCATGCCGTCGGCCTGGCGTGGCTGGCCGCGAGCCTGCTCGATCCGCGCACGTGGCACGACAAGCGGTTCACTGAGCTCGGGTATTTCAGAAATGTTGGGCGGGCTAGTATGGCTGATCTGCACGAGCTCATGGAAGCTTGCCGAGGGTTACAGGGCGACTTGAAGAGCAGCGCGTGATCAGCAGACGAGGGAGGTCACTTTACAATGCTTCATCAGGATAGCTTTCCTTGCAAGTAGTAGTTGTTTTACCTCCGGCAGTGTGCGAAGACTGGTCAGATCTAGCTGGTTCTGATACTCGTCCTCGAAGTAGCTTGTTCCTCGCTGGCCTTCCCCCAGAACAAGACGCTCCTCACCAGCCCAGTAGCCGAGCCGGGTTGTGCACCATCATGCCATCCCACTGCTCCTTTGCCAGCCACTCCTTGATCAGCCCCAATTCGGCGGCGGTGTCGACACCACTTAGCGGCGGGCCAGGCTCCGATCCCTTGTGCGTGGTGTTGACATGAGGCCAGTCGCTGCCCCGGACGATGCCCCCGGGCGCAACGCGGGCATAGTCCTTGACCACGGGCTCCATCGCAGCAATGTCGCCGCCCTCGACTCGCCGGTGCAGCGCGCCAATCTTAACAGTCAGCTTGCCGGAAGCCAGCAGCTCGAGGAACGCCGCGTAGTCCGAAGTCCCGACGCCCTTGGGCGTCGCGGAGCCGTTGTGGTCCGCCATCAGCACGACCTTCTTCTTCTTGTTCTTCCCGCCACGCGGACCACCACCACAGCCCGGCCCATCACCACCACCACCGCCGCCACGCTGGACCAGAGCATCCACATGCGGCGCCATCCTCGCCCACATCCCAATCGGCAACTGCACAGAAATCCCCTACCCGAGCTCCCTCACACCATACGACTCCGCCGCGGTCCGGAACTGGCCGAGCACCCACTCCAGCTGGTCCCCAGACCCGCCATACGAGCCGTGCACGCGGATATTCCGCACCCCGGCGTCGTGCAGGTCCCGAAAATAACCCTCGCTCAGCTTACTCAGGTGCCACGCGCTCGTCTCCTCGTCCGGGTCCGCCGCCATGGTTCCCCGAAGCGTGCGATCGGGGTATTGGGATTTGGCTTCGCGGAGGTGCGTGGCGAGCCCCTCGGGGCTGGACTCGATGCTGGCTTGGACTATGAGGATGTTTTTTTGCTGCGCGTGGGGGGACTCGATCAGGGAGGAGAGCGGTGCGGGTTGCGGGTTGTAGGAGCGGTCGGGCTTGAAGGGGAAGCGCGAGGGCTCGAAGATGTGGACGTGCGCGTCCCAGGATCCCGGTGGGAGTTTGGGGGATCCGGACCCGGGCGGCACGCGTGCGGCAGGCATGGTGCCGGATGGTGCGGCGAGGGCACGGGTCGTGCAGAAGAGGAGGAGCGTCGAGAGGTGGATGAGGTTGAGCATGTTGGAAGTCTTGGCTGTGTACGATGCTGCGGCTGGTTGCCCGTGTAAGCGAGACACGGAGGGTGTAGCAATGTGAGGCTAGAGGAAACAAGTCGAAGTCAATTTCTAGAGACTCTGGGGGAGGCGCCGCGGCTACGGCCCCGGGGCCCGGGGGCTGCTCTGGTCGCGTGGAGAGCCGGTGAGGTGCCGGGCCCGTGCATGCGGAGAAGTGCGGAGCCGGCGGTCGGGGCGGGGCCGGCCCGAGCAATGCCCCGGGACCAGTCCGATTCTATGTCACTCGCAAGGTGCATGATCCTGCGTAGCTCGGCAGATAAAATAATGCTACGCAGCTTGCCAGGATTAGCTTAGCCCTACCAAACTTTGACAAGACCTGGCGCCGTCCTTGGCTTACATTGTGCTCGCTATCCAGATGTTTCTGCTCCTCCTTGCGGCGCCGAGGAACATGATCACGTACAAGGAGCTGTGTATGATGAAAGACACGGCCATCATGCTGCATGCGTCGCGGGGCGACATCGTCAACGAGCGTGATCTCGAGAGGACGCTGCGGGTGAGGTACAAGGCCCTGTGGGAGCTGTCGAATGGCTTCAGCATATTGGCGCCGCCACCGAGGATGCCCAGCTAGCATCGGCGATGGGGCCCGTGAAAAAGTTGTATCATCATTTGGCCGCGCGGTGAGCCAGACACAATGGTTCATTTAGCCACCTGTAGCTTCAAAAAACCGTGATCGGGGCTGTCCCGAGCAGCTTGTCGGCCCTGGCCCGGGTCTCGGTGCTGCACGAAGTGACCGCCCCAGGTTCGGCCCCTGTGCGATATTTCGGCCCTAGTGCGACGTGCCTGATAGCCTTGCTTGGTGACGACGCACTGCGGGGGAAAACCCCATTCAGCCTGGGGAAACCCCGAAAGCTTGGGGAAAGCTGGGTCGTTCTGACCATTGTTTATTCGCCCTGTTCCTGCCAAGACAATTGCCAGACTCGCCAAGAAAGCCAAGACCATTCAAGCTCTGCCGCACGCTTCCTTCCTGTTCACCAATTCCGATCCACCCGTCTGAACCTCTCAGAGCTTGATCGTGTATTCTCTTGCGCAGAGGTCGCAGAGGTCGCAGACATGTCACCCGACCAGCAGCCCGACTATGTAGACCGTGTTGTGGACGACAAAACGCAAGCCATCCACATCGAGCACGACAGAGATGAGTCGGCGCCTCCCAAGCCTGGCGCTACTTTTCTCGACACGTACCGCTCATACTCGCCCGAGCTGGCCAAGGAGACCGAGGCTCGGCTGCTGCGCAAGAGGGACATCCGCATCATGCCCCTCATCGTCCTCATCTACCTGTTCAACTTCCTGGACCGCAACTCGATAACCCGGCCAGACTGTACCACCTCCAGGAGGACTTGAACGTGCAGGGCGCCATGTATCAGACGGCAATCTCCATTTTCAGTGCTTCATACATATTCATGCAGTTGCCTTCTACCATACTCATGAGCAAGTTGCAGCCTCACATCTTCTTGGTAAATCTCACCTGGTGCGCTGAAGAGGCTCATAGACAAGTGGCTAACATCTCTGCCCACCAGCCATCCTGCATCGTGACCTGGGCTATCATCAGCGGCTGCACGGGCGCCACGACCAACGCGGCCGGCCTTCTCGTGGTACGCTTCTGCCTGGGCATCGTCGAGGCGCCCTTCTTCCCGGGCTCCATCTACTTCCTGTCGTGCTGGTACACCAAGAAGGAGCTGGGTGTCCGCATGGCGCTTCTCGTCAGCGGCCTGCTCCTGTCCAACGCGTTCGCGGGCCTCATCTCGGCGGGGCTGCTCTCCGGGATGAATGGCGTCGGCGGCCTCGCGGCGTGGCGCTGGCTATTCATCATCGAGGGGCACGCCACCGTCGTGCTGGGCGTCGTCTGCTTCTTCGTGCTGCCCGACTACCCGGGCACGACGAGCTGGCTGAGCGAGACCGAAAAAGTCGTCGCGCAGGCCCGCTTGGTCGCCGACGCGGGCACCGAAGACGAGGGCGTCCTCAGCGAAGACACCACCACCATCTGGCAGGGGCTGAGCTGGGCCGTGCAAGACTACCGCACGTGGCTGTTCGCGTGCCTGCAGGTGGCCACGACGGCATCCATCTCCTTCTCCAACTTCTTCCCCACCGTGCTCCAGCAGCTCGGCATCAAGAGCTCGACGACGGTCCTGCTCCTCACCGCACCCCCTTACCTCTTCACCTTCACCTGGGCCGTGTCCTTTGCCTTTGACGCAGACAAGCGGCAGAAGCGCTCCCCGCACGCCATCATCTCGGGCCTAGTGGCCATGGCAGGGACGGTCTGCACCGTTGCGCTGCCCGCGGAGCAGCGCTGGCCAAAGTACGCCCTCACGTTTGTCATTTGCGCGGGGAGGTTTGGCATCTACTCGAAGACGTACACCTGGCTCTCGTCGACGATTGTGCAGCCGCGCATCAAGCGCGCGTGCGCGATTGGCGTGGCGAATACCTGCGCCAACACGGCGGCGCTGTTCTCGAGTTACTTCTGGATTGACAAGTTTCAGCCCCAGTTCAAGCAGTCCTGGGCGTGTGTCTTGGGGTTCCAGTGCTTGGGCATGGCGTGCATTTTGGGACTGAGGTATACGTTGAAGAGGAAGAACAGGCAGTTTGATGAGCTTGACCAGAGGAATTTGGGGGTCGCTGGGATTGAGGCAGAGGGGAGGGTGTTGAGTGCTGATGAGAAGAGGGCTGTGAACACGGGGTTTCGGTTCATTACGTAGAGGGAGTCTGAACATGAAAGGAAGGGTATGGTCGGCTTGTTGCAATTCGAGGTGCAGCTCTTGAGTTAACGACGCCGGGCAAGGCGAACTGTAGTAGCACACACCTGGTCTGAACCATAGACAGACTTTCTGCACGGGGACAGCTGGCATTGTGATCGATAGTTGCATCCGTGTCTTGTGCATTTAAATGGGGATGTGACCGTCCGTGACGATCTGTGACCGCATTGACAAATAATGGTACTTAGTGCTGCTTAAACCCGGCACGAAGTGGCACAGGTGGACGGGGATTGAGCGGGTGTTCCTGATACACTAACCACCCGCCGCCGCGTCGTATTTCCCCGAGATCATGTAGCCCACGGCCACGGGCTCGGCCTGTGCGGCTGGACATAGCACAGGGCCAACACATGAGTCCATTGTCTTGCAGCGTGTCAACCACACACAGCAGGATCATCGGACTGCGGCTGGCTTTTGTGCAACTTGCATCCCGATTCGACGGCCGTCCATTCGACACAAGTCTCAGAAGACGATTGCCAACTCACCGGGTTTGCAGAGGAGCCATACACTGGGCACACGTACGGCAACATTGTGCAACGTTGTTCCAAACTCGTGCTTGCTGAGCAGAGGAAGACTCAAAAGACCAGTGTTTACACAATCACTTCAAAAGCTCATCTTAAACTCCCAAACAGTGTATATAAAACTACATGAACCGACCCAGACCCAGAAGAGTACTCCAACACCACAGCTACAAACGTGACAATCCAGTCTCAAGCCTTGCTTAGACCCTGAACCATTCCCAAACACACATCACCACCAACCTCCACCAACAATCATGGGCGGCCTACGCATTCGCAAGAACATCCGGGACCTGAAGCCCACGGAAATGGACAACCTGATCCGGGCCTTCCACCACATCATGAACGTGCTCCCTGTCACCGACAACAACTCGTACTGGAAGCTCGCCGGCTACCACGGCGTGCCAGCACCCTTCTACTGCTACCACGGCGTCGTGCTCTTCCCGACTTGGCACCGTGCGTACCTCCTGCAGCTCGAGAATGCCCTGCGCAGCGCTCCTGGCTGTGGCAACGACGTAACCATGCCGTACTGGGACGAGATCGCCGCCATCAACCAGACCGAGGGCCTCCCTAAGATCTTCACCACCAAGGAGTACCGCTACTCTTACGGCAAGGGGTCGATCCCGAACCCGCTCTTCTCGTACAAGTTTGGCGCGGGCGTCGACGACCGGGGCGACATGGAGCACGGCGTCAACGACCCGTCCCGGTACAGCAAGCACAAGGGCTACAGCACGGTGCGCTACCCGTACTCGGGCCTCGTGGGGCTCGCCGAAGACCGGGAGCGCACGGTCAAGCACAACTCGGACGTCGACGGCAAGGGCGACACGCACGCGGTCGACGTGCTCATCGAGAACATCTCGCGGTGGCTCTTCAGCGCGACGTTCATGAACCACTCTGGCGACGAGTGGAAGGCCGGCGAGAAGGACAAGTGGGAAATTGCCTCCAGGCGCCCAACTACACCGTCTTCTCCAACACCACCTCGGCCGACGCGTACAACGAGACGCACAAGGACAGCCAGGCGGAGCCGACGGCCGTGTCGCTCGAGGCGCCGCACAACGCGATCCACATGGCCGTCGGCGGGTGGGAGGTGCCCGGGCGCAGCGAGAAGGAGGGCACGCCCAACGTGTACCCGGACGCCAACGGCGACATGGGCGAGAACGAGACGGCCGCGTTCGACCCCTTGTTCTGGTTCCACCACGCGTGGACGGACCGCACGTTCTGGGAGTGGCAGATGCTGCACGGTGCGACCGACAGGCTCGAGTTCGTCAAGGGTGATCCGGGCACCAAGAACCCCGTCGAGGGCCAGCCGGATCTCACGGTCGACTCGCCGCTTACGCCGTTCAAGTATGGTCTCGGAACTAGGAATGAGAGGGCCATGACTACGAAGGTGAGCGATTGCGGTCTTTTGAGTTCTCCTTTTTTTTTGTCCTTATTTTCTCTAAAGGCACGATGACTGACTCGACCCCAGGACGTCGTCAACATCAAAACCCTCGGGTACGACTACGCAGGCCTCGACCGCCCCCGCGCAGCCCTCCCGCCCAAGGACGAGGGCTTCAAGCTGAGCGTCATGGGCATCAACCGTGCCGTGATCCCAGGCGGCTTCATGGTGACGCTCTGGAGCCTGGACACGAACGGGCAAGAGCGCCTGCTGCACATTGAGCTCTTCCTGGGCCGCTGGAAGAAGGAGGCCTGCGACAACTGCATGAACCACCTCATGGCCAACACTTTCTTGCAGCTGCCCAAGATGCCCACCGCGGACGACTTGAGCCGGGCTGGTGGTGGCAGCGGCGGCAGTGGCGAGGGCGGGATCGTGCTGCCGACGTTTTATGCCAAGATGCATACGCGCGACGCGCCAGGTGGGAAGAAGCTGGATATCGGCGTTGGTATTTCTTGTCTCTCTCGGGAACTGCGTGCATTTGGAGACATGGCGGTCCGTGGGTTTGGCCTCTGAGATGAGTGGTGCGCGTCGAGTCTGGTGGGACAGGGCCGTTGTGTTTGCAAACGAAGAGAGAGGATAAGTCTGATCATCGGGGAGGACATGGGCAATGTCGTGACGTATCTCGGGTCCATGACACACTCATTCACAAAGATTGTCAGTTACTCTGCAGCCGAAACCCTTTCTCGCCCATCGCCCAACGTCGTGCCCGGCTCGCAGCCATTGACGTGCGAGACGGAAATTGTTTGGTGATATCGTTTTAGTGATTTGTGGTGCGCGTTGAGGGTTACATACAAAGCGAGTTGATTGAGCCGTGCTACATGACGAGATCTGCCTTGATGACACAAGAGTCTGAATAAGGCGGTGTCTCCATCAAGCTCAATATGTTTCATTCAAGGAGGGGGTGGTCTCTCCAAAACCCCTGCAGTGCTCTCTCTGCACCACACGAATATGCTCTGCACGACGGGTGAGTTAGTGATACCCTGCATAGTCCCGGATCGATCAGTCCATGGTATGCAGATGAAATCTAGCCAACAGCAGCAGACTGTGGAGCGCAATGCGGGTCGTCTGACATGTCCCTGCCCTGACACTGCCTCGAGCAGCGTGCAGTCGCCGTCAGCATCCTCGCTCGCATCAACTACACCGCAAAGCGCACAGGAAGACCACCATGTCGAATGCCCATCATCTCCCCGACGAGATCCTCGTCGACATCGTGGAGAACCTTGCCATTGCCGCCGCCTGCAACGAGGGCCAGCACGCAGAGAACAAGCTCCGGCTGGCGACCCTGGCGCATGCTTGCCAGGCGTCCCGCCGCCTGCGCCGCGTCGCCGAGCCCGTCCTCTACCGGCACCTGTCCGGCGCAACGCCCGCGCAGCTCGCCGCTCTTTGCGGCCGGCCCGCGCTAGGCGACCATGTACGCCAGGTCGACTTTGGCGAAGAGGCAGGGCTAAGGTTTGACGCCGATCGCGAGGCGGCCGTGCGGCTGTACGAGCCCACGGTCAGGGCCATTGCTGCCGACAAGTACCAGTCCGGCTGGCTCGACGAGTTGCTGCAGGGCCTGCTCGACTTCCCTCCTGATTCGCCTTACGACGACATCTACATGAACGCGCAAGGCCCGGGGGTGCTGCTCACCCTGCTCTTGGTCCTGACGCCCAACCTAGAGGCTCTGACGGTGCCTCAAGACCCATATGACTCATGCGAGACGCTGATCCGGCTCATCAGCTACTGCGGCCAACACCATTGCGCGAAATATGACGAGCCAGCATCAGCGTCGACAGAGGCTCATGGACGCAGCAGGCAACCTTTCCCGCTCTCCAGACTTGCCGCCATCAGCACGACGGGCATGGCGTCGCAAGATGAATTTCCAGACGCCAGCAAGGCCAGGCACATCAAGCCGCTCCTCTTCTTCCCAGGCCTGCAGAGCTTCTCGGCGAGCTCTGTCAACTGGGCCTCCATCATGCCCGACGAGAAAGGCCACACATGGCCAAACCACGGAGAGGCCAATATCATCTCCAGCAACGCCACCGACAGCGAAAGCCACGCACTGCGCGTCGGCATCGAGCCTGCCTGCGGCTCCCACCCGGACCTCACGCACCTGTCCTTCCTCAACGCGTCCGACATGTATCCCAACGAGCTGCGCGAGATCCTGCTCGTCTTCCCGGCCCTGCAGAGCCTCGTCCTGCACTTTCACGTTCACAAGACCCGCGGGGACTTCGACTTTGCCGGGCTCGGCGATGTCCTGCGTCAACTTGCGCCAGCGGCCGGCAGCACGACGCCAGTGCCACCGCCGCGGCTGCGCCGCCTCGAGCTAGAGCCCGCCGTGGGCACGGACGAGGTGTCCGAGGATAATGACGAGGGCATCATCGACACCCTGCGCCACGGCGTGGTGACTTGTGCGCTCGAGCAGCTGCGAGTTCCGCTCGCCGCGCTGGTGGGTTCTTTCCTCGGAGAGGAGCCCGAGTCGGAGGTGGACTTGTGCACGTATTTGCCCGTCAGTTTGCGCTGGTTGTGGACTGCGGTGACCGTCATCGGGGACGTTGACGTCCATGTCGACGCGCTGGAGCGGATGCTTGACCAGGCGGGGAAGGACCTGCCGCTGCTGGAGTGGGTGCTGGTCCGGCTCCCCTTGGGATATGATAAGCTGGGCTACAAGGACCTGCCGTTTGAGAGTCGCGACTTTGCTGCGACGAAGATCGGGGAGCACCATGTGCTATATACAAAGAGGGCCGCAGGTGCGGCGGCGCTGCGCACTGCTCCGGGCTGGGAGGGTGAGCATGATGAGCGTGACGTACAGCTACCTTAGAATACCATAGTGATGAGCCACGTGTCGGATGACGAGTGATGGATTTCATGACTATCGTTCTTTCACTGTGCAGCAACCTACACAAAGTAGGTATTCCGATCGTTGCTGGTCCCTCATATTCGTTCTCAAAATTGTTTTCACAACGTGGACAATACGGGAGATGACTGGTGTGAGGGATCTCTGGACGCAATGGCAGTGCCAACCTTACGTCTGATACACGTTCAAATCTGAGGAGCGTAGAATCCTCAACGCTTTTTGCGTACTGCCTTGTTTACTGCCCTATTCGCGCTCGGATCCGTTTGTGATAGCGAATAGTAGACAGAAGATGAAACCAGAAGAGCCCAGCCCAGACCAAAAGCGCCACGCAAGTAGCGGCCACGACAAGAACGATGGCCGCCACCGCCACCCCATACGAGAACTCCTGGAACTGGACGTCATTACCAAATCGCTCCGTTGGCTAGCGCCACCTGCATTGCCGACAAGATGACAGTAATGTACACGAAGACGGCCAGCAGCCAGCCAGAATTCTGTTCAAAGAACGTCGTGTACCTACGCGAGCTCTCCATGTAGCCCTCGACAAACTTCCGAGCGGAAAACCCTGCAAATCCGAGACGGTAGAGCTTGTTGAGACGCGAGAGGCGGAGCTCGCCGTAGGCGTATCGCCCCTGCTAGGCGGTCGTGGTGCCACGCCACATTTGCTCGTGGTCGTGGCCCGCGACGACTTGCCGGGCGAGGCGCGTCCATGACGCCCAGTCCATGTCGGCAAGCAGGAGGCCAGTCTCGTGCGCGATCCTGAGGTCAGACTTGGAAACGACGAGCCATGTGTAAGACCACAAGAGGCCCAGCGCGCTGCGATACAAGGTCTCGTGCGGACATATGCTGGCCGACCAGAACTCGTGGCTCAGGAGGTATTCGGGTAGCGGCTTGATGAATATCGATGCTTCGTGCCAGACCAAGTGTTCGTCGGGTCTCTCGGTGATCAGAATGGCGCGGCCCATCAGACGTTGTCGGTGGAGCGGCCGAGCTGGCCGCATAAGCCCAGCTAGCCAGAGATAGTCGTGTAGTTTTGTGAGGTTCGGGGTATGCAAATCAAGAGCCAGGAACGCGGAGACGCCGGATGTGGAGTCTTTCGGGATGTCAGGACTGTGCAACGCGATGGGCAGTTCAGCATCAATCAGCGTCCAGCAACGAGCTGCACTAACTGTCGAGAACGGCGGGGCTCGAACCATCATCGACTGAGGCTGGGTCATCGTGTGGTGTTGAAGCATGGGTATGGTTGACAATGGTTCCTGTTGATGGCAGAACCGATTCAGATGAGCTCTCGCCCTGTCTCGTGGCCGCCTGCCGCCCTCTTTCTGGGCCTGCATAATGCAGCTGCGTTGGTTGGTCCGCCGGGTCCGCCTTGGAAGATTGCGCAAGGAAGACTTATCGAGACCCCTGTGCGACTTTCGTGAGCCCAGGCCTCATATGCAGGCTGCAGCATGGTTGGCTATGAACCGAGGAGGCGCACCCAAAACACCCTCTCGCCGACGCGTGCCAAGCCTCTGACGCCCATCTTCATCTTAGGGTGCACATACTCCGTAAGCAGTCGCTGCAACCCAAAGTGAATCAGAGAAAATTATCTCGCGGAGTATGCTGCTGACCCTGGGTAGGTGATACAGGACCCCCAGTGCAGGGGGATACGTAAAGTCTGATGGAGGTCAGATCCACATGTCCCTATGAACCTACCGCCCACGTAGCCTCTATCGCTGACGAATCCGCTGCATCTTCTCGATTCGTCGGTTTGCGACCGCAGGTCAGAACCAACGGCTATTCGCTTTCGTTGCTTTGCTCCTCGACTTGTTGGATGTCTCGCGCCCTCCTTCCCACCACCGACGTCGAGAGAGCAGCCGGCCGTCACTGCTGAGCGATGGCCGCACGCAAATCTCCGACATGGCGAGCTCAGGGACTCGATGTTCGTTGCAACAGCGCCTGCCTGCAGAGGCTGGTGCGCGGCAGACTGGAGGGCATTGATTGCAAGGTCCACTCACTTGCCGTCGAGCATCATGGGGACTCTCAGACGGCTACCATCCGCTTGACAGGCGGAGCAACGACTGTTCCAGCATCTCTGCAGCCCTGCCCCGAGCACCAAGCCAAGGATAGAGGCCTGACTCTAGATGACCAGTTTCTTGGCTTCACGACCCTCTTTGCCCCACCCCCCGCGGATCACCAGATCGAGTGAGTTCTGCCGGCCAGGTCAAGGAACACGACCAGACCACCACCAGCTGAATCGACGGCAGCATTGTAGCCATTTCGGGACTTGGAGGCCACGCCTTTGGCTCCTTCAAGGAGCGCGGCGGCAGCCACATGTGGCTTCGTGATGCGCTGCCGCACCACCTCACCGGTGAGGAGAACGGGCGTCCGATGGCCCGGGTCGTCATCTATGGGTACTTGCCGCCCGTCGTGGGCAGCAAGAGCATGCAAAACGTAGAAGACATTGCCGGGCAGTTTCGCGAGCAGCTGTTAGCCTTCGCGGCACATAGTGACCGGCCCCGACCCAAGGTATTCATCACCCACAGCCTTGGCGCCTGGTGCTCAAGGACGCCATCATATCCCTCGCAGCATCGAGAGACGCCGAGTCTACAAGACTGTGCAGGGCTATTAACGGCATCGTTTTCTTTGGCGTTCCCCATCTCGGCATGGAAAGCAGCTCGATACGGACCATGGCTGGTGGAGGCCCAAACCTCGCGCTGATCCTGGCAATCGGACAAGTAAATTCGCATTTCTTGCGCCGCCAGGCGCACGAGTTCCCAAAAGCCATCAAAGCGCTGGGCTCGTCGCGGCCTGAGGTCTTTTGCTTCTACGAGACCGCAAAGTTACCTACAGCAATAGTAAGTTGACCTTGAAACTCATGCATCGACTTACAACACCTACTCCCGAACCCTCCCCTGTGTAGTGGTGCGTCATTGTGTAGGGCAACTGCCCACTGACCACGGAGAAAACAGCAGAATAAAGATGGGCGCTGGGAGATGTCTGGACCGCCCACTATCCTCGTGCCGGTCGCTTCTGCCACACACTGCCTGCCCGAGACGGCAGATCACCGCACCCACAGCTGCGCCATTGATCGCACCCACTCGGAACTGGTCAAGTTTGCAGCGCAGGATCATGTATACGACGTCGTGCGGTACAGGCTTCAGCGCATCACGTGGGCTTCGGTGCGCTCCGAAGAACGCCGCAGCTTCCACCCAAAGGTCACGACGTTGATCCGCTTGCAAAAAAACAAGCATTTCACCGGCCGCGAGTCGGTGCTGAAGACCCTCCGCGAAGTCTGGTTCCCCATCGAAGCTGGTCGTGAGGCACCGCCCAAAACTGTGGCTCTCGTCGGGCTAGGCGGCATCGGCAAGACGCAGGTCGCTCTCGAGTTTTCGTACTGGGTGCAGAAGCACAAGCACGACTACTCCATCTTTGGATATCTGCACTCAGCGCGCAGACATTTGACCAGGGATGCGCTGAGATTGTGCAGCAGCTCGGGCTGGCGCCCAATTCCTCGGACGAGGACTCTGTCGACGCGAAGCGCCAGTCGAACCACCAGTCGAGTGATGCGAAGCAGCAGTTCAGGGAGTACTTGTCAAGTAGTAGTGCCGGTGCTGCCAGGTGGCTGCTGGTGCTAGACAACGCGGACGACGTAGAGCTCCTCAGGGACCTGCGCAAACACATGCCGCGCAGCGAGAGTGGGATCACATTGATGACAGCGCGCACAGAGAAGGCAGCCGAGACGGTCGATCCACAGACGGCTGTGATTGGTCTTGACGAGATGACTCCCAGTGAGGGTCACCAGCTTCTGAGGAACCATCTCGATCCGAAGAGGGTGGATCAGTACAGCAATGAGTCGTGCGGGGACCTGCTTTCGGCCCTTGAAACCCTTCCTCTCGCAATTACTCAAGCAGCAGCTTTTCTCAACCGTACTGGCGCGTCGATCCAGACATATCTCGGACATATCCAGAGCCGGGGAAAGAGGCGGAGCAGCTTATGAGCGTCGAGCTCGATTTCACAGACCACTGGCTACACGAAAAGCCACACCAAACTGTCATGACGACCTGGCTAGTCCCTTTGGATCAAGTCATACGAGAAGACGCAAACGGCGGTGGCAGGCCTACCATCGAGCTTCTGATGTTTCTATCGCGAATCGAACCGAAGGCGATCCCGTTGTCGATACTGCCCACCATCCGAGGCTCCGCCGTCGCGCTGGCTGACACGGTGGGCACGCTGCTCCGCTATGCGTTTCTAAAGAAGCGCGACGGCGACGTCTACGATATGCACAGCCTGGTGCACCTAGCAATCCGGAGCTGGGTGTCGCACGAGGGTCTCTCGGAGGGGGCCACGACGCTGACACTGAAGCGTCTGAGCGACAAGACGTCCTTTGCTGAGAATGTCGACTTGGCGGCGTTCGTCGAGCTGTCGGCTTACATGCCGCATGCCCTGCGTGCGATGTCGGACAGCGAGGGAGAGCAGGCAGAAGAAGCCAGGTTCTGGGTCGCCGAGGGTGTGTCGCGGCTCCTGCGAAGGAACTGGCGGGGTGGCGAGGCGATCATGGGCGCTGATCTGTAACGACGGCATCAGTAGACTGCATCCAGAAGGCAGCGAGGCCTGGTTGCGGGCGCGCGAGAATCTTGCAAGGTCACACGGGGCTGCTGGTCAGTTTGCGCATGCCTTGCCTTTGATGGTATAAGTTGTTGCAGGCTTGCAGAAAGTAAGGGGACGGCTGCCTAAGGTAACAACCCACTGCGGGCGCCAATACCGCCATTGTGCTGAGCTCGACTGGAACTCCCTGGTCTGCACTTCTCCTCGTATGCAGGTGCCTATGACGAAAGGTCGAATGTGCTAAAACACCTCACAAAGCAACCCTGCGAGCAACGGCCAAGAATTCGAGAACGGCCTCGCACTTATTTGCGCACGTCGGTGCCAGCCGACATCTACACTTGGGGGTATGCAAGTTGGTCCTCAATAAGCCAAAGACCTTTGCTTTGCATCCCCGTCGACGCCACGCGGCTTGCACAGTATACCGTAGTCGCAGTCCCGCTAACGAGCAGTGGTCCATCGTACCCGAGCCAAGTGACATGTGTCTGCTTTCTTTTACTCCTGCAGGATTCCCCGACAGGCTGCATTTTCTGACCGCGTCGGCGGGCCCGACCACTCACACTGCCCGGCGCAACCTCGCAGCGTCCCGTCCCCCACATGTCAGCTTGCTTGCGGCTGAGCTGTCAGAGTCACCGAACACTCCAGCCAACCACAATCCACCGGGCGAGCAGGCACCGACCCCCCACCTGCCTTTCGAGGCGCAGACGTCTCGGCCCTCGCCCAATCCGCGCCTGGTGACCCGGCAGGCAGGGTCGTGGCCCCCAAAGCATGTGGAGAAACCAGAGGCAGCCCCTGCCCTGCCATCATCATCCACAGGGCTGACTGGACCGCTGAAGATGGGCGGGCGCTGCCGTGCGGCCGCTAGATCCCCAGGCTTCGGCGGCCAATCGTCGTCCTCTGGAGGCGGCGCTGTAGGACCCGAGTTCTGGTCCTGACCATCATTCTCCGCCGGGAAGCCCTCACTTTCGCGCATTCCTGGTGGGCAAGGGGGTGGGGCGCACGGGCCATTGAGTTCATTCCGGTACCCCCAGGTTGAGTTCATTCCGGCCAGCCAAAAGTCAGCTAACCCACGACAGCCCCAAGCAGGGGTCTAACCTTAACCCCCAGCCCAGCCCGTCTTGTCTAGGGGCAAAAAAAGGAAAGAGGTCTTCAAGCAGCCCGATCAAAACCATCATCGGCTCATAGTCTGCTGCTCAGCCTGTCCTGATTCGGAAAGAACTTGCATAGCAATGATCTACCCCGAGAAGGATCAGAGCATTCTTAAAGCTGTCCTAAATATCACTTACCTACCTCTCCCAGTTTTGCACCTGTTCTCGACACGGTTATTAAGAGACAGTGACGTCAGCCAGGATTTATGATCAGCTTAACGTCCCTAACATAGATCGCTGCATTCTCCAAGGTAACACTCTGACATTGTAGATTATTCCAAAGCAGAGACGGGAAGCCTCCGTAAGCTACGATTAACACGCAGATGCAGAGACTGTGAGCTCATTTGAAGGTATTGCGACTTACCACAGGATTAAAACCTGCCAGACAGAGCTGTGAGCTGCGTCTGCGGGCCTTCAGGGGTCGCTCATAGGCTCAGATCAGTTCTTCAAACGGCATCAATACTCTTTTAGAAAGTCAAGATATTAGTGATTGACATGAGGTCAACGTCAAGATCGTTCGCAAACGGAACACCCTAACTTCGAATTGAACAATGCCTAAACAATGTATAAATCCATGCTCTGCACCACCCGGCTTCAGTTTCTCTTGAATAATCACCACAAAACAGCGCAACACTCAAAAATCCTCCAGCCCAGCAGTTCTCATTCGGTACTGGCCGCCCTCAACCATCAGCCATAAAGGACTTCTACTGCAATCACACTCCAACACGTCGCAATCATAAAGTTCTCTAGCATCATAACGCAAACACTCCTCTTCGCTCTACCACTCATCGTAGATGCGGCTCCAGCCAAGGCGATCTCGACGCTCTCCGGTGGCGCCGCCACCGCCGCCGCCCCGCGCAGCCTCTTCCGCCACCCTAAGCGCGACGACGAGGAGTACCCCAGCGAGGAGTACATTGACAAGTGGGTCGGCAAGGCGTGGAGTCTCGTATACGACCCGGACATGCAGGAGAACTGGTCCGGCTCGTGCTACGACAACCCGGACGAAGGGCGCGAGGTCATCAATCGCATGGGCCAGGTGCTGGCCAAGCACTCGACGGGGACCACGTACGTGCTGATGAAGCCCGGGAATGCGCCCAGGGCCTTCTGGCTCCGGGAAGAGTACCCCGTCCTCGCAGGCAAGGGCATCACTATTACTACGGTCAATGAGGATGACACTAGCAAGCGGAAGACCTATGTAACTCACAAGAACCCGTAGTAGACTCTCGACCTACTGGAGATGTAAGGAGCTGGATTCTGGGGCGCGAGATGTACCGAGATAACTGTACTGGCACTGAGGTAGGGCCGCGAGTTGCACATGATAGAGATGGAGTAGAGTAGTCGTTCATGGGCCGCCATGAAGAATGGTTGATATTTACATTGTTCAATAACCTCATCTATGTAGGATTGTCTGAGATGGCCATGGTGCTTTTTATCGAGACACATTCGTTGCAGCTTAGTCCGATCACTAACACTTGAAGTGACAAATTCTGGTTGATGGGGGATCAAAATGTAGTGCAACTTCCGGTCACCGGGATGAGAAGAAGTTGCGTCGCCGCAATCCAAGCAACAGCAAGGATCCAAGTCCTGTCACATTGCGCTTCAAATGCAGCGCAGGCTCTTGACCCCACTCGCCACACTGGCCTGGTGGTGCAACCAATGCATATCAGGTATATACATCGCGGTCCCCTAAGTACCGAAATATCATACTGTCACGTTATAACGTGATTGAGCTAAAAAATAATAATTAAAGTTTTATAGTTGGAACAGAGTCTACTGTTAATTTCATCAAACATTTTCGCCTTTTCCGCACAAGCCGTACTACGGCCGCGTCGGTCTTTGGGCCTACAAATTAGATCAAGTGATTGCAGCTGGTAATCTCTGTAGTACCATGCTTGTAAACATATCAATGGTCGACACATAAGGTTCCCGCGATGCAATGCTTATGCAGCTCCCCTCGCTGTCTTCACAGCTGCACGCGATGCCGTGCCCCAGGCGCACCTGAAGCCACGGTCATCTTGCCTGCGCTTTACCGAGGCGTCCATCGAAGTCTCACGTCCCGCGGATTGTTCATCGCCAGCGTGAACAGCGGCTGGCTGTCCTGCGTCAGGTCAAGCAGCCTCTGCCTCGCGGCCTGCATTCTCTTCTCCATGTCCTCCTCCGCGCCACCACCCAGAGCATCTCCGCCGGTGATCTCGGGCTCGGTGTTGCACCGCCCAAAGAGAGTCGCGATGACGGCGACGAACTCGACCTGCGACATCTTCTGCCCGGGACACTTCCTCGGGCCCGAGGACCAGGGGAGGAACCCGCCACGCGGGATACCGAGGACTGCGCTGTGGTCCACTATTACTTCTTCGTTTACTGCCTTTACTCGAGATCCATCGTTGTCGCTACCGTCGTCGTCGTCGTTGCTCCCCGTGGAGATGCGCTGGATCCAGCGCGCAGGGTTGAACTCGGATGCGTCGTCCCACGCGGAAGAGCTGGCGTGCAGGGCCATGGTGTTGATGTACACGGCACAGGGCGCAGGGATAGTGATTGTCGATAGCTCGGCATTATCATCGTCGTTGTCGGAGGAGGAAGTCGAGTAGGCACGGGAGCAGGGGATGGTCTGCGGCGTGCTGGTCGAGCGCATAAGCATCGTCACTGCTGGGAACAGGCGGAGGACCTCGAACTGTGTTTGTCAGTGAAAATCTATCAGCGGCTGTTGCAAAGGGGCAAGTTTTCATCATCCTATCTCCACGGATAATTCCTCAGACTCGAGGATGCATTGCACATACCATGAGGGCCAGACAGCGCGGCAGCCTGGGAAACGCCTCCGCATAATCTGGCAGCTGCAGCTCTTTGCCGGTGCCGCCGCCCCCAGCGTAGAGGACGGCGTCGATCTCGGCCTGCACCCACGCCTGCCACTGTGGGTGTGCGGCGAGTAGCGTCACTGCGAAGCCGAGCGTATTAGCAGTCGTGTCGAACCCGGCTGCCGTGAAGATGAACAGGTTCCCGGCGATCTCGTCCTCGGAAAGGTACTGCGATTTCCCGCTGCCGACGGTTCCGCTGTCAGGTTCCTTGGTCTGGTTCCCCTGGTCACAATTGTTTTCTTGCTCCTTGGCTTCGTCCGAGAGGCGAACGAGGGTTCTTATGATGGTGTCCGGGGCGGCTGGAGTAGCAGCACTGCCCAAGTTTACGTCTTTCTTAGTCAAGGTGGTGCCACTGCCCCGACGCTCGTTGTCGAGGAGATCGTTCGTCAGCTTCGGGAGACGCTCGAGGGCGATGCCGAGCCTGCGCATGGAGTAGGGCATGATCGGCAGGCGCAGTATGGCACCCGGCACAAAGGCGGCGAACAGCAGCAGCTCAGTGCAGAGCGATATGGCGTCGACGTAGGTCATGTCGGCGTGCGGGGCGGGCTTGGCTGCCGACTCTGACGGGAGCACGTAGGGTGCGGGCCGGCCGTAGGCGACACGCTTGAGCACGTTGATGGCGATGGCTCGCAGGCCGGTGATGCTCTCTTTGGTGGATGCAGACGGATCTCCGGTGGCGGTGGTTGTTGAAGAGAGCAAGGCGTCGACGAGCTCGTTGGCCTGCTCCTTGCTTTCGGCCCAAACGCCAGAGCTGATCCGCTCGTTGAGGGCTGGCGCCACGATGCGGCGCTGGCGAGCCCAGGAATCGTCGACAGACTGTTTCCCAGGATCACTGCGTCAGCCGAGTCTTCGGGGCAAGATTATGCTGGCTGTTGTTCACTTACAGTTACGAGGTTGTGGCCAAGCAACCCCATGACGCTGGTCGTCACGTCTGGATGAACAAAGTCGCGCCTACGAGCAAGGATGGCGTTGGCCATGGCCGGATCAGCAGTAACGAAGCGATTCAGAGAAGTCGTGACAATGACAAAAGCCGGACCGAGCCGCTCGTGGATGGCGCTCTTGTCGTGGAACTCCCAGCCCCATAGTGTAAGATCAAAGGCACGCCGAGCGGAGGCGGGCAGAATCCGGCGGAGGAGTGGTTTCAACGGCTCGGAGACGACTCCGAAAATGAACTAGAGAGGGGAAAGTGGATGTCAGATATCGTGTCTTCGGCATGGGCAGAACAAGAGCCAGACTAACACCATCGGGATCATATGGCACAACAACCAGAGGCAAGCCCATCGACTTTGCGGCATTGTAGTTGCGAACAAGAAAAAGCACTTGTGACCCCGCCCAGAGGAACGAGACCAGGGCCAAGCCCACAATGATGAGACTCATGAGTGTGGTGGTCAACGGGCCAGGTTCTGTCACGAGAATGCAACTGTAGTGAACGAATACTTAGCAGTGAAAGAGTTAACGTGGACCAACTGCCATCCTGATATAGTGATGGACTACTACTGTGATGTGGATCCAACTGTCAAAATCGTGCCAGACGGAATGCGCAAATGCCGGATGACCACCCCTGGAGAACGGGTTGGACATGCAGGGACCCCTCAGCGCTCGGTGGCCGACAGCACCCGGCCCGCCGAGCTCATCTCCACATACCATTCTAGATAGACCGCAGTAGTTAGGCCAGGCCGGTCTTGGCAACAAGCAGTGATGTGAAGCCACAGCAAGACTGGCTATCCTCGAATGTTACGATTCGTAAGACACGAAGTCTTGCCGACGTCCTGGAAAGTTTTGCAATTCGCAGGGCAAAGTCAGTTAGGCGAGTCATGTGCAACAGGGCATACAATCGATCAAGGCGATGAGGGCGTGAACAATTTGGCATGCCTCCCACAGCACCCCTGAGTGGTGGTTTTGGAAGGCCGAGGGCCAACAATGCGTAACGAGCGTAACCGAGCAAACACAGCCAGCAAGCTTTGTCGGTGCTTCATAAGACGCAATAAGCGGTAGCATGCAACACATACGGCAGGCAAACCTCGTTCACAATGCCTGATGTACGTAGCGCTTAAGTCAATCAGGAACACTTATCACCATGAGGACTTATACCTGCTGTGTCAGCGATTCAGACGGCACATTTGGAAGACAGAACAGCACAGGGCGGAGAGCAAACGAAGATCCCGCCTGATAAATTTGCTGCCCATGATGGAGGACATCCATATCGAAGGTTTTAAGCAAGACCTTATCCTAGCACTACTCCAACTGACGACTATGCCAACCCCAACTAATCCCTAAGCATTGTTTGTATGAGCGAGAGGTGCGCCATAAACAAGACACAAGTTAACAAATAATCACAGATCATTTTAAAAGTTATCAATTCGTGTCGAACACCAGCGAGCAGCCTATAAAATGAGTCGGCTTGTCATCTCCTTAGAGAGTTGGAAGACAATATGCCCGACTCCACGTGGCAGCAGCACTCCAATCTGGCAGTGCAAACGAAGAGGTATATGTCGAACAGGTCAACACTAACCAGATGCTGGACATACCCGGAGGGTCGGAGGGCAACTGGTGAAACGGCTGGAGAAGAGCGTGTGGTGGATCACGGAGGGTCTCCAAGACAAGTTCTCAATGAACAGTATGTAATGTCACACAAATGTATGCAACTCTTTCTATAAATGGCTAGCTGAGCAAATCTATGAGGTCCAAGTCTAGAATGTACAAGAGAGCCCTAGTGCGCTGAGAGACGGAAACGAGTGATGTAAATACTGTTCCCGTATGTCGCAAAGCCCCCAGATGAATATGTAGTATCGCAGTCTACAGGTTGTGTCTCGCGTGCTTGCTCTGTACCTAATCCATTCACTATAGCGATACACCCGCTCGCATCTCCGTTGCTTCAATCTTCGCACTCGCCCCCACTTCACCACACCCCCAGGACCCTGGCTTTGATGGACCGCAGCGCGTAGTTGTTGCCCGCGTGCGAGCTGCCGTAGACCCGCGTGTCGTCGAGGTTGAGCGGGTATCCCAGCCCCGTGAAGAAGGACTTGAGGAACTGCTTGAGGTTCGGGATGTTGGCCGAGATGATGGCTCAAGTAACATTTGTAGTTTGTTGTGTTGAAGCCTTCAACATCAAGTGCATCACCAGCCTACAAAGAATGACATGCCAAAGAACAATGCTTCAAGCTGCACGGAGATGACCACATGCACAATATGCAGGGGTCACCAAGTGCCGAGGCCCAGGCTAGCCGCGCTTAAACACCACCATGACTCGCATGCTCGCCCTTGATTTGTAAGACTCCCGTGTGCACCTTGGTTTGTAAGCTTCCCTTGTGCAAACCTTAAGTTCCTGACCATAGCGTTGCCCCGTGGCTGGAAACACATACTAGATGCGCCTAGTGACGTCTAGTGCTGCTGCCTCACCCCGACAACCTGGCGGTCTGCGTGGTGGCTAACCGCAATCTATGGTTTGCGATGCCCCTGTGCTTTCGCGGCCATACAGAGTATATGAGATGATGGGAATTCGATAGCACGGGAGACAACTAGAAAAAGCTGCGGACCCCCTTTCGATATTGTGCCCGTCCTGTCCTCCACGCCTTAAACCTTTCATCGTAAACATTGCGCAACAAGACTATACACCAAGCAACCGTCACAATGGGCGCATCGGGCAGCAAGAGCGTCGCCTTTGACCCCAAGGTCGACATCCCGTCCCTCAAGGACAGGGTCGTCCTCGTAACGGGCGGCACCAGCGGCATAGGCCAGCAGTCCGTCCTCGAGTTCGCCAAGCACGAGCCCAAGGAGATCTGGCTCGCCGCCCGCAACGCGGCTAAGGCGAAGGAGGTTACGGACAAGATCAAGGCCGAGGTCCCCGGCGCGAACATCCGGTTCGTCCAGATAGACATAGGCTCCTTTGCGTCCGTCCGTACGGCCGCCAAGCAGATCCTCGACGGCGCCGATCGGCTCGATATCCTGCTCCTCAACGCCGGCATCATGGGAGTCCCCGCAGCTACCACCGACGAGGGCTACGAGATCCAGTTTGGTACCAACCACATGGGCCACGCGCTCTTGACCAAGCTGCTCCAGCCCTTACTCCTCAAGACGGCGGAGCAGCACGGCGACGCCCGCGTCGTGTTCGTCTCTTCGGCTGCCCATGCCTTTGGGCCGCCCGAGGGCATCATCTTTGACGCGCTTAAAACGACAGGCGAAGCGATGACCGGGAGAGCCCGTTATGGCCAAAGCAAGCTCGCCAACGCGCTGTACGCGAGGGAGCTCGCGCGGCACAACCCGCAGCTCACGGCCGTGTCGCTGCACCCGGGCGTCGTCAGGACCAACCTCGCCGCCACACTGCTGGACGGCAACTGGTTCGCGGGCGCTGTGATTGTCTTCCTCTCTATGGTTATCGGCGTCGACGTACCCACGGGCACGCTGAACCAACTCTGGGCGTCGACGGCGAAGGCAAAGGATATCGTGTCCGGCACGTACTATGAGCCGATCGGCGTCACGGGGCGCGGGAAGCCCCAGATCTACGACCAGGCGCTCGCGGAGAAGCTGTGGGAGTGGACGGAGAAGGAGCTCGAGGGGCAGACGGTCGGCTGAGAAGGGTGGAATGGGTTGATGTGATCTCTCGGCGTTCGAGCGACAACTGGTTTTACACGCAAAAATAATATGCACTCACACATGCTTACGTCTCTGGTGCATTCTATGTCTGCGATGTGCGTATTGTTTAAGATGATTTCATAGTCTTGGGCAGGGAAGACCTCACCGAGCAACGTCCAGCCGCTCAGACACCAGTCCACGTGAACCCCTTGTCTAGGGTAAGGTCGACACTGTGCGTAATGTCCGCGCTCGAAAGCCCGACGAGCACCTTGTACGCTCCCGGCCGCGCCTCCCAGCACATCCGCGCCGCGTCGTAGCAGCTCACGCAGTCCCTGTCCAGCGTCAGGACGACGTCCCTCACCTCGCCGGCCTCGAGCGCGACCTTTTCAAAGGCCCGCAGCTCCTTGGGCGGCCTGGCGTGGCCACCGCCGCCGCCGCCACCGCCGATGGCCGCATCACCGCTGTTGCAGTCGGCGACGTAGAACTGCACGGCGACTTTGCCCGCGCGGCCGCCGGTGTTCTGCACCCTCGCTGTCACCGTGATGCCGATGTTCGCGTCAGCGGCCGCGAACAGGACGCGCTGCTGCGTGATGCCGGCGCCCAGCACGGCAAAGGTCGTGTACGACAGCCCGTAGCCGAACGGGAACAGCGGCTTGGCGGCGACGTCTGCCCGGTCATAGTATCGGTATCCAACATTCAGCGCTTCCTCGTAGCGGAGGATGTTGTTGTGCGAGGGGAAATTGTCATAGGCCGGGTTGTCCTCGACCTTTCTGGGCCACGACAGCGGCAGCCGCCCGCCCGGGTTCACGTCCCCCGAGAGCACGGCGGCGACCGAGTCGCCCATCTCCTGGCCCGGGAACCACGCCTGCACAATGGCCGGGCTGCGGTCGGCAAACTGCGCCATCCCGACGGGCGCGCCCGAGAAGTTGACCACGGCGGACCGGTCCGGGTTGGCCGCGAGCACGGCGTCGACCATGTCGTACTCGGCCGCCGTCAGGTCCATGTCGGTCCGGTCGAACCCTTCCGACTCGATCTCGTTGATCGTGCCGGTGCACACGACGGCGTAGTCGCACGCCGCCGCGGCCTCTGAGGCCTCGCGCAGCCGCGCCGCGAGATCAATATGCTCGTAGAACCGTACCGCGCTGCCCTGGAACATCTTGCCGTTGAGCGGCGGCGCGTCGAGGATGGCCCGGTCCGCCGCCCACGAGTCCATGCGGACCGAGTAACGCCTGCCCGCGGTCATCTCGTGGGTGAAGCGGCGCTCGAGCTGGCGCTTATAGAAATAAAAGGACTCGGGCTTGAGCTTGGTCTCCTGCGGGCGCTCAAAGACCTGGACGCCGTCGATGTAGACGACCGCCCTGCCCGTGCTGATGGCGGAGAAGAGGTGCTGGCCCGAGGACGGGGCGACGAGGTCAAAGGTGATGCGCGTGCAGTAATCCTTGTCGAGGTGGCCGGGCCAGCGCTCCTTGATCATGTACTCGGCCTGCGGCCGCATCTCCTGGAACGACGGGTTCTCTCCGATCGTCGGCCCGTTGAACCACTCGATCTTGACGGGTGCTGGAGTGTGTTCGGTGTTGCCAACCTCGAACACCGCGGACGGGTCGGCATGGGGGACTATGCAGGCTTAGCACCAGCGATGTGTGTTTGGAATATTTCATGTTTCGGGTGACTCACCTGCTCCAAACACCGGAACCCCCGCGGCTACTTTGACGTCGTAGCCCAGCATTGGCAGTCCGTCTACAAGTGTTATCGCATGCTGCGCGTCGACCCGGGCGCTCCCGCCACCGCCGAGAACGACCGACGTAGCATGCTGGCCTATTATGGCCACGGTGGCAGTCTTGGTGATCGGGAGGACGCCGCCCTCGTTCCTCAGCAACGCGATGCCGTCCGCCCCGGCGTCTCGGATCAGCGCGTTAGTCGCGGGATCTTCGACACATCGCTCCGGCGGCTCCTCCGGGTTGTCCCAACGCCCGAGACGCCTGGCGAGCTCCAGGACACGCCGGGCGCTCGTGTTGATCGTCTCTTCTGTGACGGCACCCTTCCGGATCTGCTCCTTGACTTCCCCCACCGATCTCCATTTCGTCGGGCCGGGCATCTCGAGATCCTGACCGGCCTCGAGGCCACGGGCTGTCGAGTATGTGCCCATCCAGTCCGACATGACGAGTCCCTTGAAGCCCCATTCCTTGCGGAGGACCTGACCATCATTCACAGGCAGTTTGTGTCCAGTTGGCGCGTCTCTGCCATACAACAGGGGCCAAACGCTCGGGCCATTGCATTCATTCTGAACCCCAAGTGCGCCATACTAGAATTGGCACTTGGACACAAACTTACAGTGGGCAGGGACTCGATGCAAACTGGGGCAGAGCGACGTCGGGCTCGGGAACCGGAAGGAAGACGCCAGGCATGTGAAGAGGTTATGTGAAGTGTTCCTCCAACAGAGCCTATGGTCCAGGGAAGCCTCCCGCGACTGGCGCCTTGCGCTAAATCAGGGCCTGATTCAAGGGCGCTCGGGCCCCGCCGGGCGTGCATGGTTGGCAAGGGTTCGCGATCGTGATTCGAAAGACAATTGGTACAGTTGGCTAACTAGCCACAGCTTCGAACAGGCCCTCGCGCTCTTCGGACGCCCCAAGTCGGTGACCGGCTTCTTCCGGGCCCAGCGGCCCATCGAGAGCGAGGTCGAGCACTCGTTCACCATCAGCCTGCAGTATGACGGGGCCCTTCTGGGCCTGCTCGTCACGGTCAAGACGGCCGTCACGAGCCCTATGGCGCAGCAGCTCAAGCAGCTCGTGCGCGGGACCAAGGGCTCGTTTGTCAAGGTAAGGATTGAACCCTTGTAGAAAGCAGAAGGAACCGCGTGCTGACTTGCCAGTACTTCCAGCAGCGAAGCACCTGTCCCCAGGAGGGGGGAGCAGATCGGCGCTGGTGCTAAGCCCCTCGATGAAGGATTCGGGGTCGAGTCGGAGGCCCTGCGCGGCATCTTGACGACGTACAAGGAGTTCGACCCAAGCGTGCAGAAGCATGACCCTGAGACGAAGAAGTACACCGGGGGGTACCCGACCGTCACGGGACGGTGGATGGGGCTGTAGGAGAACGTGGCGGATGCTATTAACGGCAAGGCCAAGCTGGAGGTCAAGGCGACGCAGTCGAAGATGGCCTGCGGTTTATCGAGCCTGCGAGGGAGTCGTACGATAGGGGTATTACGGTGGCGTGGAGGTAAGGAACTCATTTGTGCATCAAGCCGTTGGATCATGGTCTATAGATCATCATCGCGTCATTAGACTTCATGAGCCTGGATCTGCAGCGTCGCCCTGCGCCGTCTTTCCTTCCGCCTCCCACCAGCTCTTCATGCCCTCAACGTCGCACCAGTCAAACTGGCGCGGCTCCTCGTACCACCACCTCTCCCCCGGCCTCCTGGGCCTGTCGCTGACGTACTTCCTGAGGCTCCCGCCGTCCGCCAGGTGGTTCTTGACGCCGACGAGCAGGATCACGGCGCCAACCCGCGGAGCGAACTCGTCGGGGTCAAGGAACACGGTCAGCAGGACGCGCTTGCCGGTGGAGGGGTCCGCGACGCGCGCCGTGCGCATGGCGTAGGGGGGCACCGGGCACGGCTGGACGTTGTCGAGGGCGCTGACGACCACCAGTGTGTTGATGGACCAGTTCTGCTTGTAGGGCAGGTCGGGGATGGACCGGAGGCGGGTGAGCTTGAGCGGGATGGAGGGATGGGTCTAGTCGCGCGGCAGTGCGGCGGGGCCACGGTGCGCGTAGGCGACAGCTTCTTCCCTGCGTCGAGAGGTTTTGGAGGGCGAGACGACCATGTTCTCGACATCGTCCGGGTCGAGGCCGTCGTCGTCATCGTAGTCGTTGCTTTGTTGCTGGCGAGGCCGATGCTTCGTCGGTGTTGCTTGGCGCGATTGGCGTTCCGCCTGCGCCAGTGCTTCTTTGATGCCCTCGAACTCGAGCTGGCTGCTGGGTATCAGGTCGACCTCGTCCTCGACCCCGGCCCGGTCGTCGTGTTGCCCTGCTTGTTCGCCGACTTGCCTGGCAGCCGGGCTCACTTGCGCAAGTTCTGAATGCCACCCGACGGTGACCAGGTCGCCAATGACGAGGTACACCATCTGCAACGGGGCCCCCGATTCGTCGTTGCCGAGTTCCCTGTGCCGGATGTGGAAGGTGTCGAGGCGCACGAAGCAGCCGACATGGACGGCGCTCGCGTCGATGAAGCGGTGCATCTCAGGGCGCAGCAGGGCCTGGATGCACAGGTCGCCGTCGCCGAGGACGAGGCGGACGGCTCGCCATCGCGTCGACCGCGGGAGGGGGGCGATCGTGACGTCCTCGACGAGGAAGATAGAGCCGGGGATGCAGTAGCTGGTGCGGAGGAGCTCGACGATGAGCAGTTTCGGGGTGAAGGGGTCGGACGGGTCCGCGAAGACTATCGGGAGTTCGGGCGGCGCGGGGCCAGGGTCCTTCTGGGCATCTTGGTCGTGGTCGTCGGGAGACACCGGGAGAGGCATGTGGAGGGATACCGTACATGCTTCGGTCAGTCGTGGGAGGGACGGCGGTGTTGAGTTGAGGCTACCCTGACGAATACAGTATACCTCGAGGCTTTACAATGCCTTCACCAGATATTCACACCGCCAACATAAGCCGCCGCAGAAGTCCAATTACCCCGAACGATGCCTCTGGCCGAGCACAATCACGACCTTCGTCGGGCCACTCAGACCAGTCGTCAGGCGATTCAACCGCCTGCCTCGAAATATGTCAATATGATACGGACGGAGTGGGCGACGTGCCTGCAGGATGGCTCCATCATAATTTTACCTCGCTTCCCGGACTTCACGATTCGATCGGCAAGGATGTTCCTGGTGTTCAGTGGCGAAAATCAGACATATACCTCCGAAACGATTACCACACCCCTCAGTATAGACCGAGTCAACCGGTCCAACACGTCGACACACTGATACCAGACCCGGCCGGACCAGACGGAAAAGGCAGCACTATGGTCAACTAAGTCGGGACGAGTCTATAACGCGAGCCGTAACGAGGATGACGACCCTCCCAACTGCCTTGTGATTAGCTCGCCAGCTCAGAGAAACAGACCGTCACCTCGCCTCGGCGCTTGCCTTGGCCCATGAAAGGGATCTTGCCTGGGCCGAACAAAGGCGCCAAACGCAACGAGGCAGAGCCACGCTTTCGCCGCCGGCCGCAAGCCCTGCCCAGGTCTCATTGCTTCCGGATGTGCCCGCCCAGGGCGAGGAGCAGCGTGAGCAGCATGGCTTGTCCGATGCCAGCTCGAGATCCAACGCCGTTGGAATAATTCAAAACCCACCAATCCCGGGCGATCCAGCTCCGTCTGTTGAGGCCCTTCTTGCTAGGGTTAACAGTTTTGCGAAAACCCATGGCTTCGGCGTTATCAAAGCTCATGGCATGATTCGACCGGGACAGCGAAGTCGATATGTCTTCCAATGCGACCGGTACGGGGCTCCGCGGCCAGGAAGGGGTGCTGGCCTTCGGAAACGAAAGTCTCGAAAGTCGGGGTGCCTATGGAAAATTATTGCCGAGGCCCTGCCAGGGAACAGCTTCCAGTGGACTCTGCGGCACTTCCCAGGTGCGGAACACCACCGCCACAACCATAACCCCAGTACCGACGCCGCCACCCACCCAGTTCACCGACGACTTCATAGTCCTGTGAAGGCGGCCATCCAGTCTTCCAGCCGACGGGTTGGCATTCGTGCGCGAGACATTGGCGGCATCGTCCGAGATCGCTTCCCAGATTCGGTTTACACCAAGAGAGATATCTACAACGCCAGAGCTCGGATCAGCAGAGAGAATCTGGGTGGCTACAGCTCTACGGCTGCATTGATCAAGTTGTTCGACAGTAAGGAGGTCCCTTACGTTGCTCAGTGGGCTACGGACGAACCCGACCGCCTGGTGGGGTTGGTTTGGACGTTCCCTTATTGTGTCAGAATGTGGAAGCGTTTCCCCGAGGTCGTCAGTTTCGACAACACCTACAACACGAACCGCTTCAAGTTACCGCTCTTCCAAGTCACGGGACAGACATGCTTGGGCACTGTCTTTAACGCCGCATTCGGCTTGATCGACAACGAGAGGCTTGAAGGGTTCCAGTTCCTTGCAAACGGCGTGCGCACGCTCCTCGGCCGATATAGCATCCGGACCCCCAACGTCGTCATTACTGACTTTGACGACCAGATGAAAAAGGCACTTGAGGTCGAGTTTCCAGACGCTCAGCAGCAGCTTTGCATCCACCACATCAACTCCAATGTAATGCTTCAGTCCAAGCGGAAGTGGGTATCCACCAGGAGGGACAGCAGTACCGGTGAGGAGAGCAGTTCGGATGAGCCCGACGCCACTCTCGACCGGCACGATCGACAGGCAGTGCAGGCATCTGGGAGGCTAGAAGGACCAACCACACACGACAACCTGAATCGGCCAATAACCCATGACTACCACGGAGTGCTTATGCTCTGGAGGCTGGTGGTGTTTGCCGAGACCGAAAAGGATCACGAGAAAGCCTGGAAGAGTCTCTGCACAGAGTTCGGGGATCAGAGAGCGATCCTTGCGTATCTGTATGGTACGTACATGCCTGTGAGGGCGCAGTGGGCTCGCTGCTTCATCCGGAAATACCGCAACTTCGGCATTCGAGTGACCTCCGGCACAGAGGCCAGCAACAACAATGTCAAGAGCTATCTTCTGAACGGCATGAGCTCCATTTGTATCGGCTGGTCGAGGCAATCCAAGGTATGCTGGAAGACCAGGAGAGGGAGTTTCGACAAGCCTGTGCTCAGGACGAGGTGTTAACGGCGCGAGAGCACGTGGGGCGCGGCTCAGAGTATCTGGGCGAGCTTCCTAGGATGGTGTCTCACAAGGCACTTTGTTTGATTACCAGGGAGTACCGCAAGGCTCTGAAAGCCATCCCAACCGCGGCAAATCCGTGGCCGAACGCCATGACCCCATGCAACGACGACTGCACCGCGCCTATCGAGCTTGGTATCCCCTGTTATCATACTATCTATGGGAAGCTTATTACCGCAGCGCCTCTAACCAAGTGGGATATCCATCCATGGTGGCACTTGCGAGAGCCTGTAAGCGAAGACGTACATGGCCGGATCCTAGACCCCAGGATCGCCACCAGTCTCCGTGGACGACCAAAAAATAAACCCCAGCCCCTGCCAGCGAGTATGGCGGTTGAGACCAGCAGTCAAACCCAGAGCCACCAGATTTCCAACAGTCAGCAGCCTCGAAGCCCTCTGGTCTTATTTAGGGGCGCCGCCAGCCAGGCACAAAATAGCCAATCAAGCCAGGAGAGGACACTGCATCTCGGGCCCGGGAAAACTTCAGGAAGCCGGGCGAGTGGGCGCAGGACCCAGCCCAGTGGGAGCTATCGAGCGATGAAGCGACAACGTTTGCTCTCCAAGCAGGACCTACAACAGCCAAAGCTGCCACACGGGCTCCCAGTAAATGCAGCAAATGCCACACGGTCGGCCACACAATGACCTCAAAAGCGTGTCCCTTGCGGTACTCGGAGCTATCTTCGCAGTCAGGTTTCACTTCGGAGCCCGCCTCACGATCTACCGTATTGTTGGATTCAACCCCGAGTATACGAGACATGCCGGATCCGAATCCCACCGTACCAGTTTCAACATCCCACCCTCCTGCAGACGGTCCGCCACGGTCTCTTCCATCACCTGTTCTCGTGCCGGTACCCTCACCTGATCCACCGTCGCCTCCACCTCCGCCTTCGCCGACGTGCGATATTGCACAGGCTATATATCAAAGATATGTCGCTGCAAGACGCGCTTGGTATGCAGCGCAGCCCCGCGGGACTATCAAAACCAACCAGGAATACCGCAGGGCAATGGGTCTCCCACTGCGGTATGACCAGAAGAGTTATGATTGGTGCTTGGAAAGCGAGCAGATGACAATGCTCTGCATCACTGCAACGGACGCAAGAGAATGGACTAAAGAAGAGATGATGGCTTATCTGGACAGGATGGTCACGCTGAGGCACAGGGAGTTGTGGAGATGGGAGACGATCCGCCGACGAACACCGGAGGAAGCGACATTGACACCGAAATGCGGATGGAGCAGTGTATTGTAGTCAAGCTGTAACGCAGCGCAAGACTAATTAATTGAAACTCTCGCCACTGATGGATTTGGGACAAATCCTGACTTGACCGCTGAGGTTCACTTGGGCCGCAAACCAATGGGGACACGTACCATGGCGCTGTCACCGGGTTGAGAGTCATCATATAAAGAGAGAGCCTTGTCGTAGGAGATCATAGATATGTATACGTACCGTCCAATTGCCAGATCCATTCCAGCGACGGCCATCCGCGAAAACAGCACTGTGATAAGGCATCCCAAGAGTCTGTTAACGCGTGGTAGAGCGAACCTGCTTCACCGCCTTGTGCGGGGTGTCCTGACGGGCCGGCAAGTTTGTCGGCCAATGGGAGGCTGTGAAAAGTGCGGCACCCGTAAGCTTGCGGCACCCGTATCAAAATGGTGCGGCACCCCTATCAATTGCCGTACTTAAATCCACGGGTACCCGTGAGCCTATTGCGTCCCTTCCCGCTGCCGAACTATGCAAACCAAAGTCAGCCATCAATGCCACTTTGATGTTTTCGGGGCCCGTCAAACAGGCATCAAGGTAGGGTACGCAGGGCATGACCAAATCCAAGAACACGACAATATGCCTCGTTCAACAGTCGAGTCCGAGTACACATTTGTGAATTTGACGGATAACCCAGCCAAAGGCAGAGATGAACGGCGCACATTTGTCCGTCAGACGGTCATGTCAGACTACCACAAACGCCGGCGAAAGAAGGACCACAACCCTGGAGACACGTCTATGAGAGACTCACCAGCACGACCCACAATCATTGAATACGACAGGAGCTCCTGCAGCTCAGGCTCACAGACAGAGCTGGAATCAGAGCAAGCCACAAATGGCGCGTGCAGGGCAGATGAGGCGGCCCAGGGTAGTTCCATGTTGCTGGGGCCGAGATCACTGTATCTGTTCCAACCAAAGCTCTGGTCCGAGTCCGAAAGCTCTCAGATCAGCCACCTGATCGTGAGGTTTCTCTGTGGCCAGCCAATCAAGGCCGCGCACGACTTGTCGTATGCCATCTTTGTCCACCGGCATTTCAAGGATGCACAACATGTCGGGGCCGGCAGCAGCAGCAGCAGTCACCCCTTGACGGCCTGTGCCGAGCTCCTTCACACCTTCGTCGCTGCCACACCGTCCACGTCCATGGATTATCCTGCATTATGGGCGAGGGTCCACGAGCAACAAGAGTGGATTTACGCCCAGGTAAGTACGGATGTCTCTTATGAGTATCCTCTAGATTTCTCTACTTCTACGCTGTCTCCTCGCCACTAACAGAGATCTCAAAGACCGATAATTTCACCAAGTGGGAACTACTATCAGCCGCCCAAGCAAGCAGCCTATATATGCTCTTGTGGCTTCGATTAGGCGGCAGCCAGGGCCACTTCCCTGATGGCGGCCTTGCTCTGCTGTACACTCTTGGGGTGAGGCGCATTTCAAGCCAGAAATTTCTGTCAAGTTTAAAACACGTTTGCACGCAACTCAGCTAGATGATACCAGATGCTAACGGTCCGTTCACAGAACATCTTTAAATACCTTCTTGGTCGCCATTTGAAGACTGATGCAAAATTGATACCAACCATGCTTCCACCTAACAAGTGGCACGACTGGATCTTTCAAGAATCGTGCCTTCGCGTGTCAGCGGTCTACTTCATTCTGGCCATCGTCGTCAGTATGGATATTGGGCTGGCTTGCCACTGGCCCATTGAGAGGGTGCCACTTCCCGCCACGAAGGCCCTCTGGGAGGCAGACAGCGAGGCCGCGTGGATGAGTGTCTTTCGGGTGACGGAAGGCGCCGGCGACCGGTTAATGTTTGGCGATCTGCTTGTCGCACCAGGTCACCACCGGCAACGCGCGGAGGCCTGGGAGGAGGAAGCTGATGAGCTTGGATTCATCATCGCCCTAGCGAGTCGCCTGCACAGTCGGGTTTAACGGGTCCACGGGCGCATTTAGATGGCCGTCCCAGGGAAGAAGTCGGCAATAGCGGTGTGTGTGTTGTGTTTTGCATTGATCCAAGCCTCGAGCTGACATGACCTTGCCAAAAAGGGCATTACACAAGGGTGCTCTTGCAAGGTCTCCATAGTGGCTCCACTGGATGCAACGGCGGGCTGCTGATTGAGCAACGTCCGAAAAGGGCAAGTCATCAGTGTGGGGCTTCAACCCAACCAGGCAGTACATGTACGACTTGAGCACCAAAAATATGGCGGGCACGAGAACTGAGCTAGCCAGGCAAAGCAGTCTTCGTAATTTTGCGGCTGAGAAAGCAACATAGCTTCAAGGAGATGGGAGAAGCATAAGACGGGAAACATGGCTTGCCACGGTTGCCATCAGCTTGCGCATTCATATATAAGCAGATGGCTCCGCTGATGGGAATTGGCTCTCCATGACCACAGGACACAATAAAAAAGAACCTCCAAACTCCACCAAGCCATTTGCTTCCCTTCATCGACTTCGGAATGGTTGCTGTACGAAAGACCGCCCTCATCACAGGCTGCTCCGCTGGCGGTGTTGGTGTTGCCATCGCCGAAGTCTTCCAAGAACACGGCTACCATGTATTCGCCACCGCCCGCACCCCCTCGAAAGTCCCACAGACGTTGCACGCCGCTTCCAATGTCACCGTGATGAGCCTTGACGTGATGTCCGTCGACTCCATCGCCGCCGCGGCGGAACAAGTCGCCAAGCAGGCGGGCAAGCTCGATGTTCTGATAAACAACGCCGGGCTGGGGTTGAACGCGCCCGTTCTCGACACCCCTCTCAAGGAAGCCAAGCAGCTCTTTGATCTCAACTTCTTCGGGCCGATGGCCATGCTGCAGTCCTTCGGCCCGTTGCTCATCAAGGCCAAGGGCTGTGTGGTGAACATTTCCTCTGTCGGCGGAGCAATCAATTTTCCTTTTTCAAGTAGGTATCTGTATTCATTCCTTGATAAGGGCATCATGGCAAAACTTGCATTAACTCTTTTTCTCTCATCGTCTAGGCATCTACAATGCCTCAAAGGCGGCTCTGATTCAAGGAAGTGAGACATGGCGCCTTGAGCTCGCTCCCCTTGGAGTTCGCACAATCACTCTCATGACGGGCGGCATCGCAACGAGCTTTTTTTCCAACATGCGCACCTTGCCGATACCCGAGTCATCCAACTATTATGGAATCAAGAGCATTATCGAGGAAAACCCGGACCAGAATCCCTATGGTATGGAGCCAAAGGCGTTTGCCACTCAACTGCTCCGCCACGTGGAGCGGGGTGCCAGCGGCAAGATATGGCTGGGTGGAGGTGTTTCCATGGCGCGCATGCTGCTGTGGCTCTCTCCGTCAAGCGCCGTGGTTAGTATTCACATTAGACACCGAATCTCTAGTACTGAAGACTGGCTAACTGTCAACATAGGATGGATTGGTCGAAAGACAGAAGCGATTCTCCAAAGCATTGGCTGAAAGTCACGCGAAGAAGGAATAAGAGATTCAGAGACGCATAGCCAGGAGCATTTGTTGTCCAAGTGTTGCGCTAGTGGCGCCCCTGTGAGGACTCTGCTGCAACAAAGATAGAACGAACCCACTGTATTTTAATATGTAGAATCCCCCTTCAGGCTGAAGGGGGCGAAGACCAAGCAATCGAGACCTTCACTTCTTGGACTTTACTTGAATCTAGACTACCACACTTGAGCTCCTGCCCAGTCAAGTGGGCATGGCTCTGACAGTGATCTGTTACGTGACTACAAGATTTTACATGCTTCGAGTCATCTGTGACGCTCTTCATTGCCATCTATGCAATGCGCACCATGCTTTTGAGAAGTCGAAGCGCTCCAAAAGCGGCAAAGTGATCCTAACCGCTACTCCAGCAGGCACAAGTACTTTAAGCAGTCGACGACCACAGTGACAACAAGGGAGTCAGCACAGACCCGTCTTGAGTAAAGTAGAAAAGGTACTGCCGTATGGCACCCGTCTTGCAACAGGAGGGGTGACCCTCCGCAGGCCATTGTCTCCAATTACCCACGATGAGCAGCTTCACAGTTAAAGAATAAGTGACCGACTGGTGCATGAGACAAAAGTTTTCGAATTTTGCGAGAGGATTTAGTTCCGAAATCATCCACCCACACCAGGTCGGGCAAATAGCCTGGGGTAAAGCCATAACAAACCCGGAGAAGCAGCTATATGGGATAGAGTAGCGAGTGGTTTGTTGAAACGTCGCAGAATACTTTCTTATCTCCATGAGGTCAATCACATCACATCACACTGGTTCCCCAGTCAGAGTGGGTAGTTTGGGTCGGTTGACCAGTTAAGCCACATTCAAACGCGGCTGCTTCCGCGGCCGAAAAATTGATCTGGAGCCAGCACCCTGGAGCCGCCTGTAGCAAGCCACTAACTAGTTAGTGACTAGTTACTTGTGGCAAACACCCTGTGCCCAGCAACCTGGTGCCAGCGCCCTGGGGCCAGCACCCTGTGTAGCACCCTGTGCTCAGCCACTACTCCCTGGGGCCAGCACCTTGGGCGCCAGCACCAGGAACGAAGCTCCAAACGGTCCCTTTCTCCGCCCAGCCGTTCTATGGCGGATCCAGCCGAGACGAAGGCGGCGTTCGGATAAGGAAACCAAGGCATTCGCCGGCGAAGTGGTTTCGGAGCAAGCCCCGGCGCTTCCAGCCAATTAGAGAAGAGAGCAGACTCAGTCTTCAAAATAAGACTTGGCAATGACGCAGTCCTCTCCTCGGACAAAAACGATCGGTGGTTGGTGTCGCGGAGTCAGCATCGCGTTGCCACACCCTGAAATCCTTCGTTCGGCCCGGCGACAGTTGCTGCCGTCCGACCGTGCTTACAAGTTGATTTCTTTCCTTTGCCTCCGCATGCAGAGCGGTAACTCTTATTTAACATCGTAGGAGACTTTCCGAGGGGAGTGAGGTGGCGGCACACGTCCCATGATCAATCCTGCTTTGCCTAGGTAGCAGGTTGATCACATCACCAATGCCATTTCACAGAAGGAAGAGTTGGAGCCGCCAGCCGCTCGCAGTATAGGCATCTATTCTGGAGGCTCTCTGGGTTTCCGGTCTGGCGACCCTTAGCAGAGCTAGGATGTGGAGATGCTATTTATTCATTCACGTGTATCGGGCGCCAGCCTCGTTTGTGCACGAGTATCACCGTAATGCGCCACTTCTACTCCTACTCCGGGCGCTATCTGGCCCTATTTGCAAGCAAAATCTTAAACCGCCAACAGTTTCAGTCTCTATGGCAGCTTTGCTGGCAAAGATTCATCGATGTCCATATAATCCAGTTGTCGGACCCTTTCGCCAGGGGCTGAAGGAAAATGACGCTATTGCGAAGGAAAAACAGGCACTTGTATAGGGTATCTTCTAGTAGAGTCTAGTTTCACTTCCGATGAACATCTTGAAATAGTGATTACAACCTTGTGCTCCGCTGTTTTCTAAACCGTAGCATCTCTGGTACACTAAATCCATGAATGACACCTGGGGCTTGAGACTGTGGTAGGCCATAAACAAGTATCAGTCATCTTTACGAGGCCAATTGGTAAGCGGCTGCATAGAGCGCAGCAATTTTTGTAGGCTATACCGTAATGTACAGTGCTTAAGGATCTTGTAGTGTGTTATACTTCAAGTTGAAGATATGTGTTTCGGCAGAAACGTGTCGCTAAGGGTAGTTTCCAAGAGTCAAGAGATAGAACGCACGTATTAATGAGCGAAGTGGTTCGCTTCCGAGGGACCGCATCATTTATTCGGCGTAATTATCCTAGGGCCTTGTAGCAAGGCCACTTTGCTTCTGAAATTTAGAAAGTTTGTATGACATGGTTGTCGGAGATCTCACTACGTCAGGGATGGACCACGATGGTACTGTAGCCACGACCTGCAGGTCACCCTATCTTACTTGGAAAATCAGAGACCATAGGGGGCCTAGCCATAATGTTGGAATAACGCTCGAAAGAGGCTGGTGTTCCACTCGGACTGGGATGCACACTGTGCCCCCATGTTGTCCGCACCGACGGGGTCCATCTGTAGATATCAGTTAGCAGACGCCCACATATTCTCCGGGTTACTGGTACACTAACAAGGAATTGTGTGGTACTAAGGTGCGGGGTCAAACAAGGGGTCGCAGGCTGGAGCAATGCACAGGGTATTGCACACAATGTGGCGCAAGGAATGGCTGAGAACCTTTTCAACTATGAATAAGCACAAGTACGGCACGGGTGCACTACAAGGTGGAAGGCGCAAGGTGCAGGAGCAGGCGGGGTGGAATGTTTGGCACAAGATGGTTGGCACAAGGTGCCTGCACAGGTTGTTGGACCAGCGGGGGACTAAGGCGACAGGCTGGCGAGCACAAGATGACGAGCACAAGATGACGAGCACAAGATGACGAGCACAAGATGACGAGCACAAGATGGCTAACACAAGATGGCTAACACAAGATGGCTAATACAACGCCACTGCTAACGGCGGACCATATCGCAATCGAGACTCCCACGCATTGCGTCATACTCACATTGTGGTCAACAGCACAGGTGCACAAGCAAAAAGGGAGTGGAAGTTCAATATATTTCAGGCATATAGCTCGCGCTTAACGCTCGAGGTTATCGAGACAATGTCCTCGGGAAGAAGCTGCACTCCTTTCTGGTATGCCGTCACGTCTAGCATCTGGCAAGCGCGTAGCACACTCGCCGGGGCTAGATGGATAACCTGTTCGGCAATAGACTTCAAAGTGGTGTCATCAATTCTGGAAAAGGTTTTTCTTAGAATAAATAGTAAGCATAGCTCTACTCGATGGGGGCTCCTAGACTCTCACATGACTTCTTCTATGACATCCTCGGTGTAGATCATGAGACAAAATACTGACGGCGAAGCGAATTGTCGCCAGCGACGAGCTTGCCGCCTAATCTCCAAAACCTTTGGCCTGGTAGTCTGGAATGCACAGGTGCACAGGTCAATTGCTATGCTCCTATTGTGGCGCGTGTTACCTCGGCGCTTTTTGCTACGGGATTTGCCCTTTCTTCTGTCGGACTTGACGATTAATTCTACTTTGCTGAAGAGATCAATCAGGCGTACGTATGCCATACGGGTGAGGGCTTTCGAGTCCGGCGTGAAAATTGGAGCGTGCAGGGCTTGAAACGCTGCTAGTATGCATGGGTCGGAGCTGGAAACATTCGGCGGCAATGTTGTTTTGCCCACAAGCTGCACCCATTCAGACAAGACTGTACCACAGTGGTTAGCGATGTGCTCACGGTAATCTTCTCTGACGATGGCTCCGATCAGTGATTCTCCTCCAGGCGCCAGCTCAAGGACTGTCTGGAGACGTTCGAGAGGAATGGGGTCCATGTTGCGAGTCCAACTGATGTATCAGTGATCTGAACTGTTGCGTCTCCTCACCTCGCTTTAAATAATGCTCTCGGATCTGAGCGTGTCAATTTCAGCGCTCTAAACAGCGTCATTAGCGCGTATGTACAGTAGCGCGGAAGGCTGGTTTTAGCGGACCTGTTATTTTCAGCAGTTGAGCCGTTCTAGGAAGCCGGCTGGCACACCTGAGGGCACTTTTCAATTGTCCACGCAATCTTTCGCCAAATTTCCATTCAGAATAAGGACACTGATTCGAGCGTAAGCTCCGCGGTTGTGTGTTCGATTCAGACGCGTCGAAGCAGGCTGATTCTGGCAGGCTCTGTTATTTTCAGCCCCAAGGCACTGGACAACCCCGAATGCGATGGGATTGGTGCTTTCCGAAAATGCCATGTGATTCCGCTTCTAATCCTCCATCCACAAGTGGCTCGTCGTAAGGCTTTTGGACGGAAGTGAGAGTCACTATCCACACGGAATACCAACCTCTTTGTACAGTGGCTAGTGAGTTCATTGAACATCATGGCGGAGCATGCCTAATATCGTGAACCTGATGCACTCCAAACAATTCATACGGCATTTTTTTGGCCGTGAGTTATGGGACAACGTCAGAAGCAGAACGTGGAGCCTGAACATCGATTCATCCAAAGTCCTCTCGTGCTCTTTGCAAAACAAATGTACTTTCTACCAGCAAAATTTTTCGGTGTACAAGCAAAACTATAGAAGCTCAGAGTAAATAAACATGCGAAATACCCATTAGCACGGCCGATGTCACTCTATGCGTGAACAAGTGAACTCGAGACGGTCAGCCTTGGCAGGGCCCCGCTTTGCACCGAAACCATGGCGGGCCAGCTCCTGGAAATTCTCAACCTCTCCGGCAGGGGAGACGGGATATGTCGTTGGCCCGGATTGCGCTGCTCAAAATATTGGTCTGCCCACCATGTAATGCTGCTCCAGGATTTCGCATTATCTTCCTCTCCGCTCCAGACTCCCACCATAATCGTACATCAGTCGCAGCCCGTGCTCAGTACCAACCAGTTCGTCCGGCCTCCCTGTGGAGCAGGCACAGCTTCCAACCTGTTTGCTAATTATGTAAGTTAGCTACTCATCTTGTTGGCATACATGGCCTGTCAAAAATGTCAGCCTCGTTATTCAGGGGGTTGTGTTCGGCCATGCCCCGTATTCTTACATTCTCATAGCCTACACCAATAGCTTTGACCCCAATGTTAAGATACCATGGTGAGATATATCGTTCGACCTTGACAATGGCATCCGATGTCGGCAAATTCGGATTGAGCATGATTTCCGATGGGAGCGACGGCTCCATTACAGCCGCGCGCCCGACCCCGATTAGGTCAGTGCCGCCCCCCGTGACTGCCTCCTCCATTCCTTTCCTGCTGTGGAAACCTCCGGTCACCATAAGCGGCACGTTGGGGAAGGATAATCGGAAGGTTTCGGCAAAGTGTAAGAAGTAGGCCTCACGGGCCTTGGTGCGAGAAGATTTCGGCGGACCGTCAACCTGCACAGAGAGAGACAGAGAAGTACATGTCAGTATTCTTGAGTAACTATAAAGTTCAGTTATCAGTGACGTGTGGGCCAAAGTCCTCACCATGACGGGATCTCCGTAGGTACCACCGCTGATCTCGATAAAGTCGACTCCGGCCTCAGCAATGGCCCTAAACTGCTCGATGCAGTCCGCTAGTTCGTCCGTCGTCTGATAGTCGACCGAGTCAAGTTTGAAGCCGATAATGAATGCACTCGGCACCGCAGCCCGCACCGCTTTGATAACCTCGACAGGCATAGCGGCTCTCTTCAACGCGGATCCACCGTATTCATCAGTGCGCATGTTCGACTCAGCAGACAGGAACTGCGACAACAGGTATCCGTGTGCGCCGTGGAGCTCAATTCCGTCAAGGTCGGCCTCAGCCATGAGCTTGGCCGCATCAGCGAAGTGTTCGACCACACGGCTGATATCGGCAGTCGTCATCTCCCTCGGAGTGCCGAAGGCCATTGAAGCCAGGATCTTGTTAACGATGCCATCGCCTAGGCGCAATGGGATGGGGCTAGGGGCGATGGACTTTTCGCACAAGCCTTTAGTCCCGGAGCCGGCCAGCGCTTGGCGACCGGGATGGCAGAGCTGGACAAGAACCTTGGTTCCATTTTGTTTGGCCGCTCTGGCGAATGCGCTGTACTTGTCAAGTTGTATCTTTCTATCGACGGCAGTGTTAACGACGAAGGCACCGGGCCCGCTGATTCGCTTGGGGTCAACCATGACATTTCCTATCAATTCGAAGAAGATATGATATATTAGACAGGGTCTGGAATTTCTTTTCTCATATATATTAAGCTGAAGAGATTGTCTGGTAATCAAGGCATACCTGTTATGAGCATACCCCAGCCGCCCTCTGACCATCTGGCATAGTTTCGATTGTAGTCTTCGTTGGGAAGAAGGTCCTTCGTCATGTAGCCCTCAGCCATAGCTGATTTCACCAAGTTAACCCTTCCTTTTTCCCGTCCGTTGTCTGCCGTGCGAACCCCAGCTCTCTCCTTCACTTACCTGAACCTTATGGGGGAATTGGGGTAGCCCGACTGGCCGGGGGCGGCTGGTCCCTGGGGGTTAGCATCCCTGCCCACTGTAAGTTTGTGTCCAAGTGCCAATTCTAGTATGGCGCACTTGGGGTTCAGAATGAATGCAATGGCCCGAGCGTTTGGCCCCTGTTCTATGGCAGAGACGCGCCAACTGGACACAAACTGCCTGTGAATGATGGTCAGTACGGAGCCGCCTCGCATCTGCATGATCCGGACCATGGCCTGCTCCTGCTCTGCCGTCCTCCAGCGCGCCCCGGCCCCGACGATCGACTCGAGCCCTTGCTGGATCCGGCGCCTGATCTCCCCGACAGCTTCTGGGAGCGCCTTCCTCTGCTTCGCCGGTTGTGGGCTCGGCTCCGTCGTCTCCATCCTACCCGGGAGTTCGCTATCCTCATCGAACGATTCGGCGTCCGTAGACTCTCGCTTCCGCTTCCTCGTCCGCTTCTGGGCCTTGTCCAGCGACTTGCCCTTACTACCCTGGCCATCCCAGCTCAGATACTGGTGCCAGAGCCGGCTGATCTCGCGGTAGTTGGCGATCATCTGCGGCTGTAGCTGCCCTGGGAACTGGATGTTGATCGCGTAGTGCGAGCGCGCCATGGCGCTGCTATGTGTCGCCTGCAGATCCCAGATCAACTCCGTCCGGTCCCTCGGCCGCAGCTCGCCGGTAGCCTCGTCGAAGTCCTCGTCCTCGGGCCCGTATCCGTCATCGGCCGCACCGACCTCGAGCTCCTTCTGCTGTACGACGAGCCCCTGGATCGTCCGGCCCAGCTCGATCGCTAGATGCCGGTACGCCGAAGTGCCTAGTTCGACGCCGAGATAGCCTGTCGTAGCTGATCGGAGCTCCCTCGTTAGCACCTCTGTCCCCCAGCGGCCCTTCCGCGCGTCCTTCCACAGCCAGTGCCGTAGCGAGTCGGACGGCTTTCGAGCCCGCGTCGTATCGAGTAGCATCTCCTCGAACGGGATTAGCCAGACGAGATAAGCGACGATTAGTCGTCCGATCCGATCCGGTAGAAACCGTGCGACCTTCCGGCCGTAACAGCGGATCGACTTGGCCTTGTCCCGGTCCGTCACGAGCATTACCTGCCCGTCGTAGACGTACACGCTCCGGCTAAGCTGCTTCGTATCTAGATACCGTACGCTCGTGATCTCGGGCCCTCGGCCTGGCTGGCCCCCCCAGACGTGCGTTAGCACGAGCAGCTGGCTCTTCAGCGTGCCGATCTGGTTCAGCCACTTCTGCGACCTCTCCCGGTGGTACTGCTGCCGCTGCGCCGACCAGAGCTTCTCCGAGACCAGCTCGGCGACGACGCGTGGCCCCCCCCGGAGCTTGCTATTCTCCGGGTTCGTGATAAACGACTTCCCGTCGCCCTCGTATAGCACGCTATCGCGGATCTCGCTAAACTCGATCCGTTCTAGAAGCGCCGCCGACTGGCCGTATAGTAGCCCGTCGAGCGTCGATTCGGCTGTCGAGACGAGCCCCTGGGCCATCTGCCGGAACTTCTGGACCTCGATCCGGAAGCCGTGTAGCCGGAGCGCCTGCCTCCCGTCCTCCCAGATGATCGTTGCGGTACCGCCCTCCTTCTGGCGGTAGCCCTTCCCAATTGTCATAAAGCGATTTATCGTACTGAACGGGCTATGTGAGCCGTCTGCGATCCATTTCTGGTAGCCTCGGAGAAACGCTTCGACGTCCTCGCTCTGTAGTTGACGATGCGTGCCCTGGCTGGCCTCGCGAACGCTCTCTCCGGCCTCCTCCTCCTCCTCCTCCTCCTCCTCCTCCTCCTCTTCCTCCTCCTCTTCCTCTTCCTGGATTGGGATATGCTCGAAGAAATACTCTAGTAGTAGTACGCGGCCACACCACGCCAAGCCTGCAAGTAGCGAAGTGAAGTCGCCTGGTCGCCGGAACCGTGCTCGGACGGGGTCGATCGCGAGTACCGTAGTAAAGTGGAGTAGCGGGTTCTCGTACGGGTTACGTAGTACCTGCTGCGTGAGCGATAGAATACAGAACGTGAAGACGGCTTCGTCTAGATATTGCTTCTCTTCCTCGTCCTCGCCGCCGCCTACCCGGGAACTCTCCTCCTCCGTACTGTCGAGAGCTTCCGTAATAGCTTCGAGAGCGGCCCACTGCTCCTGAGTGAACTTTACCCGGTGCTTCCTCCTCGCCTCCGTACGGCCGAGCCGGAAGACCCGGACGCAGTAGCAGAGATAGCGCCGCCAGTGGTTCCGGTACTTCTCCATCGTGTGCGCTTCCTGCTTCATACTGAACGGCCGCGGTGACGGCCGGTGCGGGTCGCGGCTTACCAGCCAGCAGAGCGTCTCCACGGGCACCTGGCCGATCCGCCGGCTGCACCGCTCGATCTCCCGGTCGAAGCTCTGGCCTAGCCGTACGAGTGCCACTTCCGAAGCCTCTCTCTCCTTCCGGGCCGACCAGCTTAGCTTAGCCAGCTCCTTCGTCGACAGACCTGGCTCGGCCGCGCGCCGTAGCTCCGCCATATTCTTGCCCTTTAGATGCTTCGCCCAGCCCATCTGGTGGACCCACGGCGACTCGAAGTCGACCCCGGCCTCGTAGTCGATTATCCGGCCCCGCTCCGCCTCTTCGGCGGCCACCTTAGTCTCGAACGCCGCTATGTGGGCCTCCCAGCTCGGCTCCGCGCCCCGGCTGGGTTCTGGCTCCGCCCGGACCGGCCGTTCGGGCACCCTCTTTCGAGCCCTCTCGTGCTGGGATCGGCGCGTCCACGACCCAGTATCGCGTGAACTGCCTGGCCGACGAGAACGACTGGAGTGCTACGCCCTCCCAGCTGCTGGGTCTGTCGTGCTCCTGCTGTCCGGCGGCGCGCTGCGTGTTCCAGTGCCGCGACATCCGCTTGCTGCTTGTCGTCAGATATCGGCACGCCGTGCAGCGGAGCCCGGCCTGGACGGCGAGCTGCTCGATCGCCTTACTACCGTCTGCCGGGAGCTCGGCCGACTGCGGGTCTACTAGCCCGCCGCTGCTAGCTGTTGCCTCTGCGATCGCGCTCGTGAGCTCTCGAATGCGCCGTAGCTCGTCGCCCTGGATCTGGTGCGCCTGCCGGAAGTGCGGAGCGACGTTGACGCCTGGCCGGATCGCTCCCTTGCAGTACAAGCACATGAGAACGCGCGCCGGCTCGTACAGCCAGACAGCCGAGTCCGTGATCTCTGGTGCTGCCATTGTTTGTCTTTTCACGAGTCTGTTATCGCGTCCGTATTGTATGTAGTTCTGTGATTTCTCGCGCTTGCGACTTAGCATTTCACATCTATCTATTCTCTATCTAGCTGTTCCGGCCATCTACCCTCGTACCTACCTGACCTGACCACCCCTGGGTAGTCCTCTCCTCCTCCTCGTCGCATCTCCTGCCGCGTCGCGTGGCTTGCTTTTTCATTTCTCTTCCTACATAGCGCGCCCGTTTAACCTTTTCTGTACCCTGGCCTGGCGATATCGCCCGCTCCCCTGGCTGCGGCTGCTGTAATGCGTGCCGCGTGCACGGGCCCGGGGGCGCTGGCCGGAGTTGGGGTTAGCCTAGGGGTTAGCAGTTAACCCCCAGCCGTTTTGGCTGCGCGGAACCTGACTGCGTTGGGGTAAGGGAACTTGACTGCGCCGGCCCGTGCCACCCCGGCCTGGCCCGAGCTCCCCACCGGGAACTTGACTACGCCAGCCAAGTTCCGCCGGCAATAATGGTTAGGGTGAGATTTACAGGCTCGAGTAGTACCCTATTGGGGTTGCCAGGAACACCCGCGAACTCTTACCTGATAGTTCGCCTCATATTGCGCAACTGGTGTCCGGCAGGCAGCGATTCGGCTTATGAGCAAGGGCAAGGCACAGCGGTTCATGGCGATTGTCTCTGCACCATTCCTTAACTGCTCATTGGGGCCACAGCGGACTGTGGGTGCCCACTTGGGTTTCTACTGCCGCGTGTGCATAGTCACTGGAGAGCACAAATGAACTCGGCTCGAACATACACGAGCAGGCTTCGTGAGCACATAATTAAGGAATGGCCGCAGTATTTACGAAGGGGGTTTTATGGCGATGATTACTCCACCGATGATCCCTAGGGCCGTCAGGAGCAAGCAGAATTCTGCGACATTGCAAAGGACCCACTTGCACTCCATTTGGGATTCTGACAACTCCTTCGCATCGTCATGGCGCACGATGGCAGAATACCTGGGTCGGCTTTAATTGACCTTCGCTACAGAGAACGAGCCACCTAGATTTATACCATAGCTAATAAGGTTGACGATAGAATTGCACTTAGCTAAACTTCGCTGGTAATGCTATGTTTGATGTTCCTCGTGGGACCTCTTCAATGTAATGACCTCGGGTGCCCCGGAATTCGGATGAAGGCACTATTTCTGCTCAGATGACGTGCCCAATCATCTTGGGACAGAGATTTCAACCTTGACTGAAACGACCCCGCTGGTCTGAATAGAATCAGACGAAGCAGCTTTGCCCGCGACTTGAAGTGGCTATCCTCGCTGGATGTGTGACACCTGTATACTGACTTGCTCAGGCTATTTGTGCTTTGCATATGAGATGACCGCTTGCCGTGAATGAGAATGGCGGAGCGATTCGAGTGGTCAAATAGACGCCCGATGTTCCTGATGATTTTGTTGATCATACTTGAAAGAGATAACGTAGAATGTGAACCTGGTAGTGGTTCCGATGTATGCCAGAGTTTGTCGGCAGCATGTCGAAGAACAGCTGAAACTCATAGAAGAGTCTTTCATCGTCGGTTGCGCAGCCGTCAGGCGCACGGCAGGTCCTCGCATCAACGCCTGCCTCAAGCTTCTCCAAACCAGTTCTAGGTTGGACGGAGTGTTTCATTGGCTCTTATATAACGATTATCGCGTATTTTGGCTACTCGAACGATTAGCTGCGGTCAGACCGTTATTTGGATATTACAACCCCAGAATACTCGCCGGCAGATGTGGGGAAGCGGCGACGCCGCGATCATGAAGCATTTGGCTGTGCAAAGGAAAGTCTAAGATCAGACCGGTCATGACCTTCCCAAATCCTGCTCAAGACGTGGTCCACGGCTTGATCAGCGATAGATAGCGGTACTTCTCCGCAGCGGCAAGAAGGTCGTGTAGAGCGTTTATGAAGCATGGATGTGACAGGTTGAGGGGCGAGAGGCAGTTGAACTGGGCATGTATCAGGTGGTGGAAGAGGCGTCGCATGGAGCCTGGGTCGCATCCGGACAGGAGGAGTGGAAGGTGCTTCGCGACGGGTGACCTGGAAAGCAACTCCTCGCGCGTAGTTCTCCTGGAAGCGACGAGCGAGTCTTGGACGAGACCCGGAATACACCCTTTGGTGGCTCTGCGCGTAAGACTGACCTGTACTAGGAGCGCCGCAAGCGTTTTACAGAGCACTGGTCGATCCACTTTTCCATCCACGGAGTCTTCGACGAAAACCTACATATCAAGCAAAACGACATGTTTAGCGTTGTTGCGTTGGGGTCGGCAATGACCTACCACACGACCAAATCAGTTCTGCTCTTGAACATTATGGGATATTCATTCTCGTACCTGGGCATAAGAATGATGTCGCCAACAACGTTCACGACTGGAGTGCTGTGCTGTGGGGCTTTTCTTCGACGATGTCTACATGGCGTTCTACATGTAAGTCTTTGCGCATACCCCCCCACCCACCCCCCCCCCCCCCCACATCTAAATGCGAGGATGACAAGGTCTCTGGGCACAGTCCGTACATGGTCACAGTTGCCACGAAGCTGGATGTCCCTATCAAGCTGGTCCTCCAAGGGCCAACCAAAGAAGGCAAGTACGCTTGGACTAGGGGATCTTGTCATTCCCGACATGTTCATCTGTCTTTGCTTCCGCTTCGACGACTAACTTTACTATCACCGCCAGAGAAGCGACACAGAATGCTGCCATTATTGGTGGCACGCAAGGGGTCCCAAAGGACCTGAAAATGGGGCTCTGAGGGCATACTGATGGCGGATCAAGGTATGGTCCCAGGTTAACATAATGTTGGTGTATGACCTTGACCGAAAGATTTTCGGCGCCCGTGTGGAGATCATGAGTCATAGTCGCGTATACCGAAAGTGTAGACTGTTTCGGTGACGTGCACTACTGTATCTCTACTCCACTATTCTTCTATTATCTTACGCCTAGTTCTTGACGCTGAATGTCGAGTCCCCTACAGCGAGTGATGATACTGTACTGTACATCTTAAAGAATTGAGATTGAATACACTCGAGACCATGGTCAACGAAGTCCTTGATTGGTATGAGGTTCTCAGCACTATTTAAATAATCATTTTGAACGCGGCTTTGTGATAATCGCGGGTAAGCCGAATCCCAAATGAAGGGAAGGAGAAACACTCCGTACACTCCGTCCTGTTTGCCTCCAGTCAATAATGGAAAGCGTGTCACAATCCCCTCCGGGGGTCAAGCCGTCTGACTCGGCGGTTAGGGTTATGTTCTGAGAAGGTAGGTAAAGCCTGCGCAATACTGACTCCGTGCTGTTGTGATCTCTGGGGTTGTTGCTCACGTCTCTTGGGAGAGATATCACTCTCGGGTCAGTTAAGTAACTGGGGCAGGTGAAGGGTGAGAATGCTACTTAGATTGATCGCTGAGGATAAAAGGTAAGGACTGTCTAACTAGAAGATAATATCATGACTAAATACCATTTCCTCCTTATTAGATTTCTATAGAGATTGTTCAAGCTCACGGGCTCCAGGTTGCCGCTCACCGCGATCCAAGGCTTGGATTACTGCGAGCTGTACGTGAAGCTCACCGGCTTACTGGGTGATCCGGTGGATTCTTATCGCTCTTATCGATCTTTAGTTTACGTAAGCACGGCGTGGTTCCCGAGGGGTGTCGCGTGCATGACCTGTTGGTCGGATCGTCACAGAGCGCTTCACGTTGTTTGACTGTGTGCGAATCATGGAACAGCAAGCCCATGTAAGATTATGGGCAATTGTGTTCGTAGTGTTGATTACAAAAATGCTAGCGACAAATCTACACGCTATCATGTTTTGTAGTAAGGTCAAGGAACGATCTTGCTTGATAGGAAAGCTGTTGGTTTCTTTGGTGCGCGGTGTAGTGTTGTCTTGGTGACTCAAGTGCCTCGCCCAAGCCCTACCACGGCGTTGGCCTACTGACCTGCTTAACTTTGGATAGGAGCACGAATACCCATAGCAGAATTCTCGGTTGGGGGGCTCACAAGTATTTCTACGAGGTACAACTTTAAGAAATCCAGGCATGATATGAGCTTGTACGTATTGAGAACCAGTACTTCCAGTCTAAGACGCTAGGGGAGACTGCAGTGTCCAGTTGTGAATCGCCTGGAAGACTTATTAAATAGCGACAGGTCTTCCCGCCATGCGCTGAGAGATAGATTTCTCCTTGTATTTGACCGAGTCTACTTCACAAGTGGTTGTGGTCTGCAATAGCGTATCAGACGCAGGGTAGCGATTAGGCTGTATGGTATTCCGTCTGGATACTCGGCCCTAGCGATTATCCTCGATAGTCTCAGGAAGTACTATACATAACTATAGCAATGGGCTTATGGTAATGTAGTATTACAGTAATGACCGAAATCGGTGTCCAGAATTTGGCAGTTGAGTGCTTCTGCGCACAGACCAGCCGCGCACCAAGTGGGGCTTTACAGTGCGTCTTAACTTCGCTTTGTTTAGCTGCTTAGATCCAAAACCGGCGCTCCCCGAATTGCATTTATCCGGTATGCTGGCGCCAGTCGAGTACTACGTAAGCCGCCAAGAGCGATCCACACTAATCGTTGCCTCAACTCATTCGTTATCGCACACATAAAGCTCGCTACAGCTATCTCGTTGTCCTATGGCTAACACCAGGGGGGGCTTTCTAGCGACCTACATATAGCGAGTTCCGGTACGATAGCATGGATTTAGAACCGTGGCTGCTGGTTTGGAACATTTTTTGTTCTAAGGCGCTACCTGAATCTGGATCACGGATTAAGTGCAACGGTTCCTCTCATTCTATTTCCTGTCCAACCTAACAACTCATCACTGCTACACTGGATATATGCGGGGTGAGAAAATAAGGCATAACAAGGTAGTGAGGTGCTGCGACTCCGGCTCAAACACGACGTGTTGGCGATGCGCCCGCGATGCGAGATAAAAGTGCAAGGACAGTGTGGGCACAGGAGCTTTGCCTGAGGAGGCACCTATTACCATCTTTTTTGGTATGGCTCAACTAGTGAGAGCCATTCACCGAACGTGTAGAATATAAGCTCGGCTACAATAATGTAGTATCCTACATAGTCAGCCAATTTTACCTAGCTAGACGGGTCCGACTGCCGACATACTAATGCCCTAAATAACATGGAATAAAGAATGGAAAGAAAAGGCAGGGAAAAAGTTAGAAGTACGACCTAGTAGGCTACCCGCAATCCAAGCAGATTCTCGCATTAAAATGCCCATTGTAGCACGCGGCCAGACGCACATCCAACAGCTACCATCCTCTTACCTACGGTTGATACAATAGGACGATACTCTGGTGGTAGCCAGAGCCATTTTTCATCGTCAAAAAGAATCCAAGTGCGATCTACGCTTAGACCATAGCCACGACGCTGCCCGTTCAAAGACGAATGCGAAAAGGGCGTGGACAAGATCGAAGAGGCTTGTTCTGATGCCGTAGGTAAAAGCGTAATTGTGCCAAGATCAGTGTGGAGGCAGTCCCCTTGTTTGTTGAACTCGATATGAGATACTTTCATCCCCATATCGAGTGTCCGGAGGCATTGACCCGTCGTAGCATCCCACACCTTGACAGTCTTGTCCCACGACGCCGACACGAGCCGGCAGCCGTCGTGCGAGAACACGACCGAGTTGACCTTATCGCTATGCCCCTCCAGCGTCTGGAGGCATTCATTCCACTGATCTTCCATAGCCGGCTTCATTTTGATCCAAGTCGGTTCTTCGTGTCGAAAAGTCATCCTGACGCGGCTGCGCGCAGGGCTAAACACTAATGCAGACGCATAGACCTGTAGCGGATAATTCTCAATCACCCATCGATAATACATAGTAAAGCAGTGTGCATCCTGAAGAAAGCCATATAGACTATTATCCTCCATGTTGATTATCGGGATCGGGGCAGAGTGTCCTGTGTTTCGAATCTCGAGCGGTCGATGCGCTAGTAACTCACTGGCAAGTCTGCTCAAGAATACAACAGCGCCAGGCAGTTGTTTCACAAGACTCAGACCCTCGAGCCAATGGAGAAAGTGGACCCGAAGGAATGTGGCGACTGAGTTCATTATGTCGCCGTCCTGGAGTCCAGCGTTCGGCTCGAGGAGGTGGCGTATCCAGTAGGTGCATGCGTACCGAACATCGAAGAGTGGATCCGGGGAACGTACAACGACGTCCTCAATTGCAGCACTGTGCTGACGAAGATTGTACATGTTTCGCCGTAACGTCGTGGACAAGCCCTGGAGCGACCTGTATACTATTCCGTGGTGCGCCCTTCCCACTCCCGAAGGAAATATAGAAAGTGAGGCGTCCGCGGACAAGAAGTCCTTGGCGGACTGGTGGACAATGTATACGTGCTCCTCTCGGACTGTAAGGAAGGACCCGCACATGGCCACTGCCTGTCTGCAATCGTCTGTGCTACATCTTTCGAGCAATTCAGACAGAACTCGCAGCTCTTTGAGATGAAGTGGGCGATATGCTGTTACAACGACCGAGAGCATTTCCAGGCAACGACCCGAACCACGTGGTAGCCGCTGAAGACGGTCCATCATCCTGCGGTAGACGCTTGTCAAGTCAGACGGCGTCTCATCAATGACCTCTAACATATCCAAGCTCATTGTGTCGCGGAGCTCCGGGACGACAAGGGAAACCCAGAGAAATGTTCCATCAGCCTTCTGGCGCAGCTTTTCTTTAACTTGGCCTTCAAGCGCAACATCCGAAATTACAAGCAGCTGGGAGACACAATAGTCAATGTATGCGTCGACCGCGTGTGCGACCTGCTCTGCGTTCTCTCTCAGCTCAAGGCTGAGCCGAGCGCCCGAAGGATTTAGATGCAGCCCGCGCTCGATGTCGATGTTGTTGCGGCTCGATACGAGCCACTTGGCCTGAGACTTCCCTACGGTTCGAGAGATGAAGCCCAGCAGACTCGGCAAGTCCTTCGTACATTCATCGAGGGCATCGATGACTATGAAGACCGGCGGAAGCGCAGGGTCCCGTAAGATGTCCGTTAAAATCTCGGACAACGCAATCCAGGCGTTCGCATCCTCGAACAAAGCTCGGCCGGCGTGGTCGTACTGTTTCCGCAGATGGCCGATCAGCGACGGCTGCTGGCCAACGAGCATGTAGATAAGCCCCCGAAGCACAGCTGTCGCGCTGTTAATACGCGCGTCAGTGTCCTGGCAGAAGAAATAGGACAGGCTCCTGCCGGTGACTGGCGTCAGCTCGTCGATGATGCCGCAGAGGAGCATGCTTTTGCCTTTGCCAGGGTCGCCCATGATCCGGAGCAGGCGTGTCTCTGGGTCATCGCGCCATTGTCTAAACTCGGCGTTGTCCAGAATCCAGCGGTACGAGGCTGGGAGGAGGCCACCTTTTGTTTGCTCGATTCGTATCTTATCATGGCGCGGGTCGGTGGCTCGAAGGTCCCTAAGACACGCAGCGTCTTCCCCGAGGCCGTTGCTTCCTGTATTTACGTTATTAACGATTAAGGCGAAGGAATAGGGCTAACGAACCCATGTACAAGTCGCCCGTCACAGCGATGTTGTCGCGGCCGATTGCGATACTTCCGGAGCCGCCATTCTGGATCGTCTGGCCGTGGATGTGTGCTGGAGCTCCTGGAACGCTGGTGTGGTGGAAGGCGGTGCTAAACGCAGGCTGCCCCCAAAGAAAGGATCGTGGAGCGGTGGAAGTGGACCCACTAAGTCTACGCTTTCTGGAGAGACTATCCATGGTACTGTATGCTTGCAATGTAGTCAATACAGTAAAGTCTTATTTTCGCGAAAACCCACTAGATCACGACCCCGGCCTCACTACTGCATTGGACACGTGTCCCTGTGCCAGTTCAGCCTTGCGTGGCTCTTTGTGCCAAGCGACATGGGTTGTGAGCACAGGTGCACCAGCCAATTGTGCTGCTGTGGAGCTGCCTCGGCACAAGACCGCCTCCCTCATCCGTGCTGCACCAATGTAAGTCTAGACCCCCCATTGCGACCAGTGCGCATCGCGACCAGGGGTCGCGTCGCGACGCGGTTGAGCACCCCACCATACATTTTCCCATATAAACCTGCTCAACCGCGTCGCACCGCGACCCGACCACCTGCATTGTGACCGTCAAAAAGGAAGCTATCGTCATGGTCGCAAAAGACTACCAATTGCGCGCCCTGCGCGCACTGGATGAAGTTGAGGCTGGCGTACCTGTCGCGACGGCTGCTAGACGACACGATGTCGACAGATCCTACCTACGTCGTCGCCTTGACGCGTGCCCAACCTTCAAGCAAAGGTACCAAGTCCGACAAACCCTCTCCGTGACCCAGGAGGATTATCTGGTCTCTTGGGCCCTCGACCAAGCAGCAATGGGCTATGCAGCTCCATTGAAGCAATTCAAGCACTTCGCGATGCGCCTGCTGGCTCTCGACAACCCCTCCGCACACCTCGGCAAGCACTGGTACCGACGCTTCATCCGCCGCAACCCGACCTTGAAGACCTCGAGATCACGACTTATTGAATACAAACGATACGACGGTGCCTCCAAGGCCAATATCGACATCTTCTTCGACCGCCTGACGTCATTGAAGGGCAAACGAGTACGGCCCGAGAACATATGGAACGTTGACGAGTGTGGCGTCGCGGAGGGCCTAGGTCACAATGGCTTCGTGGTCAGTGATGCCTTGCGCGACTTTACCTTGAAAAAGGACGGCGCCAGGAGCACCTGGATCGCGATAATTGAGGCCATTTCTGCTGGCGGTGGCTTCATCCCTCCCCTTGTTATTTTTAAGGGCCAATCCGTGCAGCAGCAGTGGTTTCCCGACGTCGAACTTGACAGGTGGAAGCATTGGTGTTTTGACACATCACCAAACGGGTGGACCAGCAATGATATTGCTCTGAAATGGCTCAAGGAGGTATTTATTCCCAACACCAAGCCTACGGATTCTAGAGAGTGGCGATGCCTTCTTCTCGACGGCCACAAGTCGCACGCAACAGAGGAATTTATGACGGAGTGCTTCATCAATAAAATCTGGCTGATTTACCTCCCGGCTCATACCTCACATGTTCTTCAGCCACTCGATGTGGGCGTGTTCTCGGCGGTGAAGGACCACTATCGTCAAGCGGTCGCGGAGGTTGCATATAACACTATGAACGAGTCCCCAGGCAAGCGGGAGTTCCTTGAAGCATACCAAATTGCGCGCAAAAGAAAGCTCAATAAGGAGAACATCTTAGGAGGCTTCAAAGGCACAGGGGTGTGGCCTCACAATCGGTTGAAGGCGCTGGGTTCCCGCTTCGTGATGCGGGACTATGAGGAGGTACGGGAGGCCCAGCAGAATCCCCAAAATCGGGCCCAAACGACGGTTTTAGAGCCAGATTTTTTGACGCCCTTGTGTGCAATTGACGTCAAAACACCAAAAACATCTCGCGATGTCTATAAAATGCATAGGGAGTTGGTAAAGTGTGGTGTACCTTTAGGGGCGGCGACCTGCAGGAAGCTGTTCAACAAGGTCGGGAAGGCAATCGACACTTCGAACATCGCGCGCACCACCGTAGAACACCAAAAAGACCGTCTCCAAGCTGCATTAGATGCTTCAAAGCCTGCTAAACGCCGCAGAGTCGATCCGGATCCCAATAAACAGTTTGTTCAGGTCGTAAACGTGGAGCGCGCAAAGAGGCAATTGCAGCTCGAGATGGGGGCGGACTTCAGCACGGATGACGACACCGACAGCAGCGACGACGAGGTAGAGATCATTGAAGACGACATTGACGAGGAGAGCTGCATTGAGGTGCGGATCAATTGATTTGAAGCCTTTTTAACGAATGCTTGTTCAGTTATTGCAGAGTGACCATGTGGTCGGAGATGCCCTCATGCGCAGGTTGGGGGGTGGTCGCCATGCGCACTGGTCGCAATGGGGGGTCTAGACTTACTTAGGTGTCGTGTTGCGCCAGCCTGCTCTGTGTCGCCAGTTTCACGCTGCTTCCGTACATGGACCCAGAGCAACCAGACACTGACCAGTGGCTCTGGCGAAGAATTGGCGATTGGCAGAGACTAGCTTGTCAGATCCACCGCAACCGTGTAAGGCGGAAATGGGATTCTTACCTCTGTGTTTACTACGCCATAGATAATGAGTATGGCTACGATGATATTTGGTATTGTGGCGAGTATGAACACGCCTCGGACCGTGATGAGTTGGTGCCCGTCGCGTGTCGGGAGTTGGTGCCCGTCGCGTGTCGGTTTGAGAAAATGGAGCAAGGTGCAGTAAAGTAAGTACAATACTGCCAGAGTCCGTGAGACCATAACACCACAAGCTAGCAACGGCACTTGCTCGTCTGTAGACACTTGGAGGGGCGCGATAATGAAGCCGGGCCCGTAAATGATTGCTCTGTACGACCATAGCTCAGATGATCGTCCAAATTTCGCGATGAATGGCAGAGTTCTCTCCCTGAAGAGGTTGTCCTGCCACGGAGCCTTGTCCGTTTGGGTTAGCGAAACCCGGCTTTGTCGAGGATGTAGCTCTACGTACGAGGCTGAGCATCGATCCGATGGATGCGAGATAAGTTGATAGGAGCCTGCGATCAGCTGACGCGTTGTTGTCCTGTGGCACTACTGCATATGATGATGCGATAACACCGAGGAGAAATCGAAGCAGCAGAGTACTACCACAGAACCCGCATAGATCCCAGAGCAGATCGGAAAATATCCGTTGCGTGTGATTTCCCCCCAGCTCCTGTGTCCACCCCTTGTGTTGTTGATAGGAGGCCCAGCATCTGTGAGCCGTTACTGCAGTGACCATCACTAACACTGTAAGTGAGGAAGCCAGACGAAGAAGATCCATAGTGCAGGCGATGAAGTTGACTGGCCTTGACCCATACTGCTGTGCATGAGAAGCCGGAAGCTGTCCTTTAATAGCAAGACACTCCTCGACGTGTACATCTGAACAGACTCGCCAAGCGGAGCTGCTCCCGCGCCATGCCGTGCCAGCCCTTGCCGGTCGCCGCTTCCGCAATATCTCGCAAGCCGCACAGTGCATGTAGCAGTTCTCCGTTCAAGCTAGGCCGAACTTAGTTGCGAGAACGGGACTAACCCTTCATAATCTTGTAGTTGGTTGAGTTAAGCGGAGCATACACTTGCTCCGATCCAAGACCGGCAAGAATGGCTCGCCAAATATCGAGCAATACTCCCACCCAGCAGGAGCTATCACAAGTTCAGGCGCCGCCGGATAGTCTCACTCGGGCTTCACAAGCGTTCTTCCATGGTTTCGACTTCCGAGCGACCTCGGATGACGGCCCGACGTCGCCTATGGTCACCTCCACCCAAGAAGGACCATCGTCCCGCCACGAGATGTCGACGGATGATGAAATCAGTACCTTGCAAGCGTTCGCCAACTCTACCATCCAACAGGAGACCAAAGGCCACGAAAGCTTCTGTCACGCTATCAACTACAGAGCTTATCGTTCAGTGACAACCTCTGCTGACCGAGATATTCAAACACGCATCCTGCAACGGCTAAGCGACCCAGGCTCGACGCCCTTTGAGGATGATCCACGAGAGTGGTTGGCCCAAACGTCTACCACGCTGAGAAGTTGTTTCATTGAGACAGAAGTGGCGACGAAGAAGCACATGATGACCATACACACATTCGTACAGCAACTACAGCACACAAAATCCTTATTAAGACTTTGCGCCAGCATCTGTGGCCCTCAGTCAGGCGTGAATGAGGCTTATGATCAGTGTATTAAGGCAGAGGGCTTTGCAAGGGAGTTGAATATCGCATTCCAGCGTCGGGCATATGACCTTTGGGGTTCACTAACTTTGCCTGACTGAATTTAGACGGGTGTTAAGGCAGTTTCTAAGGGCTAGTATGTAAAGCTGACTCCATTCATTATTGTCTCTCATGATAGTTCTCATCGTTGTTGGGTGTGGACATGGCCAGTCTTTGTGTATGCCAATTAGCTCCCATGAGCCCGCCGAAAGCGTAAACCCCATAGCGTCATGGCTCCGCATCACCGACCCTGCTCCGGACGGACTCGGATCCGAGAGACTCTGGCCAGAACATAAACCGTTGTTTCCGTCATGAACATGTATGGGATCATGAGCAAAGCAGGGTAGCATGGCCATCACTTCATAGTTGCGAGAGTTTGAGCAAGACCGTGCGGGGGCTGTCACGCTAACATATGAGCAAGCTTTATATTGTGTCCTAATTAGAGAGGCGGAAGGGTTGAGGAACGTCTGAAAGTGTAGCAGAATGACTGAGAAAAAGAAGGGCCGCACTCCGGCCAGCCCATGAAGTCGCCTGGGACCGAGGCGCTGTCAAGTGCGCCAACCACTGCTTGAACTATTTGATGGAAGGAGGCGAGGCGTTGAGCGGTCAGCACCTGCCTTCCCCCAACTGGACGAAGTCGGTGGCATCGTCCTCATTGCCTAAGTCGTCTTGTTCCTTCTTGACGTGCTGAGGATCGGGGTAACAGTCTCCATGTTGATCTCCGAGTTCGCTGTCAGACGAACATGAAGGACTCGATCGTACTCGCAGATCCAGGAACGGATCGTTTTTTTGTAAGAGCGGCGTGGTCGTATTGCTGCGGTCTTCGAACGACCTAGCCTCCGAAGCGAAGTCGCTAGCATCATCCTCAGTGCCCAGGTCGTCGCATTCCCACTCCTGCTGAGTCCATTTCCCCTTTGGATAGTCGACCTTGTACTCATAAGTGAGGTAGCAGAAAATGGCTATGCCCTTGTGTTTCCGAAATGTGGCCTCTAAGGCAGCGTCACGACTTTCTCGACATAGGCATCCTCCCACCCCGGCGGCGTATGTACGACACAGGCGGACTTTCTCCTGTACAGAACATGGCGTTCGCCGAGTCGCAACACGCTGGATTCTCTGGGCTCAAAGCCAAACTTATCATCTCCTTTAGGCAGCATGACCAGGACCCATTCCAACCGTGGTAGCCTACGACAGCTATTACCTTCCGATCCGTCGTCAAGCATGCTTGCCAGCGCGTTGGAATACACCTGCGCGTAGCTTTTGAAGTCCGGCACAGTGGTCCAGAACCAGCGCAGGCTGATCGGCAAGTAATCAAACAGGTCCAGCCGCTCGGTTAGATCCGGGCCGAGCAGTGCAGCAAGGGACATACGCAGCTGCTCTAGACGAGTCCGCTTGTCCCTCAAAGACCCGATCGCGCCTTTGTCGTACCCTTCGAAATCGGCATCGGAGACGTTATCCGGCTCGAACTCGAAACGCCGCAGGCGCCTGGCGTGGTCGTGGAGTACAGTGCCGTACGCGCTGAAATCAAATGATCCGCGCTCCAAGCGCACACTTGGCTTCAGGACCAGAGTGTGGAGATTAGGATAAGCCAACAGCATATTCCGCACGCCATAAGGGTGAGGAGACTGGTTATCGCAGAGACTGAGACTCTTCATCTTTGGATGAGAACCTGGGAAGGTATATAGCTTTCTGGGTGGCCTACCAGGAACTACATGGTTAAGCTGAAAGTCGTTATGCCCATCGTCGTCCCTGTCGTCCCTTCGATTTTCCTCCTCGGCCTCTGAGCGTGTGTCTACGCTCGTGCCACCCCAGTCTATTCCGATAAGCTTCAATGTCTGAAGCTCGGTAGAGAGCAGTAGCGGGCGGATGTTCTTTGAGTGAAACCGGACACTGCGGTAGTCAGGGCCCTTTCCGTGCAAGTGCAGAGACCGCAGCTCTGACAGCGGCGCTGGCGTTCTCGACATCACATCTCCGCCTGATTCCCCTTCGCGTTCAATGAAGTGGCGGTCTCTGCAGAACTGAAACAGTCGCGCAAGCATGTCGGGCTCCTTCAGCGGATATACACATAAGTGTAACGTCTTAACATGAGGTGTCAGGCAGAGTAGTAATGTAAGCCAGGCCGTGTCCAGATAGGGATCGGGATGGCCCGCGCCGTTCTTATCCAATTCGGGAGGAAACAGGTACTCCAGGAACGCATCATGCGCTGGCCAACCATACCTATCCCTCGCAAGTCCACGGACTCGGTCATGGAGTAGGCGCTTGACGGCATCGGGTTCCTTCAAAGGCGCACTATACCCGCCGACGCTCCGCCGAGGCCGTCCTCGCGGCCAATCTACATCCACACCAGCGGCGCTAGCCTTCTCTTTGACGAGAGTGCGGGCGACTACGCCGTCGACAAGATCGTAGACGACGCAACGCCCGCCGACCTCGACGCCCTACCGGACTCGGCGCCGCATCGTGAGATCGACCTCGCTATCCTGCGCACCCGTAAGGAACTCGGCGCGCAGGGCAACCGGCTCGTCATCATGATGCCGCCCATCATCGACGGCATCGGCCAGCACGGCGGCGGCCGTTTGTCTATCCAGGCGCCCACGCTGGTCCGCTTCGCACTCAAGCACGGCTACGCGGGGTACGTCGGCAAGGGGCTCGCGAAGTGGCCGTACGTGCACGTCAGCGACCTCGCGCGGGGATACATGACGTTGCTGCACTACGCCGAGAGCGCCGCAGACCGCGGATCCGCTGCCGACGCCGACCTCGCGGGGAACCCGTATTTTTTCTGCGAGAGCGGCGAGGAGGCGTCGTGGCGCGACATCGCGGCCGTCATTGGCAAGGAGCTGCATAAGCAGGGAAAGCTCGAGTCCGCGGAGCCCCGGACGATCCCCGAGGCCCAGTACGCGGACTTGTTTGGCGACTTCACGCTCGCCGTGGCGGGCACCAACGCGCGCAACCGCGCAAGCCGCCTACGCAAGCTCGGCTGGGAGGCTCGGGAGAAGAAGTTTGCAGAGGAGATTGCGAAGCAGGTTATCCCTGCTGTGCTCAAGGAGTGATACAAGCATCTCATGTGTTTACTCGCCTTCCAAATATCATGTGCCGATCTTTTATGAAAAGACGAGTTCGAGTCTTCACATTGTACTATTTCAGAAGTGATACCCATGAATGCATCGGGCGGTGCTGCTCCGGGCGTCTCTCGGCAGCCTCTGGTGAGCTGAAGGCGTGCAGTCAGGGGCCGCCAGAAAGATAAGTGCCGCCAGAAAGATAAGGGCCAGTGTGCTCTCACCCTCACATGGCACGGCTCGATAATAGCTTGGAACAGTTGTTAATCTGATGTACCATGGAAACCAGGTGATATTGTGTTGAGCTAGCCACCCCGAAGACATAAAAGCCTACTTGCAAGGGGGCCTCTCTCTTCTCCTTCTTTGTTGCTGCATCTTCGTATTGATCTCGTTATCGGTTCGGCGATGCTGATCATGGTGAATGCTACAAACTAAATATCAGTGCAGACCGGTGAGCTGGACGCTGGATCTAGACTCGAGCTGATGGACGTCCATTTGGGGGTATCCTGGCTCATTTCCTCACGCCGCCGTCGTCTCAACTTGGCACGGCTACGCAGAAGAATGAGCGCCTACTGGATACGTTTGAATTCTGTGTCCTCACTTATCATGTTGCTGGCAAGCGGACTGAAGCGTTTCGAGATGTTAATTTTAGCTGCAGCAATGAGATAATTATACATATAACTCGGGTGGTATAATTAGCCAAGCCTGAGCCATGTGATCTTGTTGAAATCGTGGCATGTAGACACCCCGGGTCTAGATCAATCGACTACTTTTATGGTCCAAAGAAGGACCCTGTCCTATCCGTGGATTCTCGCTCCTTTTATCGCATGTCCGCTGTCTTGCGCGACGTGCTCTCACGCCAATCACAATTGACAGATCTTGACAGTCTCGCCGCCCTTGACAGTGACCTGGCCGTTCTGTGCGGCCCCGCTATTGACAGAAAAGTCGCCCTCAAACGGCACGATAATCGTGCCCTCGAGCTCCGCGGGCGGCGTCAGCTCGAGCGCGCACTTGGCACTACTATTGCCGCCGGACTCGTAGCCCCAGGCTACGAGGGTGTTACCGGCCGGGGTCGGCACGCGGCCGTAAACCCACTCGGACTCGAAGTCCTTCATCGGCCGGAAGGTCTTATAGCCAGGCGTGGTCGGCTTAACGCCGAGGACGTAGTCAGTGAGGAACGCAGTCGGGTACGAGCCCCAGAAGTGGCTGCCGGCGTCGAAGAGGCCGAGACCTAGAGCGCTACCGTCTGTATCTAGGATTTGTAGCAAGATGGGTATGTCAGTGGTCGTAGCCTAATAAAAAGGAGAGGAGTTTTCGTGGAAGGAGAATCGAGAGGAGAGACAGGACCAAAGAATGTAGACAAAGGAAATGGAGTCCCACAGAGTTACTAGGGTAAACTTATCACGTATTCCCAGTAGGCGCTCGTGTAGTTGACACCTCGACGTACCATAGGGCTCCAGGTATGGTCGAGCAAGTCCTGCGCAAGGGCGGTCTGGTTCTCGATGGCGAAGCCCTCGAGGATGAAGCTGAGCATGTACGGGTTGGCCACGGCGACCGTGTCCTTGAAGCGGGTGCCGTTGAGGTAGCCCGAGGGAATGCGCAGCTGCTCGACGCTGGCGACCGTCTTGGTGCGGCGCTCGGGGTTGCCGATCTGGCCGAGCAGGATGTTGCCCGCGTCGGCAATGTCGATGCCGTCGAAGCCCGGGGCGCCGGCGTAGTACTGGGCCGTGTGGTTCCAGAGCAGCCTGTCGATCGCGTCGCGCGAAAGGCGGGCCTGCGTGCGGTAGGCTGAGGCCGCGCGCGTCTCGTTCATGTAGTCGGAGATCTCGGCCATGCGCTCCCACGCAAGGATCATCGAGACGGTCTGCGAGGGCCCAAAGGGCTGCGACTTCTCGCCGATAAGGGGGATGCCGAGCTTGCCCTGGGCCGCACCGTACAGCTGCATCGCCAGGTCCAGGGCACGCGTGGAGGCGTAAGCGAGGACGCTGACCATGGTGGTTTAGTGCGTCTCGATGAAGGTGTTGTTGCCGGTGCGCATCCAGAAGTCGTGCAGGTATTGCCTTCTGCGTTTATTTCTGCTGGAGATATGGACAAGAACGGGGGCCCTGGGAGTCCTCGGGTGAGCAGGAGTCTATGTCGACGTGTGATTGCGAATTGGGCAGAGTTGGGTCACGACTCGTTACTTACTCCCTACTCGGTCAATGACATCACAGTCGCCTGTCACTCTGGTTTCTTGAAAGCTCGTTACGGTCGTCGCCTGGCTACCGTCCCAATTCGCATTTACAAGTTATGTAGGTTGATGGTGCTCCATGGAATAGTGGACTGGGTATTATATAGTTACCACTTAACAGATTAAGTTAATCTAAATTACAAGTGTCCTTGTACAATAGCCGAAACAGCAAAAGGGTTTGCAGTGAAAACACCGCTAGGATCAGCCTTAGCCCTTGCCCTACCCAGTCTATGGTACTTGTCCTCATCCTCATAATAACATTTCCAAACCTCCTGCTCCCCCAAGTCCCAGTTACCATAAGAGCCCCAGAGCAGACGTCTGTCCTGCTTACTAAACGGGCTAGAGGGACCAGCCATAATAGCGTCATTTTTAGCCTGCCACTTTTCGGCATACTCCCTATACTTGTCACCCACTTCATGAAAACAGTCTAGTGTCAGGACGACCGACGTGTCCCTCCAGCTGTAGGATGTGCCGTTATCCTTGTTTAAATAGAAACGCGAATTGGCGCCTCCAAAGCATTGGGCCTGCATTACAAGCTTGCAATGGGTGTAGACCTCGTACTCCTTGTCCCGTGGGTTGTTATCGAGCAACTGGTGCGGGTTATAGATCAAGTCGATGCGATCAATCAGAGAGTCGACCCAGCCGTCTTTTTCTAGAGTCTTCGAGTTGGTACAGTGGGTGCGCTTGACGTAAGGTAGATCAAACTCTCGCCGCTTGGGGATGATCCATCTTCCAGTCATCTGGGACATGTCCTCTTCGAATTCGTCGATGACGAGAGTCTCATTTTCGAAGAAACCCTTGAGGGCCCGGAACTTGTTGAACCATTGATCAACACTCTCGTCATACTTGTCGTCTTTGCTAGTCGGGCACCATTGGGCGTAGACCACGATGACGGCAGGGAAGCGACCATTGAGCCACTCGAGGAATTCATCTGCAAGCGTGTTCTTGATCTTGTTTTGGATGTGTTCCCAAAGACCACCATTATTCAGTGTGGGGAATAGCATCGCGATTGGAAACTCGGTGCTGAGGACGTTAACAGTGAGGTCAAAGCCTTGCGGGACATTTTCGTTGTCGGCCATTTCTGCGACGGCGGTAAGAAGGTTTTTGAGGATTTTGGGGGAGTAGATCCAGAGTCCTTTGATGCCATGCGGCCCCTTGAATCCGTTCGGGCCGGTGAAAGTCCCCATGTAGCTCTTGGCCTGAAACACCTCGACGGTATAGTGTGAGATGACGCCAAAATTACCTGGACTGCCTCCGAGTATGGCGTAGAAAAGCTCGGCATCGTTCTCTTTAGAGATGTCTCGAATCACACCGTCATGGCAGACCATGCGAATGATTCTGATGTGATCGCCTAAAAGGCCAAAGCCACGGCCGAGTTGGCCATAACCACCAGTTTGGCCATGTCCACCTATACATACGTAAGCACAATCTCCGTGCGGGACGAACAATTGGTTGTGCTTGAGATATGCGTTGAAGTCCTTGAGTTGATTGCTGACGCCGACGTACACCAGTGCTCTATCTTGGTCAATGGGGCCGCGGGGATTTATAACCATCAGGTCCTTGTACGTGTTGCTAAGATCGATCTGAATGTTGCTGCCACCGGTAGACGACGCGCCGCTGTACTGGTGACCGCCGCTCTTGATAGCGATAGCAATTTTGTTATCTCTAGCCCAGATCACAGCCTTAACGACGTCTTCATCTCGTCTAGGTTGAACGATGAGATTTGGATGCATGTTGTGATCCTCCTCGTGAGTCGAGGTCGCATACTGCTGGTTGAAGTAGGTGTAGTCCTGTATCTCAGCTGGAGTGCCATCGCGGGAGTATTGCATCCCCTCAAATTCTTGAATTCGGATCATGATTGCTTTCTGAAGTCAAATACTTAATTGGCTTAACTCTCTAATGGGTAGGCTTGGACATACCTAAGACGCGAGCGACATCCAGTTTTATACTTCTTTGGAGTGATTAGGAACACGAACTACAGGATCAACAGAGGGCTTTATATAACCTGGAGCCCTTAAGCACATAAGGCAGCTCATCTGGAATGCAGTATTAAGTTCAGCTGCTAATAGCGGAATTTGCTAGCCAAGCAATATGTTGTTTTTGCACATTCTATCAGACCATTATTTATGGCGTGAGTTTTCAGCTCCGACAACATGCAGGGTGTGGATTGGGGATAAAGCCGTGCGGCAGCTAAGAGAATATTGGAGTCGGAATGCAGTCTAGAAGGGAGCACTATTGATACCAGTGGACTTGAATATTCGTACTCAATCGCTCTCGGTGAAGAAGTGTATCTGTAGAATATTGCCATTACCCCCGAAGCGATTGTCTTTTTTCACATGCAGATGACGTTAAGACATGTGTTTGATAGTTTTGGTGATGGTTTGATAGTGACGTGATATGACGAAGCGATTGTCTTTTTTCACATGCAGATGAAGTTAAGACATGTGTTTGATGGTTTTGGTGATGGTTTGATAGTGACGTGATGTGACGAAGCGATTGTCTTTTTTCACATGCAGATGAAAGTTAAGACATGTGTTTAGTGGATCTACACACACTAACATACAGTTTATTAACGCCCGACGGCTGAGCCGAAAGGGCCAACCTTACTCGAGTATGTGATTCAAGCCCCAGGAACGGAACTCGAACGCAGCAGCGCAGTGATCTTGTTTCTCGTCAATAAGCATATCGTGGGCTATTGTTCAGCCTTGGTCAGCGTCGAACTTGGATCACGAATCAGCCACCTGGTTCGAATCAGGCACGGCGGCATGCCTGAGTGACAGGCATCGTAGCTTGTACTCTGGAGTCCACAGCAGCATGTCTTGGAACTTGTCTGTGGTTCCCAAGCGCGTGGATGTGGGACAGCATTTGCGGGGGGTACGGCATGCTGGCGTCAGCAATGTGACATTGCCAAAAAGTCGGTATTGAACTTCACGATAATCTGGCTATAAGATGCGGCCGAACTCCTCGAAAAGTTGATGGGATTTCTTTTTCTCCCAATCCCATCTCAATCAGTCGGATTCACAACGCCTTTGCCAAGCCAAGCCATCAGCAATCATGAAGTTCCCGCTCTCGACTCTTCTCCTTCCCTTGGCGGGCGTTGCCAGCGCCTGGGAGCAGCTTGAGAAGAACGACACGGTACGTTGAGCCATGGAACTCTTGGGGCGAACGAGCGTGGCTCGCTGACAATCAATTGAACAGCTTCTTGCCATCATCGACATCCAGGTCGGCCTCTTCTCGCTTGTCCATGACTTCGACCCGGTCACGTACAAGAACGCGATCATGGCCCACGCGGACCTTGGCAGGGCTTTTGACCTGCCCGTTGTCATCACGACCTCTGCCCAGACTGGTAAGCTTCGGTGGACCCAACCCAGCCCCTTCGGCCCACTCTAGAGTCAGTGAACTCTCGAAAAGACTAACACCACGTGCTAAACAGGCCCCAACGGCCCTACGTCGAGCGAGATCCTGAAGATGTACCCCGAGGTCAAGGTCATTGAGCGCCAGGGCGAGATCAACGCCTGGGACAACGCCGACTTCCGTGCGGCAGTTGAGAAGACTGGCAAGAAGCAGATCATCATTGCTGGCATTGCGACCGATGTTTGTAAGTGTTCTCACATGCACCGTGGAAATCTTGGTCGACTTCAAGAGTCTAGTGTCGGCCCGAGAAGCTAATCGTCTCCCGTCTCCACCATAGGCACTGCCTTCCTCGCTCTCTCCCTCAAGGATGCCGGTTACAGCGTCTGGGCCAACGCCGAGGCCTCGGGCACCACCACCGAGCTCGTCCGGGACATCTCCAACGACCAGATGAGAGCTGCGGGTGTCAACGTCGTCTCCTGGTTCGCCATTGCCACCGGCCTTCTCCGCGACTGGCGTGCCCCCGAGGGTCCCAAGATGATCCCCTTCTTCGACAAGTGGATGCCCGGCTATGGTGCCGTTGTCCGTGCCCACATCGGCGCCGTGCAGAACGGAACCGAGTTCCCAGGCGAGGAGGCGCTCTAATCGGGCAAATTCGACAGTGTCATCCAGTGCTATAATCCTTCCACGACGGCCGACGCCAGTGACGGTATGAGCTGACAGGCCTGCGAGTTCAAATTGTGGAAAGATGAGCCGAGATGGGATTGACCAAACTTATATACCAAGACCATGGTTCTGCCATTCATACAAAGGATCGAGCATACTGCTCGTGGCTTACTGGCGGTTTCCCTTAGCTAGTAATCTCTGGAGGCAATAGAACTATGTCTTAAATATCGTTGCAGCTGTGATTGATTTGGGTGTGTTCAGTATGCGGGCGTCCGCGACTTCTTTGTCAGGACAAGCATGCTTATTGGCAGTATATCGCCATCGCTCTCTTGCGTATGAGTGCATCGGGGCAGAACTATTCTTGGGTGCACTCGAAGCCTACCAAGGCCGCAGCTGGCGACCCGCACAAAACGTCGCAACCCTACAAATTGGCCGCCACACTGTATGCTAGCGATGCAACCCCAACTGCTCTGGACAGGCGAGTGAAAACAAAGTGTCCAGAAGAGTGACCTGGCAGTGTACCGACGAAACTTTAAAATCGTATAAGTTCCCCTGAATACAAAGGCTTAAAGCGCCCAGCCGTGGGATGTGCACATGAGAGTTGGACTGGCAAGGTACGAGGGCTGATAGGATCAGGGTGCGGAGCTTCGATTCGATGCAGGAAAAACTGCGTGAGACGACCAAGAATCCTGGGAAGTCATGGTCATCGGCTGTGTGAGCACTCCCAGCGCTTGAAACTACTGAAAGTTCCGAAGTGTGCCCTGAAACCAAGGTAGCCTCGTACTCCGAATTGAAGTCTTCACGCTCCCGCATAGCCGCCTCGGGGACCACTGCGATGCTGAGAAAATGCGGGGACGTCAAGGCCGATGACGCTGACCGGAGCTGGCAGCCCCTCCCGTCCCCTTGTGCACTCGGGGACAACTGCGGGGACAGTCGTGACCTGCGTCAAAATCTGGTCCACCGTATCCGGCAGACACCCAAAGCGTCAGGCCCGGCGCCAAGACAGTGTTTCTCATCGCCCAAGATCTAGCGGAACAAGCGATCGACGAGAAGAGATGGCGCCCACGGTAGACGCCGAGGTCAAGCAGGTGCTGACTGATGCCGTCAAGGCCCTTGACAAGGAACTGCGCGACATCAACCACAAGGTGAGTGCTACTAGGCCCTGCGGATTGAGAGACGCGCTTCATGGAGACTGACACGATTCCAGATCCACAGCAATCCAGAGCTCGGCTATGCTGAGCACAAGGTACGTTCCTTCTCTTGCGATGAGATATGGTCCACGGCTTAGCCCTTCTCCGCAGGCACACGACAACATCGTCGCCCTCCTCCAGAGCCAAGACTTCAAGGTCACACCCCACGCCTACGGCCTCGAGACCTCCTTTGAGGCCGAGTATGGCTCCGGTGGGCGCCTCGTCGTCTTCAACGTCGAGTACGACGCCCTCCCCGGCATCGGTCACGCCTGTGGGCACAACATCATCGCCACAGGCTCGCTAGCAGGGTTCTTCGCCACAGTCGCACTGCTCAAACATTTCAAGATCCCCGGCCGTGTGCGCGCGCTCGGCACGCCCGCAGAGGAAGGAGGCGGCGGCAAAATCAAGCTCATCGACGCGGGGGCCTTTGAGGGCGTCGACGCGTGCCTGATGACGCACCCGATGGCGGGGATGATGTACAACACGACCGAGGAGCACGCGCACGGGATCCCATACGGCACTTCGGTCGCCAGTGCCAAATTCAACGCTACCTTCACGGGTCGGACAGCCCATGCGGCCGCCGTGCCACAGGATGGAATCAATGCCCTCGATGCCGCGGTGCTGGCGTACAACGGCATCAGCATGCTCCGGCAGCAGATCCTGCCGTATGAGCGGATCCACGGGATCATCATGGAGGGCGGGGAGAAGGCGAATGTCATCCCGTCGCGGGCTAAGCTGGACTACAACGTGCGCAGCCGGACGATCAAGGAGACCAAGAAGTTGCAGGCTCGCGTGGAGAAGTGTTTTGAGGGAGCCGCAGTGGCGACGGGTTGTGAGCTTTCATTTGAGCAGTAGGTCCCTTTGTTCTTTTAACCTTCATCGCCTCTTGGACACTTCTGTTACAACAAACTGACCTCGCCTAGGACAAACACCTACGCCGAAGTCGTCCCCAACCGGGCTCTCTGCAGAGTCTACTCGGACTTCCTGGCCGACATTGGCCTCCCGCAACTGCCCTTTGACGACCGTGAGGGAGCCGTCCCGCATCCAGGATCCTTCTCGACAGACCAGGGCAACGTCACGCAGGTCTGCCCAGGCTTCCACCCGGTGTATCGCATCCCATCTGAGAACGGCGCGGCAAACCACACCAAGGAGTTCACGGCGGCTGCGATCACAGACAAGGCGTATGATCTTACCATTGCCACGGCCAAGGGTATGGCGGCAACTGCGTGGAAGGTACTGTCTGATGAGGATTTTGCCGGGGTGGTGAAGGCTGAGTTTGAGCAGCAGCAGGCGGTGAGAGCATGAGGGTTACTCCTGAATGAACACCTGATATCAACCAAGGTGGAGTCTACAGAGAGACACTTCAATGTTAAGCATCTGACCAGTCCAGCACTTCGTTGAGAGCAGCCTGTCGAGCCGGAACTGCCGCTCGACGAAAGCCGTCTTTGTTGAACTGATCGGGCCAGCCGTACTCTCGGTATAGTTGTCGCACAACCTTGTGACATTTTGCATTAGATGTTGGTCTGGATTCTGATATCGAAGTTCGCCACCGGAGAGGAAGCCGGCTTCAAAGAAACAATACCTTCGCTCCAGTATCCCCCGGCTTGCACATGGCAGCGCGATGCCTGCCTGCAGCTGGACATGGGACGATCTTGAGCCGCGTGATCTGCTCATGCATACTGTTGAAGAAGGTCGTGAAAGAGACTGGCTTGGCTCGAAGCCACGGGTTGTGAGATTCTGCCTCCCTCGGAGCATCGTCGTACAGATAGTAGTCGTCTCCGTGTGGGTAAACGCACCCTGGACCGCATCAGCACCGTCAGCATCCACCATGTACTTAGCGAAACAAAGATTGCCAAGTCCACGAAATCAGTCACGATGCAGTGCGAACCTATCTCTGTGTCGATGATCCAAATGCAGCCGATCGCAGCCTCGTCGTACGTAAGCGAGATCATGTGCGGCGGCAGCGCCTTGTCGAACGGCGCGAGGCGAAGCATTGCCCAGGACTGCTTGTCCCACCACTCCTGTGGCCTCGGTCTCTTGGCCACGCCATCGAGATCGGCTGCGTCCTCGTCTTCACCCTCCCACGTCGCGTCTGGCCTCCACGTGTTCCGGAGGTACGACAGCACTTTTGTCTCGTAGTGCACACTCGCATCGGCGCGTCGGCCAGGCCCCGCACGCGGGTACGGGAGGTGCCGCAGCAGATCGATGATGACCTCTGACCGTCCCAGTGCCCTCAGCGCGTCGACGTTGAGCTGTGCATCGGACCATCCGTCGGGTTCAAGGGGGGCCTGCAGGGCGGCTGGGTGCAGGTGCCCCATTGCGACAAGGAGGTCGTAGTGACGGCGGACCAGCGCGACCAGCACATCTCGGTCGTAGCCGAAGACTTCGGGCGGCGCTGGAGGTTTGCGCTTCTTGAGATGGCGGAACATGACTTGCGTGTCACAGCTGATTAACTTGGCACCGATTGTGGAACGTGAGGCGGTGGGAATCGAGGCAGCACCCTGAGGCCACCCCACTTGGACAACACGGGCTTGGCGGTGGAGACTGAGGCATGGGGTGCTGAAGTCGAGCAAGTGCGCCTGGTTGTTTGCATAGACAAAGGTCCTGGTCTTTATCATGCGAGATCCTGTGTACGTGGAAGGTTCATTCAGCAGACCTCCTGCAGACAGTCACAGATTAGTCGATGGTTAGGGACAGGTTGGACACAATGGAGTAACGCGCAACAGTCAAAGATGATGAGCCGAGCTGGCCAGTAGAGCTCAGGGTCCTCGTGAGCTAGTGCGCAGGTGTGAGGAGGACACTTCGTTGTTGGGTCTTCGAAGGACATCCATCCTTTCGGTGCTTGATTTGGGTTCCTGGAAGTCTGGCCTGGTGGAATGTTACAGAGGCACAATATGGAAATTCAGGTTGTAGCTGGTCTCCATCACACGCGCTAGCCTCGCACGAAGGGTGTTACTCATCGCTGTATCCACCCCGAAACTCTGATTACTCCTCGCCCTCCTTATACCATGACGAGGTTGGCTGCTCCGGAACGGAAGATCTCCGCTGTTCTCCACCATCAGCCAGAGGACCCCCTTCCTGTGGGGGTCACTGCCGCTAGGGCACGCCACCCAGCCATCCAGATCTTGAGCAGCCGTGCTATAGGAGCCTCGGCTCAGCTGGTGACGCACCTTTTTGTTACCATCAGCAGTCAAGAAGACAACCAGCCAGCGTCCCGTGGAGGGAGATACATGCCGGAATCAGGACACGATGATGCCTGCCCATTCAGACACAAAGACCGTCGCGGTCGTGACGGGCTGCAGCAGTGGCATCGGGCAGGGCCTCGCCGAGGTCCTCGCCGCCCGGGGCCTCACAGTCCTCGCCACAGCCCGCAAGGTCAAGTCCCTCGCCCACCTCACAAAAAAGCACGACAACATCATCGCCCTGCCCCTCGAGTTGGGCGACCTGGACAGCCTCACGAGCTTTCGTGATGCCGTGGCCTAGAGGACTGGCGGGCGTGTGGACGTCCTCATCAACAACGCAGGCACGCACTATGCCGCTACCGCAGCAGATCTCGAAATCGCCGAGGCCGAGAAGCTCTTCACCATTAATGTCTTCGCAGTGATGCGCCTCTGCCAGCTCTTCCTCCCTATGCTCCGCGAGTCTGCCAAGGAAGGCCGTGGCGGACGCATAGTCCAAATCGGCAGCGTCACGCGCGACGTCCCCGTCGTCTGGCAGTCCGTCTACAACGCGTCCAAGGCGGCCCTCAGCCAGTACACTAACACACTGCGGCTCGAGGTCAAGCCGTTCGGCGTTAGCGTTACTGAGGTGATCACAGGCTACGTGCAGAGCAACATCCTCCACCACGGCCTCGTCGCGCCCCCAGACTAATTGTATCTGCCGATCAAGGTCGACACGGAGCGCATGACGTACGAGGGAAACAGGACTGGGATGCCCTCGCGCCTGTATGCCGAGTCGGTGGTGGACAAGATATTGCGGCCCGAGCCGAGCAGTGAGATCTGGGAAGGGAAGCTCGCGTGGGTGCTTGGCTTCCTTGTCAACTTCTGCCCGTCCTGGTTCTCGGTAGGTCATCACTGTCGTTACGCGTTGAGAGGAGAGAACTGACGTTGGAGCATAGCGCTGGGTTTTCTATCGTAGTTTCAAACTTGACAAGCTCAAGGCATTGAGACCATGACTGTAACCTGGTGGAATATTCGCCAGAGAATCTCTGAGTGCAGGCAATATTCTACCCCGGGGCTTTGACTTGGCTCTGAGAGTGTTTGCAACTGTACGCTGCTCTGCATCCACAATTTGTCCTCAGTGTCGCAGATGCGGAAGGACTCCCTCCGAATCACCAGAGGCAAATGCCAGGTCAAAAAGGGCATCATACCCACACTTCGGAAGGGGTCTTTTAGAGGGGCAATTGATAGGGGGGCATGACGAATTGATACGCGGGCATGACCCTTAGGGGGGCATGACTTTTTGTAACACTTGATTGGGCTAAATTTTCTAGATCCATAAATACTTCCGAGCAAAGGCGGTGAAGCCAGCCCTCTTAACAAGCCCAGATTTCGTGACCGCAAATGCACCCGACCAACACTAACCCTTTAGAACAGGCGTCAAAGAGAAGTATTGCTTTCGGTACTGTTAAGGAGAAGGTACTGATCCGGAATAGGCACGCGATGGGAAGTTCTCCGTATTCCAAAAGGTCGCTGTCGTACAAGACTATTGCTTTACCGTCGCTCGATTGGCGAGCGCCAGGCGAGCGACAGGTAAGAGACGGGCGCTCGCTGACTCAGCGAGTGCTTCCTAATTGAGTGGGTGCGGCCCCCCTCACAGGTACAGGGTATTCAAGGGCTGTTTCATAACCAAAGCTGTCTACGTCTCCCCTTACTACTATGGAAGGAAGAATCTCCTCTTCGCCATCAGCCAGCTCCCATTGATTCCTCCGTCTCCGAATGCTGGGCTGCGTTCTCCGCCCGCTGGCACGAACTCCTGTGGTTCTTCCCGTCCCTAGAAGGGTCGACTGGCTGCGTAACTGGCGCTGATTCGAGACATCAGCTTGGCCACTGGCCTGTCGGCTCGTCCCAAGTTCCATTCTGGCCTGAGTCGACTTGTTCAAGCTGCCCTGTGGACGACCTCGCCTACGGCTCGGGGGCCCCTGGTCGACCGGTTGACCAATCGGCTGACTACTAGTCTCGATGGCTAGCCCTGATGGAACGGCCTGCTTGGCGTTCTTAGGTCTGCCACGGAGAGCAGTGGCGATCTTAGGGTCGAGGATTCGTCGGTATGGATCTCGAGAGGATGCTTCTCGTAGGTGCCACCGAGGATGGACGTCCCATTTCGTGAAAGGCGTGCCATTATTCAGCTTTGAGTAGATCCTGTGGCAGCAGGGAATTCCAAGCTCGATCGACAACGAGCAGTCCTCGCCGCAATCCCCGAGGGATTCAGGGAACGGATTCTTCCCGGTCGGCATTGCTTTCCTTGCAAGCCGATATTGTTTGTTGATCAGTCCAAGGCCCTTGGAAGAGAGCGCCGTCCGGAGTTCGCCGAGATACTCCGAGCTAGGCCCAATGTACTCTCGCGCGGTAAGTACCTCGTCCGCTGCGCAAGCGTCGTTGAAATCTCGCTCCTGGTCCCTCATCATGTCCTGCATAGCCTCCATGAGCCGATAGAGATGGCTCATACCATTCAGGAGATAGCTCTTGATGTTGTTGTTGCTTGCTTCTGTACCAGAGGTGACGCGGACGCCGAAGTTGCGATACTTGCGAATGAAACAGCGCGCCCACTGCGCCCGTACAGGCATATAAGTTCCATGGAGATACCGCAGGATAGCTCGCTGGTCATCAAACTCATTGCAGAGATTTCTCCACGCCTTCTCATGAGCCTCCTCAGTCTCCGCAAACATGACGAGCTTCCACATCATGAGGACCCCTCGATAGCTATGAGGGATGACCGCCGCCGTCGGGGCGTGGACCAACTGTCGGTCTTTGGGGCTCAGCTCAGCCTGTGCCTGTGGAGCAGAGTCTTCTCCGTCGCTGCTGTCGGAACTGCTGCTGCTGTGGCCCTTGGCCCACTTCTGCTTTGACTTGAGCAAGACGTTAGAATTGATATGGTGGATGCACAGCTGCTGCTGTGCATCAGGGAACTGATCATTCAGGGCTGCCTTCATCTGATCGTCGAAGTCGGTAATGATAACGTCCGGTTGGCGAATAGAGTGTTGCTCTGAGAGCTGTCGAATACTCTCGGAGAGGAACTGAAACCCCTCCCGTCTCTCGTTGTCAATCAGGCCGAAAGCAGCATTGAAGACAGAGCCAAGGCAGGTCTGTCCTGTTGCCTGAAATAATGGAAGCTTGAAGCGATTGGTGTTGTATGTGTTGTCGAAGCTGATGACCTCAGGAAACCGCTTCCACATCTGGAGGCAGTACGGAAAGGTCCAGACAAGACCGACGAGGCGGTTTGGCTCATCATCCGCCCACTTAACAAGATAGGGGATCTCCATCTCGTCGAACAGCTTGATCAGTGCTGCAGTAGGAGTGTGGCCGCTCAACTTGTCTCGGCTGATACGAGACCTGGCGTTATAGATATCCTTTCGTGTAAAGGATGACTCGGGATGCTGCTCCAGGACGATCGCGCGTACGTCACGGGCCCGAATTCCGACCCGACGGCTTGTCGATTCGACTGTTGCCCTGATAGGTGTAGTGAGTCGTCTGTGGGAGGGATGGGCGGATGGTTTGATACTGGCCCCGTGGTTATGCTGGCTATGCTCGGAATTATCGTGGTGTCGTAGAAGCCATCTACCCTCCTCCAGTGCTTCGGCAATGACCATCCATTTACAACCACACTTTCGAGACTTCCGTTGCCGAATACCGGTACTCTCTGAGGGGCGTGGTTCTCCGAATCGATCGCATTGGAAAGAGTACCGGATCTTCCGACCCTTATATGAGTAGGCATTTCGTCGAACAATACCGAAGCCATTAGCCTTCGCGAAAGTATTCACCCACTCGAACAGGACTTCGGCTGACGGCGCTGGGTCGCCTGGGATAGGTGGGTTCGGGATCGGGTCAGGGACAGGCGACAAGGGGTGGTCGGGCGAGGGCGGCGAGGCGATAGGCGGAGAGTGCCTTTCTCGGGGAGGCGAGTATGGCGGAGATGATTCGAATGCAGTTGAACTGAGCGGCGAGTAGCCCCATATCTCGCGCCATTGGCGGACTCGTTCGTATGACCGGACGAGCTCGATGGTAAGTCTTCGATCTGTCCCAATCACCTCGCGCACTAGCCTAAGGGCGGACTGAAACTGGGGTCTTGTTGGAGAGAATTGTTCTTGTGCTGATTGTTGTGGAGAGCAGGCAGGTGGCTGGTCGATTTCCGGGCCTGGTATAGGCATTCTTACTCGTTGCGACTGTCTTCCTCGGGTTGGGAAATCATTCGATAGGTGAATCTCATGATCGAATCGCAGCTCCCATGGTGGCTCGTTCAGCCCACGCGATCCATGGGGGCGTGGAGCGGTCGTGAAGGTCTCTGGGTACGAGGCGAAAGCATTATAGAGTGCCTCGTCGTCTCCCACGCCATAGTGTGGGCCAATGCTCGTCCCTGTGCTATTAGACGAAGGTGGTCTTGAACTCTCAGATTGGTTCTGCCGCTGTCGTTTTCGAGGACGTAATTGATAGCTTCGTAGTCGTTGGTTGCTTGCTGAGCTAGATCGAGAGTCGGGCTGGGAAATAATGACGGCCTTGATCGCGACAGGAAGAGTGTCGCACGCACGGATGAGAACATGATTAAAGGGGCAGTTGATTTGACTATGAAAGAAGGAAAGAGGGGACCAATTTCAGCACAAAGGAATGACCTGCTTTGTGATGCAGATGCCTTGGAAGATGAGGCTGTTAGATATTCCTGATACAGCCTGTGTTTTGAGTGTTGGTCTCAGCAGGGGACCTAACACACCACGCCTGGAGCCCTGTGACCTTGACAAATATCGTATCTTTCACGAACAATCATTATCAGTAGGCTTGACATGCGACAAGAGGTAATTGGTGTAGTAGCTAGCTAGTGAATAGCTTCCATATGTCTCGTCGATCGTCGTGGTGGAGAGCTAATCCCGAGGTACAAGGGGAGCGTTGGCAGAATCTAGATGCACTAACAAAAAGGGATGGACCAATCAGAGGCTGCAAAAGGTCATGCCCGTGTAAGAGTCATGCCCGGGTAGCAATTCTTCATGCCCGTGTAGTAATTGCCTTTCCATTTTGACCCTCATGCTTCACCCGTCTGCGACTCAGAAACACGTCTACATCATCGACGTCCATACTCTAGGCGGACTTGCCTTCAATACTTCAGGAAAGAACGGCGTGACTATGAAGGACATCCTCGAGGAGCCAACCATCCCCAAAGTCTTTCTTCGACGTCCGTAACGACTCTGACGCGTTGTACGCCCACTTCAACATTGCTCTCCAGGGAGTTGAGGATGTGCAACTGATGGAGAATGCTTCGCGACGAAGCGGGGCATCCAAGAGATTTCTCAACGGCCTTGTCAAATGCGTTAAGTATGATGCAGCCATCGGTTATCGACTCTTCCGGAGCTGGAACCAGGCAAAGTTCGATGGAGAGCTCCTATTTGATCCAAAATGGGCGGGAGGCTCGTATCAAGTTTTCAATTTACGCCCGCTGCCAACCAAGATTACAGCCTATTGTATCGGAGACGTGCAATACCTGCCGCATTTGAGGGATGTTTACTGGGGCAAACTTACGGCCCCGTGGAAGGTGAAGGTGGCAGAAGAAACGAAGAACCGTGTGCTACAATCTCAGTTGCCTGGTTATCAGCCTTGCGGTAGTGACAGCGCGCTTGGCCCATGGCAGGATAACGAGACTATCATCGGGAGCTTTTGGAACCAGCACGACAGCTTAGAGGATCCTTGGGATGACTGGCAGGCTGAGAACGACGATGACTGGTTTGATACTCGTGATGATAATGATTACGAGGATTGGACGAGAGTGCCATGGCAGGGTCCTCCCTCTTAGCTTGTCTAGGGACATAAGGGAGATGGACTGAATTGGTCAAACTCGATAACGGGGTAAATAGCGCCAGATGAACGTTGTCTGCCCACGCTTCTATAGCCTAGAGAGAATTTAGTGATGGTTCTCTGAAGTGGATACATTATGAGGAACTCTTACACACGTCACAGAATCCTTGCTCGTTTATAAATTGAACCACTGTCGGCGACTCATGGCATTCGAGACAAGAATCTGGATTATTAAGTTATATGGATCGGTGCAGGAAGGGTTCGGGACTCACGTTGGTCACAGTAATCTTTATATCCAGACATGGTCTGGCAGTTGAGCTTTTGGCATGTTTTTTGATTGCTTGTGACGTTATTCAACCAAAGGCCAACTTTGTCCCCATGACTGCAATCATCTCCCGGATCCGCCATAATGGCCGGCCGAGTGTCAAGTGAGCGGATGTGTGACAAACGTTGTTACTTCTAGCAGACGTGATCATGAAGAATGTGCGCGTGGTGCGGGGGCGCCGAACGCGGACTTTCCAGTAGGAGCGGACTCCACGTGATGTTACCCTTAGCCTAAGGAGCCTAATATTTTGTTGCTCCGACATCGCCGCGCAAATTGTGCAGGCATGAAATTTGTTGCCTCAGCTCGCTTAGGTACGTACTGAGGTTGCACCCCCGTGCGACTTATTCTAGTTTTCCAGAACCGCTTCTCGAACGTTTGTCCAAAGGGCCCACGTGCTTCCATCCGAGATCTTGACGATTGCCACGCCATCGCAAACGGCCAGTCTCCGAAGTTGCCCTTGACACTAGTTGACTGTCGGTACAGTACTTGTCGCGGGGCCAAAACCGGCTGCTGTTAAGCCAATGATGATATCGGTACTTTTGTGCGATGATTACACACCGTCTAAAGCCCCGCTGTGAACTATTCAAAAAAAATTCGTGCCAAAATGCGGACACTGAACCTGAACTCTACTGTATACAAAGATGGTTGAAATCCCGTTTTAACCGGCTCCGTTTGTGCGTCTGTAATTCGAAATGACGGCAGAACAACCATAATGGACGTCGACAAGAATCACGAGCTCAATGGCACTATTTGTCCATCGGGAGACATCATATTACTCGTTGGTCCTCAAAAAGAGGCGCTCAGAGTACAATCTCACTGCCTTCGAAGCGCCTCCAAGGTCTTCGACGCCATGTTTGGCCCACATTGGCAAGAAGGTCGAGCTCGATCTTTCCAGCGACAATCCAAAGACAGTAGAACTTCCAGAAGACAACTTTCAAGCAATGTTATTCATCTGTCGAGTCATACACCACCGCAACGAGCTGGTGCCACGCGCCATTGACCCTGCAGACTTGCTACATGTAGCCACCGCGATTGATAAATATGGCATGAGCGTCGCTCTCAAATTTGCTCTCGCGCAATGGCTTCATGTTGAAGACAGCATGGATATGACATCAATGGGATATATAATGGCCGCATCATATCGTCTTGCTGACGAGGAAGTCTTCGTGAAGGTAACGTTAGCGCTCATTCTCGACCAGGAAAGTTCGTGTCTGGTGCCTTTTCGTGAATGACGCGATCAACCAGGTGTTACCAGCGAAGGCGATATGCAAGCAGAACCCTCCCTGTCAGGTTTGAAGACAGTTACTTACATCATCCCAGACCTACTTGAGAGACGACGGAACCGACTGCGGGCCGAAGTCTTGCAGATGCTTGCAGCAGCCGGAAATCCCTGTAAGCATTGTGCCTGGGGCACGCGGTTTGCAGCCAAGCGCATGGTCCTTCAAGACAAATACCAACCGCTAGACATGTTCCAAGTTCCACTTCGTGAGGTCATGCATGAATTGGAATCAATCCCGGTTGACGATATAACGAGGAAGGGCTTCTGTGCCATACCTCATAGCAAACGACATCGTGCTCTACCTGGGGACGAGCTTCCTGTTGGGAAGATAGCTAGCCTGAAGAGCAAAGCAGCTATTTGTCTGGATTGCATAGACAGAAACAGGGTATCAGATTGTCGTTTTGCCCATAGTCGTTTTGCCCATAGTTAGCTTAGAACAACTAAGCGGATGACGGCCAGTGCTTTAATGGCGACTTTCTGAATTATGGCAACAGTTCTCGAATACTCCGTGAGAAACAACATTCTTCATGATAATATCAAGCCTGGGACATCCTGTGCGCTCCACAAGTTGTGCACCAGTGATTGTCCTCGGCTTAGCTTGATGTGATTCGAAGAATTTCTCGCTCTCGGCGAACGTGACTCTGAGGAGAAGAATGTGCTCTCTCAAGAAGTCATGCTCAACATTTTAATAGCTTCGCATGTCTCACATTCTCAGGGCTTGGACCAAGGACATCACTACAGGCCCGGGTAAGGTTCACAGAGAGAAAACGGCCATGAGAGCCTGGCCTCATACGGTGGGAACAGAGCGACACTTCCCAAAGATGAGCTGGCCTGCATTGTCGCTGCTATGCTTGGGAGACGTGCAAGGGAGCTGAGGAACGGGTCAATGCCTTTGGTCCCAGAAGTGACGATGGGCCCATCACGACGAACGCTCCTCTCTGATAACTCGACACAGAACGTACTACGCTTACACCAAGTCTCGGTTTTATATCAATTGCAGTGAGCCTGCGCGTTAGCCAAACCAGCATCAACGATATATTTTCCTAGGACGAGAAGCCCTAGTGCAAGCAGCCGTCACGGTGGATTCTGTTATGGTCGTCGCGAAACTCCAGCTTCGTGGTGGTCATGTGTCTATCATGGGGAAATCTGGCGCGTCCTTTGAAGACTAAATTATGCCTACCGTCAATTGTTGCTGCCTAATTATGACCCTGCTCGGGCTTTGCTCGCAGCATTGCGATGCCTTGCTGTTTGTCCACTGCGAGGACGACGTGAAAAAGGCGCGAGAACCTCTTGAGTCCTTTTCGCTGCAATTCAAGGAGCTGGGGGAACGCTCCTCGCCTTCTTCTGAAACGAAATCCTAGCGCCAAGTTTTCTGGCTGATGAGGGCTTCGCCTCTTCCGGGTCGTTCATCCCAGTGGCTTTCATCTGCATCCCAATAGCTTCTGTAAAGCGCTTTGGACTATTCAAGCTCGGCTCATGAAGGCTGCCTTTGGCTTTCTTCGATCTGTTTTTGGTCTCAGGCTCTTCAGGATGATTGAGCTTCCTTTTCGTTACAGGCCTAGCTCTGTCGGCCTTGGACGACTGTACCTCTGTCAGAATGAGGGGAATTTGACTCTCGACCCAACTAATGAGTACGCGATGCCGAGCAACATCCCTCCTAGCTTTTTCGTAGTCGAATGTGTTCCGCACAAAATGTTCTATGTGCTGCGTTCGGCTCTGTTCCTTCATGAGCCGTTGCTTGGTAGCGCCCAGTTTCTCCATAGCCGCCTTCAACATCGATGTTTTGTTCGCTTGCGGGCACCGAGAGATCTGGTCCATTGCATCGGCCGCGCGTTTGACTGCTGCCTCAGCTTTCTCCAGTTCGTGTGCACATTCTATCCCTGATGTAGTGGTCCGTACGTAGTCGTCCGTCTCGTGCGCTTTGAGGATGCCCTTTTCGACGAGTTCATTCCATAACTTTTGGTATCCTGGTTCTAGACTCTCGGCCTTGGCGATGGATTTGTCGAGCCACCAGTATTGATAATTAAGATATTCGATCCATGTCATTAGGTGGTCCTGATCCTCTGAAGCCTCCTTCAATGTCACAGTCTGAGCAAAGCCGTAGCGGGCGAGTCGACTGCGCACAGCTTCAACATAGGCATGGAACCCTTCACAACCAGCTTCTTTGAGACTCCGTCGTTCCAAATTTCTCCGGCATTGTTGTGCAAGCCAAGTCGGCTGCAGAAATGATGGGTCAGCCTCGATCTGGGCCAAGCGCTGCGCGGGTGCCCTGTGGAGAGGATCCTGTCTTATATGTCGCTTCACTCGCTCAACATAGGCGAGAAAACTGCCGTCATCAGAGTCTTCGCGGTCCCTATTGTGCCGTTGCCACCGGCGAAACCCCTGCCAGTTTCGCAACTGTCTTTGGAACACGCCCGAGGGACTGGTCTGCGTCAAGTGTTCCTGCCACGGCAGCAGCATGTTCGCATACATTGCCTGGGTCCATGTATACATCCTGAATGATATCAATAGAATACAGTGGGCGGCCGCCGTCGCTGACAAGGTCATTGTAGGCGTTGATTTCGTCTGTTGTTTTGTACGAGTTCGAGTCGGTCAGCGAATCGTCAGAAGTCGAGCGAGTTGATCTAGTGATGAGCGGCTTGCTTCTAACATTCGAACTGTCGTTGGGCAGCAGCTGAAGTAAGCGGAGGTTGAGGTCGTCCAGGTCGAGCGGATGGGAAGACGCATTGTTACTCTGAGCTAGGCTAGACAATTGGGTTCTAACAAGTTCGGTCAGTGAAGCTGTGAGGATCGAACCACGGGCAGATTGGACACGCTACTTCAGCCTTTGAGCAAGGTCATTCCGTTCGTCGTCGGACAGCTCCTTCCATCCGTCAATTGGGAGGTCGTAGTTGCGATCATCCTTGTAATTGTTTTGCATGAATTGCGCAAGCTCATTATCGCCCATGGCCAAGACGGTGCCGACAGACACTGTCGCCCCTGCATCTACTGCGCGTGACATTTTATTGTCGGGGTGGGCGTTGTTGAGTGGCCGTTGTCAAGTTGACGTTGTCAAGTTGACGTTGTCAGTCGGCCGTTACAGGCTATAGACGGCAACTAGGAGAGGATGTTGGACGTTGCACAATCTTTGCCTACGTCTCGGGAAGGAGTGATGCTGTCGCTGCTCACAGAGGAAGCTCTGTAGGTCCTGATGCGCCACCTCCGGTAGACTGTCCGAGGACGAGAATCCTCTGCGCAAGCAGCCCTTCCAGTGGATACTTTGATCGTCCGTCCAACGGAGTGAAAAAGAGTTCAGTGCGGCTCACTTATCACCAAACAAAGCATTGAGCTCGGGAGCCTATGGGCAATGACACCAAGCCACATCAACTGCAAGCCAAGCACTCCAGGGCTATCGACTGGGTGAGGAGAAAGCGGAGCATGCCACGTCGCGTCGTGGCTGCATGAAGAACGCCCTGGACGACACCAACCATCACCCCTTTATAAACGCCGGACTCCATACCCCCTTGCAACTTCAATTGCTGATGTCGCGAATATCGGGTGACATATTGTTCAGAACAGGCAGCGTCCATCCTAAATTGAGAAGCTCATGATGACCGTCTTGTGCGCGAACCTTCATGGCTCAACTGCTCTCGCAAACATAAATTCCAGCATGCATGTCATACACATGTGGGAGCTGGACCTTTCGGATAGGCGACGGGTGGTTTACCAGGAGGAAATGCAAGCCCCACCTTTAAGAACTGTGAATGGCGGCCTGACCAACAGGTCGCAAGATTGGGCAAAGGACCCGGAGCAGGTCATGTACAACGGGTGCATGTGAGCGACAAGGATAATGGATCACTTCCATCACGGTGATCCATTCGGCCCGAACACCCGAACCAACAGGCACAGACACGATTGAGGAGAAAGACATATATTAGAGCAAAGGTTTGCTTGTGCAGACAGTCTCCACCTGTCTACTCAGCGATCATTTTGTACTTCATGTCTCACACATCGATCAAGTCAATTAATTGCACATGAGTGGTATTGCACTGAACGACTGCAACATCGAGCCAAACTTCAGACCCGTCGAGCTCAATCCCGAAGGTTGCGACCGTGGGGTTCCATTACCATAAGCACGCAAAACCCCGACATCATGGGCATAACCACGCACTCCTCCAACGAACATGAACGATCGTGGGCAAGCAACCGGAAATTTGAGCCCGAGTTGCGCTATTCCGAGGATTGCCTCGATCTTATTGAAGTTCGCCGCACCGACGACCCATGGACATTTGTGGCCTGCGACAATGCGGATCCTTGCGAGTCCTGTGGCAGCCTTGGGACTCACATCGACTGCGTGATTATTGCTGTCGATGGCGCTTGTCGGAACAACGGTGACATCTGCGCTTCCGCAGCCGTAGGTGTCTTCGTCGGTGATGAATCAACTTTCAATATCAGCATGGCACTGGAGGGGACAAAGGTCACAAGCCAGATTGCCGAATTGCGCGCCGGCATATGCGGGCTGAAGCAGGCGCTGAAAATACAGCGTAGTGGAATAAAAGGGGCAGCCCTGGCGCAAGGTTGTCATCAAGGCGGATTCGAAGTACTTGGTCGAAGGTATGACTGAGTGGATGTTTCGATGGGAAAAGAATGGTTACAAGACCTCGTCAGGCAAGCCAGCAGCCAATCTGTCACTGTTCAAGCAGCTCAACGAATTGGTGAAGGAGCTCAACAACCTTGGCGTGGAGGTTCTTTTTTGGCACGTCCCCAGGGATAGGAATGAGGACGCAGACAGGCTGGCACGGGCCGCAGTGCGCACGATTCAGTGATGCCCCTACATAGCTCTAGCCTGTCCCTATTTCAGGGGCCCGGTGTGTCCGCGGCCCAGGTTTGTCGTGCGGTTGAAGTTCGTAGACTCCACGCGTCGCCGCGGGTGCTTCGGCCCATGCGCTGGTTTTGTACATGCCCATTGTTTGTCTTGTAGGTTGGCTAAGCTTACCTGTGAACATGCTGACCCTCATGTCCTTGTCAAGGTCTGCCTTAGCTGCCAGCGACGCGAAGTCGTTGATGTGCTTCTCGACGTAGTTCTTCCCCTGCTTGACTCGCATCAAGGCTTTCCGAGCGCTACGTTTCTCGTCTGCCGCCATGCGCCCATTTGTCTCGTCGAGCTTGCTAAAAATGGCTGCCGGCCTCGAGAACGGGAATTCGGTGAGCACAGCTACGTCCTAGCCCCTTAATTGCTCCTGAAGAGCTTGGCTGTTTCGGCTCTCGAATTCGGCGCTAGTAAGCAGATGGAATGCCCTTTCTGTCGCCATATGCCGCAGTCCTCATCGAGAGGCTATCCGAATTTGTCCCCAGCTGTTAAATCATTGTCGTCCATGATGTCCTCGCCGATGACCTTTTTGGCCGTGACGGTGCTGGTGGAGGCCATGGCGTTGATTGTTTGGGAGACGTCCTCCCGGGGGTAGCAGTCGCCTGCCATGGATTCTCTAAATTTGAGGTCATTCGTCTTTAGCAGTCACATTTTGCGATGCTGGTGAAGCGCGTCAGTCGCTTCCCTTGAAACTCTTGACGTTGTGCTTCCTGTGCGGTAAGAATGATTTAGGATATTAAACCCCGCACCCTGAGCAAAAGTTGGATACCCCGCTCTCGCCTGGGCATTCTACAAGAGCTCCAGGAGTACATTACAGCTAGGGACGATGATTAAATGATCCGTGGATCATGCTCCACGCTTTGCCCACAAACCTAATCAGCCGATCATCGGACCGCCATCTATCTCCAATCCGTGCGCACAAAATTGCAAGTTCCATATCGCGTTGACCCTGAACTGATTATCCAAGACCCGCAGTGGATTTCAGGCCCCCGATGACCTGCATCCTAGCCCCGGTTCAACCTTAAATCACGGACCTCGCCACCTCAAACCTCGAAGCAAGCCTGTTTTCCCCGCCCTTCGTCGTAAACAGGCTCAAGCGGGGTGCCATGCCAGAGACTGTCAGTCTTCCTAGCACAATAGTTGCACAAACAGTCGATCCGAGATTCCCATTGGTTCTCGTAGATGCAGAAGCTTCCAATTTTCCGCGATGCCTCAATTATGCTGCGATAAGTGCGAGGCGTACAGTACATGCGCAGCTTCTGGAGCTAAGCTGTGGAGTCAAGCTTGACCAATATATGTTCTGTCTATGCTAGCAACCTTTTGGGTGGTTGTGGTTGTACTTTTGTACTTAATATCGTCCAGACACACTTCGTCATGATGCATACGCATGCGATCTGGGAGGACAGCGGAACAACAATATGGATCTCGACACAAACCTCTAGCCGAAAGGCTCGTATCGGTGCCTGGTTGAGGATGACTCGATCAAACAAGATGATACGGCGAAGGTCATAAGTAAGCCGGAGATTCTTTCAGATTTCGAAGAAGGTTCCTATTTCTTACAGACCTGCCTGAAGAACGGCGGACCCAATCACGGGCCCAAGTCTTGTATATGCTGGTTGCGAAAACCTCTGCCTGAGCAACCGCAGGAGCAACGGCTCACGGCCCGCAAGTTTCGCATGCGATACGTGAAATGGGCAGCATCAGCACCATTACATTGCACGCAGTATTGACACTGCAACGCCAACTAGACACCATATATAAGCTGGCTGACGGCATCTCGGAACCGCACAAGGCCCTCGTTAAATTGGCCAACCGTCGTGTAGCTCGCTCTACTGGGGTTGCCCATCGAATGGAATATTGACGCGGTTGTAAGACGAAGGTGGTACGGCAAGCACTACCTGCCGTCAGTACCTCAATGATACTTAGCGGCCCCGCTGGGCCTTGTTACACGCCTGCACTCTCAAACTCTCCTTGTAGCTTGAGAGCTTGTGCCTGTGCCACGGCAGCAGCCTCAAATGGCACGCCACTCTCAGCAACGATTCTCATCCAAACAAGTGTCAGTAGTGCAAAGGGCTCTTGATATGACACCACGCTCGGTGAAGCTAGATCCAACCCCAACTTCTGCCATTTGACTATGGCGCAAGCATTTAGGTGATCTTCTACGGAAATGAGATCTACATCCGCTCACCTGGACTTGTCGTTCAAGGCCATGGCTGCTGCCTGCAGCTTGAAAATACCCGGACAATCTTCTGGCTCTGAAGGAGAATATTCCCTTCATCAGCCGATCTACAAGGTGAATGATCTTAGCAGTGCCTGTGACAGTCTTGATCCTGTCCCATTGTCTCAGCCCAAGGGGTCACTCACGTGTCCTGGCTCCGCTGGGGCCAGGGGACGGCGAACTTCACCCCCAATCGGCTCCACGATTCCGATGACCACCCCCCACCGCAATGTCACCCCGGCAGAACGCCGCCCGGCTCCCCGGTAAGGCGACCTCACGCCCGAGAGCCTGCGGTCAACCACTCCGCCCCGCCAACGTGGGTTCAGAAAGCCTGACTGGCGCCCGGACAACCAACCCTACTGGGACCCGGACAGACTAAGGCGGGTAACCCCGAGTTCCGACGCCATACCTCGAGTCGTAGAAGCGCCCCCGGAAAGCTGGAGGAGAGGGCCAGCCGGCCCAGCCACCCATCAGCCACGACCCCGACACCGTGCGGACGAAAATCTCACCCCGGCAGTAGTCACGCGGCCGAACAGAGAGACCTTGTGCTCTTCGCGGTAGGAGCTGGACCGCGAGGTGGAGTGCAAGACCACCAGGACACGCCAAACCGCGGCGGAGCCCGAGGAGCGGAGCCAAGGACGCCTGCGAACGGCTAGTGCCTCGCATTGGAGAAGTGCCAATTTGCACTCATTGTTGTGCTGGTCAACATCGTGCCAGTCCTTCTGCCAGGAAGCACCCGTTCAGACCTTAGTCTTTGTCCCAATTGCTCGCCGCTTCTTAGCAAGGACGCTGATCCGCAATGGCGTCTCTGGCTGTGAATTCAATCGGACCCCTCGTGGCGCAGGACATGTATGTGAAGATGCTGACTAGACTGGACGTCTAAGTCGAGGTCGCGTAGGGATGGATCAGGAACAGAGTATGTGTTACAGGACGGCGACCGATCTCTTGGCCAGCCACTAGCTTTCAGATGAGACCCGCTGCCCCGAGAGGAGCTTTGGCTTGCCACGGAGCTGTGGAGTTCTGCCGGGGCATCAATCTGGCACGTATGCGGGGTTGCCCTGGGATGGACGTACCAGTGGCCGAACCACGATGGCTGGTCCCGTAGCAAGGCTTGAGTTGTGACGAAAGGCGTGACAATCACGATGTGTTGGGACTGTGCTTGGCGGGAATACTGCAACCACTGTCGCCCAGATGCCATTCCACCTCTTCGATGTGGCTATGGATAATTATGATGCTTATGACAAGGTCGTCTTACCGGCCAAATAGCAAAGAGAGCAGCCTATGCATGTCGTTCCTGCTTAAAAGGTGAGGCAAACGCACCCGCTACACTATTCTGCCCCTCGACGTGGGCCTGCCGGGCGGAAGGGTGCACTCAGCCTTGCACCGCCGCCTGCATGGCATCATACATATCTGAGTCAGAACCCTACGAAGAGCGTTCTGCAATAAGGTTGTCGGCTGCAATGTCAACACGTGAATTGCTCTACCTGGAGGAACGCAGAGTCGTTCAGCCGCGCAGCGATGTCTAATGCGGTGTGGCAAATCGTGCGCCGCGTCCTAAAGCGCACAACAAAGCACAATGGTAGCCCACGGGTAGTGACCAACAACTACTTGCATGGTGCATGGGGCGAGCACCGTGGACTTCATGGGACATACTGACCGGGGCACGGCTTATGGCAATCTGTGGTCTGCACTGTGTAGCTGACTTGTGTCTGAGACGAGCTTCTTGCGCTGGAAATCTTCGAGGGGCGACGGTTCGATGCCGCCGTCGTCGGTGTCACCGCCATCGCCGTGACGAAATTGTACATGGGACAACTTCGCGACAACTTCGTGGTCCGTGTCGACTAACACCGAGTTCACACTTTGTAGTACTTTGACGTTTCACCAGCGTCAGCCTTGATATAAGGTACTGTGAGCCATGAACTCTGTGCCGCTCACTACCGCTCGAGGTGGCAACGACACTAATCTAGTGCTGAGGTTGCCACCGACGGCTCAACCTTTGGGCTGCCGACGTCGGTCCTCTGGGATTCACCTGTACGTACCCGTATCGCCACGATGCTGCCGTCGTTGTCCCACGTCCACTCCCCCCACGTCCACTGCCACGAAGGTGAGCCAACCCCTCGAACCACGTGGACTTGTACCATCACCGCCACGATGCGACACTTTCAACAACCACATGACCAGTTACTTCCGCGACCTTAGGTAGACGAGGTTGGTCAGCCTGAGTAGGCAAGTGCTTCCCCGACATCCTGCTGAGCGTGTACTGTACAAGAGTAATCCGTGGATAAATCAAGCACCCGGCCGTTGCTACATCTCGGACCAGTGACGTAGCGGATTCCTGAGCAGAACGCATTGTCAGCGCATCGAGAAATACACTGGCCCAGTCTCTCTCTTCCCATGACCCAAGCCCGGCGATGTAGGACCCTCCCCTGGCCTTAGTATCGGGCTGCCTAATGTTAGCCGTGCGCCAGTCTTGTGTGACAGGCCATCTGCGCAGGCTGCAAGGATAACCCCAGCCTCCATGTTCGTGCTGCTGAGCGGCACATCACGACCTTATCCCAGCGTGGGGGCATGCCCCTGTGCACCATCCCTTGCCCTGAGCGCATTCACCTGCGGACCTCACCGCCGTGCCGCATCTACATGGTAAGGCGTAAGGACGACACAACTTGACCGACCAGGACTTCTTTCAGCAGCTAATGTTCCCCCTCTTCTTCACGCCGACCCCTTCTCTCTCATCTTGGGCGTGGGTAATCTCGTCCGTTGTTGACAAGCAATCTTTCACGACGTAACTCATCGTCTTTGTGGCCTTGCTGTCTCGGTCAACATCAAGCTTCTCAGTTTTCGAAGTCGTTCATCGTTATGCTCGGCAGCTGAACTACGTACACGTGTACATTTGGGGACATCGGCTTGAGTGTTGCTGCTCATGCGTTATCTTCAACCGCATTAGGACCACTGGTCTCTTCTGAATGCCCGCAGAAATGAGCTCAAGGTCTCGCGGACGCGCCCAGCCGACCGTCGCTATTCCTAACGTTCTCCGTGATGGACCACACTGGCACGACCCATATAGCACATGCACCAGCACGGGGAGCGGAAGGCTGCCGACGACGACAAGGTCAAGATTGGCCAACCCTCCAATATGGCTAACCCCCACATTGGTACGTGGCACTTCTCAACCGTTTCCGCGCCTTCACAACCAAGGTGACCCCGCCCAAGTGCAGTGTTGGCGACTATTAGTATCTTGCCGAGTGGCAGCGCAGAGGCAATCGCTTCGCTCTTATGAGGCGCTTCGCAATATCGTCAACAAGGTCCAGCCGCACCAGCGACGAACCCCGCGTCACCAAGGATCTCCATCCACGCCATTGCACATTTGTCGCCACACGCAATGATCCCCGGCTCAACTCCTATAGCCAGACGCTGTCGCTGACCTAGAGAGCCTTGGACGAGTGCGCACAACGTTGAGGGCTACCTGGCAAAGGCAGAGACCAAGTCTACGTCGCTTCCCGCGATCTGCTGCCGTGCGTGAGCAGCCGTGCCCCTTGCAGTCATTTGTCTCCTGTCTGCCCACCAAGCTTCTCCGCGAGCGTGACTGGTCGCAACCCGAAATCATCCACTACCTCCTGGACTACCGTGCCAATGAGTCGCCTCGAAGTGACTGCCAGAATGTCGACTGCCGGCCACCGGAGCAGCAGCCACAGATGCTCGTGGCCGAAGACGCACAGTTCTCCTCCAAGCAGTCACTTCTCCCTTGCTACATTAAGCGCAGGGACCAGGTCAACTCGACACTGCTCGAGGGCCTAACCACGTACGACCACAACACGGGCGACCCACGGTCACAGGCCCGACCTCTTGCGTCAAGTATGCAGGAGGCCGACCACGCGCAGTGAGGCGGCCTGCGTCGACCACAGGTGGGTGTGCCCAGGCCTGGCCCGCAGGACCCACATCCCGTCCTGCACTTGAGCATTGCGGTCTCCAAGCGTGCACCTGCCATAAAGCTCGCTCTACGCCCGTTGCTTTTGCCACTCAACTCCGCGCGTCATCGTATTGAGCATCTATCCATCTTCCTGTAGGCCTTACTCGCTTTCCAGAGCACGGCCTGCTCGTATCTCATTGCGTTGGCCTGAGCAGAACGGGATCCTACTGTTTGTTGTCCCTGCTCGTGCCGTCCCAACTCGTCTCGGAAGTTCGACCCTGATCGCCGCTCACCAGAAGCTCACCTGGCACTCACCATCAGAGACAGCCGGCCCGTGCAGCAAACGTCCTTCACAAGCAAGCGCCCAACGATCCCTTCGCAAAGTGTGAAGTAGACCGATTTGGAACACGCCGTGTTTGCACAATTACCGAACTCTTGGCCATTCATATCTCAACGAACCTTGCTTTGTAAGTCTGCTCCCGATATATCAATGTCATACCAGCCGATCAAACCGCCCAATGAGGAACGCAAATCCTACAGACGAGAGACTTTCACCTGCTTCGCGGCAGGTGTTCTTCTCCTCACTTATAGCGAAGCGGTATGCTCGGCCGCAGACTTTATTTCTTTTGCAGAGCACCTCGCAGTTGCACCCGCCGCCAATCCTCACTTATACTAATAAATCAGCAGCAACCACGCAATTTTGGCGGTATAGCCCACGTACCAAATCGCATCACAGCAGCACAATCGCCACCACCGTCCTTGGCCCCGCCAGAACAAGAAGGCATGTCCGACCAGCCGAGAGGCAGAGGCCGTGGAGGACGTGGTGACCGGGGCGGCTCGCGAGGCGGGGGCGGCAGAGGCCGCGGAGATGGCGTCTCATTTTCCGGCTTCGACAGCCAAGGCAACCCGCGCGGTGGTCGTGGCGGCGGCCGTGGCAGCCGTGGCAGTGACAGGGGCGACTTCCGTGGCGGTGGGGAGAATCGTGGAGGTCGCGGTGATCACCGCGGTGGAGGCAGAGGAGGTGACTTCCGTGGTGGACGAGGTGGTGGTCGTGGTGGTCGTGGTGGTGGTCGAGGTGGTCGAGGTGGTGACAAGTTCCCCGGGGAATCAGAGGTCTTCAGGTGAGTCTTAATAGCAACGCACGCCTCCACCAGAAGTAGAGCTCACACTATCACAGACCCAACCAAGCGCCCAAGCCAGATTCTTCCACGCAGGCTCTCGAAGACAAGATCTTGAGGGAACAGCTTGGACCAGATGCGCTCACAAGCAAGATGGCGAGGACGCAGATCTCCAAAGGAGCTCAACCGATTCCAGGCGAACACTTCCCTTGTCGTCCAGCGTTCGGCACAAGTGGGCGCCCAGTGTTGCTTTGGGCGAACTACTTTGAGATGAAGATCAAACAGCAATCTCTCTTCAAATACCAACTCGAAGTTAAGCCGGTGCAGAACAAGGACAAGAGACAACAAGCCAAAGACGCGAAAGGTCTGAAGCTGATGAGCATCATCAAAAGCGCTCTCAGCCAGATTGCACATGGTCACCCTCTGGTAACCGAGTTCAAGAATCAGGTTATCACGCTGAAACCTCTTCCGCTTCCAAGCAACAACATCGTGCTCGTCGACTATACACTGGAAGGACACGACGATCAATATGAGGTCAAGTTCAACGGACCCCTCGACGTGGATTTGTCAGCGTTGTTTCGGTATCTCACGACTATGAATGATCCTACTGGGAGCAAGTCCTTCCCAAAGTACGAGGATGTCATCGATGCCCTTAACGTGATTATGGGTCACAGTCCCCGAGGGAACTCCGAAATCGCATCGATTGGTCGGAGCCGCTTCTTTCCTATCGATGAGCCAACGCTCCGGACTGAGAGACAAGGACTGGGCTGGAATGAAGCCATCAGAGGTTATTTCCAGTCTGCTCGACCGGCAACTGGCCGTCTGCTGCTCAATGCGAATGTCAGTCACGGAGTGTTTCGTCCCGCCGGCCCGGCGATCAACCTTTTCACTCAGGCGGCCCTGTACAACATGCACACGTTACACAAGAACATGTCCGAGCTTCGGGCTCGTGTCACTTACCTGGGTGATAAAGGTGAGACGAAGCGGGTTCTGGTGAAGATAATTCAGGGGCTTGCTTCGCCTTACACTGCTAAGGGCAAAGTGGCGAAGCCGCCCAAGGTGAAAAGGCTGGGCGCAACCGCCACTGAGGTAGAGTTCTACCTCACCGGTCCGACAGGGTCAACCGGCTTGGCACCCAATCGGTACTATACGGTCGCCGAATATTTCCAGAGGCGTAAGTTCTCGAGTCTACTATGGACATCATAGCCAGAACCGGCCTCGACTAACTCGAAGCCCTTTATATCATAGGTTATGGAAAAAGTGTCAACCCGAACTTGCCAGTGATCAACATCGGAACCTCTCAACGACCAGTCTACATGCCCGCGGAGGCCGTCGAGATCATCCCGGGCCAGCCATTGCAGCGTAAACTCAACGCAAGGGAGACCCCGACCCTGATCACTTTTGCATGTCGCTCACCAGTTGCTAATGCAACATCAATCACCACGTTCGGACGCAAGTGTCTCCAGTTGGACAACAACGAGAAATTGGTGCGTGCCGTTGATTCTGCGCATGAAAGATGTGCCCAGTTTGCTAATGACTTTCCAAGTCCGAGTTCGGTGTCGAGATTGAGAAGGACCTGCTGACTATCAATGAGCGGGAGCTTAAAAATCCGGATATACAATACAAAAACCAGAAGGAAGCCAATCCGAGCGAAGGCTCGTGGAACATGATTGGAGTCAAGGTCCTCAAGCCTGGTGCCAAGATCGACAGGTGGACATTTGTCCATGTCGACCCAGAGCCTCGGGACAAGGACACCGTCACAAGGATCATGAATGGCGAGTTCACCAAAGTCCTTACAGACATGGGCATACCCATCGCCGAAACGCCCATGCATCCTCAAGGCCTTGTGGTAAACACCCGAGCTGCGCACCCGGTTGATGCTGTGCGCCACGCGTTCACCGAGATTCGAAGAGCTTCGGGTGGGAAGGGTGCACAGTTTGTTTTCGTCATTCTTGCTCAGAACGACCCAGATGTCTATGCCGCGGTCAAGAGTCTTGGCGATACCGAATTCGGCATCCATACTACTTGCATGGTGCGAAAGAACTTCACCAAGGGCAGGCCGATGGACCAGTATTTCGCCAATGTCGGTCTGAAGATCAACCTCAAGATGGGTGGCAACAACCACCAGCTCAAGAACGACATTGCCATTATCCGTGAGGGCAAGACCATGGTTGTCGGCTACGACGTCACACATCCGCCCCCGGGCTCTAATTCACCCAGTCTCGTGGGACTTGTGGCAAGCGTCGACAAGGAACTCTCTCAGTGGCCAGCTGCCGCTTGGGCCCAGGATGGTCGTGTGGAGATGCTCGGCGAGAAACTGCGTGAGAACTTTGGCGAGCGCCTTGTGCTTTGGCAGAAAAACAACCAGCAAAGGCTGCCTGAAAACATCATCATATTCCGTGATGGCGTGTCCGAAGGGCAATTTCAGCAGGTCTTGGACAAAGAGCTCCCGCTGATCCGCGAGGCATGCGCTAAGAAGTATCCTGCCAATAGCGCACAACCAAAGATCACTGTGGTCGTGTCTGTGAAGCGGCACCAGACGAGATTCTATCCGACGGACCCTAAGCACATGACGAAGTCACGCAATGTAGCTACCGGCACCGTTGTGGACCGAGGCGTGACCCAGGCCAGGATCTGGGACTTTTTCCTCGTGGCCCATGCCGCGCTGCAAGGTAAGGTTCCTTCCACATGTTCAGTCTACTTGTTTAGTTTCATACCAAGGGTACTGATCGTTTCTCTCTGAACTTGTAGGTACCGCCCGGCCGGCGCATTACACAGTTCTTCTTGACGAGGTTTTCCGCGCCAACCTTGGCCAAGGCGCTGCCGCGGCCAATGGCATCCAAGAGCTCACGCATGAGATGTGCTACATGTTCGGTCGTGCCACGAAAGCCGTGAGCATCTGCCCTCCAGCATATTATGCAGACATTGTCTGCACACGTCAGCGGGCGTACATGACGGATCTGTTCTCAGATACGAGCGACACGGCGTCCGTGGGCGGTGCTTCGTCGACGAGTCGTGCTGGTTATGGTAAGGACATATCAGTTGAGGTTCACAGGGATCTGAGAAACTCGATGTACTACATTTAGGGGGCCAAGTTTGAAAGTTGGGTCACTGAAGCTGAGTTCAGCCCAGAAATATGTAGATTGAACACGTCGGGGCATAGTGTCGCACAAGCCAGGGAGCGAGTTTGTATGGAGGTCAGCCAATTGGACGAAGAGGATGAATAGGAATCTGGGAATATGCTGTTTAACGACAAAGCTCACGAGCGATCATATGTGTCGAACGATCAAGCAAAGGTTGAGTTTCTTCAAGCTGTGCAGCGCAGCAGACAGTTTTCATTCTCTACATGTGCTCGTATTCTTGTGTGTTTTCCTAAGTACAAGGAGAACTGCTTCAAGCACGGGGACTTTCATCGGGTTTAGATGATGCTCGATCACCCGTTCAGACAGGGCATTGAGGAGCCCCAGATCGTCGCTAATACGACACTTATGCCGCTGCTTATGGCACCTGTGAGCAGTTCCATGGTGGCCAGCACGACAGAGACTACTATCAGCTCAATGAAGACATCGCCAACACGGACGGGTTCCTCGACGAGGAGTTCCCTCCTGAGCAAGCTGCTGGCGGCTCGGAGGAGCTCGCCAATTGCTGTCCGGATTGTGACTTCAACTTGCCCACAGACATGAGAAATCTCGATCGTCGTGAGATTCCTGTGGCCAAGGATTGATCTGCCCGCATTGCCAATTATCCTGACCTCCGATGAGATCAGGGTGGACGGCGATCACTGGCACGACTTTTCCAAGGAGAACTCCGCCGCCGCCGTAGGCAACGGCGACGCTCGCACAGACGAGAGCACGCTAAACCCTGAGCAGCGAGTAATATTTGACATTTATGTCGACCATTTCCAGCGGGTGAGTGGCGGACATCAGCGCGCAGAACTGCATCTCAACATCGACGTCTCTGCCGGCTGTTGCAAGTCGTGCATGCTCAAGGTTCTCTGCGAGCCGCTCGCCGGCGTGGCGCGCCAGATTGGCCTGACTAACACCATTCTGCGCTGTGCTCCTGGAGAGTTGCTGCCAACGAGATTGATGGGCTAACACTACACTCTATATCCACTTGCCTGTCAACGGAGGCGCTGCTCTGACTTCTACAGGGCACTGCTAGCCTTCTTCCAAGAATTTGGTCAATGAATCGCTTCCAACAAAATCGTAAACGAACGCGACATCGAATCTGTCAAGCACAATATCGTCAAGGCCTCTGTCGCAAGAATCATCAAGGCTCCCAGGCGTCACGATGCGACGAAACTAGTATTCGTCTTCGAGCAAGGTCTTACCGACGGCAACCACTCCCATGCGCTAAGCGATGGCGCTCAGGACTCGAATCAGCTTCGCGCCGATAAGGTCTGTGGTTACAGGCACAATGACGCAGGAAGCCGACGAGAAGGGTGAGCACCTTCTAAAGTTTCAAGGTGGAATCGGGCCTCCAGGTCCTCAGATGCTCGCTCGAACGCAGTCTGCGAGTACGTTGATAGGATAGATCGTCGTGCTGCGGGGAAGAGAGAGCAGCGCCATAATCTCTGGAAACCAAACCCTGAGGCGTCGGTGCTGTCCGTTGCATTTGGTACCGCTGAGTTACAGTAGCTTGCGTGTGCCTGGCATCATCAATGGCTGGATCCTTTGTTGTTGAGGCGCCGGCGAAAGTGAGGTGCGTGTATTGTGGTGGCATGGCTACGCTGTGTAGCTGCTCCATTCAGTGGTGGATGAGTGTCAAGGGGGGCTTTGCAAAAGTGGCCATCTCGTGCTGTTCCGGAGTTTGGACACGAGTGGACATTGCAGAGGCACAGGAGAGCGTGGCATAATATTAGCTACTGTAATTGAGACATTTTTGGGTGAAGGTGTGTCACATTGTAAATGCAATGAAGAGTGACCATGGCCTCGTTCGCAGCCATTGCTGCCTTGAATCGAGGAGTTTTAGGGGCAAATGTGTAGTCAGGCGGCGAGGACGCACTTGGACCGGCCGCAACTTCTGTCATAGCCTCTTTGGAACACCGGTGTCCTCATCTCCTTTGTTGTCTTCGTCGACGCCATAGTCTCTCCTTGCCCGCCGACGCCAATTCTCTTATCTCCAGCCATTTCAGCGACCATTGATGAGCACGTCATAAGTCAGCGCGGGCAACGTTTTCAGGACCTGACGTGCCTCCTCCATGTCCAGCACTCCAACTCCCTTTAGCAGCAGCGCTGAACTTCCTCACTGCGAGAGCTTTGAGTTCAGACACGAGATACTTGTCAGCAAGCGCGTACATGGCCGTGTGGAGACTGATGGCAGAGTGCATTTCATCCTGCAAATTGTGGTCAAATGACTCATTCAGACTCTTAGGGACGTCTTTCAAGGAGCTCTGGTGGCGAACATGCTCAAGTAGAGACTCGGCTTGGTCATCCTCGAAGACAATCGACTTGCTCAAGATCGACTGGGAAACTCCCGAATATTTGTTCTTCCACCTTGCGGAGCCACGAGTGGAGGTATCGGCGCACCTCAATAATGCTGTATTGCACGGCCGTCAGCCAGATTCTCGCCTTTACAATTTCGGCAATCGAAGAACAACTTTCCAATCCTAGTTAAGATAAGCGTTCCTGAGCTAGGGGCCGACTTGGACAGTGTTAAGCTTATGATGCCAAGGACTATCGTTATGTTCACCGATCGCCATATCCTCTCCGCCGCCGTCCTACAGCGTCAACATGCCGACCACGGTCACTTGAAATCACTGAGGACGACTTGTCCGATCACCCTGACAACGGAGGTGCTACATTAAGCAACCTCGGACGATTTGCTTGGCCGTCATTTCCGCAACCAATGACGCAGCCAATCAGTCTATCCTGCACCGGGTGCGAAATTCGACCTAGCGGGAAAGCGAACACTTGGCGTCATCACCAAACCTGATCAGCTGCCTGCCGGATCTGGCACCGAGTCCAAATTCCTTGAGCTTGCCCAGAACAAGGACGTGTTCTTCAGCTTGGGCTGGCACGTCATTCGAAACCGTCGTTTTGACGAGAAAAACTTCACTTTCCACGAGCGGAACACTGCGGAAGCTCACTTCTTCCAAGCGTCCAACTTCAGCGTTCTCCCCTCAGATATGGTCGGCATCGCGGCGCTACGAGAGCGGTTGAGTCTGCTTTTGTTCCAGCACGTCAGGGCCGAACTTCCGCAACTCAATGCGGAACTCGAGAGAGCACTCGCAAAGGATCTTCGTCAGCTGAAGACGTTAGGAGATTCGCGACCAACACCTTCGGCATGCCGCATCTATTTGACACAGCTCAGCATCGAGTGTCAGGAAATTTGCAAATCAGCCATCAACGGCAACTATGAGCACGACTACTTCAAGACTAGAGACGATGACATTGATGAGGAGTTCTCGCTGGAAGATGAAACGACAATCGCCAGACTGCGGGCCGTGGTCCAGCACGTCAATAGCAATTTCAGCGAAACACTCCGAAGGAAGGGTCACAAGTACGATCTCGAAGCACCAGGGGAGGGGCCAAAACAGGTAGACAGCATGAGCTTTGGGGAGTTCCTCTCCAAGTCGAGCTCGCCAAAGCGGCTTTCCAAGACAGAATCGGTAGCTTGGGTGAAAAAATTGCTTCGGCGTTCTAGGGGTCGAGAATTAATGGGCAATTTCAACCCGCATCTCATCGGTGAGCTGTTCTGGGACCAGTCCGAACCCTGGGAGCATTTGGCAGAGGATCACGTCCACAACGTCAGTCAACTCTGTGAGAAGTTCTGGACAAACCTTTTGAGACATAGAGCTCCGCAGGATATCAGAAGTCGCATATGGTCAGTCAGTCCTTGAATGCATTCACATCGAACTTCGGCTAAGGGCGAGGATGGTGCACAAAGAGCTTCAACGGCGAAAATCGGCAGCCTCGCACGAGCTAGGGAAGCTTCTTGAAGATCTCAGGGATTTTCCTATCAATTATAACCACTACTACGCTGACGTGATCGAGCGTCGGCGGCAAGAGAGGCTTGGAACGAAACTGAGAGTCCTCATGCCAGCCAGGTTTCCGCATGAATCCCATGAAAGATGCAGCCGTGGCTCCCACTATGACAAGTAGGCCGCCGAGCTCGACATGAACCAGGTCGTCCAAGCTGTGATGAAGAGCAAAGCTACTACCATTGACATGGACACATTCAGCATCGAAGACGCACTTGACTGCATGCGAGCGATCTACAAGGTGCAGTACAAGACCTTTGTTGCCAATGTGACAACTCAGGTGATTGAGAGGCATCTTGTGAGGGGTCTCGAGAACATTGTTTCGCCGCTTGTGGTTGTGAAGATGTCTGATAGTGAGGTGGAGGCTATAGCCTCGGAACAGACGACAACCAAGCAGCAGAGGATCATGCTGGTGAGCCGGGTCCGAATATTGGGAGAAGGCCTTGCTATCTTCCAGGAATTGATTGGGTCTTAGCTTGGATTTGAATCACTTGACTGCCAAGTCTTTTGCTATGTCTTACCAGGCTCTAGCAAATGTCGTAATCCTGGACTTGATCGCGGACATGGCTCCTCTTCCGCATGGGCCTGCGCGCGGAAAGTATCCGAGGGCCACTGGCAGCTCACCTGCACGACCAGCACAGCACTCGAGCGTCATTTTGATCACGCCCGTGGCCCCGGACACCGGCCGCGCTGGTTCCCCGTGACTCACTCTTATTCAGCAATATCAGATATATCGCGTGAGCTCCGACGACATGGAGCATAGTTGGAATTTTAATAAGCACGCGCTACATTCTGAACAACCGCAGGAGCAGCCGCTCACGGCCCGCACGTTTCGCATGCGATGCGTGAGATTGCCAGCATCAGCACCATTGCCTGGAATGGAGTGTTTACGCTACAGTGCCATCAAGACACCATATTTAGCCTGGCTGACGGCAACGAGATTGCCGACAGCCAGCGTCAGCTAGGCTAAGACCTCGTTGGATTTGCCAACCACTGTGTGGCTCACTCTAATAGGGTCGCTCATGGAATACCGACGGGGTTGGAAGACGAAGGTGGCCGGCAAGTACTGCCAAGGAACGGTATTGACAAAGTCAGGATAGCGAGACATCAGTCACAACGTGCGAGCGCATATCCCTGCCGCTGGTACCTAAATGATACTTGGTGGCCTGTGGGCTGCTCAGATCAGGCTGGGCAGTGGCGCCGCCGACTTGTTTATTCCCCACTAACAGAAACAGTCGAATTATGTCTGAACACCACAGCGCTCCAGGCTGACCTTGCTACATGCCTGCACTCTCAAACTCTGCTTGCAGCTTGAGGTGTTGTGTCTGTGCCACGGCAGCAGTCTCAGATGGCGACGTCGCGCTCGGTGAGACTGCCCTTTGCCATCGGACGGGTTTAGTCCACCAGATGCCCCTGCGTGTCAACCAATGCACATATAGGTGGGTGGGCACGACATCACTTGCGGCTCTCCATAGTCTATCAGCAAGGTCAAGCCATCAAATGTTACCAGTTGCGTGCCGCGCAGTAGTAATAGAAGTGGCTCGCGCTGCAGAAAGCGACTTCACCTTACAATTCGTCCCTGGTATTGACGGCACAAGCCCTGAGAGTGGCCAAAAGTTACAAACGCCGTTGAACCATATACCCGACAAGCTGAGATCTGAGCTATGCCGCAGAACAATAGCCTATACAGGACTGCACGCCCTTGCCCTTGTCTCCTCCATCCTGATGTTCAGTTGTAGACGGAAAGAGTCCTGAGACGGATACTCAATTACGACAGCCCCCAATTCCGACATTTGGACCAAAACGACGCCTCCTTAACCAAGTGGTTCCTCCGACCGTAGTTTACACTCCTGCGCATTTTTGGAACCCCACGTGGATTATCGTTACCATCTCTAGACTTTTCTGAACTGTGAGGCGATTACTTTCGCTACAACGTGGTCAGCAAGCAAGTGAGCCAAGTGAGCCACTCCTTGCCCCAGCCTATATAGGGTTTCTGAATCCATAACAACGTAGTGATACACATTATGAAAACGATAAGAGGAGTCTTGGGTCTTCACGTTTCTACTCGGCTCTATGACATATCCTTGCTGGATTTATTTACAGGGAATTCTAAGAAAAGTACCAAACCACTTACGGCCACCATGTAGCTTTAAAAACCTCATGGACTTCATACATTTCAATTGGAGAAGTTCTATTGGGCTTTTCTGCTGAAGTAAGTGTGTCAAGCTTATCTTCTCGGGTGCTGAAGAGAAGTTGAGATAGGTGGACCAACTATGGCAGAACAGAGTACCATGACAAGAAAAACCATCGAATTGTGATCAATAGATCGCAATGTCCTGTTGTCAAGCGAGTCTAGCTGCGCATTAAACAGCCTTTTTATTGCACCCCGTTTATCTACATGTTCATCATTCTGGCAGCTGAACACCCCGCCTGTCTTCGACAGACGAGTGCAACAGGGGCTGTGCCCCCATACCCCCCTTTGATCCGGAATCAAGACCATCTTTTTAACGCGTTTATCGGTACCAGACCGAAAGCATGCTTCAGCCGCACGCATCTTGGAAGGGTTTGTTTTGTCCCGTCACTGCACCCGCGACCTCTTCTACCTACTCTACTGGCCTCAAGCCAAGGACAATGCCAGAAGGGCCCTCGCCCTCCCCGGAGACTCAAAGTCCGGCTCACCGAACAGCTTCCACACCAGACCAGAAAGTTCTGCCTGTTTTCCACCACGCGGAAACAGCTGCTCCACAACCGCCGACAAACTGTAGGCGACAAAAAGTAGCCTCGCAATGTCAGCATCCTCGACAGTCCAATGCACGCCCACCAAGTGGTCCCATGTCCGCACAGCATCGTGCCCCGGACACTCCTCACAAAGCGCCAGCCTGCACAAGTACTCATCCGCCGCTACCCCATCAGCGCGGCTGTCCTCCGTGCCCGGCAACCTGCCTCCACGAACCAGGTAACCACACAACGCCTGTCTCTCCAGACTCCGGCCCAACAAGTAGGGGTCTTCATCACTCCATGCCCCCCAGTCCGAACCACTCAGTGGTATCCCGTGCTTGACCGCCCAGCACAACAACAAGACGCCTCCCTCCGTCGCCGTCACATCACTACCCGGATCTGCCTCATTGCAGTATCGCACCACCCTCTCCAGGTCTCCACAGGCCTCTGCCCTCTCCTTCTCTGTCAACGCCTCCAGCGCGGTCCAGCCAGCCTCACCTACCCACATGAACAGCTTCGGCCCCTCCATCCCGTCTTCCCTTCCGTCCATGCCCAACATCGAACAGTAAGCCCGGCACAATTGCCTACACTCATCGTCCATCCTCTCCTCCATTCCTTCCTCACCACCACTCCGTATCGTGGCACACCGTGTCGTGTTCCAGTAACCCGGAATCCAAGAAGAAAAGCCCTTCCTTCTCCAGTCCTTTGTCCGCACTTACCTCAACTATTCGTGCACGGCCCGTGTGTCAATCCTCTTGTCTTTCGTCCAAAAGTGTTATGTAGAAAGAAGAGAAACCATTTCCCCTCTTTGTCGGGGCACCACCCCTCTTTATCTCTGTGTGCAGAGTGCACCATGACGTTTCATTGGTGCGTGTTGTTGTGGGCCCGCTGGGCGCACTTCCATTTATGGTAGTCGGTTACGACCACTGGTCCGCCCTCCAAAACATGATGTACCGGTGGTACTTGAAAACCACCGACCACGTCCATCTTAATAGTGAATCATACCGGACCCCCTGTCCAAAGGGGGTCAAGATGGACGATGTGATTCGTGCGACCACGCACGATTCCCCCACTAATTACCATTAGCAGGTTAGCAGTCCACGAAATCGTGGACTCACCAAAAGGTGTACAAGTCCCTTCGCAGAGGGCCGGATCGTCTCCACAACCCCGACGACACCCCCGATCACCGAACCCGACTCCCGGACTGTCCTCTGCTACGTTGGACTGGTACTGCTCCGCATTGGTGGCAAAGCCTTGTGTGCCACTCCCCCAAGGAGTGTCACGGTCCTTCCAGTCTTTTGAGTGTTTGAGGGCCCCCAAGGGCCCGTTGTTGCTTGTTGTTAGGCGCCCGCAGGCGCCGTGTAGAGGGCCCCCCCAGGGCCCGACTGCAAGAGGAGCGCCCCAAAGGCGCGACATGAGGCTCTCACCAAGTGCACTTGTCAAGCATTCACCTGTGCATGTGTTGTTCCTCGTGCCTTCCAGGCACTCTGTCTACGCGTTCACTCCGTTCACTTTGCATCCTATTGTTTGTAAAAAAGTCCCTTTTATTTGTTCACCCGTTTTCCATCTATGTGTTCATCTTTTGAGGGTGTTGAACACCCGCCTGTCTTCGACAGACAGGTGCAACAGGGGCTGCCGCCCCCGTACCCCCGCTGTTCCGGAATCTTGACCTCACTTTTTAACGTTCCAGGTGGTACCCGCAGGGTATAAGCATGCGGTATCACTGGCTTCAACACTCAGCTGCCACCCAAAGCAGCACCCCATATAAAGACATCACGGCCTCCGTGACTTTCAAGAGAGGGAACAAGCTCGCTCCACACACACGAGAACACTCTCACAAATCGCCGCTACCTGAGCGCGAGTATCCTCCCATGGCCAACAACACCCGATCTCCCGCATCGTGCCAACACAGTAGACCAGGCCAGCCATCCTGTATTGCTCCTCCGTACAATTATGCTCAATCAAATGAGCAGGCACCGGACCACGCGCCACATCCGCCAAGAGTTCCCCGTCCTCCTGCCGCGCCATGCACTTCCAGCACGCCGCCAACGAACAGAGAAATCTGCTCCGCATCCCCATGCAAGCCGCCGAGGGCGCCTCGCGAAACCCCGTCCGTTCCATAGCCATATCACACGCAGCCCCGGCAAGACCAACCACGTTCCCTGTCGTATACGGGCAACACGCCCCCGGCTCAGTACAGACCAAGAGGTCCTCGCTCTGCAAAGGCAGTCCCTGCTCCATCGCCCATCACATCAGAACAGCACTCAACTCGTGCCACAACAAGGCCAGATCCACCTGCCTCTCGTCTCCATCCTCCTCCACCAGTCTCCGGACGGACTCCACAAGCTGCAACACAGCACCGGGCTCCTTCCCACTCCGCCCCTTCCAAGCCGCCATCACCGCGCAGCATCCAGGGCCCAGCACCGTCCTCTGCTACGTTGGACTGTGTACTGGTCCCCATTTGTGGTGCAAGGGCTTGCTCTCGACCTTAGTCCAGTAAGGCCTCGGGTCACTCTGCTCTTTTGTTGTTAGGAGGGGCCCTCAGGCCCCTCTGTGTGTTTGTGTTAGGCGCCCGCAGGCGCCGTGTGTGAGGCCCTCAAGGGCCGATCTGTAAGAGGAGCGCCCGCAAGGCGCGACATAGGCATCTTTCACCTGGTTCACGATACATCCTGGTGTTGTAAAAAGGCCCTTCAATTGTTCACGCGGTTCACTGTATGAGGGGGACCCATGGCCCCCCTTCTCTACTACGTCTTCTGTCAAAAGTCCCTTTTATTTCTACTCTGTTTTACTGAAAAAGCCTCTTTCCTTGTGGCTGAACACCCGCCCTCCTGTCGGAGGACGAGTGCAACGGGGGCTGTGCCCCCATATCCCCCTTTGACCCGGAATCTTGACCATCTTTTCCGACAGCATGCTATGTCTGTGATGAAAGCATTCTCTAGCTGCACGCATCTCTGGATGTGTTGTGTTTCCAGTCACTTGAACCCTTCTACTGTCCTCAAGCCACTCTCACCGACGCCCCTAGGCTGAGCCCCAAACACCATCCTGTGTAAGGCCGCAAACAGGTGATCTCCCGACCACATCGATGACCGAAATGCGGATACGACCTCCTACCTTCAGTGGAACTCACGCTGACCGACGACATAATAATCGCCCCCATCCAGGCGCACAAACGGAACTGCCTGGTCTCTCTCACCTCGCTCCAAGCGGACAGAATACCTCTGTCGAGACAGAACAGGGAAAAAGGGCCTGTGGATGACCTCCCAGCATCGCATCTCGCACAACCCCTGCTCCGGTTTGTAGACCCTTCAGTCCACAAGACAAGTCAGCGTCATATCGTCTGGCCCTGACACCGTCCCGATCTCGAGAGCCCTCTCCCGCAGAAGAAAGGCAGCCCAGCCACAACCATCGTAGGCCTGCACTCGCGCCACCACGCGCATGATCTGCCTGGCATCCAGTCGCATCTGCCACCCCGTCACGGGTGGACAAAACCCTTCGCGCACGTTACGCCATCGCCGCGGGCATCTCTCATGCCAACAATACGGTGCATTCGCCGGACACTCGCCCTCCACATCCGTGTCCTCCACCATCTCCTCCGCCTTTCTCGCGCAGAGATCCCTCCGCAACACCTCCGTCAGCATGCTCCATACGCCAGGTTAAATTATTTTCTACCCAAGCCCTTATTTCGCCGCTTTCTCCGTTTGCTTTTTGTCGAAAATGATCAAATGATGAACGAATGTATAATGAACTGATCTTTATGCTCTAAAAACCGTGCATTTCCCTGAGGTTGCATTGAGGCCGATATTCAAAGCTACATATTTGCTTATCATGCGATTCAGTACTCTCTTCAAAACATTTTGTATCACTTCAAAAAAAAAAAGGAAGATGGAAATTGAAAGATGCTGAGGGCCTTCGTTGAAACGATAAATGAAAAAGCAGAATAAGGTATAACGTAATCCACAAGTGAGCGGGCCACACAAGTGAGCGGACCATTTCTTATCGCCGCTAATACTGAGATCTTTAAGCCCTTACAACTTCTTTATTTTAAAAGTAATAAGGATATGGTTAAGTCTATTAGTAAACGATAAGGATGATCTATCTCCTCGAGTAATATCTAGTTCCAGAAATAAATAGTAAGCTTATAAACGAGGAACTATGTTAATTTCATTCTCCACTTTCCCTACTTCACTCCTTATAGAGTAAATAACTTATTAACTAGATTTTAAACGAAGGTCTTTATTACTCTTATCGTTTTACGAATGGACTTTACTTCGTCTTTATAGCTTCTAAAATAAAGAAGTTATAAGGGTTTAAAAATCTCGGTATTAGCGGCGATAAGAAATGGCCCGCTCACTTATGGGTTAAGTTACACCGTATCAATGTTCTGGGGACGTTGTTTGTGCGATAGAACTGATGTGGGATGATCGTGATGTTCACGAAAGGAATTACTGCCCTTGAAGGTTGGAAATTTGTCCTGTTTGAACTGCCGAGGACCTTGCGTCTAGTAATCACTAACCCTTAGACTTATTGAAATATCTATTCTGAAATCCTCATTTCAAACTTCTTTTCTTTCAAGGATATAGAGATTAAACTCATAGGTTTGGATGTTAGTAGTTACGCCACCCACAAGCAAGTGTGCAACTTTCCGATAATACAGCACTTAATCCGCCTCACTCTGGACACAGAATTAAGTGTACAGCAAGCTGCATTACCACATTAATGAGAGCCTAATAAAGGGAGCACAATGATGGTGCACGAGCGGTATGCGCCATGGCCGCCTTAGCAGTTGTCACAGTAAGAGAAAACAGCTACCCGTGCCATAGATGAGTTACTTCAATTGCTCATTGAATATAGTACGTCGACTTTACGGTAATACTCGTTGCTGTATCAGACGAACCTGTACCAATGTAAGATCAATTTCAATACCACTGCGTCCTGCAACCACATTGACATGATCTCGCGAGAGTTTTCTTTCATGATGACTCCTTGGAGTACAATACTGCCCCGCAAAGTAAAGACGAATCCGTTTTATCTGCGTTCAGTCCGTGTAAGCAATTCCAGCTGCAGGATAGACAAAACCACAATTTTTAAAACGAAGCCGGGCACGCCATAGTGGGCGCTATCGTGACCTTTTCAGTAGATCAAAATGAATGTACGTTTTTTTCGATGTCGCGTGCAATGATGGCTTCCCGGGGAATAGTGTGTGATCTTACCACTCTTTATCCACAATCCTATCGCTGCTGATCATTTGCCTCTGTGAATGAGATTTACACCAGATATCTCTTTTGTATTCACTAGAAACGAGCTATTTCTCTCGAAATTAATAGCCTTCAACTACATAGACCAGTTGCTAGGGCTCTAGTCTTCTGGCTTGTTTTCGCCATGAGCTGCTCCGTAACGTCGATTTGAGCCTTCAATTTTTTTGCTTGATCAGTTGTGCTAGGACCCCCTTTCTAAGCTGTTCATTATCATCGTGATTCGTAATTCGTGAATAATGATTTCCAGCGCCCCCGGAAGTAAGAGCTGATCCCGCGTACGTCGGTCAACGGCAATATCATGTAGATTGATGTAGAATCGCCTTCTTCTGTAACCAGATTATTTTTTCTGATTTCTTCTGCAGTCTGTACCTACTTGAATTACCTTCACGGACTGAACTGAGCAATAGAATATGGTGAACTGCTTTCGTTTCCCTGAACCCAATCCAAGAAACGAGAATGGAGAGGTTTCGGTGAGTAATGTCAATGTCAGTACGACTCGTTTCAAGTGCACTGAGGGACAAGCCCTACGCTGAATGGCTTGAAACTGTCGTAGACAGGATATTTCGCTTACGAGGAGGCCACACATATCTCGTGGAATAGGTGCGTGCATATAGCGGTTTTTAAAAAAACGGCAGAGCGTAGGTAGGCCGCTGCTAGTGTTAATATTGATATTAATAACTACAAGTACAATCCTATCGCCAGACAAGGCTTACAGAGGTCGTTATCCTAATCCAATGACTGAATAATCGATTTTTCATTTCGTGTTACTGTCGTGGCATCTGAAATTGGAATGATAGTCTCGAATCTTGATAGAATAACAAATGCCTATTATTCATCTGAATTTTATGAAGAGCTTTAGAGTGCCAATTCTCTAATAACGAGCCAATATCACGCCTTCCCATCTACGAGGTCATCCTATACTACTATAACTAGATATAACGTAATCCACAAGCAAGTAAATCATACAAGCTAGTGAATCAGTCTTCGGGCACCCGTACGATAATGTATAAGAGAATTCAACCATAACGCCTTAAATCAATTGAAACTATTCAGAATCCTCTTCTTCAGAGGCAGATACAACTTTCTGACACGTACGAGCATTATGGCCGGGCTCGCCGCAGACGCCACATCGTCGCGCGCGCGTTTCTGGCCTCCTCGTACGACTAGTGTTCTGACTCGTTTCCGCCCTTAACTGCTGCGTCGCATCGATTTGAGCCTTCAAATCCTTTGCCTGATCAATCGTGAGGGACCCTCCTTTCTGTAGCTGTTTTCTTTTCGTACGACGACGGCGGCTAAGGCGGTCGTTTGCATCTCGAAGTTCGGCGAGGTCATGGCGCATACGGGTCTGCTCGTGCACCATCATTGTGATTCCTTTGTTTAGCTGCCGCAGGCTCTCAATAATGGACGACGGAGAGCTATTCTGGTGTCGTACGATACGATTTTTGATGTACTCTGTCTGCGATTCGGCCTCAATTGGGTTGTTCGGCGTCTTTGAAACCCAAGGAGGTGGCAGCCCAGTAGAGGAACCTGGCGGTGTCGGCGTACGAAACTTCACATCTAGCTGCGAAATTACATAATTCGGGTCGTACGGTACTAGGCCTGTTGCTCTAAAGCCTGCCTGGATGTTTGACTTCGTTATCGCAGCGTCGTACGCCTTATAAAAGGCTGGGAGGAAGTCCTCCTTTTGAGATATGGGTAATATGCGCCCGCATAAGACCCTCGATTTCTTTACCGTACGCCCGTTTAAGAGGGCTAAAGCACCCAACATCGAGAGGCTGGAGCTTATGTGATGAATGGGCAGGCATACAGAGCGTTACAATATTCTGTTCCTTACAGTAGAGCTCGAAATCGACGGAATGGTGGCTCTCGTGGCCGTCGAGGATGAGGAGGCGGTAGGTGCCCTTCGTACGACGCTTCGTATGGAAATCGAAGTGTTTTACCCATTCTAGACCTCTCTCGTTCGTCGTCCAGCCGTTCTCTGAAAGCGCAATTACCCAGTCGGCCGGTAGAGGGCTATTCGCGGTCCAGGAGTCGAGGTGGACCTTCCCCGCGAAGATGATATATGGTGGGATCGAGTAGCCGTACGACGCGATACCCTGGATTACTGTAACCCATTCCTGATTGCCTTGTTGTACGGCTCTTGGCCTCCCGCGTCGATCAGAGGTCGTAACGACAGTTTCGGCGGAGATCTTGCCCATCGCGAAGCCCGTTTCGTCGAAGTTGTAGATATCGTTATCGTGGATCCCGTATTTCGCAATTATGTTTCGTACGAGCTCAAACCACGCGCGATACGCGTCCGGATCCTCGCAGAGGACCCTCTGGTAGTCGATTCTTCGATTAAAACGCGTACGGAGCTCAGATCGTCGTCGTACGAAGTTCGCAGCCCAGTTCGTTCCAACGCGTGGCGCGTCGCGTTCGCCGAGGAGTCGATCCGCCATTTCTCGAACACCACTTAAGCGCGGCGGAAACGATCGCGAATCTAGGTCGATTATATATCGTACGACGCTGTCCTCTTCGTACGAGGTCAAATTCTGGTTATGTGGTCGGAGATCGCGTTTGGCAGGTCGGCCGTGTTGTCGTCGCTGGAGGGTGGAGAATGATACATTGTAGAGTAATGCAGCCTTTCGTACGCTTAATTTTGGGTCAGATTGAAGCGCCTGAAGCGCGAGAATTACGTCGCTTTCAATTGATTGCCGTCCCATAATTACTGGTGGAGAAAAAGGGGAAAGAAGAAGGCCTGTACGAAAGTGGCGGGCGACTGATTCACTAGCTTGTGTGATTCACTTGCTTATGGATTACGTTATGTCTCTTCACTTTCCAACATATATAAGGTGCCACTTAATGATATTCCTAAACGCAATTGATTTCTGACTACAAGATCTGGGCATGTGGATTTCATCTGCGAAAATGATATTTCACCGTCTTAAAGGCATATTCAATTGTTTGGCGTTAGGATTCGACCAGGTTAGAGGCAAAAGAGATACAACGAACGTGATTCCTCCTGTTGGAAGCGGCCGCCTCATGGTAGCAATTTTTTCGAAAGTCACGATATCGGCTTGCAGGTTTGTAGAGAATCCCTACGAGCTGTATGCTGTGTAAGCCCTTCCAAGCGAACAGCACACTGGAATGCCATAATACGTATGATTGTATGATTTTCATTTTGAAGGACAATGTAAATGTAATCCTACAATACATGTATCCGTCTTATAAATCAACCAAGCATCGAAAACGAATGATGAATTGCCATTCCTTGAATATAAGTGATTCAAGCATCTGCCAACTGAAGACCCCCTACTTCATAGATCCAAGAATTTTTCAGCATAAGTTCGAGCTTCGCTTCCCTGACTACATAGCCCGGTTTCAAGAAAAGAAAAGTGTGTACGACAAAAAGAATAAGTTAAGTTGAATAACGGACTCGTCACGTCTTTATTGAGGAGCTTCCGCTTTGACTCTGCATATTTCTCCATGTGGCCAGCCAGATTAGTCAGATATCTGAGTGTAATGTAGCACTATTGATTGATCCAGTTTGACATGAAAAGCCAAAAAGACATAATTGGAATATGGCATGTATTTTCGGAACCAGGCTCGATTGTAATGCCAAAAGTACCAGGCGCGACCCGACTAAACCACGTATCAGTTCATGTGTATTTCATTTTCTTAAGAGCTGAGTAGGGACCAAGACATTTCATGACTAGTGTATTTCCTCTTCTTTTTCTTTTTCTCCAGTTTTTCTTAAATTCGTCAGAGCAATGCAATGCTGACTCGCTCCACCACGTATGCACAACATAAGCCTGGTCGGTCCTTCTCTACTCTCCACCTATAAAAAATTGTGAGTACCTGACTCATGTTGTCTAACCACTATCGGGACTTGACTGATACTGCGAGACGAAGTCGGGAGGATGTTTGGCAATATCATCGCACGATGTTAAAGGAAGTTCACAATAAACGAATATCAATCTCACCTTCTTCCGGACCCTATTTATAGTCCAATTTATCGTGCTTATCCATTAAAGTCATCGTCGAGGCCGCGACTTTAAGGATGGCTTTATTCTAACACGGAAAAATGAGCTTTGAAATCCATCGGTGCTGCCACTTCAATAAAGCATCACATGTGTACTCTGAGATCGCATGGAATAAATCCAACGTATGTTTTGCAGATTTGCGAAGTAACGAAGAAGTAAATGAAGAAAAAAAGAAACCTACTGAAGATCTCTTGCAAAGCACTCTTTCTTCTGGTCTTAATCGTGATGCGACACATAAGAGGTGGAACAGACTGCGGATACAACTCAATGCGGGCAGATGTAAACACGGTAATCAATTTATATTACCCGCCACTTGCTCGCCAATCTGTTCGTCGAAAGAATCTTGGAGATCTGACTCTCTGCGCATGCGTGTTCATCCGTCTATATGATTCATCCCTTGACATCTCTGAGTTCTGAAAATTGGCATAGAAGGACCTGAACATCGCAGTGTTTGCACAAAGTAGCCATGTGGTTATTTAACATATTGCACACGAATGATCAGCCAGATGCGACTAATTACTAGTTTCTGGCACTCCCCTTTCGCTGTGATCATGACAAGCACGTAGACACGCTGCATGGCTGTAGCGAAATTCCAGAATATCGAACTCCTGCGGAAGTGAGAGGCGTTTTAATGCGCAGCGCTTCCGCGGAATATCGTTTCATACTTAATGCAATAAACGTGATGAACAACAGCTCGAGACGGCCCACTGCTTCATTGAATTTCGTCAGGGTGGCCAGAGAATGAGTTGCCAATGTCGACATCACAATATCTTCTATCATCACTTCGTTCACATTTCTGCTCGCTGAGACCAAGCGCTCGTTCCTGATGTTGATTTTCCCGCCGATGTCTGCACTAGAGCTTCACGCTAGAGACAAGCATTATTGGGAGAAAGAAAAAAAACAAGGGAAGGATCGTGTCGGACATTTGGCTCCGAGTTTGGGATCCTTGCTGCTGGTACCGCTCGAATGAATCTTGTGGAAAATTGGGTGTAAGCTAATATTCTATCTCGTAACACGACTATGTCAGTCGTGCTGCGCCCTGGGGTGCGTGACAGGTATCTAGTGTTTGCTCTGCTGCAAAAATAAATGTTTGCTGTGCGTTGAAAAAGTCTACTCCTATTTCATTATGTGTAGCCTGTCCTTGTGTGCATGAGGCCGGCCTGTACTTGGCCAAGGTGGAGCGAGGTCATGGGGTGACCTTTGACATTATTAACGTCCTACCGCCCCGGTACGGAACGCTCGGCGCTACCAACTCAACTTAGCCTTGAACAATGCCTCGAAGCTGGTAATGGGACTCACTGACAATGTTCGGCGCCCTTCCCTTGGCCAAAGAGTCGCATAGAAGTAGGCAATTGTGATTGTTTGAAATTCGCGAGACTAGTCATATTCCCAACACACCGTTGTGTGCTGGTACCATCCATCCAACACCTTATCCCTCCCTGGTCAAGACTGTGGAGGTAGTGATCCATCCATTGAAGTCTGAGTAGTTCACAACAAACGCAACTCGGTCAGCAATATCCATCAGGTCCTTAGGCAGTACCACAAACCGCAGCGAGACCTCCTTAAGCATCTGCCCAAACACCTCTTGAGTGAGAAGCCATTCTTCCGTGGTGCTCGGCATTAGCCGTACCCCATCATCTGCAGGCCAATCCACATTCGCCTCACACATGATGATCAGCGAGCATGCCATTCGTTTATACATCAGCTCCCAATCTTCCCTTGATATCAGGTCCTTGCTTGCTTGTGACCCGATATACTGTCTGGCATAGACTATGGGGTCAATGGCCGACCGATCTGGTATGAAGAATGGTGGTGTTTGCGCCTGCATCACTGGGGAAGAGGACATCACCACTTCGCGTTCAGCAATAATAGCTTGTGCCTTGGTGATATGTCTTGATATCATCGAATTCTTGCTATCTCATCAGGACATCGCCATCACGGAGTTTGAGGTTTTGAAGTTGACGGCAAGGTGGTGTCGCAGGCATGAGGGTGTCTTGGAGACTTCCTATCTTACTTTGACGTGAACTCCTTGGTAGCCGAGGAAAAGCACCAGGCTCGCTCTTCGACACAACTAGAGTGGACACCTTCTCTCATCCTCAATGCCCTTTGTACATCCATGATCGTGTCCGAGAATGACATAGCTTTGTCGGCTGAGATGGACGAGAGCATATGACTCCTCGCAATGCCGACTTGCCACGTTGTTAGGCATTGCCACCAAGACGTTCGAGGAATTTCACAAAAAAGCTGGCAGTGGTTCAGGTGGATGAAAGATTGTCTCATGATATGTTCCCCACGGATGATCCCAAAGGTGCAAGACTGTTTCGTCCACGATGCTGAGACTTATCGTCTTTCGGCCGCCTGTCTTGGTCGACTCGGAAGAACTACCGTTTATACTGTGACGATAACATGTTTCATTTGTTTAAAGGACAACGGAGCAATAAATAGATGGGTGTTCATCAAGCGAAGTGCTTCGGGTTACTGCACATCACAGTACTATAAAGAGAGGTGACCGGCGGCCTCTGAGGCAGGCTACTATCAACGACGGTCGAAACTTCGATTATCGAGTCAGCGTGGCGCTTAACAAATTCAGTCAGGGCCTACAGCGTCGAACAGGCCGTGTAAATGGCCATGTCGCTGGCTGCAGTAGGTCACCAGAACGTGAAGAACCAGATCCCGCTCCAACCAGGGCTGACCAATCTTGCAGGAGATCTGTCATCCGCAACCGGGACCTTGAGTCTATGAAGACTCTTGGGAAAAGGCACTACCACCGAATTTGTCGATAATCTTCGCCATGAGGGTCATGTGTACGAGACACTCGAGCCCCTGTAAGGCAAACATGTGCCTGTTTTTCTGGGCGCATTCCACCTCGAGCGGCCATACTACTACAACCATAGAGTGCGGCTTGTCTACATGATGCTCCTATCCTGGGCAGGCGAACCTATCGATTCGGAGCATCATGACTCTCCGGAATTAATGCATACACGTCGCTCGGCAGTCGAATCAGTAGGACGGCTAGGCGTTGAGCATGACGACGTACGCGACGCCAATATGTTTTGTTGCTCTGAGACCAATTCTATAATGCTCATAGACTTTGAGCGTTCAACATTTCAGGTCCGAACCCCTGCGCTGCCGTCTCAGCGCGTTCGTCCCAAAAACCGGCTACACCATCGAAAACCTCTGCAGTCGATTGCAACTAACTGCGCAGTCACTCGGCACGAGATTGGGTCGAAGAATCAGCGCATTTGAGAAGTACTCGTTGTCGCAGGGTTGCTAGACCGCAAGGACGGGACGGATTGGAAGTCCTCGTCAACTGTAATAGGCTGCAAGCGGGTGGACTTGTATCAGGTTTACTTTCAGTTTACACACCTGGTTGCTGACCTTTCACTGTGGATAGCTTGATGAATGACGATCTTTCTGACGCCATGAATGGATAGACAGAGCAACTATCAGACGCCGGTACGGGCCTGACTGCTTTCTCATGCCCGAGCACCTTTGCATAATATTCATCTCTGTCAGAAGTCCTTCACTTCCAATCTGTAGACTACCGATGTGCGAGGCTAGACTCGACTGGCTCGTCTTGTATATGGGAGGCTAGCGATCAATGTCTGGAGACTTGTGGATGAAGCGGATGTACTTGTCCTAGTAAGACCGTTCTGACTAGTACAACTTCAAAGGTGATACCTACGCCTGCGCAAGTCTCGTATATGCGGTGATTGACTGAGCACTTGAATTCTGCGTAAAGAGGTGTGCTTCCCACTCGACATGGCTCCAGCGGTACCGATCGGCTCCGGAGGTTACAAGTCGCACGGTTGACGAGGCTATAAGGCAGCGTAATTGTGCTAGCACACAAAAATGTCAGAAGGCGGAAGGCTACCTGTGATGTGTACGAACCAATATGCCCCGCTAAAAGCTCGCGGGGATTTGACCTCCATTGCTTTCTGTCGGCGTTACTAGCCTGCATTAGTATTTGAAGATTCTTAAATGTGCTTGCGAGAGATATATGGAAACGCTTCGATAACTAGCCAGAGTGAGACCTCATGGAGGTACGCTTTTCAACGAAATAGTCGTGGCTCTCAGGAGAAATGGCGGAATTTGTTCCTGACGACAATGTGCAATTTCTTCCAAAGGATCCAATATAGACCTTGCAAGATCCTGTGAAGATCGCCAAAAGCAGCCGTGTCCCCAGAGCGCTGGGCAGTACGACGACCGGGTCGCCCAATGACTGCCGGAACAGAGTTTGTGCAAAATGCAGCGCACACAGCAGAAATGACGTCATGTACGGCCCACGTTCTGCACAGCATGAATCAATCGATTCAGAAGTTGTACTGGGTCTGATGAAAATGGAACAAGATGTCATAAGCCAAACCGTCCGTTCCCTTGATCACCTCTTGTGTCTCCTCTTTATCCAGCAGCTCTTTCCGCATGGCGAAGGTTTCGAGCACCACTTGCCGCAGGGTTCTGACGGTCTCTGGTGTAGAAGTATATGCCTCCTTGGCCGCGTCGAGGAAGCCTTGTGTGTTCCAGTTCTGGCTTAAAGAAGCAGTCTTGAACTTGACCACGGCAAGTTCTTTCAGCCCTCGAACCAGATACATCTCTGCTAGAGTGTAAACTTTGGCATGGAAGAGTAGGCCAGCATCTTCCTGGTCCTGTGCTTGTTCGACAGGCACAGCATAGTCGAGACGATAGAAGTACTGAATCATCGCGTCCACAACGAGGGGATCGTCATTTGGGAGAGATAATATCCCGTCGGCAACCTCGTCCCGATCACTGCGGCACCACCCTGCGATAAAGTCGGACCGCGTGCATACGACGACCTTATGGACTGGATAGCTCTTGGTGGTGGAAGCAATGATCAAGTCCGAGTACAATTCATTGAGGTGGAGGCTCGCAATAGCGCTGTGTAGCTCCCGTTGTGGTGCATCCGTTGTGGGAAGGCTGGGGGTTGAGGTGAAAGCGGTACCCAACAGCCCCGCACCTCCACGAGACCGTGGAGGCATTTAAAGACTTCCGTCAAGCTCTGGAGGCGACCGAAGATGTTGTCCTGTAGGGACCTAGGAATTATGACCAGACGCTCGTCCGGTTGACAGATCCCGAAAAGACAGAGTTGCGCTGACAATGGTAGGATTTCTTAACTTTCCTTTTCCGACTCTGCATGTTGCAGTACTTACAGACCTTAGTACAGGCGTGATAGTCTTTCATGAAGGCGCGAGATTTCCTCAAGCTGGGATAGCGTTCAGGTGATACTGTAGTCTCGAAAAGCAAAGGACTGCCACTGCACCGCGGGGGTGGAGGTCTTAAGTCATGTTGGCGCCTACCACTCCGTCCAAGCACGCGGGGAGGTGGGCCGTGCACCCCACATTCGGCAGTGGGACTTCCGCAGCTCAAGCGCTGTAGTGTGTGCTGATACTGGAATGATGACCATGGAGCACGATTGGGCTGACCTCTACCCTACCTCCCCGCACGCATGTTGGCTCCTCCACTGATGTAGCTGGTTCTGCCAGGGTTAGGTGGCCTGTACGCAAAAGGGTTCGTGCCTGATCTACATGGATATCGATTCCGAATTCGCTGTAGTACTGTAGTGATCAAGAATGGTGAGCAGTCTGTTATCGATGGTGTGACCGTCGACATGATCCTCCGCTGCAGAGATCCACGGCATGTATTACACGGATATGACCTGATGATGGCGTTGAGAATGGCGCTGGTGGGGATCCTGGTAGCAATATGCATTAGCTTGATGACCCTCGACAAGGCTTTCGCAAGCCACCGTCTGGTACTGGAAGCCTCGATGCTCTGTTGAGATGGGCACGTCCTGTTCCTAGTGACGAAAGACGAGCGACTTGGCAGCGCGACATGTCGCGGACAAAACGTCGGGCGACTCCTACCTCCACTCCCTCTCTCCATGAAAAACCCGGGTCTTGATCCTCAAACACTTGCTCAAGGTCGAGGCAATGTTCCGTCGTGACGAGATAGATGTTCTGGAACTACTGCTTGATGGATAGATGTTCCACTTGCAGACAATGACAGTTGCAATAGTCCTTCACTGCGATGTGTCGTGGGCCGGATATCTCAAGAGACACGGCAGATGGCAATGGTCTGCTGGCAGACGTTGATGCTGTGGCAGAAAAAGCCATGGATTCTGGAACAGGAGAGAGCCCGGCATTTGGCATAATATTTGTGATGTTAATCGGTGGGCAACTGGTTCGAGATATTGCTTTTCGCTGCTGTTCTCCTAAACGTTGCTGGTCCTCGGCGAACAACTGCTTACGGAGGCTGCTAGGAACATCGTCATGATCAAGTAACGTGCCACCCTGCTCAACGTGCTCAATCAGTGCTTTGAAGTGGTGTATTTTTAAGCGGTATCGCTTCTTGGTGTCCCTATCCTGCCAGTAATACGGCCCGACGTGGCAGGGTGGACCTGGGCCGCAAAAGGTCGCGTAAACCTGTTGGCAAATTGATGGCCGCCCACTGGAGCCTTCCTCGGCAGCAATGTACATGTCACGTTGTGCGAGCATTCGTTCTGAGGTAGACGCGACGCCTCGCTTGGTCCCACGCTTGGATGTTACACCAGTGCCTCCACTTGTTTAGATGTAGTTGCAGGTGATTTCGATCCTCAATCGTCGTCCAGCACGAAACAGGTTGCTCCGGAGGAGAAGTTGCTGTTCTAGGATTGACTATTTGATGTCTAGTTTGTCGAATCTTTCACAAAGTCTCTCTCCGATCGATCCTGCACATGGACCACAACGGTGGTGTCGTCTGGTCGATACGATCGATTCGAGGCTAGCTTCTTCTTCAACAATTTGTCGAGTTTGTTTCGTAGTGTCTTCTCCCAGTAGTCACCCGGCGCGAGCACAAGGTTTTGCTCGCTATCTTTGGAGCCAGGGACGACTCTGCCATCTACCGTCAATTTCCATTCGATCGAGTAATGTACACGAGTATGTGGATTCTTATTATAAGATTTCCCCTCGACCCAGTCCTCCAGTCGAATCAGGGGTAGTTCGCTGGTCACCGAGGTCTGGCTTTCGATTGGCGGAGTCTCGGCAACTCCTTCACCATCGAGCGCAGGTGGTGCCGCAGGGATTTGCGGGCCTTCCTAGTCATCGAGCTCGTGGACTGGCCATTCGTAGTCGTTTTGCCACGGGTCTGGATAGGCATCGGGTGGCATCGTGATCGGCTGCGGTGTTGTGAATTGTGTGACGCAGAAGGTAATGTCCACGTGGCCATTCCATCGTCTAGGAGAGTCATCGGATATGGAAAGATGAATATGCACGGCTTCCTGCCATGCATCCTGCTCAACTTTCGGCTTCTGATGTCACTGATCGATAACTTTGTCGCAATTCTGATTGATAACTTCACCTTGCAGCAAGGGCTACAAACAAATATGGACTGTTCTGTGGTAGAACGCGAGAAAAGTGTGCCGACATGTGATCGAGCCATAGTCTTACACAACTGCTGTCTCATTCCCCGCTGTCGTCACTCATCCATAGCTCCGCAACGGCAACACCGGAGAACTCATCCTTGGCGTCTAAGCTCCATGTGGTCAACGAGCACCTTTCTCTGAAGTCTTTCGGAAACTACGTAACCAAGTCGCTGTGTCGACCTTTCTGTCTCTCTGCTTTGCCCTTGTTGTCACTGGCCGATATCTACCCGACGCCAACTCCTGTCAACTCTGCATTCGAAGGCAGAGGCGCTATGGCCAAGGAGTGCCCTTTGCCAAAGTGAGGTGGAAACTACCTTGAACTTGTCTGAGTTTGCTAGATTGCGACAATTCTGCGCGATCGCCGGCTGACCAATGTGGGTCCCCGACACGGGCCGTTCCCCCAGGATTCCGGTGACTTGGGCCACAGTGGGTCCCCGGACGGCAGCGACTCGCAGTTGGTGTTTGCGATTATTATCCCCAGAGCATGTGACGTGAAGCATAGGCGCCGTCCGGTTTTCAGCTCGTGCGGCCTTGAAGTTGTGATCATGCTTGTCTCTGACCAAGTCGGCGATGTGATCGCCGCAATGTGAGCGTCGGACCAGTGATGGGAAAATCCCCGGTGGTGACTTAGACGCAAGCCCTTGGCACGCATGACATTGCACTACAAACTCTGTCTTGACGCGTGCCGCTAACATTCACAGCAATGATTAGCTCGTATATTTAGATGGCTGCCGAAGGACGTCCTGTTCGAGACATAATACTTGCGTTGACCCCCAGATAATCGTTTCAGCCACTTCAACCATTTTCACCTTCTTAGATCTCGCCCAAAGACCAGCTACTTCCACAAACCCAGCAAAGTACACCACCGATACAGCCAAACAATATGGAACCAGTAGTTACCGCAGTCTTCGAGCCTGTGACATGCACATGGCAGTACATTGTCTCAGACCCAAGCACCCGCTCAGCCGCAATCATCGACAGCGTCCTAGACTACGACTCCACGACCGCAGCAATCTCCACACGCTCTGCCGATGCCCTACTCAGTATTATTGCCGAGAAGAATCTCAACGTCACACTCATCCTCGAAACTCACGCCCACGCAGACCACCTCACCGCCGCGAGCTACCTGCAGAATAAACTGTCCGAGCCTCAGGCCGTAGACGGAGCGGGGTCAGTCAAGCCGCCGATCTGTATCGGAGAGCGGATCAAACAAGTCCAGAGCACCTTTGCCGCAAAGTACGGAATGTCGAAACAAGAGTATGCAGGCGTGTTTGACAAGCTCTGGAACGACGACGAGGAGTTTGCCATCGGCGGCCTCTCAGCTCGCGCAGTTCATTTGCCTGGACATACACCAGACCACATGGGCTACCACGTTGGCAGTGAGTTCTTCCTCCAATAATCCATGATACGATTGACTTTTCGCCGGGAAACCCCGGACATGATGCCGGACTGACAAAACCCATCATTAGACAACGTCTTCGTGGGCGACTCAATCTTCCAACCCGACGTCGGCTCCGCACGCGCCGACTTCCCGGGAGGCAGCGCACCCGCAATCTACGACTCGTGCCGGAACAAGCTCCTCTCCCTTCCCGGCGAGACCAAGATCTGGGTCGGCCACGACTACCCTCCCTCGTCCAACAGCCCAGAAGACAGCGGAAGGGCCCCACGCCCATGGGCCACCGTCGACGAGCACAGACAGCACAACAAACACCTGCGCGACGGCGTGAGCAGGGAGGAGTTCACACAGATGCGCTCGACACGGGACAGTAAGCTGTCGGCGCCGAGATTGATTGACCAGGCGCTGCGTGTCAGTATATGTGGTGGGAGGTTGCATGGCTTCGAGAAGGACGGCGACAAGGTTGTGAGTTTGCCGCAAGGCATGGTGGCGTGAGGACTTTCGCCAGTACCGGTAGTACATACGCCCGGTGTTTGTCTTAGACGGTAGCTTGAGGTGGTGGGAGTAGTACTTCCGTGGATAGCTTTCTTCATAGTCATTCTCGATCAAGGCAGTTCTTCTTCGTCAACAACAAATCGAGTTCGTCGGTGTTCTTTTGTGACCTATTTATGCTGTGACTCGACTTGGTATGAGGTGCAGCTCGAAACGCCCAGGTTGCCTTCCCTGGCGAACAGCGTGCACAAAGACGCCTATTCTGACTCGCCACGTAGGTACTTCCACTTCTTCAAGGTATAGTTCGTTCAGAACACAAGGCATTCAGCGAGAATCGCGCTCTGACGCCAAGAAGTTCTTGATTGGGAGACCATAACCTTGTGAAGGGGACTCTGAACAAACGGCAATGCTAGTAAGAAAGACTGAAAGATGTTGTGAATATTGGCGGTTGGCTTATAGTTTTATAAACGTGGTTGTATCTCACGGGTTCCCTAATTCTCACCAAGCTTCAGCAAGCAACAACTCAAGGGCAATACTTTCGTCGACATTCCCTCAACAGCCAGAAAGACTTCCATGCGCCGTCAGACCTCGGTAGTCTACTACCAAGACATAAAGTAGGTTGACAATAACGCAGTGCCAAACATTGAAAACACCGTGACGAATGAGCTCAATCCCATAGTGGCCATACCGCTAATGCCATGCCCGCTCGTGCAACCACCGGCTAAACGAGCCCCAAAGACGAGCACAAATCCGCCAACCACCGTCGTCAGCAACGACGGCTCAGTGCCAGCCATTGCAGTAGCAGTCATGGCGATGCGCGCTGCCGGAAACATGCGCAAGGCGAGCCAAGACCCTGCCATCAACCCACAAGCAAAGACCAGGCTGTTTGGCAGCGCTAGTAGTGTTCTCTTCTCCTGACCCTTCTCCGTTCTGTATAGGTTCCACAGCATGCTGCCGCAGTCTGGGTATACGCTGCTTACGCCCACAGAACTTCGGCTCAAAGTGACGGACGCCAGTTGCCCGGAGCCGATGAGCATGCCGCTGGCGACGGGGTGCATCGCGGCACTGTGCCCGTGCAACTTGAGCGCGAGTATCGAAGCGAGGGCAGCCGCGATGGCCAATTCGTACCAAAGAATCACCCCTGACACAGACCAGCCCGTTGTTGTCATTACGGTTGCAGGTGGTGAATCTTCCGCCTGAATCTGTGGTGCCGTTACCACGGAAGGTCCCCATCGCGCCCACACAGCGCCCGCAAGAAAAGCACTTGCCGCCAGGACTCTGCCTTTTCCTGAGCCAGCTACTGCTTGTACAAGGACTGTGCCAGGGCAAGCACCTGTCATGCTCATTCCCAACCCAATCATTGCGCCCCCAATAATATTACCATCGTACTTGAAGCTGCCAAGCCAGCCAAGCGCTTTTGGTGGTCTCGCTGAAATGTTCTTTTTGGGGTCTGTCGTTGCGTAGTTGTGTGTCGCGATGATGAGGGTGCTCGCCGCGGAGGCAGTCAGGAATGTTGCTAGCATGTGAAAGTCGTGGAGAGCGAACTGGTCTTTCATGATTCGCGGGCTCGCAACGCCTGATAGAGTCAGCCCGCTGCCGAAGACGGCGCCGGATAAAAGGGTTGCTGCTGTGGGGTGTAACATGATTGCCCCTAGTGGACTAAAAGCGAAGCGATCTCTCAATAATGTTAAAAGTGCAGATGATGATGATCCAGGCGATTATGCAGCGCGAATCCGGAGTGGCAGGCGATTTGAGGATGATGATAGGTGCAGCCATGGCCAAGACCGTGTGTGGTCGTGCAGTTTTATAGGAGCCAGGCACTCTACGACCATGTGCACGGGCTCCTCCGATTGGCATATGAGTCACTGGCTGCCTCGACATGCCGCTTCTTCGCTATCAATCGCCGGGAATGGGTGGGTTTCCGGACCTGGTCGCGAGTGCCGAAGTCGCCGATTCACCGAAGTGGGTCCCCGGAGTCCGGCGCCGCCCAGTGCGGTACGAAGGTATCAGCTCTGTCAAATGCGCCGTTGAGGGCTGTCAGTGTTAGTCAACGCTATGACCGATGTCAGAGCCCCTTCAGCACGAGTTTCTGCCTTGCGTGCGACGGATGTCGCTGTCTGCTTCATTCGTCGCCCGGCTTAGCCCGGATGGTGCCGGCAACGGCCCCTCTTCTGTTTGCCTCCGACGCTAGTTCTTTCTGAGGTTGAGTCATAACATGTTGCTCACATTTCTCTGGCAAACTAAGGTGGACGCTGGTCCGTCCACTGACGTCTGATTCCGAAGGGACAGGGTGCAATGATTCGTGGTGGCGAGACTCATGGCATAACGATGTCGAAGTCCGGCGAGTCTGGCAGCATGTCGACATCCCCAAGTAGATCCCGAAGCCACTGATCGTCTAAGGGCGGTGTAAGTTGCTCGAGGCTGCCAGTACTAGTTGTGTCTCTGTCCTGAGAAGTGCCGATAACATCTCTGGCGAACTGCGCAATCTGACCTCGGATCACAACCGCAACGGGCCAGATCTGTCCGAGTGATCTGAGAGCGCTCAGCTCCAGGTTGAGGTTCTCCTCCAGGATTGGTGGTCTTTCATCTCTTGCGTCAAGTGAGTACGCTGCAAGCAGAACGGCAGACGAGAAAGCCAGGGCGCAGGAGAAACATGGCGACAAAGTGGCGAGGTTGCCCCCGTGGACTGTCAAGAGTCGCGCAATTGCGTTTGCCGACTTGATTGCCGCAACCTGGTGTGATTTGGGCGACACAGTGGCCGCCTGGCCGAGATGGTTGCCACAGACTGTCCGAAAGTCACCTGCGTACGCAAGCGGTGAAAGTGGCAGATGGACGCAGATGCTGGCAAGATGGATAATCATGAGAGCGCAGCTCATCACCTCGTCGACCTCGCCGTCCGCCTTGAGTGCCTCACGCTTATCGTCTGGAAGTGACAAGAGGAAACTTGCAACAGCTGCTTCAGCAGCCTGTGACCCTGCTGAAGAGCTGTCGTTTTGCTGTTAATAGGGGTGTCCAGTACCATTGACAGAATTCGCATAGCCTCGACCTTGTATGCAAAAGAGGAACAAGCCGCAGCTTCCTCGGCTCGGAAGCGCCGCCTCATGTCACGAACATCCATGTGAGGTGTGGACGACGGCGTTGATGCGTTGTAGGCGTTGCAGTCGCCCGGTAGCTCTCTGCGTTCTGGCTGACTTAGTCGGGTATGAGTGCCGCTGACGAGCGAAATGAGGCCCGTCACCGTGTACAGCTCCCACCAGGTCCTTCGCCAGCTCTCACGGAGTAACGGGTCATGATCCTGGCCATAAGTGTCGGAGTCGAGGCCAATCTCATAGGCAGTACTGATGGCAGCGTTGAGCGCCTGGGCTCCTTGCTCTCGCTCGAAACGGGCATACGCTGCGAGAGTTAGCAAAACGAGTGTCTGGACCTTGTAGGCGTCCTGGGGAACACCTGGCGCAAAGATGGCGTTGCTCGCATCACTGAATCGCTGCTTCTCGGTGGCGCTCATAGTCGCATGGTGGCTGGCGACGAAGCACATCGCGTGCTTGAGATGCCGTGGGAAGACGCCCTCGTCCTGGTTGTATCTGGCCTGCGGAAGGAGGAACGGATGAGCAGGGTGGATCATGCGGTAGTACAGCCCGATCAGCTTGCGCTCCTCGGTCGACGCTGTATCCCTGTTGCTGGCGACCGCTGGCTGTTGCGGTCTGGCTGCCTGCGGCATCATGGCGCCAGGGACCGCCAGGGCTTGTCCCCTGAGATCGAGCTGGCCCGAGAGGTCAAAGCCTACTGGGAACGGAGACTGTGCTGTGACAGTGGGCGTCATCGTTGCTGCGGCGGGTCGTGTTGGGGCAGCACGACGCCCTCGTCGCGACTCGACGTATGTGCAGATGAGGCCCCCCTCCCGACATCGCTGGCACACTGGCGACTGGCCGCCGCATTTCAGGTGTTTCTCCCGGCATGCCAGGCAGGCTTTGGTGGCGGGGCTGGGCCTTGATCTGTCGTTCATCGCGGGCTGGCTCCCGCTGTCAAAAGTATCACATTGGTGGTGATGGTGTAGAAGTGAAAGTCAAAGTGACGAGGCAGGTGCTTCTCCAGAGCTAGCGCGAGGCATTGGTGCCTCAGGGAGCAATCGCCCAAGAGGTGGAGCCCCACATTCGGCACTTGGTAGAGAAGGAAGGGGCACAGATTTGCGAAGTGCTCGTGCCTGCCATCGGCACGCTCAGAACATGAAGAGTAGACCTCGAGTGCTCTAAAGACAATCTTCACGATCAGGGAAAACACGATGTGCTTCCATCAAGTCCCTCATTGGGAAGTCTCAGGGTCTCCAAATCGCGAGCAGACCCCTGCCTGCAAGCAGGACTCCATTTTCCCCATGCAGGACCAAAGGGCGATCTAGACGACTTTGTACCGGAGAGCTTCCGTATGAATGCCCCGGTCGGTAGTAGCGGAGGGCCGGTCTCGAGTGACGTCGGCGGCAGTGCTGAGGCTAGAGGCAGTGTTCAGCCTCGCAGTCCTTCGCCTCGCAGCCCGTCGCCGGCGATCGCTATGTATTGCCCTGCGATCAGCTCTTCAAACCAATTCCTGATCCTTCTCAGTGCTTGCCGGCCCCCGGTTTGGGTTGACTTCAGGGCTTCGTCAACCCATCCATTTGTACAATCGCCCCCAAAGTCTACCAGCCATAGGTTCTCGTCGTTATCGGCAAGGACATTTCGCGGCGAGGGCTACAGCAACGAGCCAGCTGATGGCACTCAACCTGGGAAAGAAGGGAACGACGACCGATGACGGCAATGGCGTCAAGAAGGCAGAAGCACAGAAGTCAGCTGAAAAAGGTCGGAATCGAGTTCATCCAGGAAATCAGACGCACCGGCGCGAAGGCGAACGCAGGCTACGCACATGCCACGACTATGCCAAATGCCGAGAAATATGACTGCTTCTGTGACCTGCCACTTGAGCGACACAGTCACCCTCCGTAATACTGCAAACGCGCATGGGTGGCGATTAAGGGCATCCCTACTCAATTAGAGGAGGCACAGGTCACAAGCAAAGCGTCGCGGCGACCAAAGAAGCATTGAAGGACCCTCGCTGGGACGACCTCCAGAGCAGCATCAGGGATATGAAAGCCAAGAAACCGCCACAGAAGAAGGCCGAGGAAAACAACGACAAGAAGAAGAACACGAGTTGGGTCTCCGAGACAGCGTTCTATGCGTTCAGACCATGTGACGAGGACGGATCAGAAGCTGACCCTCCACTCGTTCAACCCTACGCGACGACGGTGATCGCGAGCCCTGTGCGAGCCAGTAAATCGCGAACGACAAATCCCTTGCCGCTCTGGGGTCACACAGAACAGCGGCGGAGAATCGCGTGGTCCTCGCAGGCGCATCCAGCTTTGACATCAAGGGATTCTGCGATATCCACCTCCAAGATGTTATCCATGATGAAAGAGGAAGGCGCATCCGCCCCTTGATACTCAAGAACGTCGCATACGTCGCAGATTTTCATACAAACCTCGTGTCAGAGGCAAAACTCAAGCAGGGAGGAGTCTCGACTTGTGCTGTTGATGACTCCATTCGAGTCGGAACGTCGATTGAAGATAGTCAGGTGGTTGGAAACTTCATGAGGAAGGACAGCCTCTGGGTACTCCAATACAAGCCTGTTGCTCGCTACGTGCTGTTGCCCGAATCCCGTGCGTTTGTGTTCTCTGCGTTCCAAACAGGAGATGCCCAACCTCGCCAGAAGGCTCGTAGAATCTCGAGTGACCCTCGCCCGCCCAGAGCCGACTCTGCAGAGATCTGACACCGCCGGGCGGGCCACCTTGGAGCAGATGCTCTTGAACATCTCATCGGGTAAGCCCGGGGAGTCAAGATCAAGGGGTTACCCAAGGTAAACTATGACACCTGCTCATTGGCGAAGGCCAAGTAGGTGATATCAAGGATGCCATCACACACCAAGTCAAACACAGGGTCCTGAATACATATTGACTTGGCATCGATGCCGACATCAAAAATGACGGTCACGTGCTTCGCGCTCGTAATCAAGGATGAGTACAGCGGGTACTTGTTTCGCTTCACCCTTCAATCGACGGTTGCCTCACTCGACACGTTTGTCGAGTTTGAGGTCATGATCAAGAGGCAATATGGACTGTCGATTTGCCGCGTCCGTTTGGACTAAGAGGGCTCTTTGGTGAAGGAGAGCTTCCACTGGAATCTCACCAGGCTCGAGGCCTATTGTCTGGATGAAGGAATCGTCCTAGAGACGACACAAACAACAACGAGGGAGCCTAATGGAGCGACTGAACGATCAATCGGGGTGCTCACGACGATGTCTGAGGACCTCTGGCCAGAAGTCATGGGTGCCGCAGCATACCTACACAATCGATCGCCGCAGCAGAGTCGCAATGGGGAGCCGCCACAGCGGATTCTCGACGACTGGCTGAAGGGCAATGACCGCTGGTATGTTCCAAGGAACGCGGCATCACCAGACGTTAATACAAGGCCAGACTGGAGCGGGATTTACGCATATGGCTGCAAAGCCTACGCACTCAATCCCAAGGCCAAGGCCGGCGGAACAGCCTTCAAGCTGGGCTCCCGGGCTCGCATCGGATACCTCGCCGGCTACAAGGCGTCTTACATCTGCAGGATATGGATTCCGTCCCAAAACGACGTCATCACGACAAGGGAAAATCACCTTCGACGAGAGCACGGTGTATGACCCGGAACGGGACCAAGAGCCCCTCACGGATCGGATCCCGGAGCAGATAATCGACACCATCAAAATGCTGGACTTTCCAATGGAGGAGCAGGTCACTGAAGAAATGGCGAACATCCTGGGGTACAACGAGCAATTGGCCTTCGACAGCAACCTCAGACTCCTCACCCCTGAACCTACGCCAGAGCCTGACCAGCACCGAGTAGCCTCGAGAGACGTCTTGAGCCCTACCTCGACTGGTACAGGGACAGTCAAAATATCTGACTACAGCGGAAGAGATGATGAGCGAGATAAGGTGACAGGCCCGACTCCGCCGGCCTGCGCGCAACCACCTCTCACAGCCAGAACAAATAATCGACAGCAACATCATCGGCAACCTATCAGACCACGACAACCTGCTGAATGGCCGCGCCACTGTCGAGGTCCCGGTACACAGCAACGACAGAATCGACGACTGCATAATAGCAGTGGCACCAGAACACCCACCAACCCAAGGTGTGATTGTCCCAGTGGAACAACCACCCCAGAAAACAGCCATGAAGTGACCGACGGGGTGCCTCACATCAGCAGCGAACTATCAGACGGAAAGTTCGCCCATGATTTTGCACCCCCAAACCTCACGGGGCGACTGGAATCAGACGCGAACTATCATTGCGAAAGTCCCGACGGATATGGCGACGCCCTCACGAAAAAGCGCCCGACAAGCCCAGCGCTTAGCGAAGAGGATTGAAGCTGACCGACGGCAAGCAGAGAGGACGGCACTAGAACAAGGGCGCCCACGCACTTCGTGGTGAAAGACATTCCGACGGCAGAAGAGGAGGACCAGCCTACCGACAATTTGCAGCTGGAAACCTGCTTCTCCGTCATCAAAGCTGCCATGACGACAGCGACTGATCGCGTCCATTCAGAGCACGCCAAACGACCACCCAGCAATTACCGAGAGGCTCTCAACCACCCAATGAAGGGCCTGTTCCTTGAAGCGATCAGACGAGAGCGACGAGAGGTCCGTGACCTACTCGCAAGGGGAACATGGCGACTCATTGACCGAAGCCGAGTTGGTAGAAGGCAGGTTTTGCCCCTGAAATGGGTGTCCATCTACAAACTGGACAAAGACGGCTACATCACGAGGTGCAAGGCACGCATTAGCGTGCGAGAAGACATTGAGAAGGATCTCAGGAACGAAACATACGCAGCCACGCTGGCGGCGAAGTCATTCCGCATCATGATGGCAATTGCCACGAGAGACGACCTGGATGTCAGGCAGTACGACGTCACCAGCGCGTTCCTGGGCAGCCTCATAAACAAGGAAACAGGACCGGTTGTTGCCGACTGCCAGACGGGTACGTCGATCTGGGGTTTCTCAGGGACGGAGAGGATCCCACAATGGTTGCAGACCTGCAGAAGGCCCTGTATGGACTCGGGGACTCGCTCCTATTATGGTACAAAGAGATCTCATCGTCTCGTACTCAAGATCTTCACCAGCGTACAACTCGATCTCGACGCACAGCCTTGACGTCTTCGTTGGGCAGATTCATGGAGTCGTAGTGGACGATTTTGCCTTGTTTCACGTTTATTTCGCGAAGCGTGGAGTGGTTGTTGTTAAGTGAAGACAGAAGCAGCAGATGTAATCCCGTCCCTCTTCCCTCGTTCATTGTTGCAGCTGCTTCGCGGGCCCTCCAACGGTTTGGCCAAGGATCTGCCTTCCGTTCCGTGAATTGGGACCGACAAACCGACGCGGACATTGGGCAACTTGTCGGCGAGATGCATCGACAAGAACACCAGTTCGTAATTGACCGCGTGTCGTTATCGGCTGACAGACCAAACCTCGAAATGGAAGTCATCAAGCATGACTCTGCCGGAATCAGAGACCTGGCGTGGCAGTCCTTGCAACCGAGTGACCTCCTCTGGGAGGATTTTGACTCCATCTCTCCGCTCGTTGGGAAGCCAAGCCGCGCAGGAGCGGCATTGGGCATGGGACGGAGTGGAACCTCTTCAGGGGTTGACAGAAGGAGCTGGCGCCACAAGAGGTCTCCAGAGCCCCGCGCACGCGTTGCAGCAGTCTCTGATCCTCGACCGGCACGGCATATCTAGGCACAACCACCGGCACACCGCAAGGCTGCGTTGTGCATGTCCCCCGCCTTGCGGCATCGCCATCGACCAGAACTGCGCCTGCTTATGGAAAGGCGAAGTGCTGGCTAATTGGTTTAAGTGAAGTGGTCCTATCTATTGTCTTTTTATGACCAGCAAGAAGTATTGTTAGCAATGAGAAAGTTCAGACCAGTCCACTAGGTGCCACCCCAAGTGAATTGCTGCGGGTCTCGTCATTGTCGTCCGCCGTGGTCCACGACATGTCTTCATTCGTCCAGCCAGTCACCCAGTCGTCCATCCCACGCACAGCAGCGCCAGCGCGCCTTCGAACTCAAGGTTTTCTACCTGGACAGTCCATCCATACTACTGGGCTTGGTATAGTTCCGCTGGGCGCCCGTCAATTCCGGGGGATTTGCCCAGTTCCGAGCGTCTAAACATCCCGTATTTCTTGTTGAGTAATTGGGGCCTCGAGCTTTTGGCAGTGATCGCCTGAGATTGTGTTCTCAAAGCCTTGCAGCAGTTTCTTAGCGGCTCTTTGGTCGCCTGAGTTATTCGTAGAAGTTCGAGGCGGTTTTGCAGCATTTCCTCTTGAGGAGGATGTGAGCTGGCCGTTAATTTGTAGGAGTGGTGGGGTGTTAGCGAAGGTTTCGCTCCTAACCCGATTGTAAAACCACTTATTTGGCTTTTCCCCAAGAATAGAGTACTTGGCCTATGAGTTTAGGTATAGCTTTTATAGTTCCATCCGAGGAGGCAGGCTTCTTGTCGTTCCACAGCGGTGATTTGTCGCTCAAGAAAGGGATCTCAGGGGCGTGACAGATAAAGTGAGGAGCGTTCACTGGTCCGGACTGACGCGGCTCGGGGTTGGTAAGTCAGCTGATATCTGCGACTTACCAGCCCCAACAAAGTACCAGCTTCTACGGGCTCAACCGTGACAGCCGGGCCAGCTTGCGTGAAGACTAGCATGGAATCCTCAGAGCATGTGGATGTGTCTTCTGGTACTATTGTTCATTGTGGCAATTGATGGCGTGCAACACGAAAGTGCGTTCACTCTACCATACACAGTAACATCCCAAATACATTCCCGTAATCACTTTCAGGTCTATTGCCATCAAGGGTACCTCTGATACATTGGCTATCGCGTCTCACGGTACGGCTACCTTTGTGATCCTACATTTCAATGGTCTTGGACCTCTAACAGAGGGCCGCATGGACTCCGTTGTCAGTCCTGGCGTTGCCCCGCACCACTCCCATATGATCCAGGTGGTCATGCCGTTGCCCTTATTGTCGAGGGCAGCCACCTGCTCAAGAACAGCCCTGACTGGATTCCCCAGCTCTTTTTGCGAAGGATGGTAGCTTTCAAATGGTCAACATGCTTGACATGAACGTCTAACCATGAGCTTGTTTCTTTCCCCTGGGATGAAAACTGCTTGTTGGTAACGCCAACGAACGAGTTCCTCCTGCTGGCTATGGCGTCCAGCTCGATCCCAACATGCTTCAACAACATCCATTCCACTTGTCCTGCCTCGGACTACAACGTTCCATTTTGATCCCCAAACTCTGAAGGTAGCAGTGCTGGTATTCAGGACCCCACTTTCCCTCGTGATTCGATCCCATATTCAGCCCCGATGACCACAAGATGGCCTGGCCCAAGGACGTTAGCCAGGGCTGCAAAGACTGCCCCGAGATTCACATTCATGTGAACCGCCTCTGTACATCAATCAACTTTCTCACTTCATCTTCGACTGTTGCCCCGTGTCATGCACGACCTGTTCTTCGACCAATGCAGCATCGATGGCCTTGGCCACTTGTTGCACAGTCCAGGCTGCTGGTGGGTGAACGGCGTCACCTCTGTCGTCAACCTCCAAGTCAGGCGCGGCGACATTGAGGGGGAAGGGGGTGGAAAAGGCCAAAATGATATTGAACTGGTTCTCGGACATGGTTTCTGCTGGGATACTGCCGAGGTTAATACTGATCCGGAGCGCGGGGAAATATCAGCGCAGTGGAAAGCCACCCTCAACCTGAAACGTACCATCAACATTGACACTATGATCGCCGAGCGATGAGACGATATCTTCCGGCTCGAGCAACTGTTCGTCTATTTTCGACTTCATGTTCAGGCTCCAGTTTCGTGTAAATACCCCTTGTTCGTGGAGAACAGGGGCAGTCTGTTCCCGTGAGCCTCCAGACGGTACTACTTGTAGGCCGTACAAAATATCGGAATCAGTATTGGAAGTCGTCGTCCGAGAGAGGTCGACAAGCAAGTCACCGCTCGGTATTCTGCTGACTTTGAGGTTGCATAGCTCGCTATTGAGCGCCTCTCTGATCAGGGGCCATGCGAAATCGATTTGTGGCGAAGATATGCCAACAAGAGCTGGTGTATTTGAGCTGACGAGATAATCGAGAGCGGTCGCAAGACCGACCATTGACTGTAAGTCGGGCTCATCGCGAAAGTGTTCCTGGCCAGCTTCAAGCCAGCGGGCATAGGAAAACGATTCAGCCTGGTTGAATTTGAGGCTCTGTGCTGCCATGAAGTTGGCAAGACGAGTGGAGTTACTGGCGCTAAGCTTCTGGGCTCGGACGACCCCTTGCACCATATCGCTCAGCTCAGACGGCTCTAATCGCATCTCGCAGCAGTCGTGTTGACGTTGTCTTCTAATTTGGTCATGAAAGGCTTCGTAATCTGGATCCCTGAGCAACTCGTCTGCCACCCATTGGGGTATTTTCTGGTCGCTTCTCATATGACGCAGTATTTGTCCTACCATCCGCGGCTTCTTTGATTGATGAGCTTGCGCCAGGAGGACACCGTGTGCTGATTCGAGCCTTTCGACAACAAGTTCCAGAAAATCCTCGTTTGTATGGTGGATGATGCTGTAGCAGAGTTTGTCAATGACTTGTTCGGGCAGCCACCATCCAAGTTGGTCCATAGCTGCGTTGAAGCAGTCGTGTGCACAAAAGTTGGCTGCAGCTACAATGATGCGGTCGAGGGAGGTGGATTCTACCTGTTTAAGGTAGTGTTTGGCTTCGTCAATCTTCCATTCCGCAGCAGTGCTACAGCCATAGCTTCTTTCCATTCAACATCGGATTGGTGGGGATACCGCCGTAGAGATATCAAAAACCCGTCCGGATCGCCATCGAGGATCTTGTATTCGAACCACAGGCCGGGATACACGTCTAGGGTAATCTGGTCGATCGACGTCGCGATGTTGCCAGGGCTGCGACATAAAATTTTCTGCTCCTCAAAGTAGAGGGCTGCATAGGAGCCTGACGTCCGATGCTTGACCATAGTGCCATAGAGTCTCTTGCTGACTTCTTCCGCGCAACCGCGCAGGCGCGCGCACACCCGCGCTACATTGTACGATAGCCAAGAAATGAGACTATTCCCTGTAGCATTTCTGCAGGTATGCGCAAGAGCGGCGGCGGTTTGTCCTCACTCATTGTGTCGTGGCTGGGTGAAATCTGTTGAGGTGTGCAGCGACTGAAATGGTTTCCAGCCGTCAGGACGAGCAGGCTGTCGATCTAAATTCTGGGAGGGGCTGCTGAACTTGCCAGCTGCATCTTGCGGGGTTGATGTCGGCTCACCTGCGCGTAACAATTCGGATTGTCTGTACTTCAACGACCTTCTGTCGCATACTTACTCGTAGAGCAGGCCGAGCAGTCCATCCTGGATCCTGCATATTGGGCCTGGTCTTTCTAGCCGTAACAGCGTTGGCCATGAGTCATCCAAGGACAGCTGCTCATAATGCCCGCTCAGGCTGACCGCTGGTTCAGGGCAAATCGCCCAGCAGCCAAGGCATTTCGCAGTGGGCTGTGCAAGATTGTCGCATTCTCATTCGGCACGGCTATTTCAGGGCAGGACACTGTGCCGCATTTGTTACGCAATAAAACTCCTTGACATGGTACTCCATTCTGCCGGGGTGAAGTGCGCTCGAGGACAGAAAATCCCGGACAGACTCTTCGTTTCTACCGGGGAGGAGTGGGAACGCACAGCTAATTGTCAGGGTGAGGGAAGAAAGTGGTGGAGCAGGTGTTCCTGCTCCAGGAGATGTACTTAGGCTCTAGCTGCACACACCCTCCCCTGTCGTTTGGTGCCCTGCCATCTATCTGCCAGACAGTGCAAGACGCCGCACGTTCAGCGCCACGTGCGTGGCGGCTGTATCTGCTTAGCCGTGCAGCTCCTCCATTAGGCGCATCGACTGAGGCCTGAAAGTCACTGTTTACAGGTGCACCCGCTACTGTTCACTCAGCACTGGAGTGCTTTGTCGCGCACGAATCAAGAAGGTCCGCATAAACGATCCTCCTACATGCATTCATCTTTGTTTCCGACAAAATCTGGCGACCCTATGACCGCTCGGGTGTGCACTCACTTTAAGTGTTTCCAGAACAAGCTCTTTCGTTCCGAGGGGTGTATCCCGATCGAAATCAAAGCCAGAGAGGACATTGCGGACGACCAGGGTCCTAGGAGAGGAAGCGGGCGAGCGGTTGGGACAAAGACTAGCGTAGCCTAGGCACGTACGGAGGTGCCTTGCAAAAGTCTTCGCCTAGCGCGCCTTTGTCTACCAGCTGACAGGAGCTTTGGTCAAGTAGAGGCACAGTACCTCTCTATCAGTTCCAAACTTTATACCCCCTGGAAAGCTCACCAAAAACCCTAAAAAGCAAGTTCGTTGCTAGGGCCAGATCGAAGCGACTTTGGAGCAACTCTGGCACTCAGCTGGCAGCCAAGACGGCACGGTCGCGCTAGGCGAAGACTTTTGCAAGGCACCTCCGTACCTAAGCGCCTATTTTAAGTAAGTAAACGTGCGCTAGGTTAGGCAGCGCGCGGGCACCCAAGTACCCTGTAACTGTATTTTCCAATGGGTGCAGGGTGCTCAGTGGGTACCTGAGGCCCGCCCCACTCTTACCAGCTCCCAGCCGGATTCGTCCGCCCAGCCACGACTGCATAAATCGCAATCGTGCATAAAATCCCTCCGTTATGCCCCAGCAGCGTAACGGTCTGTCAAAGTAACGTTCGAGTAGGTAACGGAAGCCCAACTCAAACTGTACAATGACTGATGACAAATCCCTGCTGTCGCTCGCACAAAACGCAATGCCCCCTCCCTGATCTTGCTCCAACGGCAGACCCATGAATGCTCGCTTTTTTGGGCACTTTTTGTGCGGGCATGAATTGTTCAGATGTTTGCTGAACACAATTAGCCCTACCTCAAAGAGAGGCCGACGAGAAAGCTTGATTGAGATATTGCTAATGGTGAGCCAAGCCAAAGAATGCATCCATAGCATGGGCATGAATATGTACACACTGCTCGCTCCTCCAGCAGCAACCATAACTTAGTATATTTGTTCGCTTGCTCAACCACTGGCACTGCTCAGCACTCTCTACATTGTTTCTGCAATCCCCAAACACCACACTCATCAGACATGTCGGACCACCGGGGACACTATAAATAGACCTTTCCATTCAGCATTGTTCGCTATTTTCCTGTCACACACCTTGAGCACATTGTACTCAGTGCACATGGATCGTATGCCGTCAGAGATTCGTTGCATGGTCGCAGAGCTATTGCCCACAAGGGATCTGCGCACATTTCGCTTGACATGTAGGTTTCATGCTTATCATTTTTTTTTTCATATACTAGCGCGCCAGTTCTGCATTCTTGGCACACTGCGCCGTCTCAAGAGCTTCTTGAAGTTCCTCGACTCCAAACCGACATAATACACGCGGCGGCTCACCATATATAATGGGAAATGGCCCTCGTACTCACGCGAAGAGTGGAGTCGCAGCACGCTGATGCTTGGTGATTAATATATGCCCATGCGACGATTCGATGACGAAGATAGGGAAGAGGCCTATTGTCGTTATCGCATATTTCTTCGGGATACAGATCAGGAAGTTGACATCCAGATCGCCCGTGAGGTGTCGAAGCGCTTTGTTGTTCAGCTAATAACGGATGGAACTTTCACAAGAACTTCCCTTCTCTAGTGAGTCTTAATCTTAGTATATCCCCAAGGTCATTACCGATACCATACGGGCAAGATGTTATGCTTCTTAATCTGAAACCCCTTCGATTCCGTAGAGTACATGTTTCTAAAGCTTATCTTATCGGAATAGCGTAATCGCATTCCACTCTACGGTCTCTACATTTGAGTGAGACTATTATCCTCGGGGGTCAGTGGAGCTCGTGCCTGGCTGTCATCGAAAGCTCGACTGACATTTCAGTCCACATGGGAGACGTAGAACCAGCCTGATCAAGTAGTGGGAGGAACAAGAGAGTTCATGCTTTAAGGGTTTTCGTTTCTGGTTGTTTTTTTTGGTATGAAAGAGTCATGTGAAATGGTTCTTTCCTAATCCAGAAGCAACTTACTAGCCCTCTCCATGATGTAGTCCTGGATGAGCTGGCTCTCGCAAGTGCCATGTCGCAGGATCTCCGTCTTGAGGGCGAGGATCTCATCGCATAAATGCTTGACGTGGGCCTTTAAGGCACTGTTCTTCTCGGAGAGCCATTGCTCTGTCTTCACGAGCTCTGTAATTTCACATTTCGTCTTGTCGCGATACTTTGTCGCAGCCATTCGGTTCTTCTCGCGTATCGTCTTCTTCTTCTTGTTGCTGCTCGGAAGAGCCGTCGTGTCCGACGGCGTAGACTGTGACGCGAAACTTGCCGTCGCATCTGGCGACCCTGTGCTGTGCACGTGTATCTCGCTATCCCTGCGTTTCGTGCCGGCGAGCTGCGGTATCTCCGAGCTGTGTTGCTGCTGAAGGTGGTGGTGGCTATGGCAGCCTAAGTGCTGACGTCGAAGGCTCCGGCATAATTTCCCCAGGGCTAGTGTGTATCGACGCGCTAGCAGAATGGCTGGCTACGGACATTAGCCACGAGTGTATGCCCGACGCGACGTCGTCAAGAGCCGTGTTCGAAATTTGTGAGGGGATGATGGTGCCGAAGGGGATTGCGTCGTGTGGCTGCAAGGGCATATTGTACATCTCGGGACCAAGGTCCATGGTGAAGCCGCCGTCTGTAGCAGATAGAGAGGTGTCCATATGAGTGGAGTTGCCATCCAGGACCATCCAGGACATGTCGCCAGACTTGAGGCCAAAGGTACCCCCGGGCCAGTCATGTACTGTATGCGTGGAATGTTGGTGTTGCGTGTGGTCTGTGAAGGCAGCAGCCATGGTGGCAGTTATGTGTGGTCGCCTGAGTCTTGCTAGCTTGAGCGAGAAATTTGTACTACCTCTGTCGTCCTTGATCGTTGTTCTTGTTGTTGTGGCCGCGGAAGAAATGGGCGGGTGAGATGATAAAGGTACGGCTTGTGAGTGCGTGGGTCTTTCTGGATCGCTCCCCAGAAGTGGCGCCGGCTCCCTGTTGTAGCAACGAACGCGCCGCTCGACAGATGAAGCAACGCCGGCCATTACCTGCTTATGGCGACAACGCGAGTGGGGGCAGCACCCAAACCGGCCACCGGGGGCCTGATTGAGGGGGCCGGCCTGCTTTCGGAGGCAGACAATCACTTCTTTGAACCGGGGTGTGCTCCAAGTTGTCTGCTCGTCATGGCGAAGGGGTTGGTCGGTCTCGGGGTGGATTGGTTGGTGCCCAGCGAGCCGGGGCAACTGCCGTCCTCATGCGCGGGTGCACTTGGCTTGGTTTCATTCCAAGCTTGTCCCTCAGGACGCTGTCTGCTGACTGCCACAGCCGTCTGCCCCAGGTGGCCGGTCCGTCCCTCGCCCACGTACTATTATTGACGTGCCCGCCCCCCTGCTTGTCATCAGATAACAAGACTACCTCGACAACTACGGCATCGACGCCACCAGCCATGTCGGCGTACGACTACGAGGCCCCTCAGCGGCGATCCTACCGTGAGGAGGCACGCCTGCGCCCGGATCCCCGCTATGAGCCACAAGATGCCTACTATCGCCAGAAACCCTCCTCCCGACACGAGTTTGTGCCTCGCCCCCGTGAAGATAGCGACACCTCTGTCGAGGAGATCCGTCGCGACTTTCCGCCACCGGGCTACCGCGACATCCGCCGGGCTCGCTCAGCAGAGCCTGGCTACGACGACTACTACGCACCTGGGCGCGATTTGCGCACCCGTCAGAAGCCAGGCAGCGTCTACTACGAAGAGGAAGAGCGCACTCGCAAGCGCGTCCTGACCAAGCAGCAGAAGATGCTGGCTGCTGTGGTTGGAGGTGTCATTGCCGCCGGTGCTAAGGAGGCATGGGATCGCAAGGAGGCCAAAGACGAAGGCTCAGGCAGGATCGAGCGCAACCCGCTCGCCTCGGCTGCTCTTGCGGCGGGAGGTGCCTTTGCTGGCTACTCCGGCGCCGAGTACTACAACAAACACAACGACAAGGAGGACAAGAAGTCCACCTATATTGTGCACAAGGGCCGCGATGGCCGTGTTTCCGAGTATTACTCTGACGACGACGAGGACCTCAGAGGCCGCAAGGGCAACAAGTCCTTCCTGGAGAATGCTCTCTCTGCTGCCGGACTTGGAGGTGCCATCAAAGCCCTGACGGGCGGAGGTTCTGATGACCGACGTTCTGAAGGGAGAAGCCGCCGCGGAAGTGTCGAGTCGAGGAGCTCTCGTCGATCTCGCTCTGAAGACACTCCCGCCAATCGAATGCAGAAAGCTGCCAAAGCCTCCTTGGTGGCTGGCGCTGCCGAGGCTTTCCGCGTCTCCAAGGAACCTGGCGGTTGGAAGGGCGAAAAGATGAAGCGCGTCCTCACCGCGGCCGCGGGTGCTGCTACTATTGATGCCGCCCATGACCCCAGCAAGGGCCACAGCAAGCGCCACATGTTGGAGGCTGTCATTGGCGGCCTTGTTGGCAACCGCATGCTCAACGGCTCTCGCAAGGACATCGAAGAGGACAGGCGCACTGGCAGGAGCAGGTCTCGTTCTCGGTCCGCTGGAGATTCGGGCAAGACCGGCCTTGCTGCCCTTGCCACTGCTGGTCTTGGAGCGCTAGGTGCCAAGAAAATCCTGGACAACAAGGCTCGGTCTCGCTCGCGGTCGCGGCGCCGTAGCTATGACTCCTATGGCAGTCGATCTCCATCGCCACGCCGTCGCAGCCGGAGCCGGAGCATTGTTGATGGTGCTCGAAGAAGCTTGGCCAAAATTGGTCGAGGCGGCGGTCCCGAGGACTGGCATTATGACGGCCGGTCCTCTTCCCGCAGGAGCAGAGGATATGATGATCGGTATGACGACAATCATTCTGCCCGTGGTGGCTACATGAGAGGCGGGAGAGGCGACGACTACTACGACGACCGTCGCCGCAGCCGCTCTCGCAGCCGAAAGGGTGGCCGATCTGGTTCTGTATCAAGGAGTGATTTAGGAAACTCGGAGGACGACGAGAGACAAGCTAAGAAAATGAAAGGTAAGCAGATCCTTAAAGCAGGCTTGGCGACAGTTGCCACCATCCACGCAGCCAATGAAGTCTACGGCTCCATGCATGCCCGCAATGCAAGACACAAAGCCGTCAGGAATGGGCACCTGAATCCAACGGAAGCCAAGAAGCTCAAGACCAAGGCCATCCTCCAAGACACGGCCTCTGTTGGTATTGCTCTCATGAGCATCAAGGGTGTCTTGGGAGAGATGAAAGAAGCTAGAGAGAAGACCCACGAGGTCAGAGAATGGCAGTCAGAGAAGCAACGTCGCCACGAGAGACGCATGGAGCGGCTCCGGGAAGCGAACCAAAATCGTGAACCGAGATCGAGGGCTGACGACTGGTCTTCATCAGCTCCTCCGCGGGCCGACCGGTACGATGATGGGCCGCGTTACACCGATGGAAATCCCTACTCAGCCTCTATTCCTGCGCCGCCAGTCGGTCACGACAGGCGGTAGGCCATCAGCAAGTTCAACATGACCTTTTGTTATGTCGGTCTCGGGCACTCTCTGATCGTCGTCATGCCCTTCTGAGGCTGCATCCTTCTCTCCTGCTCTCTTTCACGAGCATCTCTATCTCTCTCTCATTCGCTGCCGATTTACGACCCTTACGAATCATGTAAACACTTTACGACACAGATATTTTAAAAAGAGGGAGCCTGTTTCTGCACAAGGAGTACCGGGTTACTAAGCTATCTATGGTAGCCCAAGTGGTCTCCATTGTCTCGCCACGGCTGTTTATCTTGGACCAGACGTCAGCGCCAGCCAGCCTCATGAACTGCTTTCTTCTTTCTGCAAGTATATCTCACCTTACTGATCATAATAATCCGTGTGCTAGACCGTCGGCGGCGTCATCGTGATGATGACCGCTACTAAGGCTGAACGAGCTAGGGCAACTGCCTCGCGCCTGGCTCTCCGCCTGTCGGATCCTTGTGTGGCACGACATCCCGATTGGCTCAGCTCTTTTCCCGACACGATCGGGGCATGCCACGATCTATTGAGGGATGCGGGGATTTTTAGTACGTGGTAGATTTAGGATGGTGTGGCCCGGGTCTCTAGCACATCCACGTGGTTCCTGGGGATGCCCACCTGCAGCCTCCCCAAACCCCGGCACCTCACTCTTCGAGTCTATACTAGGTGGGGGCGACGCTGTCTACTTGAGACAAGCTTTGTAGCACAGCAGGTACTATAGAGATGTGGGATGACGTGGCATCTGGCTGCACGTCTCGCCTATCCTTGGAACAACCAGCAGGCAGGAAGTGGTCGTGGGTTTTCTTTTTTTAAAGACTTTGAGGATCTGGCTCAGAATGAGAGGGCTCTTGGTGCTTACGACTTTTGACGACCATATATAGTTTTTCCCCTTGAAGACAATATAGGGCAATCTGGATTTTCTCGCACGACAGTTGTGCTTGCACAAGTGAGGAGGAATCGAGAGAAAATGGCGCTCGTGGATAGAATCCTGCAGCGAATGCCCCAAATACTGTTTGCCCGAGACGATCTCATAACGGTAGGAAATCTCAGGTGGAAAACCAGCTACATGAAATCCGCGAGCAAGGGGCCAAAGGGGGGGATGGGAATGGAGTCCATGGCATGGGGACAGGCTTGTCGATGCGGTCATTGTGCATGATGCGGGACCCCTTGGCTGTCAGCCAAAGGGCCTCCGAGCTGGGTCCAAACTGGCATGGGGTCAAAGAATCGAAGCCAGAGCCGGTTGACCAGAACCAGTCGCCAAATGCGCCTCCTCAACCCCCTAAACAGAAACCGACGTACGCATCCCTCATCAGAGACGTAGCTCCGGCTACCCCTGCCCTGCAGGTTGACAAACTTCCACTCACCACGCTCTCAACCAATCTTGCCCTCAGGCTGCCTTGCAGCCCTTCCGCACCATCAATAGCCCCAGCACTCATCAAGCTCCCTCCCCCAAACCCTCGGATCATTATCAAGCAGCCCAGCCCGATTTCACAACGTCCAAAGGGCCGAAAGCAGCCTGACCCTTGCATCTTCTGCGGGCGGTCTTTCACTCGGACAACCACAATGTGGAAACATGTCGAAGGCCACCTGAGCATGAACGCGCGTCGTCCAGTCCCTTGCCCTTTCCCAAAGTGCAAAGAAGGGGCATTGGAATTCCGCGATACGATTGCCTTTCGTGCCCATATATACCACGACCATGGGGTGCCACTCAAGCCTGTCATTATACTCAAGACCGCTGAAAGGTTGAAGACACCAATGCCCTCTCCAAGGATCATCCTCAAATGTAGCTCATAGCCAGTAAACGAGCAATTGGCAACGGCCACGCCGCTTACAAAACCCGGACAGCTAGTTTAATGATCAATCATCATCTCAATGTACATGCTTCTCCAGCCTTCCTACCTGTGCCGGGATGTGTTTATTGGTCTATAACGCCGCTTCGGCTGCTCATATGAAACCAATACCTCGCCATCCGAATCCTCGTCATAGATAGACCGTAGCCTGTTGTTGTCATCGCGTTCCGTTCCTTCGCCCTTGTTCTCAGAAAAGGGCCGGCATGGGGCGTCATGGCAACCTCTGCCTAGAGAGCAGCAGCCCGAGCCATGGGCATCGTATTCCGATCCCTAAGGCTGGAGGGTACGTGACGTTACCGGTCTTCGATCTCCGAAACGATCGGGCCAAACCATTCTTGGGAAGTAACCCGCCCAGGTAGTGCAGCGTACATGACTACTGCGGGTGCTGAAGTCGCCGAGACTAGAAGCAGCTTGTTCTTGCTTCTTGACACAACCCAGATCTCAAACGACGTTGAGAACTTGACGGCAGCTTCACAGGCTCTCGAACTCCAGCCAATCGGGCCACGCCAAGAAGCAGGCCTCACGAACAAGTCCGGGGCCTCGCCTTGATCACTTCGCGTTGGCTTGGTCTTCCTCGTCTTCCTCGCGTCGGCGTAGCGCCTGTTCGCGTCGGCGTTGCTCCTCTTCGTGTCGGCGTTGCTCCTCTTGGCGTTGCTCCTTTTCCAGTCGGCGTTGCTCCTTTATACGCTCTACCATCCTTCCTACCTCTCCAGAATAGCGTGTGGGGTAGTGGTCTGCAGATGCAAATGTAATTGCCCGCAAACCCCGCTGGAGCAAATTGTCTGGGGCAATGCCAGGTAGGTCTATTTGCTGACCTACATGTTCCCAGGTATCGGCGCCACCTCCCCTGAACGAGACTCCGATGACCGAACTGGTAGTATAACGCAAGGGAAACTTTTCTACAATTGCGTTTGGGAGGTTCGGAATGGGATCTGACGCAAACACAAATCGAAAGCAGTTGACATTGCGACCAGTAAACTCGTTGCAAAGCCTTGGTTTCCAACTCTAGGCGAGCCAAGTGTGACGCAGGTTATGCTCGTAGCTGGCCATAGCAACCTGCACCATAAGGCACATAGTGTTGCTAACGCTCCGCCGAGGCTATGGCCACAGACCTCGATGCTTCCGGGTTGTCGTCCTCCTAGCAGAGCGGTAATTTTCAGAATCATATTAGCGGTCAGGTCACTAAAGGCAAGCAAGAAGCCTTCGTGTACAAGCACCGCTGGAAGACCAGACCAGCCAAGTGGTACGAAGGTATAGCTAATGTCCATCAAGGCGTTACGGCCCAGACCACGGAATCGTTCAATTCTTTGAACGTCGTCTAAGTTCATCGGAAGATCGGTTCCTCGGAATGCCAGGACTAAAGTGTCGTTGTTACGGATACCCAAGTGCACGTGGGTACGTGTAAAACGAGTACTTTGGGCCTTTCGAGCGGTAATGGGTGCACCCTGTAAGTCTACTGCGAGATTTCGGAAATCTGTGCCATCGTCGTCCGCGTATGCAAAGCAGGCATAGCGTACTAGATGTTCGATGTCTGGTAGAACATCTAGTACGATGTCTGGTAGAACTGGAGGTGCTGCCATGGTCCTATCGTCCGAGGCTGTCGTTTTAAAGTGATTAGAATAGAAGATCACTGAGGGAGGAGGATAATATTTCCATTTCGTACTTGTGATCAGCGCGCAGCTTTTTAATATGGGCTATTACTTGGTAAACGACGATCATATGCGTAGATAGTTATTCTTTCTTGCTTTAAAAAGATTTCGTCAGGAACAGATGCTGCTATACTTTTGGCTCAAGCAGCCGTACGTCACGTCGTCATCGTGAGCGAAGTGCCTCCTACGCAAGAATTTACTTTCCCAAACTTGGTAACATGTGAAGATTGACAATCTCAAGTTTAGGGATGGTCGTTACCTGTCGGGTCACCTTTGATCTGGGGGATATCGGTCCTGATTGTGCTGCTTATTCCTAACCTCAATTTTCGCCATACCAAGGACTGTGATTGGAGATCAGGGCTCGCTGTTAATATCGAGACCATTACCCTAGCGAGCTTCAACCCGCATTTGATCCCTTTTGTAACGGTTCAAGCGTGTATATTTGCAACAGGCTGTGGTGACTACTACGAGTAAACCAATCCTGAGAGAAAAGGGAAGAGAACAAAAGGGGCTGGAAGAATTCCAGCCTGAAGAAAAGGAGTCTTCCAGCTTGGGCCTCCCTGCGATCTTCGCGGTGACCGTGATAGTTGGCTGAGCAACACTCGGCCGGGTGCCCAGCCGAAGCCCGATCGGGCCCAGCCCGTTACACCTTTTGAGTAAGAGGTGTTCGTCGTACCACTCCTTCAATATATCTGCGAATCGTTTTGTAACTTTGACATAAGTCTAGCTTGTTTTTAAAGTTTATTCATGACTTGGGCTTCTTATTCATCAAACATAACGTTAATTGGCTATCCATTTTTAGAAAGACCAAGCATGTGAAAAGACCAAGCATGTGAAGGGACAGTCGTCTCGTCATATATTGGCCGAGGGCAGGCCTAACCGTGGAAAATTGACAAGATTTGTTGTACTTAGCTCTGTCGGCAACCTCGTCGACAATAACTGAGCATGACTGCGGACCCGAGACATGACCAGCCGACGGGAATATCCTCTGACAACTTCGGATATCCAACTCTGGAAGTTTTGAGATCGATTCACCACCTGGTACGATATGCCTCACTGCCGTATTACGGCCCCGGCGGCGTTGAATTTCGAATGCTCGCTTCAGACTTAGGGGGAAGTCCTATTACCGCTCGAACACTTCCGATTCGGAATTTTCATGTACACTTGGGCATCCGTAATAACGACACTCTCGTCCTGGCATTCAGCGAATACGATATACCCTACACATTGAAGGACTGTCTGCAACCAAAACTGTGGTTCGGATTGATCAGTATTCTTTCTACAGACCTCCTGCATAGTTTCACGATACTCGACTGGCCAGTTTCTGCAGACGTGCTTGTCCACAAAGGGTTTCTACTTGATTTTAACGACCTGGCTCCTAACTTGATTAGGAATATTGGCAGCCTATTGGGTGGGATAGAAGTCCGAAAGATCGATATCTGTGGCCATGGCCTTGGCGGGGCTGTAGCAACGCTATGTGCCTTATGGTGCAGCTTACAATGGCTAGCTGCGAATATAACCTGCGTCACACTTGGCTCACCTATGGTGGGAGACGAGGCTTTCGCCAGAGAATGCCGACAGCGTGGAATCCATTGCTATCGACTCGCGATTGACTCCGACCCGATTCCAAGCTTGCCAGGTACTTTTTCATTGAAAAGATGGCAAAAAGACAAAGTCGGCGCTCGAACATGGAACCATGTCGGCAAGGAAATCCTCCTCCATCCTTCGAAAACCCACGAAGAGAGCCCTGGAAGTCTCTGGCCGATCGGGAGCGGGCGTTTCATCCATGAAGTTGAACGCGCCACCATTTATTTTGGAGAAGCTTGGACGTTATGGGTTTTATATGGGCTACTGTGGGTTTGGCAAATGCTACGGAACATTCCGGAGCATCATCCCGTGGCCTACTTGAGGCGTTTTCAAATGATGGTAGAGGAGTTTGCGCCGGAACAGGAAGAGAGAGGAATATCGGGCCAAACGGTGGCCACGAAATTGCAAGAGCGCATCCCTGGCCTGAAATGCAGCGCGTAAAAGGAGGGGTGCCACCTCTGCGGATTGATTAGTCTCCTTCGTTTAACCTGCCCTATTTCGTTTTGTAATTGCAGTCTAGATAAGACTTCCATTCATGTAGTTGTGACCGGACAAGAGCACGAACGAGGTCGAGTGCGACTTGGGGGTAAAATGATTGCGTTACGAGGCGAGAAAGAGGAGAGGAAGAGATTCGTAAGGAAAACTATGACTAAGGCTATTTGTACAATCTTCATAAAATGAGACTATTCACAAAGTAGGAAACTCACGTGATCGTTTCTTCACAGGGCTAGGATGGATTGAGGACTGCTGGACTTCGCAACAAGAGCTTGAGTGGCTTGCTACCGCAAAGGCGGAGCTACGGGATTACCTTGGACGGTGGTATCCCGAGGTAGAATCGCCCCAGGGCCACGGTGATGCCGCTCAGACGTACCGCCAGCAGCAAGGGCGTCGGCAACGGCGACGGTTAGATGAGGATCTCCTCGCAACATTTGCTTCCCGACGGCGGCGGCCACAGGAGATATCTGGTAGCGAGCTTGAGAGGTATTCAGGTTGGAGCTCCCCTCAGATGATGTCGACCCTGTCATGTGATGGCCAGAGCAGAAGTCCAGGTTCCCTCGGTTGAGCGCCTTAGTGTTGGACATCCCTGCCATTCCAGCGATGGCAGCAGATTGTGAGAGGTCATTCAGTAGCGCGAAGCTGACGCTGACGTCCCAAAGACACTCTCTCAACGAGGATTCTATCGAGGTAATCCAGTTAATGAAGCACTGGCTGAAGAGCGGAGTGGTCAGGCTGGGAGGCATGATCCTGAATAGCAGGGCTAATTGGGGGGGCACTTAACGGTATCGAGAAGAGAGCCCAGTTGAGGATCGTCCCGCGCACGAACCTGTTCTTCGAGAAGCACGACCGTCTTGAACATCTGCCACAAACTGAAGCCGCGATGGTGAGAAATGGTTCCCTGTCCCGGTGCGACCGAAGAAGGATTCATCATCGTCTTGTTCACCAGGAGGCTCGTCTCTCGAACCGGGGCGAACTGGTAGAAGTCCCCCATCAGAAGCACGACGGGAATACCGCCGAACGGCTTATCTGCACAGTCTCGGAGTGACGGGAGGTTGCGGCTGACCTCGTAAAAAGTGGCTCCTCCAACCATGCTGATCTCATCGATCACGATGACGCGCTTCTGTTTCCACGTGCACTTCTTCGCCCTGGGGAATATCGGGAGTTGTTTGTCGGGAGAGCGATGGGTGTCCAGCCCGCAGGCTGAATGCAAAGTCGTGCCGCCGATCTGGGCGGCTGCACTGCCGGACGCGCCGGTGACCTGAATAAGATGTGACTGACCTCTCGCGGAAAACACCCATTTCAGGTATCGCTGACCCTGGATTTGCCCGTACCCGCTCGATATCACCCAACAGATATCATCTAGGACTTATGCCTTATGCAGATATTGTCGACCCCAGAACCTCATCGAATCGATGAGAGCAACGTGTGTGCACACTGATGCTTGTTTAGAAGCACCAGGACCCGCAAGTAAACATCGATTATAGCGCTTACGAGAACCCGACTCAACTAATGGCGCAGTCTAGCGCTCCGTTCCCTGCCATTGCCCTTACAGACCCCCGTACCAGCGACATGAAGCAGTCGTCCACTCTCGCGCACGCACCATCAATGCTTTGCAGGTGGAACAGTAGCAGGCCAGATAGCAGCCACTGAGTGCAGCCGCCTGACATGTCAAATTGTTTCCTCACAGGAAGCATGCAGTGGAACATTCTGGCGTCCACTTCGCAAGGTGTCTGGCAACAAAGCGTAGACAGCATTGTATCCCCGAAGAGAGAAGCTACAAACAAGAAAAGCAATAGAGCTAATTATGGCGACGGCAGAGAGTACCATCCAGGCGCTAAGTCCTTCGGGCGCCTCTATATATGGCGAGACAATCTGATTGAGGAAGATGTTCATTCCGATGCGAAGTTTTTGCAAGATTGGACGGGTTCAAAAAGCACCGCCCTTGTTGGGTTAGCCCATAAATCACGCCCTCATTCAGCTGGCGTCACGTCGCACAGCAGTTTCGCACTTGAATTGGGCTACTAAGTGTGGTCTTAATGTTGACTATATGGGGAGCGATCGTCGATTGAGGTTACAATAAGGTCTTCTCAAGTATGTGAAGTCTAGATACACGAATGAGAAGGTGAAGCATAAGTAGGCGCTCAATATAAGAAAGGGCAGAAGATCATGCCCTGTTGTTAAGAAGAAGATTTGGTTGTACTGTGAGTTTTGTCGTAGTCTGATTCCAGTCTTCGAGACTTGATTTAGGCAGAGTTTCTTCCACTGATGTCCGAGAGAATGGCGGCGCAATTTGTCCAGCGCATCATGATGACCAGCCTTGGCTTAATAATCTCCGGCGATCTCTCCGGGGGGAATAATCTGGTGCACATGCTGGATGGATGGACTGCGTTTATCGATTGGTCCACCTCCGACGTGGGCAACCTCTTCGCCTCTCTTGACCACAGGTCGTCCTTCGAGATGGGGCACCTAGCTCTTATACATGCTCGGCCACCCCATCCTCACACATCACAACTCCAGCCCCTCAGCCGTGTCACCTTTCCCTCACCACCGCCATCATGATCAACTCTTCCCAAGGCACGGCGTATAACCCCGAGGCCGTGCAGTCCGCCTTGCGTATCGCCATCGAGCAATTCCAACAACAGACCCTCGCCCTCTCCTCATCGTCGACCAGCGCCATCGCCTCCGATCCGACCTCCCCCACCAGCATCACGCCTGGGCCCGGCTATTACCGCCACAGCCGGCACAGCAGCCTCGCGGTCCCGCAAAGCACCCGCCGCCGTAAGGTCATTGCCTTCGATCTCTATGGCACCCTCCTCTCTACCGACTCCATCGCACACGAGCTCGCCAAGCACTATGGCGAGGAGGTCGCCCCGGGCATTGCAACACTATGGCGCCGATTCCAGCTCGAGTACACCTGTCGCATCACCAGCATGGGCGAGTTCAAAAACTTCCAAGAGATCACCCGCAGCGCCCTCGGTCACGCTCTCATAGAGCACAGCGGCATCAAACTGACAGCCAAAGCTGCCTCTGAACTGATGCGTGCCTACGACTCGCTACATGTGTTTCTCGATGTCGAGTCGGCTTGAGATTGCTCAAGGACGCCAAGGAGGGCAAGACACTGGAGGAAGTCACAGAAGAGGGCGAAGGCGAATACACCACCAGGAAAGAAGTTCCACCCCCGCAGTCGTTGGACGTAAGAGACAGCGCAGGCCGCAGCTCATCGAGATCATCAGCCTCGTCATCCTCTTCATCATCACTGCCCGAAATTGACGCATACATCTTCACAAACGGCAAGTCCGAGATGGCGATGCGGTCCATGGTCACCTCCCCCGAGCTGTCGCTCCATACCAAGGCGTCGGAGCGCGGTCTGTTCAGTGATCCGGGCAGTATCGTGTCTGCAGACTCGGTACAATGCTACAAGCCAGACCCGCGGTTGTACCAGCACCTTCTGGACGTCGCCGGTGTGCGCACAGAGCAGGACAAGCGCAATGTCTGGGTCATCAGCGCAAACCCGTTTGATGTGGTTGGGGCCAAGGCGGCGGGGCTTCGGGCGGCGTGGATCGACCGTGCCGGGAAAGGCTGGGTTGATCGTCTTGACGAGATGAGGGTCCCTTCAGTCACGGCGACGGGGGTGGGCGAGGCTATCAAGGCAATCTTATCCTGGAATTGAGCTTCTTCGAGTAGTAGCGGGAGAAGCATTGATTTTGGGGGGGGGGGGGGGGGGTTCGGTGATTCTAGAACAAGGAAAAGAAGCACTTTCATAAGAAGGAGAAGGTCGATATTCGTGGCGCAGTCTCGCGCCTCTCAAGATACCACTTTGGGAATGGACAGGACACAAACAGGATACGGGAACACAAAACAGGAAGCTCTTTGGCATGGAAGCGACAAGCTCTGTAATATTAATTCGCAAAGGAAAAGACATACAGTCGACTTCGAAATCGGCGTCCACTCTGGCTGTACATAACTCACTCTACGCACGGTCCACCATGCCCTGGCGACGCCAGGCACCTGAAGCGACAAACAAGGTTGCCTGCACGTAGGTGGCGCAGTCATGACAGCCATTTCGTGCTCTACAGGGCTTAGTATATGCCTCCACTTATTGAATTAAGCCGGATGACTTTAGGAGAAGAACGGGGATGTATATAAAGCATCACCGTATCATACTATACCATCTCAATTTGATGTGCTTTAAATAAGAAGCAGTTTCAAGACAGTCACGTCTCCTGAAAAACTTCGTCTAGGAAGTCACCTGTAGAGTGTTGCAGTACAAATTCATCTAGGCTGGGCATTAACGTCGGCGCCCTGTTTGAGTAACTGCTCGGCAGATCCTTGCAGTCCATAAAATGCTGCAAAGTACAAGCAGGGAGTCCCCTGGTATATCGGACGGAATTGTGTGCGTCCCTTTTCCGCTTCCTCTTCGCACAGACGCAAACTCAGATTGTATGCCCTTATATAATTGAACAGCTCCATCTCACAGGCAGTAACACGTGGTGTAGTAGGTTGGCCGATGGAGGCATGTTCCGCCCTGTATACAGCGCTATAGGGGGCGAATGGATACCGGCTTGTGACTTCTCCACTATCAAGGTCGCCAGGGAGTTCTAGCAGATATGCTATACAGATCTCTGCCATCGCCGCCCAAGCATGCGGCTGCTAGAAGTCATTCACAAGTGGCTCTTGCAAACGACCTGATTCCAGCCACTCCTTGACCGAGTAATGCGACAGCTGGATCTCCTTTGTAACGGCTTTGCCCTCGCTTCTTTCCGACACAACTACTAGGCCGGAACAGTAGTGCGAGATCTCGTCCGGCTCAGGCATGCGATCTGTTGGGTCAAACCGTGGCTGCTTTGCAGGATCCACGGCAATCGCATCAACAGCTTCCCCAACACGTAGCAAGCGTCCTGAGTACGCCAGAAACTGTAAGATGCGTATTGCGTATAGTCTGTCGTTCTAGGAGATCCTTTCCATGATCCGGTTGTATGTATCATTCAAGGTCTTTGGGAGGGATTGCAACGCCTTGTCTAGCGCCTTGGGGTCCTTACAGACCTCGAGGTCATCGAGCTGGCATGTCACCCAGCGGAACCTATTAGCGCAATAGTCGTCATACGTGACTGCTCTGTGCCATGCTGCTTACATCCCGTCCGCTTTCTCAATCAGGGTTTCTTGGATTTTGGACTGGACGTCGGGTTTGTTCCGCCAACGGCGAAGGGCGTTGTCGCCGTGCACTCTCGCTTCGACGAACTACCGTATATCGCTATACACGAGCTCGCTCTGCAGCGGGATAGCGCTGGTGCCGGGCTTCATGCTCCAGATTGAGGCCTCTATCTCCTGCTCGGGACGGCTCGTTGCAATAAAGGAGACCCTGGGATTCGCCTCTTGGAGATGTCGGATCCAATCGAGGAGCTCCTTCCGGGTGGTGCACTCATCTAGCGCATCTAGTGCCATCCACACGTCCCCGGCCGATTGTAGCATCGGTTCGAGCGTTTAAGGAGCGAGTCGATCGAGGGCTGGGAGCTGTCATCATGGCATAAAGGGTACAGAGAGTCGAGCGGCATCCGTGTCCCGGCCATCCGGTGGTATGGCTGGTGGAGGAGAGACCGAACCAGATTGTCGAGAGTCTGCTTCGCTGTGTCGCTAAAGTCGAAGTAGAATTATAACAGAGTATATATGACTTGGTGTTAGCCTGGTCTAGGTCTTCGATGACCGTGCTACTTAGGACGGTCTTGCCGCAGCCTGGCTCGCCGTGTAACCATAGAAAGGCGCTCGGGGTGTTTTTCCATGAACTGTACTCGGGAGTCTCGAGGAGCCAGCCGCCCGTATCCTGGTGGCGCTGTTTTAGAGCCCGCGTGTAATTTGTCGCGTCATCATACAGTCTGACTCGAATTCGGTGTCTGTCTTTCGTTGAGCGTAAGTCTGCGCACACGAGCCACGTGGGGGACATGAGTGGACACATGCAAATGTTGAGGCGGGGCATCTTGGACAGCCGTTTTCCGCGTGCCAAGTAGTCATGGCATTGTCTCATGTCTTTTATGTACTGTAAGTTCGAAGCGATAAAGCTCAGGTCCAGATGCAGGTAATGACACAATGCTGGCCAATGTGGGGCGTGGTCTCCGAAGGTACGCAACAAGGTGGGTCTTCGTCTGTCTGAGGTTGTGCAACTATTGATGGTCTACTGGCTGTTGACCGCCGTCGAGATCAAAACCGGAGTGAAAGTCGTTTACTTGCCTGGGTCGAAAATTCTAGTAGCCTCTACAACGAGCGTATTGTCTCTGGGCAAAGTGGACGATCGCGATTAACGAGGTAAGATTAAGGAGGGAAGAGAGAATCAGTAACGACTGAGGCGCCAGAAGTTTGATATCCTGGCTCTTGATGCGGTTGTGGGAAGATAAGGCCAATAGGTCGTAAGAACATCATCGCTGATCATTCGCAAGGTTGGAAAGAAATACGAAAGACTCGACTACATGGCCACCAGAGAGTGAGACGGATCTAAACATAAAAGTCGGAGAACGTCGGGGTCGCTCGTCCGATGTGCCCACCATACTAACTCGCGGGCCCAGACGTCTACATCACTCGCTGCGCCCTTTCCAGCTGATAGCAATAGAGAAACGACCCGCGAATGGCCGTTCCTTACCGCCGCATGGAATGCTGTTGAGCCGCGCCAGTCTGTAGCGTTGTAATCAGTACCACGATTGCAAGTAGAGTGCGGACGACTCCTAGGTGTCCAAACCAGGAGGAAAGAAAGAGAGAAGTACGGCCCAATGGATCTGGGTGATTGGCATTTTCTCCATCCTCTAAGAGAAGCCTGACAATCTCGGCCGTGGCCTCTAGCTGAGGCAGCCTGTAGAGCGTTGCCGAAATAGCCACCCTGCGCGTTGACGTCCGCCTCCTTGTCTAGGAGCAGCTTGACAATGTTGTCGTGGCCTTCTCCGGTGCGATGTCATTGCCTCCCCACAACTGGTCGTGTCTGTTGAAATCGCCGACAATGATCGTATGCGTGACCTTGCCTCCTGGCCTCTGCTCCGCCCGAATGGCGGAATCGAGTAACAAGCAGGTTCCTGAGAGGGCTTCCGGGTCGCCGCCTGGGACGTAGTCAGAGATCAGGAGAAAATCCTTGTCCGGAAGTCGCACCCTGGCAGCGGTGATGTCCGGTGATGGGATGGGAACCTGCTCGGTGTCCAGACCCTTACTCACCCATAACATACTCCTTGCTCCCCACCTCCCCTCTCGCCATTCCGTCGGTACCATTTTCGTCCATTCTCGGTGCCCCATCGGGACGGTGAGGAGTTTGTCACCCGCCTTCCAGGCTGGTGGTTCCTGTATCGCTATCGCAGCAAAGTCTTTCAGACTTCCGTCGTTCATTACGCTGTCGTGAACCTCCCTCCTCTTTCCAACGTTAAGTTGAAGGACCGGAAACACCCTATTCATGCTGAGTAGGGTAGACTCTCTGGAAGTGTCTGCTGAACGACTCATGCGGTCCTCCGCAGGGCACACACTTAAGCACCGGGTTTTAGCACGCGTCGTGTCGGTAACCTTCGTTGGCGCACTTTACGCACCGCTAGGGCTTTGTGCTCTTGAACGCCTTGTGCCCGATCTCTTGGCAGTTATAGCATTACTCTGGTCGGCCCCGTCGTTCGAAAACGTTCGCCTTGCCGGATTCGCCACCGACGTGGAAGTACCCTTCCTCCAGAATCTTCCGGGCGTCGGCCGCCTTTATCAGGTACACCACCATGGACCCGTACGCCTTCCGGATATTCCTCCGACTGAGCCACGATATCTTGGCTACCGTTGCTTCGTTCTCCTGGCCGAACGCCTAAGCCGCGCCAGATCGGACGGTGCCGCTCTCGTCCAGGACGGCTGTGCGGTTAACGTTATCGACCTTAATCGGGTAAAGCTCGTCCCGCAGGATGCGGACTCCTCTTACCATTACCCACGTCGCCACCTCGGCCGCTTGCTTAACCATGTTATGCTCCTCCTCGTTCCTACAGACGATCTTGGCCCTGCTCGTGTTCCTCGCGTCGACCGTGACCGCCTTGCACCTCCAGCTGCTGTCCTCTTTCCTCGCTCTCATTTCCTTCTCCACGGCTGACCTGACGGTTCCAGCGGTTACGCTGCCCTTCTCCGCTTCCTCCACATGTGACGCGTCGATCGTGCAGAAAAGTGAGTCTGTGAATGTCGAGGGTGACGTCTTCGCCGAGGAGAGGGTTTGTACATTGTCGGGTTGGCTTGTCGGTGGGGTCCGCGCGACCTCGGCGTATGATGCTCGGGGGCTCGATCCTGCTGATGTCATGCCCGGACAATTCTTGATTTCTTCCAGCTGCTCCCGGACCTCCTTCAGCTGCCGTTCCGTGTCCTGGAGTTACCGCTGGGTCTCCTCGTTCTGTCGCTGGATCTCTTGGTTCTGGCGCTGGGCCTCCTTGTTCTGTTGTTGGCTTTCGAGGAGCAGCCGCTGCAGCGCTTGAACAGCCGCTTGGCTCTGCTGTTGGCTTCCCTAGTGTTGGTGTTGTAGCTCTTGGATTGTTGCTTGCTATTCCTTGCTCTCCCGCTTCAACTCTGCCACCTGCTCCATCAACCTCTGCATCATCTCCAGCAACGTGTCTCCGTACGTGCTGCTCTTCCTGCTCGTGTCCAATCCATCCTCTCCTCCGGCTGGCGTTGTCCGCTTCGTATTCTTGGTCGGTTTCTTGGTCGCTGCGATGATTTCGACGTCCTCTTGTTGGTTGTCTTGTGCTTCGGCGCTTGGGGTCGGGTTGCGAGCGGATCGTCTCCGAGACTGTTCGTGGTCGGTGGTCTCAGCCACGATCACGATCTCCATCGCGTTAGACATGTCCCACCCACCACGACAACACACGTCGACCACTTTCTTCAGATTCAAACACCCTAACGATTGGTACAACGATTAATACAACGATTGATAAAACGATTGACTCGCCGCCTGGAAGCGCAGGGCGGGGATCGTCGAGTCGGTTCTCACTGACATGGACCAAGGCCAAACTCTCGCGGAGCTGCTGGGTGCGGACATGGCCAATGCCATTGCCCGGGGGGAGTGGCAAACGCTCTACACGACCATGCATCTGGAGCGACGGCGAGTGAGACGCTCTCAGGCTTTATCACAACCTGTACCAGCTCGCCCGGCTCTAATGCCATCGTCGTCGGCGCTCAACGGCAAGCGCATACAACGATTGATACAACCCAGATACATGTGACGCTCTCACGTAAGGGCTGTAGAGATGGAACAAAAACTCCGCCGGAACGGATTAAGGATTTAACCGGTAGTTGCCCCTAGACCTCACTGGGCGTACAGAACTTTCGGAAATCAAGTCAAGTCACGTCAAGTACAACAACAATGAATCCAATTGGTTCAATTCCGCGGTGACAATAATATTCAATCTATAATTAAATCCTTTTTCCCCCTCGGAGCCCATTATCACGGAAGCTAGCTTAACAATCATCCTTGCGCCTAATAACTTTCCATATTAATAGCGCTCCATAATGAGCTCCGTCTTCAGTGAGTCCTCCTCGAGAAACCAAGCCTTGTCCTGCAGGTAGGAGATGAAGCTGTCGTGCTTAGTCAAGGCTGTCGTACGGCTCTCAGTCTTGAAAGACGCCTCGACGAGGCAGTCGTTTCCTGTGCCCGCGCGGTTGCGGATGAGCCAGACCTCGATGTAGAGCCGCATCCCCTCCCATGTGCCAATCGAGCGCTTGGCGAGGACCGGCCCAAAAATACGCGATTCTGCCAACGCGTCGGTGCCCCAGTTGATGCCCAGCCAGTTGTCGAACTTATCGGGCGCTTTGTCGACTAACATCGCACGCGATTTGCACGTCCCCGGCAGGTCCATCCCGCTGTTCACAGAATCCGCCACCTTCTTCTTGCGGGTGATAGAGAGTGTCTGCTTCTGGTAGCCCCATTCGACTTGGGCCTCGTATTTCGCGTCACCGGCGTCGAAACCATCAATATTAGCCGTGGTGAGCGCGGCGTCGATGTCACCGTCTGTGATGACATACCGCTTCTTGTACGTCAGCTCCAAGTCATCTTCGTTCTCAGTCTTACGGATGCGGGCGCTCCAGCCGGCGGTATAGATGTCCTTGCCGGTCGTATCAAGAAACTGGGCATGCAGCTTGGTGACGCTTAGGGGCATGTCGAAGGTCGACAGGACGCTGCTCGTGAGCTCCGTGTTGGGACCGAGGACTGCGGTGGGTTTGAGGAGGAACTTGATCTCGTAGTCGGGCATCATATTTGGCGCTCCCTGCATTGCGGAGTCGACAATGGCGGTCATAGCGAACAGGCGGCAAGGGGAGGAGTGTATGGTACCTGTGAGTTCACGGGCAAGGCTTGAATGAAGCAATAAGGTCGACTGAGCAGCGGTAGTTTGCAAGAGGGGACCAAGTAGGTGAGGTAGTCGCTGTTCTGGAACAAAACGATGCCCGGCCCTTGTTTCTGGACGGCTCCTTCCGCCAGCCCCATTTTCGAAGCATGAGGTAGAGAAGACGCACATCCGGCATCCGTTCAAGTGACAGAACAGGCCAATAAGAACACGCAATTGATCACCGTCATCTGCAGAACATGAACAGACAGAATGACATCAGAATGACCCCATGCAAGAAATCGGTTACAAGATCCACATCAATTTCATATGCCTCAGCGGTGGATTGGGTTGAGTTGATCGCCAGCTTGGTTGTACGCATATGCCGAGTAGAGGAGTACAGAAAATCCAACGCAGCAGCTGTCTCCGCTGTTCGTATTCGGCCAGCAGGTTATTTATAAAGTTACGGTGATGCGTACGGCTGGGGTCATATTGAAGCTTAAATAACGATAGAAAAATCATCCAGTTGTCGAGAAGCAGCTTGATATGTACCAGTAGCAAAGATCACTCCGTAGAGGTGCTAGTAACGCCTCTAGCTACCTGCTACGATACTCGGGGCATTGATCACATGCCAAGTTATCCTAGCTGCGCGCCTCCTTTAACATGAGGGCCCCGGAGGTTCAGTAAACACGGGTCGTGCTTGAATACACTCGCTCTACCTTTGGGATGATTTGGATAAGTTCCCAATTAGATAAAATTAGTCGGTGACGGTATACCATAATTGTTGGCGCCATGCCTAACATTGTGTTGCCATAGTAGGCGTGAATGCAGAGGGGTTTTCACATGCCTTTCTCCGAAGTTCACTAACCAATCCCCATGGTTTGTGGTGCTGTGAAGGGGTTTCACTGGAAAAATCAGGGCATGGTGCTGCGAGCCTGGTGCCGCGTCAACCAACGCCTGCATCACAACGGCGATCAAACCCACTGCGCTCGGGCCTGTGCCTTCGAAGTTGCGCGGGGGGGAGGGAAGCGCTCCTCTGTTGGCACATCTTCGAATGCAGCCTCGGTAAGAACGACCGCGAGTGTGCGCCGCCCGCGTACTCCGTGCACAGGGTCCCTTCAATCAGAAACGGATGATCGTGTCGCTGACGTTCCCGATACGTCCAAGTTGGGGCGGAATCACGAGCACCTTTCGATGGACTTTGCCCTAGCGGTCTCGCAGCGACAGAGGAAGTACCTTGCTGCTATTCGTCAATAGATCCGCCACAGCCTTCTGTTGGTCGATCAACAGCCCGAGCGAGCCAGCCGCAGCGCTTTCAGCCCAGCCCCGCGATAATCGCGCAGGATGAAGCCGTCAAAACTTCTCGTCTTGTTTATTGGTTGTATGAGTGAAATGACTTCACAGTCGTTTGGCCGTCTCCATAATGTACTCTTGTATCAGCGGGCTCTCGCAGGTGCCGTGCCGCAGGATCTCTGTCTTGAGCGACAGGATCTCGTTACGCAGGCACTCGACATGTCCGCTGAGAATTCTGTTCTTCTCGGAGAGCTGGCTCTCCATCTCCTGCAGCTCCTCGGCGCCCTTCTTTATCTTGTTGCGGTACTTTGTCGCGGCAGTCCTGTTCTTTTCACGGATCGTCTTTTTCTTCCTCCGGGTATTACTGGTGGCGGTTGAGGTACTGGGGCTGCCGTCTTCTATAGAGAATGTTGTAGTGGCTGCTTGTGACTTTGAAACCGACGAGCTGGCTCTCCGTTTTGACCGGCCGGCTTGCGATTTTGTCTTGTGTTGCTGCAGGTGATAGTAGCTATGCCGCCTTGACGAGGATGGCTCGGTGCCGACGTCGTCCGGGCTGGTATAGGTAGATGCGGTGACGGCATCAGAGAATGCGCCTAGCAGGCTGGAGGGCGAATTGGGCCAGGATTGTATGCTCGGTGCGGCATCATCGGCCATGGCCGTGTTAAGCTCGGCTGGGACCAGCGTGTCGAATTGCATTGTGTCAAACGCTTGTAAAGCAGCGTTGCCGAGGGGCATCCAGGACATGTCGCCAAGCTTGTCGCAGGACAGGCAGTAGCTCTGGCCGGACCAGTCTGCCATTGTGTTATCTTGTGTATTGGCGGGACTTGTCGCCATAGTGGTTGGTGACTCCATGCCTATGAAAGAAATGGGGGTTGTTTCTGGCTCCAGTGTCGTGTGAAAAACGAGGTCTTTGAAGTCCGCGGGTGCGGATGCGAATGCGTGTCTTGCGATGGAGGGGATGGAAGACGATTGGGAGGTCGCAACCTCGAACGTCGGGGCCAGTGCGGCGGTGGCAGGCGGCACCAGGGCAGGCCCAGGTGCCTACCTGCCCGCCCGCGCGGCGTGCAGGATCCTCGCCCAGCTGGGCAGTGATGACCGACGGACGGCAAATGCCGTTGTGCGCTGCGGGCAGGACAGTTGAGCTTGGCGATTGGTAAGACGGCGCAAGTAGGAGCAGATGCTCCTCCCCCAGGCCAGGAGCTGCACAATGAGGTAATGGGTCATTGAGTAACAGGCCTGCAGGCGCGTTGACGTAGCTCTACGCCTCGGATCACCAGAATTACTCATGCTCCCGCAGCTGCGGCCGTTCCCACGCGTGCGTCGGGAGGAGAGACACAAAAGAACCCGGGTCGGCCGTCACGCATGCAAATCTTTCTCTTTCCTCTTTTCTCCGGCCTCGCATACATTCGAAAGTAGACCCAGGTAGTCCCATAGGATCTCACCGCGCTCCTCTCGCATATCCAAAGAAGGAAGTCCATAGCAATCGACTTGATGCTCTCGCCAGCTTCGAGTAGCACGGTTTGCCAGTCTCCGAGGTTTTGATCGTTGCAGTATCTGCTCAGCCGTCAGTCGCGCCATACACGGTCGTGGGATCTGCAAATCAGTCCACCTACCTCTCCCGTCTCTTTGCGGTATCAACAACACCCTTCTGGGTTGCGAGAGACCAGACTGGAGGTATGAAATGTACCGACTCGAGCTTTTTGCGTAGCGCCGCATGCTGTGCATTGTTGAGAGCATCTACGGCGGGTTTTCCACGAAGCTTTGCTTCCCGACTGTGGAATAACCGGAGGAAGTCTTCGTGCGCGTGGGCAGGCACTTGGGTGGCCATGACGTCTTTGTACTCGTTCTGCTGGGCCCCAGCTCTTCAGCGATGAGATCGCGGTTCCTCATTGTGATATATACTACCTATGCCATGGACAATCAATATCTCGTCACCCTCCCAGCGCCCAGACAGGCTGAGTTGCATGAGAAGGGCGGCCCATGCGCACGGCTGTTAGGCATGGGCTGTGTGCCGCGCTGCAGTGGGTTGCCCCACTACAGCGCTTAGAGCCCCGCTGGACGAGAACAGAATTCTGTCTTCTGCGAAGTACACGATACCTGCACAGAACAGGATGGTGTTCGAGCATCTATTAATTGACTCCCCAGCTCGCAATTAACAACCCCCCCAGCACCGCCTTTTGTCTCCTCTGTGTAAGTTTCTTGAAACAGAACGATGTCGAGTAGATTCTAGCTAACGGCAGTCCAGCTATGGAGACTTACCCAGTCAGACGGCTCTGGAGAAGTGGGGGAACACCTTTTTGGTCGGGTGGGAGAACGGTGACATCACCTGGAAACCTAAAGGTGGACTTCCTTCGGACCAAACGGATGAAGTCCGCAGCCCAAGAGCAGGCTAGCTGGTCACACCCTCTTTACCCCGCTCGCTTCACTGAGACTGATTGTTGATTTTCCCTCCCGCAGGAAAAGCGGACGAGCGCGCCACGTCATCGTTGGGCTGGCAACTTCCAGGCCTTGTGCAGTAAGTCTTCTCTCTCCCTTCATCGACGAACCAGGGAATGATGACAATGCCCAGAAAGAGGCGGATCCCCAACAAAGGCCGAAATCAACATCTTCAAGGACGATGTTGGATTCAAGTGGGAATGGGAGCAATCAAAGTTGGTCGTTCTGACATCCAAGGATCTTGAGGGACTACGAGGCAGTTTGCCGAGTGACGATGCAGGGGAGGACCTTAATGCAGGATAAATATGGATGGAGTCTTCCCCGTACGGAGTAGTGCAACCGCTTGATGCGATCTTATTGGCGAACGGTAGTTCTTGCACCTGTGTACCTAGGTAGGCACATTTTCATCCAGGTTCCCGACTGTCATCACCCGTGCTTGGAGGTGGTGAGAAAGCCCTGTGTATGGTCTAGCGGGCGTCATGCATATTTTGGATGATGCATTTTCGTTCGCACAGCGACCACTCTCAGACTGCCACGCGGCGGCATCTTGCTGCAAGGTTCCCCTTTCCCTTTGACTTTACTCCAAGCCAGCCACAGAGACTAATCAGTCCGAGCATCAAATCAGACCAGCGCTTCCGCTCATCCCTTGCAGTGTACTTTCTCGGGGTTCTTTGCCTTCTTTGCCGTGTGCCAAAGGACAGGAGGCCCGTGGCCTGCATGAGCGCCCCTGCAACACGCTCCAGCCAGCCACCGCTGTCGAAATAAAAGCAATACGGTTACCCTGCAATGCGATGCGCATGCGACGCAACGCTTAGAGATGCAGCTGGGCTAATGCAGCGCGAGCTCAGCTAGCCACAAGCCATTGGACCCCCTGCTATACTGAGCCGTCCTCTGCATGCAGTAGCGGAATTATCGCAATAACGGCATTATTGGGTCCGTGGAGGAGTGCCGGTCTTCATGCGAGACGACCATGGAGCGCAACGGAGGGTCTCAAGAGAGATGGCCACGGCTAGCCGTTCGCCTTCACTCGTCAGGCAACGTGTTGTGCTGCACGCAACGTCAAGACTTGACAAGGAGGACACGCGTTTTGAAAGCGTGTGTCAACTACCTGGCCTGCAATTTGTGCCTCAGTCACAATCATGCCCCAGAGACAAGCAGCCGGTGAAGCCTAAAGTCATCAATAATTGCGAGCATGGCGTCCGACATCGTCCCCAGCCAAACTACATGTTCCTGCGCCTCGATAACGTCATGATCCAGAACGATGTCCAGCGGCACGCCATCTCCGTCACCGCCGGCGGCTGCTTGAGGAGATATGTTCACGCTTTTAGAGGCGATAGTCAAGCAATCAATCTTTTCTCGTTCTCGATGATAACTAACGTGGGAGGGTGAGCGATACGGAGAAGTGGGCGGCATCCTTAAGGTGGCTGTAACTCATCGATACGATGAGCCAAAGGGAGCTGCAGAAACCAGTGGATGCAATGGCCAGGGCAGAGCCGTAGACAGCGAGCGTGAGCAGCCTCTATCGAGCACACCGAGGACTGGTCTCGGCTCAACTGTTCCGACAACGGCAAGCCGTTCGCGCGAAGCTTTCCTCCTCGAGGTTCAATATGCGTAGCCCATACCGAGTCATCTGCTCTTCCTTCAAGCCAAACAACCCAGCTCCCGAATCGGCGGGGTATCCTTCAGGGGCAGCTGCGGAGCGTCGTTCGCAGACAGTACACCCACCCTGGGCAAGACGCCTGCGACCGCTGGGAAAGACTTGCTGAAACGATAGGAACGACCCCATCAGAGGAGCGGTCACGGTAGGATGAGTTTGAGAGGACCTTAGTGATTTTGACTTGTCTTGTCCAGACTACTGGCTATAGAGTGTATCTATCGCACTGTAGACAAGCGAACGCAGCTAGAGTGTGAGAAACTAGCTCCTCATGCACCAAGCAGTGTGCCGCTTGCAAGCTGCGGCAAGCTCCCTCAGGTCTTTGGCGCTCCTCAAAAAGCCTTGTGGCCTCTAAACGTGCGCCAAAGCCTGACACCAGTTCTTCTGGTAATGCAGTAGAACCAGTAGAAGTCAAGGAGCATCATTGAAACAAGGCCGGCGGTACACGACACCTGCCCTGATGTATAGAGCTGATCAAAGTCCATATAAGCGGAGTAGCTCGCACGGCTTCCCCAGATGATCCGGACCAGGAAGAAAAGCGCAATCCACACGGCGGCGAGGACGTTGGCCAGCCAATAGTCGGGTCCGGCGACACTCTGCGTTATGCGATATAAGTTGTGCGGGATGTTGGTAAGTTCGAATAGAAGGAAGCTTGGCAAGCGATGGGCGATAAAAGGGTTCTGAAGAATCTCATTGCAAGTTAGCAGCTGAATGCCGACCAAACGAGGTCAGGAGCTGTCGAAGCAGAACATCACTTACCTCGATGGGTACCGAACACATGAGTACCAGAGTGTGGTGGAGAATATCGCCCAGATTGGGGTGGAGCATCGACGAGGAGGGAGCTCATATGCCACGAGTAAAAGCCCACACAGAAGGCCGCAAGGACCGGCACTGTCTGAGGGCGCTCGAGGTCGTCCAACTTCGTCAGCATCAAGTAGCCGTTGTAAACGAGGTAAGAAGACGAGAACCCTATGACAATGGCCTGATGGACACTTTGGGTTCCAGATCGCTTGGATGGCGGCTTGATTGTCTGTGAATATGGCGCACCAGCCGGAGCGGCTGCTTCTTGCATGTACGTCAAGTACCATTTTGACTAGCACCAGTCCCTTGAGCTCTGCTGTGTACACCGTGGAGGTGGTCGATGAGCCTCATGTATGATGCATCCAGTCCGTAAGACGTGGAAATATTATCTTACCCTTGATTTACCCGTCCCTACGTACAAGCAGGACCAAATACGCAAAATCGTCTCGCGAATATGGTCTCATTGACCTCAAGCCTGCTGCAAGGGAGGGATTACAGTCTCATCTGAACAGTTCTCGAAGGATAAGGATGGTTGGTCGCCCCTATCGTAGGTCTCGGCTAATGGCCATGAGCCTGTCGTGAAGTTGCTGCTGGAAACGAGCAAAATCGATGCCGACTTACCTGACAGTAATGGTCGGACGCCGCTCTTTGTGCGGCGAAGGATCCGACGTGGTGAGTTCTGGTGTTGCTGCAACAGTTGAAGCCCGGCATCGTTCATCACATTTCGCAGAGCCAAGGGCGGAACTGGCATGAGACGCTCGATTGTTGAATTATAAAGATATGTGAGTGGGCGGGCGGGTGGCGGCGGCCCTGGCTCACAGTATGACGCAGCAGCCGCAGCTCTCGCCGCTCTCAAAGGTGAGCAAAGCGGAGCGTGTGGCGGCCTCGAAGACATTGTCGACGCCCTCGCCGCTCAGGCTCGAGCACTCGAGGTACTTGCGGGCTCCTATCTCCTTAGCGACGGCATCTCCCTCTTGCGGCGTGACGAAGCGCAGCGACTTCTTGCGCATCTCCTCTATGGCGAGGGGGTCTTCCCGGAGATCCTTCTTCAGGCCGACGAGGATGATGGGGACGTTAGGGCGGAGGCGGGAGGCTTCCTCGATCCACTGGGGGCGGGCGGGGTGTATCAGCGAACCTTTGACCATATCCCCCCAGGCGGATGCGTGGGATATCGAAGGGACCAGGGGCCGTACCTTGTGCTTGACGTTGTCAAGGGAATCTGGAGTATCAAGCGAGAAGCCGACGAGGATGACATGAGCCCTAGAATATGCCAGCGGCCGCAATCTGTCGTAGTCTTCTTGTCCAGCGGTATCCCATAACGCCAACTGAACGGACTTGCCGTCTACTCTACAATCTGTGACATAGTTCTCGAAGACTGTCGGGATCTGCGGGATGAGAGCGGATGGTCGGCGGGCGGACGGTCGAGGGTTCGGGGAGGACATACGTAATGCTGCGGAGGGTCGTGGTGGTTAGCTTGATATGCTTCGCGGCAGGCTCGGGGGGCTGACTGATGGGAAGTAGCCGAGCGTAAAGACGCTCAGCAGAGATGTTTTGCCGCAAGCACCGTCGCCGATGATGACCAGTTTCCTGAGGGAATTAGAAGTCAGTATCCCTTTTTTTTTTTTGGTTTGGTTTGGTTGGGGGGGGGGATCATGTGATGAATCGAGTTCGGCGGAGGACCCCTGAGGAGGGATCGTCGAGACGGTGGAGGGGCAAACAGGTGGGTGCGTACCTGCGGATGACGTTTTGAGGGCTTTGGCTGGCCATGGTGTCCCAGTGAGAGTAGCCGCGCGGCGGAAGAGATGGGGGACGCGGTCTGGATGGGTGCGGGATCCCTCTGGCTGCGTATATTGCGTCGTCAGGGGACGAGGATTGCAGAGGCGGATTCGAGTCCGAGATCTCAGGTTCGACCGGGGGAAGGCCGAGTTGACAGGAAAACGAGGGGGCGGCCGTCCGTCGGGGAGACCTTGGGGGTGGTTCGTTGGGTATAATGGCGAGTGTGGTAGTGGTGATAATAGATACGTTTATCGATGGTTGATGAATGGGTGGCCTGGGTTCCGTCCCAAGGATGGGTAATCGAAGAAAGCGGTGGTCTGGTATTTAGGGATTATGTTGTAATAAAACAAGAGACGGCGCGAGAGCGGGAGATGACAAGCGATAAAGCCACGCGCATTGCAATGCCAGTCCTTATTGTCAAACGATACTCCGCCCCAGCCAGAGGAGGCGTCCCGACCCACATGGGCACCATTGTTTTGTGTATATAACTCGTCCCCTTGACTTGGGCAGTGGTTAAGGACCAATTTCAACTCTCTACAACCCACACATCTTGACACTTATCTCGAGCCCGGTTGAAAGCGATATGGGGGTGGACGGGGAAAGGGGCGGGACTATGAGTCGTGTCATGCAAGAGGCAGAAGATGAAGCGGCAGCGTCCTTTTTCAAGTCCTGTCCGATCGATTGCTCTGTTCCTCGCTCTCTCGGTACCTAGAATCTGCCCCGGCCGAAGCTCTTTACTTGCTGTAGCAGTCCACCGGCCAGCTTTAATACGAGCTAGGCACAGGACAGTACTGACACTACGGCTAAGCTCCATTTACCGTTGTAAACCCCACCCCCGCGCCCAGGGGCGAGAGCGGGCTGCAAGTCGCCATTTCAGGATAAGGTTACTCCGATACGAATCAGCCAGGTGACACTGGCTAGTACACTGTATGGGAATTGACCGTCGACTGTACAAGTCGTCTTGGTCCGAGAAACCCACCACGCTGTTGACACGGGGCAGGCAGCGATCTACGCCCCCTTAAGGAGCATCGTAAACGTTGAGGGCAAAAGAAACCTGCCTAGAGCGGCATGCTCACCACGTTGGGAAGCTGGCGGGCGTGTTTGCAACTACGAGTTTGTGACATGGCGTTTTCTCCACTGCTGCTGAACCACCCATTTGTCTCGCCATTGTGGTCCTACCGTTTGACCCCTACCCGACTGATGCATCGCATCCTAGTCCCCGCCAACCCCGCCGCTCCAAGCGGCCGGCACGATCGAGCCCGACCCAGCTGGCATGTTCAGCCCTCCTGTCGCTAATTCACTTTGGTCTTAGGGCTTGGAGTTTCGCCTAATGCCGGCCTTGGTCCCTGGACTGGATTATCCTCCCCGATGTGGGTCAAATTGAGCCGCATGCACACGGGAAGTTTCATGGGCCAGCCAGCCACCTTGCGAACCAACCTCCATTGCCGGGCCAAAACCTTCGTGGAAGTGATCCGTGGATGATCATGTCATTACTGTACCTCTGGCGGGGTAACCTGCACATGCATCAAGAGTCGCTCCACGGCAACGTCTTTAGTGAACCTAGTGCCTTCAGATACCTGTCGAGACAGAAAAGGAGCCCGAGCGCTTCATCCATACTCACACATCAGGGCCTGATCCTACAATATCCGTAACAACATCGTCCCAATATGGCCGTCAGGCCAGCTTTGGTTTCCAACAACATGATTGAGCAGGGCATGTTCTCGGCCTGCCTGGTCTTTTCACTATTCGCGGTCAACTTCTTTTCCTCCGTCTTCTCACTCATCTTGCAAGTCCTTCTCCTTGTTACCCGCTTGCCCCTCATCTTCATTACCATCGCCGCCTACGGGATACTACTGCAATGGTTCCCAAGTGGCTCCGTTGTTAAGAAGCTTGCTTTATTCATACTGATGGGTATCTCCGGCACGTGGTGGACGGACCTACAAATCGATGGCGTTAGACGTGGCTCGGTAGCCCAACAGCCATCCTGGCGCCTGCCTCAAGGCGGCTCCGTCATCGTGTCATCGGCAACTTCTCCTATCGACGCTGTGTACCTTGCTGCGGCCTTCGATCCTATCTTTACTACATCTTGTCCTGGGACGCGCAAAGTGCGCCGGCTGGGTTTGCTTCAGGCAATCCTACGCGGGTTTCGGCGAATCGGGGATAATCCTCTTGGAGACGCTGCCCTTGGGGAGCTGGAGACCTTGCTTGTGGAACACCCAGCGCGAGTCATTGTGGTGTTCCTGGACTGCCCAAAGACGAACAACAAGGGCTTATCAAGCCTAGTCGCCGTTCCCCCTTCCACAAATGCCTTCCGAGTCAGCATCCGGTACACGCCGCCGGACGTGACAACACCGGACCATGGCGGGTGCCTGGCAATCCTCTGGAATGTGCTCTCCAGTCCTCTGCACCTTATCCGAGTGCATATCGCCGACGACGTGAATGTCCACACCGCTTTGTCACAGTCACACAAGACGAACAGCGAGCCTGCCAATTTAGTAGCGCGGCACAACGGAGATGGTCCGAACCGGAGTTCAAGGTCGAGGGTGACACGCCGACGCACAACTAAACGGCCGCTCAGGGTTCTCGGCGTCATTAAAGAATGAGTACAGCAAACAGGCATCAGCCTTGGGTGGTCAGCAAAGGTCGCGGCAGTGGAGGCGACGGGGATGGATTATTAAGCCCCGAGCAACATGAATGTAGGCAGCGCCCGTGGTTGGTACAGATGTAGTTCAACAGAAGAGGATAAAAGAAAGAGACGATGCATGGATGGCCAGAAGGCGTGGTAAATAGCAATGAACATGCCACGGCGCTCGCAGAACGTAGGATATCGTACATTGGGACTGTCGATGAACACCGCCCGTCACGGCGGGAAACTCGTTCCCTGAGCCGGGCTAGGAGGCCTTAATGCCTGTCTCATAGTTTCCTTGCACCGAAATAGGTCGTCTTCCAAGGCCCGGTTCTTCCGCAGGAGCTCCTGGACGATCCTCTCGCGGTTGCCCTTGCCCTTGAGCAAGACAGAGTGATTGACTTCTAGAAAAATGTGTTCAGGCCAGACAACATCTTTCGTGACCCAGTCGCCGTCAGTGATACTGTGCTGCTGGTGGTCGAGCAGATAGCAGCAGCGAATCCGGACGCGTAAGGTTCTGTTGGTGTATCTCTGAAGAGGTAGTAGATCATCGGGATCAGTTTCGACATGTGTCCAACGATCACGATCCTTAGGACCCAAGTGGAAGCTGAATTTCTGGACCGCGGCTCCAGGGGCAATTGAGGTAGGACCTAGCGCGAGTCTCCTGACTGACTGGTAATACCGCTCGTTCAGTGCTTCTGGGCGTATAGGAAGGCGCTTTGGACTACGAATGTGGGCATGATGAAGGGATTGCATGATGCAGTGGTTACTCTGCGGATCACCCGGATATTCGTTGGTGGCAATTCGGTCATCGCGGCCTGGGAACAAGAGGCCGGTCGAGATTGGTTTCGTCGGTATTGGCTGTGTCACAAAGGGTTGTAGAGGCTGAACAGCCTGCCCTCTGTGAATCGTACTGATAGCCATCGAAGCCTGCACTACGGGGAATCCGGATGGATATTGCCTACTCGCCCCAGTGACCGGGAATACAGGTGAGTGAGCTGAAACAGGTGAGCCACTGGACCAGTGCGCACCGTAAGAAGCACCGAAACTAGCTTGCTGACTTCTTGATGGTCCCGAGACATGCGCATTCGGCCGCGCATGTGTCTGCTCTACGGAAGATTGAAGTCTCTGGGGTTGACCGTGCCAGGCTAAACCCGGCGCCTCAGTACGCAAAGCGTGCTGTGTTGGCGCTGCCGTCACCGGATATGGTGCTTGCGAGGTCGTAGAAAATTGATAACTTGCAAAACTCATCGAAGTTGCTGAATCCTGGGGCCGAGCGGCGACTCCTTGGAAAACGCTGGGAGGATGAAGAGGTTCAATGATCGCGGACATCGTTTGACTTGGCAGGGCTGTCCATCGTTGGTTTGGTGCCGCTGGAGAGGGGACATTTCCGACAAAGCTCTGAGCATTGTTTGGCACAGCTGTTGGCGAGGTCGATTGTTGAACATATCGTTGTTGCTGAAGTGTTCGGGCGGTGTGGGCCAACTCCTTGTATCTCTGGACAAGATTGTCTTCGTAGTCGAGAACATGCTGTTGTCCCCACAGGGTTTGGCGGCAATCTAAAAGGGCTTAGCGTGGTTGTCAATTTGCTACTATACCTAATCTGGCTCGGTCGAGAATACATAAGTGAGCTCTCATTCCCACCACTTTCTTGTACATTTGACTTCGTTCAACCTTTCTCTCATCACGCCATGCGCTTCAGCTCAGATGATCCCTCCTGTTTATCTCGCTCCGCCACCTCCTATTCTCTATGAACCCCTACCGCGCAAAAAAAGATCACTATCTAGAGCCTATCACATCGCGGCTTCCACAGATTTATCATCGAAAGTTGTCAGCTCGTTATCAACGGCCTGGATGATCACATGGAAATCAATCGTGGACTTAGGAATGAGTCATTGAGGGCGTATCTGCATGATTATCGGGTGCAAACACGTCAACATTAGCACAGTCTTCGTCGACACGATGAAGCCCGCGCGCTTCGGAACTCGGAGCGCTCATCTCAGTGTCTTTGACACAAACCGCGGAACCGGCTTTGAAGGAATAATAGCATATCGTGGGCTTCTCTGTGTCTCGGGCGTCTCTAGGAAGATCACATTTGACAGACTGGCCTCGTCGGCTGATCCAGCTAAGTCACATTATGTTTATCTAGTGGTCATTCGTCGACGGGACTTAACCGGGTATCACGGCGTCCAGTAACATTATCTCCTGCACTACGTGGGCTCTCTTGGAAAGGGGCGGATTCATCGGCCCCCGGCTTCTGGGGTATCAAAGAGACTTGGCCAGAAACCCACCAAGAAATGAGGGTCAGTGACATAGACAATGTAGCAACCGAGTATATAAGCTACAGTTGACCTCATGCTGAACGGATTGAAACTCTTCTTTTCATCACTGCCTTTCACTCATTACCGCTTCACCCTGATCGCCATGCATATCACCCTAGATCATCAAGAGTTCTATGTTCCGGGCTCAGCCAATGCTGATGCTGCTACATACCAGCCAATGAAACGGAAAGCGCCTGCCTCTTGGACTTATCCTCCTCCTCCTCCTCCTCCTCCTCCTCCTCCTCTGGCTCCTCTGGCTCCTCTGACTCCTTCTTCTTCCTCTTCTTCTCCGCCTCATTCTTCTCCGCCTTCTCATAAAACCGGCCAGCGACATCCCAATGTCTGGTCAAACCCAGCTAGCAGTCGACAGCCA